CCCCGCCCGCCCCCCCCCCCCCCCCCCCCCCCCCCCCCCCCCCCCCCCCCCCCCGAGAAGAACTTACAATCCCCAGAATTGAACCCATTGGTTACTGTGTGGGGAGAAAAGAGTCAGCGATCAACGTCCTCCTTTGGAAACCCCTGAAATGCCCTCCGTGACTCACAATGTCTTGTCCTGCTCCTTAGAAAACGCAATCTGGTACACGGCCTTGAGGATGCCCATCACCACGGCTCTGTGACAAGGACGGAGTCAGTCAACAGGGTCAAAAGAGGGGAAGGGGGGGTTTTGCGCGTACAGGTATCCCAAGCTCAGAATTCCGATCAGGTACAACCGGACCTTGCGCTTCATTTGCAACTTCCAGATGATGGGGATGGGGAAGCTGGCGAAGAGGACGTCGGTGAAAATGTTGAATGCTGTTATGGCATTTCCAGTTAGTTAGAAATCGAGCTGCTTGGAACAGTTGATTTGCGGCAGTCAGGGCACCACTCACCAGTGTTGATGAGGGCGAAAGTCACGAAGAGGGTGATGGGATAGCACTCTCCTGGGAGAGTAAGGTCCCAGTGCTTCGCCATCGGTCGGCAGTGCAGGAAGAAAGTCATCCATCCCATGAAACTGTAGGCGCAGACGAAAACTGCAAGAAACGGAAACACCGGTTAGTCCCTGATTCGATTTTCCTCCGGGTGGAGGAGGGTGGCGACGCACTTATGCTGCTCCATAGAGACCAGGTGTACCAGCGGCTCGGGCTGAGTCTCAGCAGGTTCAGGGCGATGGAGATCTTGAGCAGTGCCATGGCGGCGGTGGCGGAGATGATGGACTGCCAAAAGCTGACTCGGTTGAGCTTCATGAGATCCAAGGCGGCGATGGTATCTTGATGGCGGCCGAGCCCGTACGGTCCCTCGAGGACGAAGATGAGCCATCCCCCAAACGCGCAAATCTAACAAGGAAGAAGTGAAATCAGCATACACACACAACCAAACAAGAACAGTCCGTCCCATTCGACTTCCAATGCCAGCTGGAAAGCAGTCTTTTCCGCAGTCTTTTCCGCAGGCATCGGAACACACAAGTTTAGAATCCCGCTGTCCAGGAAAGGAAAAGAAGCCTTACCACGGCGCCGACCATGGTCCAGTCATCTCGCCCGGGACTCTTGACGATCTTGATCCGGACGTAAACCCGCAGCGAGACGGTGATGACGGCAAGAGCGTGGATGGCGCCCGTGACGCCCAGTATCGTCCCCAGATTGCTCTCCGCCGCCCTGGCAGGATCGACCGGCACGCTGGTCGGCGGTGGACCAGACATGTCGATGCTGTGCCGTATGCGGCGCGGATCGACAGAAATACGCGAAACACAGATTCAAACCGACCAGGGGAGTTTTTTTTTTGGGGGGGGGGGAATCTGGGGGAAGGAAATGTGACAGGTTGCCACGGCCTTAAGATCGACACGGGAGCGAGATCGAAGGGGGATATGAATCGAATCCCCTTCAGTGTCGATCTCTCGAGGGCTTTGTGGGAGCGGCAGAGGGGTATAATATCCTCAACGAGAGCGAGCGACAGGATGAGAAGATGTGGGGGAGAGAACGCAGCCAACCCCCATCATTTTCTTCAGAGTTGCAGACGAGATGCTTGCATGTAACCTACTGTGGCAGATCTTATCAACGATCCTTCTCACAATGGTGCCATATTGTCATGTTTCTGCTTTCTGGGTTGCAGCGAGGCGTCCATGGCGTCCATCTACAGATGCACCTTTTCCGGGTTTGGCCGGTAGGCTTGTAACCGTACCCCCGTCTCTCTCTGCGTTGTACCCCTTCCTCGAGACACTGGTGCAAGCCACCAAAGGTAACCGGGTCGGCAAGAATACCGCGAGTCAGTGACCGATGGAAAGAAAGAGAAGAAAAAAAGGGCTTGCCCGCGAAAGCCTGGCGCACATGCATGGAAGTTCCCTGCAGCGGGATCCCATCCGTCTGATAGGCTGGGCCTAGTGAGAGACCCTGAAGCTTGCTGAAGCTTGGGGGAAACAAAGACGGGGGTTGGAATCTCCGGACCGGCGCACTACATAGCAAATTAAGGGGCTGCTTGGGTACCTGATTGGCCCGAACCCTAAGCTGCGGCCAAGAGGGCGGCATTATTGTTCCCTGAGAAGCACAGGCATCCCTACTAGATACCGAAAATCTTCGCAACGGGCTCATCGACACCTTCGCGCTAGCCTCGATTAGACACTTAGAGCCGTCTTAGTGTCTTCATGCAATGCAAGGCTGAATACACAGTGCAAGGATACCAGGCAAGCCAGCTTGGCAAGGAACTAGGTAGGTAGGGGAGAGTCGAGTCAAACTAGAACTTTGGAATTGGGATCAAAGGTCAAGAGAATTATCACGCACTGCGGAGTAGACAATATGACATCACCCGGAGGCTCAGATAGGCGAATGAGGGGCATGCAAGAAACAATTAAAGATTTTCGTGTAACTACCCGATGGAAAGTCCCTGCTGCAGGAATCACATTCGGTTCGGCCGTTCGGGTACCTGATTGCATCCCAAATTCCCAATGCAGGAGGTGGTGGCTGATGTGACCAAAATGCCGGGGTGAGGTAAGGGTTACTCTGCTGTGTATACCCTAGCTAGCATTGTATTGGGAGGACGCCACAGAATCCTTCCAGAGTACCTGCAGCTGATTTCTCTCCACTCAAGAATCCTCCTGCATGCTTGAGATGAGGTGTGATTGTGGATTTGTGATGAGGGTGCTCAGGGGTTTCTTCTCCCAGGGGTCTCGTCTCGCCCAGCGTCGTGAAGCCGGCTACGACGTCCTTGACCAAATGCCATTGACCATTGACCAACGGCCGAGCCCCGTGTTTGGGTGGGAACGACCTGCCATATCGTCAGATTCCCCTTCGGAGATTTCTTGCCATCTCTCCTCAACTCACTGCGACCTGCCAAATTGGGAGGCACAGGTGAGTGGCGCCGATTTTGGCTTACCTCGTGTCTATATCCCCGGCGAGCTTCGGACCACCAAGGTGAGCCACTCGGGTCGCATACCGCTACTTGCATCGGCCAGAGACGTGGAAATCCCTTTAATTCCTCATAGGCTTCTTATTCTGTTCTTTGAGTCCCAAACATCGAAATTGATAGACGCAAACATGAATCTTTCCCATGCTGGGTAAATCTATGAAACTGGCTTCCTCAAGCAGCTCCGCTTCTCTCAAAAACAGACAGAGCTGCCCCCAGCAACGGTGATAAAACGAATCGCGCGCCAAACACACAAGATGTACGTGCAGAGAGATTCGATCGGCCGCCACCGGTAAAGGGCCCATCTCGAGACTATTCGGTCAAGTACGGGGCCCAGGTACCTATTGCCGAGGCCCAATGTCTACCTAATCATGATCCGTGGACTCCTATCGGTGCCCGAACTTGAACTGTACGGTTGGTGTCACCACGAGGGGCAGACGTTTATCTATATGGAGCTTATTCAGGGTGCTACATTACAACAGAGCTAGAAGACATTAAATTAGGAAGAACGAACCTGTCTGTAACAAGTTACGAGGGCATGGTTGACGAGTGGCGGACCCTGGCCAAACAGGACGATTCGGATACTCTTACCAGTACGCTGCGTTTAGCCCATCATTTCAATAGATTTGATCTTTCGATACTGACTTTGCTAGAGGTCATGTTGACAACCAACCCCCTTCTCGACACCATCTTTATCAGCGGTTGTTCGCCCACAGCTGGTCCCCTTCAAAGCGTTGCCGAATTCCATGACTGGTTTAATTCCACAACTGGCCCTAAAGAGAACTGGGGAAAGAATTTACCCCATCCGCACCCCCTCTTCTCCGCGATGCTGTTCCCGTTGTCTTTTCACACGCCGATGTCCACCCATCGAATATCATCCTATCTCCAGGACCGAATCCAACATACTATTGCTGTCATTGACTGGCAACAGTCAGGTTGATGTCCCGCATATTAGGAGTACTGCAAGGCGCGGTGGACCTCACGAATCGGGGAAGAATGGGAGCAAAATACCTGCCAATGCTGGGTCGCGGAGTATGATTTATTCTTGGGACGAGTGTATGTACAATACCTACTCTTGCGAAAAAGTTGATATTTACTGCACAGTAAGCTTACCAAACCCAGTTATGATGGCTCCTGAGCATGTCCTAAGCAGTGGCTACTGGATCATAACCACGAGGAGATCGCCCAGTTCACGCCGATCATGATTAGCAACATCCGCTGGAAGACTTACATGGTCTTCTTCCTGTTGAACCTGGCCTTCCGTGTCGTCGTCTGGATGTTCTTCCTCCAGACGTCGGGTCGGAACTTGGACAAGGTCGTCGACTCCCTATGGCCGCGTTCCGGCTGGGTAACTCGAGCCACACTCATCTGCAGTCTCCTTCCAGCTCGTCCTCCATAACTCAGTCCGGGCGAAGGCCTGAGATGGTACAAACAGCCATGTATATGCCAGTTACAGGTTCAGGCAGCTGGGAGGCGGACGATAACGGGTCGGACCCCAAGATGCCAGCACACGGTGAGATTGTCGAACATCCTTCTCGCCTGAAGCGCAACGCCACTCAAAACAACGAGACGTGTCGAAAGAAGACGTTACGGTAGCGTGCCTGCCCGTCCGCGCGAAGGACCTCTTGGAGGTGAAAAGGTGTTCTCGTCGTGTGAGGAACGGTAGGATATATGGAAGGGTCCGTGAACCTCATGACAAGATGTCTCTCGCCTCCAATATAAGCATTATACTACCTATTAGGCAGGACATTCATTCCATCTAATGCAGACCTCCTTCTATCTCTGGACCTTTCTTCTAGTCGGGTTCTAGTTGGGTCTTGATCACCTCCCTTCCAACACGCGGTTCATGTGGAGATTGGCCTGGCGCATCTAAGCTTGAGAAATAAATCACCAAACATCATTCTTCCACCCCCATTGGGGGAAATTTCCATTGGATTGGTGGCGTGACTGTCGATACCGTTGGTTAGGTTGGTTAGGTTGCCCGGGCAGTCTAGTCCGCTCCCGGGAGGTCCGGGACGCCACAAATTCATATCGACTTCTGGTTCTTGTTCGTTTGAGAGATAGCTCCGTGTTTACGGGGGATAAATGAGGAAGACGGGCAAGGCGCTACCCAAACTGCAACAACACGGACCAAAATTGGACTTGCCAGGGACGCCTCCATGGTAATATCTTAGGTTTATATTTACGGTATGAATCGCCGTGGCTTGGCAATACTGTAGAACAGGACCTGACCAAGGGGCGTGGCGGCCCACTTTATTCCGATGACGTTGGGCTGATTATGACGTCACTCACCCGCGTATCCCGGCGGGCGGGAGGTGGTGAGACGTATGTACATGCGTACATAAGGCAAGGCGATTAGTAAACTTGATTTTCCTTGCTTCCCTTGACAAGCACTTTAACGCCCTACAGATACAGAAATGGAGATTCACCCCCAAGTCGAAACCCCAAGCGATTCGCCATGCTCATCAGCCAACACCGCATTAACAAGCATCCGTGTACCTGGACAGCGCCAACGCCCAGCAGAGTCTGAGGGGCCTATCCCCATCTGATATCGACCGTCTATTTTAAACAGATTCTGTACACCTGAGCAGCTTCAACCTCGTTCGGATGGTGACTGTTGCGGGTCCTTCGAAAGGACGGGCTGAGTCGACAGACGCGGGTCCGTCCTCGGACACGCCCCGCCACGCGACCATGTCCGAAGTTCCTCCCAGCAGCGCCCGGAATTTCCACTTTCGCCCTTTTCGCGAATCCCAACAGTCGGCCATTGGCCTGCGCCGGCTTCGATCGAATACCTCCAGGTTGCCCCCAGTCGCGGAGAACCAGGATGGACAGAAGCCGGATGACCAGCAGCAGCCCGACGACAGTGATGACTGGGAGTCTCAGATCAGCCGTCACGACTCGGCGCCTCAGCGACCGACCCTCGAGCCAGGGCAGCAGCCCGCGACCGCCATGCCTTCCATTCCCGAGAGAGCTCGGGACGGAGATGTTGACCCCGGTCTAGCACTCAACCCCCAGCGATCCAGGTGGCGTCCCACGCAGTCATCGCGTGCGGATGAGTACGACCCGAGGATCGTGGATATCCTCGATGTTATTGGTAGGCGGAACTTCCACCCTTGTTTTGGACCAGTGAGTCGAGCAGGTCACTAACACTTCCACTCCAGACCCTGAGGTGTCGGCCATGTCCTCCATCACAAACATCCAGAACTCCCTCTTTGTCCCGTCTTTGGGCAAGTGGGTCAAACGGCGGCCCACCTTCGATCTCGACTGGATACGGCACCCGAGAGGAGAGGAACCTTCCGAGTCCGAGTCTTCGGAGCCCACCATTGAAGAGCTACAAGAAGAGGACACCACTGTACGCCCCGGCGCAAGGGGTCGCCGTCTCAGTCTTCGGTCTACAACCGCGGGTCCGAACTACGCCGTTCTTCCCCACGGCGTGTCCCTTGAAGGATGGAGCGAAGAAGAGGTGGCCGAGCTGAACGACCACGTACGGCATATGCTGCACTCGCGCCGGTCCAAGTTCAAGCGAAACCTGAAGGCCTTCGGCAAGTATGTCAGACAACCGCTCGGCTTTTTCGTCACGCTCTACGCCACCCTCATCACCCTCTTTGGGCTGGCGTGGGTTCTGTTCCTCATCGGATGGATATATGTCGGCCAAAGACAGCTCTACATCATCAACGTGATTGACTACGTGCTGGTGGCCCTCTTCGCTGTCGTGGGCGATGGGCTTGCGCCGTTCCGGGCAGTGGACACGTACCACATGATTTTCATTGCACATTACCGTGGGTTTACTTCCCCTTTGGCGAGCACAATCGCCATGACCCCTGTTCGACACTGACACTGATCCATCCATCTAGACCATCTCTCCTGGAAACTCCGGAAAAACAAGGCATTGCCCGAACTCGAGAACAAGAACGACCTCCCTGCCGAGCCCGTCTTGACGGGAAATCCAGACCCCGAGGAGGCTCTGCAAGATCCAGACCTCGAGGCGGCGCACAAAGATTCAGACCAAGCGTTCTCAGTCCTGACGCCCAAGCAGCAGGCCCGTCTGGAGCATCACCAGAACAAATTCTCCAGGTCGCACACCTTCTACAAGCCGCACGAGACGGAGACGCACTTTGCCTTCCCGCTGAACCTGCTCATCGCCATCGTCGCGCTGCTCGACCTGCACTCGTGCCTCCAGATCTCCCTCGGCGTCTGCACCTGGGGCATCGACTACAGGGTGCGGCCCGCCGCGCTAACGGCGACCATTCTGAGCTTCTCCATCACCGTCAACATCCTGGCCGGCATCCTCATCAGTGTGGGCGGCCGGCGGACGCGCAAGAAGGACGTCGTGGAGCGCATGTTCCGCCAGGAGCTGACCGAGGAGGCGCTGCACCGGATGCGGGCCCAGAGCGACCTCGAGGCCGAGAAGCGGCGCAAGATCGACGAGGCCATCGACGAGGCCGACGAAAACAAGGAGGAGAAGGACGAGGCCGGGCACCTGAACCTACCGAGGCCGAGCCTGGATGCCTGGCGCGGGAGGCACAGCGAGGGCCGGTCCAGGAGCAGCCCGGGCGTCGGCCGGCTGTTGTCGCCGGGGAAGAAGCCAGTCGATGAAGTGGGCAGATTCGATTTCGTCGTGGGGCACGAGGCCGGGCGGGCAACACCCACCACCACCCAAGAGGCTCCCGTCTGATCTGATGACATTTCTTCTTGATCTAGTAAAATACCCCTATTTCGACATGTTTTGCGATAGAAGCCATCTGTCTTGTTGCTCTTTTAGATTGTATCGTCCCAGATTAAACCATTGTTTGGAGTTTTTGTTGCAGCATACCTGCCTACCTAGATAGACGAACCGGAGTCGTCTACATTTCCCCAGGCCTCGTCAAATAGTAAAATAAAGTAGAGACATACCATACCCATCCAGCCAATCGCACCCAATCCCTACAACGCCGCCTCCGTCTTCTCAATCTCGACCAGCAGCTCCGCCCTGGCCCTCTCCCACTCGCCGTCTGCCAGCCTCCCCTTGAGCGGCAGCCTCCCGCCCTCGAGCGTGCCCAGCCCCGTGACGCGGTACACGGCCTCCTTGATGCCCACGACCCCGAAGCGCCCGACGAACTCCTCGGCCCGGCACACGGCGTACTGCAGGCGGCGCGCCTCCTCCATGTTGCCGCTGGACGACGAGGAGGAGACGAGCTGCATCAGGCGTGCCACCGTCTTCGGGTAGAAGGCCGCGAGGCCGTCGATCACCCCGGCTGCGCCGAACAGCACGATCGGTCCTAGCTGCTGCCCGAAACCGCTGTAGACGCGGAACTTGGCGTGGTCGATGGACGGGTCGAGGGAGACTTGGACGTGGTGCGAGACGTTGCCGTGGGACCTGCGGAGGTGTGAACGTTGGGGCGGATGTTGTGCGGGAAAAAAGAGGAGGGGGGGGGGGGGGTTGCTTACATCTTGCAGCCGACTATGTTGGGGTGGCTTGCCAGCGCGGTGTATGTCTCCGGGGCGACGAGGACGTTGTTCGTGACGCCGGGGTAGTTGTAGCTTGAGTTTTACGAACCATGTCAGCCTGGAACCGACCGCTAACAGGAAGCAATGCAACGGGGAACCACCAACATCAAGATCGGCAGCGGGCTGTTGTCCGCAATCAGGGTGAACCACTCCCTGATATTCTCCTGGTTCGCCGCGGCGCCAAAGTACCCGGGCACCAACACGAGCCCCCACTGCGCGCCCGCGGCGGCGTAATCGCGCAGCCACTCGAGGGTCTCGTCGACGCCGTTGGTCAGGACGCCGGCCATGATCGGGTAGCCCGGGAAGCCGGCCTCGTCGAGCGCCGCGCGGACGCCCGAGACGAGGGCCGAGCGCTCGGCGCGGCTCAGGTGGATCGCCTCGCCCGTCGACCCGAGGAGCACCAGGCCCGTGATGCCGCTGCGGGCGAGGAACACGCCGTGCTGAGCCTGCGTCTCGATGTCTACCGCGGCCTGCAGGGTCGGGGGCGATGATGATGCCGCTTCGGAGGCGGGGCGGAAGAACGTGGGCACGGGGACGAAGACGCCCGGAGGCGGGGAGGTGACGGCCATGATTGCTTATTTGGGGGGCCGATAAAGGGGAGAAAAAAACCTGGATTTCGCTGGAAACGGGATGTAGGGTTTACCAAACGGCACGAGTTTCTGGCGAAGGCGACGAGGTGTTGTGTATTGCCTGGTGCCAGTTAAGAATGGCGATGTTGGGATTGCCCCGCGAATGATTGGGCCCGCCTTTCGGCCGCAGATCTCACGAGACCCGGCTTCGGCCTCGAGTCCGGCGCTGATGCCGGGCAAATCGCCTACAAAAGAGACGGCCGGACTCAAAAGAAGGATTATCGATGTGTTTAATTGATCATCATACCAAATTCTCCCCGTTTCTGAGGTTCGCATCCCCTTTTAAAAGAACATCCAAACCATCCCGGCCACGTCTTGTCCTGGCCGATCACATCCCACGCGGGGCGAGTTCGGACGTCATCCAACTTTCTCGGTACATCTGACCCCGAGCCGTTTGCAAGTGCCGAACTTGGCACGCTAACCATCATCCCAGCTTCATGAGCCGGATTCAAATGTACCACTAAGTCGCGGACATTACGATTTGGTGCGCCTGTTCGGAAGATAGTATCATCTCTAGCAGGTCATTGGCTCGACCACCTCAAAAATGGGCAAGATCGTGTTGATGGAGTATTTCCGCGTCCCCCCGCGCTGGCTCTTCGTCAAGATCACCGACGAGGCTGGGAATGTCGGCTGGGGGGAGGCGTCTCTGGAGGGACATACTCAGGCAGTCGAGGGGTGCCTAGACGCCTGGTTTGAGAGGTACAGTGGTATGGAAGCCGAGTATGTTGGATCTGCTTCCCTTATTTTTCGCTCTCTTTTCTTTTCCTCCCCCCGGTCTCCTCTAGTGTCTCTCCCGGCCTTCCACACTAACGTTGCCCCTGGCAAGCGATATCGAGCACATATGGCAAATGTCATGGCGGACAAGTTTCTACCGTGGAGGCCCCGTCTTCATGAGCGCTCTCGCAGGCATTGATATCGCCTTATGGGACCTGAAAGGTACAGATGCAGTGAACACCAAGACCCCCGAGATCATCCCAAGTTTCTCACATGGACTTAAAACAAACAAGCCAGGAAACTCGGTGTTCCCATCTACCAGCTGCTGGGAGGCAAAGTGAGAGACAAGATCAAGGTCTACGCCTGGATAGGCGGTGACCGGCCAGGGGATGTCGAAGCTCAGGCGTAAGAAAGAAACTAACTTCCCGGCTCCCCCGTTCAATTCCAACCACCCAGGCATAATAACACAAACCACACAGACTAGCCCGCAAGGCACAAGGCTTCCACGCCGTCAAGATGAACGCGACCGAGGACCTAGGCTGGCTAGACTCCCCCTCCGCCCTCGACGGGTGCGTCGCGCGCGTAGCAGCCGTCAAGGCGCTAGGCATGGACGCAGCAGTCGACTTCCACGGGCGCGTGCACCGGCCGATGGCGCGGCAGCTGGCCCGGGCGCTGGAGCCGCACCGGCCGCTCTTCATCGAAGAGCCGCTGCTGTCGGAGCACGCGGGGGCGCTCGCGGACCTGGCGCGCTCGACGAGCTGCCCCGTGGCGCTCGGCGAGCGCCTGCACAGCCGGTGGGACGCGCGGCCCATGCTCGAGGCAGGGTGCGTCGACGTCCTGCAGCCCGACGTCGCGCACGTCGGCGGCATCAGCGAGATGCGTCGCCTGGCCGCCATGGCCGAGGCGTACGACGTCGCGCTGGCGCCGCACTGCCCGCTGGGCCCGGTCGCGCTGGCGGCTTGCTTCCAGGTCGATGCGGCGACGGCGAATTTCGCCATACAGGAGATGGGGCTGGGGATACACTACAACAGCACGGGGCAGGATATCACCAGCTACATCAAGAACCCCGAGGTCTGGGATGTCGAGGATGGGTACGTGCCTATCCTGTCTGGGGTGGGGTTGGGTATCGAGATCGACGAGGAGCAGGTGAGGGAGCTGTCAAAGGATGCGAAGGCGTGGGTCAGCCCCGGGTTCATCGGGCCGGGGGGCGAGATCCGCGAGTGGTAGGACTGGGAATCGTGAGGAAATCGGCTGGCTTCGGAGGATGCCGTGAGGAAGCAATATAGCTCTTGATATCCGACCGAGAGTCGAAGTGGTTCTCTATACTGCATATGAAAATGAACCGGTCTCCCGTGTACCACGGTCACCCGATCGGATGATAGCCATAAAATCGCAGCCCACCGCCGTATTTCCAGATCCATAGCCTTATTTATCCCACGTAATGCGGCTACCGTACATCGCCAGGGGCCTACCAGCCCATTTGTCGATATATATATACATGGGTATATATATTTATATATATGAGTAAACATTAGCAGTATACACACGAATACATGTTCAATATCCGAAATATGTTCGTCGTTCAACACGGCAGAGCCAAGCTGCTCCCGCCAGCGGTACCACCCCAAATCTAGAAGCCGACCAGCGCCGCGACAGCCACCGCGGCAACGGCAGCGACGGCGACGGCCGCACCCGGGGGCGACGCCCTGGCGGCGGGCGACTTGCTGCTGGGGTCGACGCCCGTGGCGGGGCGGCCGAGGTACCAGGCGCCGATGTCGGTGAGGCGGCCGCCGGCGCTGAGCATGGCGGCGTTGGGGCCGACGTTGGACACGGAGCTGCGGAAGGCGCCGAAGAGCGAGTAGCGGCCGACCGAGTCGAGGCGGTCCATGTACTCGGCCGAGGTGTTGTAGAAGGACTGCGTCGAGGGCAGGTCCTGGTCGTTGAGGTTGTACTCGGTCACCCAGATGGAGGTGTTGGGGAAGCTGGGCGGGGTGTGAGTAGGTTTATCGGCAGAGAGGGCTAGGTAATGGGTAGGGTGAATGGGGGATGCGGGGAAAGGAGGGAAAGGAGGGAAAGGGGGGTGCTTACGCGCCCGAGTATTCGCCAATGTGCGAGGCCAGTCCTTCAAAGTTGCCGTACCAATGCAGGGGGACGAAGTCGTAGGTGCAGTTCTTGGTCTTTCCCCCGCTACTGATCAGCTTGGAGCAGTTGCCCAGGAACTGCTTCGTCCAGGGCAAGCCGCCCCAGCCACCGGTGCATGCCGGCAGCCCGACCCGAATGCCCATCTCCTGCAGCGGTATAATATTCTTCACCCACACCTGCGCCGCGACGGACGGCTCAATCTCGCTGCCACCGTACTTGTTCGGGCCGTCGGGCTCGTTGAACGACATGACATGAGTGATGTTGATGTTTCTATCTTTGACAAGGCCCTTGACGGTGGAGAGGAAAGAGGTGTCGGAAACGTCGGCCGGGGCGCCCCACAGCATGGGCACGAACTCGAATTCCTCCTGTGTCAGGTTCGAATACGCTGGCGAGGGCGACGCGCCGTAGTTGTAGTACCAGGTCAGGTCCGACGGCTGGCGGGCCCAGATGAAGTTGTCATCGGGCCACTTGGGGTTAGGCGTAAAGACAAGGCCGCGCTTCGACGAGGCCACCGAGTCGGCTGCTGCGGTTGCAGGAGCGAAGAGGGTGGGGAGAAGGGCAGAGGAGAGGATGGCTGACAGCCATGGCCGGTTCGTCCGGAGGCGCATCGTCGCGGTCGAAACGTATTATATAATCGGATGAACGAACGACAGTAAGAATGCTGAAGAGAAGCAGAGAGCTGGCTCGACAAGGGACGTTAAAAGGCGGCAACAGCAGCGATTGTTAGCGACAGCCACGGCATTGAGACCGGTGATCCTCCTCTCTCGTTTTGGAACTCTGATCTACCGAATTATCGTCGTCAACGGCCGGAATTGTAGCAGATGCAGAGACGAAGAGGCAATCATCTCACCAAGAAAAAGAGAACGAAGATGCTGAGCAAAGGTCCACCCCCCCATCCCGGATGAGCTGGAACGAAAGTCGATAATCGGCCATTCGTGTTTTTCGCTTGGCACCTCAGCCGCAGCGCAAGTCCAACGTGGTTTAGTGGCTTGGCAGGGACATGTTGGACTGGAACAAGATTAGCGGTCGATAAAGCCCCTGGTTATGACGACTAGCCTCGCGCACCACGAACCAATCCATGCGCAGTATCAATGCATCAGCCAGCCCCGTTTGCCTATCGCTGCTCCACCACGGTGACGCCAGGGGTTCCGCCCACGTGGTGTGCCTTAAACACATATTCTTTTTCTTCTTTTTTTTAACGTCCTCAGACTCGCAGCCAGTTAATAGACCTTCATTGACCGGCGATGAGATAACTGGCTGCCCTGGAACGCAGCATTACGGTGTCATTGGCAAATAAAAAGAGAGGTAGACGAGGCTGGTGTCCTAGATACAGCGTGCGTTTGGCCGCGTCGTTGGACCAAGTCAAGTTCTAATATTTATTTCGTCTCGAAGACTAGAGAGTCCAGAGCCTTAAGCTCAAGAGGATCCTATTGTCAATCACCTCTTATGATAATGCTTCCAGCAGAAATACTGATCAAGCCAATGGACTAGCTCCGCTGTTTCCACTCAAGCGCTCTGCTTGTATGCTCCTTCCAAATGCAACTCCACAAGCATATCTAGAAGAAAACTATATTCACTCTCATCCTTGTGAGCATAATCCAACCACCCATTGTCTGCAAAATTTCAACAATGCACCAAGATTTATGTGCAGCTTTTCTCATGCAAACGTAGCAAATATCATAGCACTTCCCCTCTTAACTCTAAGCCCTCCCCCTAATGCAGTCTAGCACAGAGGAGACTAAGATCTTAGAAAACTCCAACACATGCGTGGGGAAAATTCAGCAGTAGTTACACCAAATAGTAGTTAGGGAGGAGCCAGGGAGGAGGGACGGCCTTGACAAAAAAAGGGGAAAAAAGGGAAAAACGAAAGGGAAAAAAAATCATCTCTTTCTCCTCTTCAGGCCCTAATCAACCATCTTCTCCGCGTGGTTGCTAAAGCGCCCCCCACTTACTCGTGTTTTAGCTGGGTACTTAATTTGCGACTGGGCCCAGGGACCGAGTATCGACCTTCCTCCCCAGCCGGGTCTGGCTGGGGTTCGAAAGGTCGACCTTTCGGTCCACTCGTCGTGTCTGGGATTTACGGGACCAGATGAGTTGGAGAGAGACCCCTCTACCAACTACACCACGCTGCCCCTACCGGCGGTGGGATGTCTGGTCTGTATTGGGCCTTATATGGGGTGGACGTGGTCAAAGTGAGATGGAGGTGATGGACGGGGCTTCCCGAAGGTGACCCCGGCCTGAACTTTCAGGCCATGGGGAGTCAGGAACAGACTACTAGGTATGCTTGGTATGTTCATCTTGGCGGAGTAGTTTCCGCCTTCAATGAACTCAGCTGCCGCTTTACTCTTCCACGGCTCTGTCGACATGACTCCTGAATCCATTCATGCCTATATTGCAAGGCCAGCAGAACTCGTAGTCAGGGGCTCCATCAACGCGACAAACACCAAAGCTGAGCTTCCTTCAAGTAGCCAGAACAACACACCACAGGAGTATCACAGCTATTTCCCCGCAAATAAATCTGGGTTCCACGGGCCATATCACAGCAGCCGTCTGACAAATCGCCAACGCCTTCTCGGGAATCTTGGGATTACCACCAACTGAGATCATGGCCGTGAACAAACCTCGCCATGTGCAGCAGCCACTGGGCAGCAACCACAGCTCCGCTTACTCATCAAGTGCAGAGCCGGCCAACGGTTGTCTTGAGGCTGTGTCATAAGGTCCATTCCGTAGGTCTCATCCATGCTCAATCCAACATAGGGATCATCTAATGATCTTGAAGAGAGTCTCCCACAAATCAGCCCATAAACCTACGCTCGATGTCGTGCAGTGGCAAGGCAACCCCTGAAGGAAATTGCTGGAAAACCTGGACGAAGGGCACTTTGCTGGGTATCGATCGTCCAGGCATTCCTTTTGTGTGCAGTCTTCACTTTCTCAGACAATGCATTCTCGCCATCTTTCTCATGCTGCAGCAGCAGATTGATGGTCCTCTTGGTTAGTGACGCCCATGGCGAGCAAGGGATCGACCCGGGGATGATATCCGAAGGCGAGACGCAGAGGATAAAACACGATATCTTGGAGACGCGGTTAATATTCACCAGGCAAAGAAAGACGCTACATAATCCTCTCCACCGAGACGACCAACCGGAACCTTCCCATTAGACGCACCATCTGCACGATAAAGCACATGGTTGGCAAATATCAAGTCCGATGCCCGAACTTTGCCGTCAATATCAGCGCTAGGAGTAATGCACGAATTACGCTACAGACATAAGCATCTGCTAGGAGAAGCGAGGAACTTTTCGTAGCGCTTTAGCCGATCTAGCTAAGGCCTAGACCGGATGCTATGGCAGATCATTCAGGTACCGGAGGGGTTTCACGGCAGCTACAGTCGTGCTGGAGACCAATGGTTCGGGTCGGAAATTATCCCACCGATCTTAGATACGGAGGCAATCTATCTCGGACGGGCGAGCGATGCCAGTTTGGCTTTCATAACCGCGGGGTGACATCGCCAAATGGCTGGGTCCGGGCGATCTCCCCTGTCAATAGCCGCCCTCAATTAAAAAGCCACCTGCGCTGTCTTCTGCCGGCGTCCGGTCCGTTTTAGCCACAAATCAAGACTCGTTGCTTCTCCAGTTTCTCCTCACGCAATACAAGCAGATGCAGGGCTTTGCTGAGAAGTGAGGCCACTGAGGTTATATTAACTGAAGCGTAAGGCGGAAAGATCTAAGTATGGGTGGAAGTGAGGGATATAAGTGCTTCCATCAAGCGGGTCCGGAGGTCGAGCCCCGGGCCCGTTCCGGTCCTGCATACCGGCTTCCTGACGGGATGACTTTTACCGTGGTCTTCCATAGTAAAAGGCAGTCCAGAGCACGCCGAGCATCGTTCAATATTACCCTGGGAAACCAGTGGAATTTGCAAACCAAAGAAGGCCGTTCTGCCGGTCCATGTGGTAGCAAAAGCGGGCCCAAATCACTTCCTGGTATTCCCCTGTCTGAGATCCAACATGGAATCAATCTTCCAACCACCAATTCATCTAATTAGCCCCATGGAAGAGAGGGGAAAGGGGATGCTTGGCCAAGAAATGTAAATAAAAGCGCCAGCCGCACCTTGGCTCCCAAGCCGGTGTTTCCCAGCCGCCAGGGATTGCCGACCTGACGCAGAGCAACGGTTCCCAAGCGCATCCGGACCATCTCAAAGCAACAATGCTTTGGCCCTTCCTCCTCCCCCTTCTCGCCCTCGGGGCCGCCGCCGCCGACAATGCGACCAGCAGCTACGACTACATCGTCGTCGGCAGCGGGCCCGGAGGCGGCCCGCTGGCCTGCAACCTGGCGCGGGCGGGCCACTCGGTCCTTCTCCTCGAGGCCGGCGAGGACCACGGCGACGAGGAAGAGGTGGCCCAGCTCGCCAACTTCAACGCCGCCGCCAACGACCCCAACATGCGCTGGGACTTCTTCGTGAAGCACTCGGACGACCCCAACAGGGAGCTCAAGTTCCAGCACATGGTGTGGCGCCGCACCGACGGCTCCTTCTACGTCGGCCAGTACCCACCCGCCTCGGCCACCCAGCTGGGCGTCTGGTACCCTCGCACGGGGACCCTCGGCGGCTGCGCCATGCACAATGCGGGAGTCTGCTTCCTGCCCTACGATGATGACTGGAACCTGATCGTATGTGAAGCCGCCCCGTAGAAAACCATGTCCGGCCGAAAGCTGATTAGTTGATAACCCACAGGTCAACAAGACAGGCGATGATTCCTGGGAGGCGTCGAAGATGCGCAAGTACTTCGAGAAGCTCGAGAACAACACGTATCTCCCGACCGGCACTGAGGGCCACGGCTCCGATGGCTGGGTGCAGATCAGCCAGGGGTACGGAGTGGTGCCGGCCAAGGGGAGTGACGGGTGGGTCCTCGACGAGCAGATTGCCATCGCGACAGGGCAGAATACGTCGAATCTGGCCTCGCTCCTCAAGCGCGACATCAATTCCGCCGACCCCAAGAGGGACGAGTCCACCGGCTTCTTCGCCATGTCCGGCCACGTCGACCCGAACGGCAAGCGGACGGGTCCCAACGTCTACATCAAGGCGACCCTCAACGATCCCGCAAAGTACCCGCTCACCCTGAAGCTCAACAACTTCGTCACGAAGCTGCTCTTCTCGGACGACGCCCAAAACCCGACCGTCGTCGGCGTTGAGGTGGCCGAGGGCGCCAACCTCTATCGCGCCTCCCCGCATTCCACGGCGGGCGCCACGGGCAAGGTCTCGCGGTACTACGCCAACAAGGAGGTCATCGTTTCGGGCGGCACCTTCAACACCCCGCAGCTGCTCAAGCTGAGCGGCATCGGCCCCAAGGCCGAGCTCGAAAAGTACAAGATCAAGGTGGTCAAGGACCTCCCCGGCGTGGGCGAGAACATGGCGGACAACTACGAGGGCGGACTCCTCAGCGTCGCGAAGCGCGACCTCGTCGACATGCCGGGCTACGCCGTGGTGATGATGCGGACACCGACGGCGCCGACGGCGCGGCGGAACATCTTCGCCTTCTGCGGCAGCTTCAGCTTCGAGGGCTTCTGGCCGGGCTACCCGACCGACTACGGCGCAGGCGAGTACGAGTGCGCGCTCGTGCACATGGCGCCCAAGAGCCAGGCCGGCTACGTGCGGCTCCGCAGCGCCGACCCCTTCGACACGCCCGACATCAACTTCAACTTCTTCGCCACGGGCGAGGACGAGGACGTGACCGAGATCCTGGACGCCGTCAAGACGCTGCGCAAGGGGTTCCAGGGAGCGCCCGGCGACATCGGGCCGTGGGCGGAGCGGCACCCGTGCCCGGGCACCGACAGGGCTTGCACCGACGACGAGCAGAAGGCCCTCATCAAGACGCAGGCCTACAGCCACCACGCGACCTCGTCGTGCGCCATCGGCGGCGATGACGACCCCATGGCCGTGCTTGACTCCAACTTCCGCGTCCGCGGGGTGAAGAATCTGAGGGTCGTCGACGCATCTGCTTTCCCCGTCGTGCCGGGTGCCTTCCCGGTGCTTCCCACCATGATGCTGTCGGAGAAGGCGTCGGAGGTTATCCTGGCTGATGCCAAGGCTGGATCCGCCTAGACATCTCCTTCCGGTGATAGAGAGCGTCGCGGGATAGATGTGGTGAGAGGAAAATATCTGTAGATCAGGCAGTAACTGCCCATTGTCAATAAGATCAAGTTATTTGAGCTCAATGTTCGTTGTGTCCAACTGCCTCTCGTAGAGGCGTTCAATCCTCCAACCTCGCCGAGGGACATCGACAGTTGGTAGACCGTGTTATGGCCAGTTGTCAGGCCATGGCGAAGACAGCATGGCTTAGTGCCATCGGGGTTCGTGATCTGCAGTATCCTGGAAGGGTCATCTGCATTATCTTAGTCGTCATTGAGACTGCCTAGAATGTACCCTCATGATGTCCCTTCAACACCTCGCCACTGCAACGTGGCCCCGAGTTCCTATTATAGATAGAGGTGAGGGACGGGTGGGTTGCTCCCGTGTGGTGACCTTGAGAATCCGAGCGACACCTGTCGGGGTCGCGTGCTGCGTGGTCTGACGATTGCCCGTGGCTGGATGCTGGATCCAAAGACCTGAAACAACGCAACACTCGCAGGATGACTGACTGACTTGCCTGAGAAAGTACCCGCCGCCCACTGCCAGCACAACGCACAGCACAACACACAATCCTAAACCAACCCTCTCTGTTTGGCAGCAATGCCGGGCCGACATGCTGGGGCAATACTGGCTGAAAACGGATGTCGGTCAGGTTGGCAGATGACCCACGCAAAGCCAAAGTAAGGCAGCCACCGTTCAAGCCCGGCGGAGAAGCAATTGCAGAGTCCAGCAAGAAAATGCCACGACTGCCCATGACTGGAGATTATTACTACAGAATTCCGTACGCCTCCACTTTGGGAGGCTGCGGTTCATCCGAGTGGCTAGGCCGTTGGCCAATGGTGCGCGACCCAAGTTGCAGTTATGCGGTCTGGAGCGAGGCCCAAACCAGTTGTGGTTGAAAAGGAAGCCACGTAAATCCACAGGCGGAAAACCAAGTATCGAACACACGGACCAGAACCACTTTTTCTGCCTGGCGGCTTCCCCTTTTTGCTCCGCAGCCAACGACCTGCCCGCGCCGCCCCGCCCGTACCCGCCGGCCGGGCTGCAACGTCGAACAAACTTGGGCCAGCGGTATGGCTCCAACTCGCGACTCGCCCTGTTGGATGCCAGATCTTGGCGCAGATGCACGACCGATGAGCGATCTGGCGGGTCCCGACCGCTGGGATTTCCCCTGGGACGGACACGCAGCCACCCCCGCCGCTCCCTTGTGATCCGCTTCGCCGTGAGTCATCTCTCTTCTGCGCCTGAATGCCCTCCTGTTTCTTCGTGTTTCCTTGTTTCTATTTCAGCCCGAGAAGTGGACTGGAATAAAAATGCCTTGTTTGCAGTTCCTTTTCCGCCCCCATCTCCCCATTTGCATCATCCAAGCTCACCATCGGCACATCATCAGCAACTGTTTTATTTCTGCTTGTCTGATTTTGTGCCTAATTATTTCTGATAATTATATCTTATCTATTTTCATCCCCTTTTTTCTCGGAAGACACTTCATCTCTTTTCCTCCCTTGATATTGTCTTCTACCTGATCGCCAACGCGGGAACACACCCGGAACCCCTCCCCGCCCCCCCTCCTCGATATGCCCATTGAATTGGCCCCTGAACCCATACCGTTCAAGTCCACCATGGGAGCACCGGATCACGAACCCGCCGCCCAGATGGTGGACAATGTGGTCCGGGCCATCCAGAACCTCACCACCGATGCCAACTACAAGATCGTCTCCGAGGTCTTCAACGAGGTCATCTTCCTCAAAGACCGGAACAACAAGCTGTCCGTGGCACAGCGGGAGACCTTCGAAGAGTACCGGCACTTCCGCAACGAGCTCGAGGAGAGAGTAGATGCGAAGGACAAGGAGATCAACCAGCTCAACGACGCAAAGGCCGTGCTCACCGCCGAGAAGACCTCGCTCGAATCGCAGGTGGAACAGAAGGAGAAGGAGATAACAGATCTCACCGACACCAAGACCCGGCTAGAGGGCGAGAAGACTGCCCTCGAGTCCACAGTCGAGACGAAGAACAAAGAGGTCGCGGATCTCACTGAGGCGAAAACCCAGCTGACAGACGAGAAAGCCGCTCTCCAGTCGACACTGGAGGAGAAGGCCAAGGAGATCCAAGAACTCACTGAAACCAAGGCCCGGTTGGAGGGCGAGAAGTCTGACCTCGAATCAACCGTCGAGGCCAAGGACAAGGAAATCGGCGAGCTCAATGCCGCCAAGACCCAGCTCGCCGACGAGAAGGCCTCTCTCGAGTCGCAGTTGCAGGAGAAGACCAAGGAACTAGCCGAGCTCACCGATGCCAAGACGAAACTCGAAGAGGAGAAGGCGGCGCTCGATACCAAGCTGGAGGAGAAGGAGAAGGAGCTGACAGAACTCGTCGACGCCAAGTCAAAACTAGAGACGGAAGTCGCTGAGCTCAAGGAGGCCAAGTCGAAGCTCGAGAAGGACCTCGAGGAAGCCAACAAGAAACTGGAAGATCAGCGCAAGGAGGCAGAGGATGCAGCCGCAGCCGCGGCGAAAGAGATCTCGTCGCTTCAGGAGAAGATAGCAGAGAAAGATGCCGAGCTCAAAGGCGTGAGGGAGGAGTTGAGCTCACTCCAAGGAGAACTAAAGGAGATGACAGAGAAGGCCGAAGGAGAGACGAGCCGGGCCAACACCCTACAGGGAGAGTTGGACACTGTCACCGCCAAGGCAAATGATGCGACCGCGCGGGTTGAGTTCCTCGAACTGGAGCTCAAGGTCGTCACCGGGAAGGCCGAAGAGGCAAACGCCACCGTCGACAGGCTGCAGTCGGAGCTGCGCGAAAAGATAGAGAGGCTGACGGAGCTCGAGGGTTATCGGGTGGCCCTGAAGAGCGAATCCGAGGACGCATAGTAAGTACCTCCTGGCCCCCAACCCCCACCACACACACATATATATATATCGTTATGGGACTTTGACTAACCAAGCCATCTTCCACAGCGTCGAGATCCTCGACAGAATCTGGACCCACATCGCCGGTCTCGTGGAGACCCAATTCCGGCAGGACCTCGACCCGGGCGTTCTAGCCGACGCCTCCTGCTGGGCCAAGCTCCGCGCCTGCGAGCACCTCAAGCACCCACGCCAGATGCCGCTGCCGCAGTCCAACACGTCGGCGGCCAAGCAGATGCGCGTAGCGGCCGTACTAGCGGTCCTCTCGCGCTCGCTCCACCGGCACGTCTTCCGGCCCGTCTACCTCATCGACGACGAGGACGGCGGGGCCGCCACGCCGACGGGCCACGGCGCCCACGGCTCGCACGGCGTGCACGGGCACGGCGCCCACGGCGCGGCGGGCGGGCACCGCGACAGCCTCGCGCGGCTGCTGCAGGTGCTCGACGCCGACAGCCCGGCGCGCGAGGCGCACTTCCGGGCGACGCTGCTGGCGGCGCTGCCGGAGCGGCAGCGGGCGAGCGCGGCGCGGCGGGCGCGCACCGTCGCCCGCGAGGTGTCGTGGCTGGTGCAGGAGCTGCTGGGCGCCGCGCAGTACGATTCGTTTTGCGGCCGGCTCGAGGCCGCCTGCACGCTGGCCTGCGCCCAGTGGATGCGCATCCAGCGGTCGAGCGTGCGCATCGAGGCCTACTTCGGCCCGCCGTACGACCACTACGACTGGCAGGTGCTGCCGCTGCCGCAGTTCGACGGCGACGGCGGGAGGGACGGCGGGCGGGAGGTGGTGGTGCGTCACGACGGGGATGGCGAGGGCGCGCTGCTCGACGACAATGATGACGTCGTCGTCGAGGTTGGCAGGCCCGCTGCTGACGAGGACGAGCCGAGGCCGCGGCCCAGGCGGAGGGTGCGGACGACGACGGAGGACAACGGGACGGCGGTGGAGGTGGTCGACGACGACGACGACGAGGAAGGGCCCGAGCTGGGCCCCGAGGACATCATGCTCGTGGTGTGGCCCAGCATGTGCGCCGTCGAGGGCGGCCAGCTCGAGTCGATCACGCAGGGGCTCGTCATCTCCAAGGACCAGGTGCGGGCCGCGCAGGAGGAGCTGCGCGGCCGCGGCCGCAACAAGCCGTCCACCAAGCGGGCGCGCACGCTGTCCATGCCCGGCCGCGGCGTCAGCGGCTCCGTCGGGAAGTCTTTTTTAGCTGCAGGCGATGGCGGCGCGTCAAACAATGGATAGGGAGGCGCGTCGGCCGCGGCGCGGACTGAGGATGGGTCCTCGTGCGGTCTGTTGTTGCCTGCGGGCTGGAGGAGGTTGCGGAAGAGGGCGGGGAGGGGGAGGATTCGGGCTGGAGGTGGAGGTGGTGGCGGTGGAAGAGGCGGAGGAGAAGAGGTGGACTCGCAGAGGTGCCTGAGGGCGTTTGTGAGGTTGGCCAGGAGGCGCTGCCGTGACTTGGGGTTTGCTTTTTGGGAGTACATCCGGGGCATTTTCTGGGCTTGGATGCATTGGATTCCGGGGGCGTCGGTTCTTTCCAGATTGTCATCTTGTCTTGTGGAATAACGTTCGTTTGGCCCTTCTTTCTTTTGTACTTTTTTCTTTGTCTTTTTCCTTCGGCATCGGGCTTTAATCACGGCAGCTGCATGGGTGGTTTTGGCATGGGCATGGGCATGGGTTCTTATTTTCCTTTCTGTTCCTTGTATCAGATATTCGGGGTCGTTGACAATATAATTCATCGGCATTTTCGCTCGCTTTTTGCTTGCAACATCTTGCAGTAGTCTGTCGTGTTGGTGTTTCTATCAAGCCTTGAGAAGGGTAAGAGGCCATCGTACCGTGTAGCCCCCGAGGCCTGAGGCCCGTCTAAGGAGGTTGCTGGGAGCGGATAGGGTCTTGACTACTCCCTTCCTCGACCAGCCGTCGAGTCGGGATCCATGGAGCCTCTATTGGATGACTAGGTGAGCAGAGCAGAGCCCAAGTGTTGTAGGGGCTTGCTTACAAGTGTAGAGTGGAGGGACGTCTTCGAGAGAGTGACGGGAGGCGCATCCGGGGCCGATGACCGCTTTGCTCGGACGAAGGGTGGCGCATGGAATCCGGGTTGACGCTGTGCAAGGAGTGAGTGTCAAAGCAGTGAGAGATTGGGGAAGACTTGATACCTCGTTTCCATACATCAACTGTAAGCGTATGATTTGCCGTTCAATCGTTTCTTACACGTACCCCTCCACCAGGCAGGCTCTCAAGACTGCAAGCTGTTGACTGGTACGGTCGGGGGTGTGGGTCTAGTAAATGATCGAGTATGATTCATAGTGGGTCATTCCGTGTGCATTGTGAGGCACAATGATGATTGGTGCTCGAGGTAGGATAAAACGGATGAGAAGCCATGGAGTAGCATAGTGTTGATGTAGATAAACTGAAGAGCAACGGATTCAACTCGAGGTGAGTCGTCAAGCCATCACCATGGATCAAAATCACACAAGACAGCGGAACCCCTACATGATAGACAAACCATACGTTCCCTATCCTGAGAGACACGAGTTGTCCCACATGAACGAATACGAAGTCTGTTTGAAGAGCTGACATCGTCTGATAAAACAAGATACCCCAACCTGCTGACACCTCCGCCCATTGCACACACAAAGCCACGCCCCCAAGCGAGGAACTTGCTAACACGCTGCCCGCATCCGCGCGAAGAACTAGGAACCACTAGGCCTCATACGCAACACCTCCCTCAGAGCAGCCGTCTCGGCCTCCTGCCGCGCCAGCTTGAGGCGCAGCTCGTCGCGCTCGCGGGTGAGCTGGTCGACGGCGCCCTCGAGCTCGCTGATGCGGTCGACGCGCTTCTGCCGGTACCGCCGGGCGGCCATGGTGTTGCGCTGCCGCTTCAGCGCCGACGACGGGTCGCCGGACGGCTCCTGGGTGGGGCGGGGGTGAGAGGGGGCGAGGGGGTGGGGGGAAGAAGTGACAGTGGTACATGACTGGGGGAAAGGGGTTGGTGAGAGAGTGACTGGGGGGTAGGCCCCGGGGTCGAACCCGAGTCCAGATCCCGCCAAGGTGTGGAAATCAGTTGCAGGGTTGGAAGATGAATCTGAGACGGAACGGTCAGTGGATTATAACAACAGAAACATCAAGAGTCGATGAGGGGGCCTCACAATCAAACTGGTTGAATCGGAACGAATGAAAGCCAGTGACGTTGTTGTCCGTCACCGGGAATTGCACAATCTCGCCTTGGGCCGCCGTGTTGCCATGACTTTCATCGGCACTAATGATCTGTGCCCAGATGTCTTCGGCGGAGAGAGCGCCGATTGTGCACAGGTCGGGCTCTCCCCCCGGGGGAAAGTCATCAGGTAGGTCCGCCTCGTTGAGACGGCCTGAAGAAGCAGACGCCGGCCTGGCGGGCTGCAGCTGCGCTGGAGGTGGCGGTGTCGCACATCTTTGCAGGTTTTAAAGCGGCCTCAATTACAGAGGCCGGGAGCCGATCAATTCAGATTTGAAAGGTAAAGCTTGTTGTCCTCTTTTTGAGGAGATGGGAATGAGGGGGAATTGGTGGAGAGGTGGAAATTTTTGGAAATCAAGGGAGGTGTCCGTTCAAAACCCCACCTGATCCCATCCCGTCCCTGGGCCCCCCTTCTCGGCAAGCCGGTTTAAGATATTCCGTTATCCAGTAATAATGGATCCAGGTCTTTATGGGTCCATGCGTTTTGCCCCTTTCTATGTCATGTCATTGGCCAGTATCCCTCCCCGATATATATGCGTTAAACAGGGCATATGTCCTTCCTCCCCAGCCTCAACTGACTCGACGTTTCATGGCCAAAATAGTAGAAATGATACAAATGACGACCCGATCCCGAGGCATGGAGGCAGACCATGGCAAAGGGCCCCAATCGCAACAACGATCATCTCCGTGCCGGCTCTGCGTTGGAATACAGTCAAAGTTAAACACGGTTCGTTCTTCCTTCTATCATTTTCTCCTCTGCACATAAGTGGGCCACTGATCGTTTCCTTTGTTGTCTGTATTGTTGTTTACATCGCGCTGCAAACGGCCTTTTCTTTGTCGGCCGGACAGCGGGCCCGGAAACCGACACCTGCACGGAGCTAAGGGTCGGGGACCCACACAAAGCGGCAACTACGGAGGAGTGGGTCGCGGAGGAGAAGCGACCGGTTCGGAGGAGCTACCCGGCTAGTGGTGAGACTAGCATAGTACTGAAGCACCTGAGAAGACCGCGATTCAACGCGGATCTGGAAGTGAAGTGTGGAGGTTTTCGTCCGACCGCGCAAGCGGCACGGTTTCTGGTACAGTTACAGAGCAGTAGAATTAATGCATACCCTCAAAGGGTGAGTCGGAGTAACAACAATAATAATAATGATAATGATAATAATTTTCTCCTCCGCGTCGGAATATTACCGAGGCAACCAGCCATCACGTGCTCAAAGAGTGTTGATTGCTCTCTACAGCGACGACGAAGATTATCTACACATTGTATTAACGGCATGAAGCGGAATGGCATGCTCGAGCAAGTAGGGTTGAGGTGGAGTCGTGGGTTCAAATGAAGCCGTAGCGTCGCCGTTGTCAAGACAGCCCATCATCATTTGTGCGCAGCTTGACACCTCGGTGTTGTCACTCGCAGCCAGTGTCACGTCCAAGGGTAGATGGCGATTTAGAATCTCAGGGACAGCGAAGTAGCAGGGCTTATGGTGATTACCTAACCTACCTAGGTATGACAGGACTGCGGTCCCGGAGAAGAACACAATATCTAGGAGAATACCGTACTTGATGTGAAGTTGATATGAGTCATGTTTTTGCTTAGAAATATCGTAGAACTGCTCACCGCCGACCTGGAGATGACCATTGCAATGCGGTGATGGAGGGGTCAGCTTGATATTCTTTCTCAATGTCAGTCCCCTGGGTGTGTCGTCTCTGGGAAAGGCTGGTGTGTGGGGCGGTGATTCACCAACGCTGAAGTGAATGTAAGGAGAACCTCACTTTGGTCCACCCTATATATACCCCAATACCAAAGCAGATTCATAACCGTACTGCGATGACGCCTCTTTGTTCCAAGAGTGTCACTTGGCCGAGCAGAATGGACCCCCGGAGTAAAACTCGCTACGACGGTAGTGGGGTTTTCGTACCCGATGACCTGAGTTCAACTTTCAACAAGTTGAACTCGGCTCATCGGCAAGCTTTTTGCTGGATTACCACCCCTGATCTTTTATTTTTCTTACTCTTTACATTTTTCTGCATTTTTCTACATTTTCCCCGCTGGCTCAGTCATTTTTCCTGGCCTTGACTTTGTGCTTAATTTTGCGCGTTCTGTTATGTCAAATTGAACAGTGTGTTGCCGCCCATCACGGTGCAGATAAATGGCTGGAGTGGGTGGCAGATTGCACGTGCCTTACCTGGTGGCGAGGAGTCCAGGGATAGGTAGGTAGACCGTAAACTATACCTCACCGCATGACATTGGGATCTTTCGTCTCTACACCCGCAGGGCAAGACCAGAGCTTTAGGGTCCTCGAATACCGCCATCGTCGCTGGAACATGGGATGGCCAAAGACATGCCACACAGCTACTTGGCCCGCATTCGACGGGGTATAAAATGGCGCAAAGGCGAATCTCCTCCGGTCCCTCACGACGATCGGCATATTGAAATCCTTACATTATTATGGCACAGCGTACATATTGCAGCGTGCAAGGAACTTATCATCGCTAACAGTCTTGGTATTTGCGACTGGTATTTGGATGACGTTCAAATTGAGCGGCAAACCTTGGTCACAGTACCTGACATCCGTAACCTTACTCGAATAGGCACGGTCCGACCCGCCGGAGACATCCTGTCTCCCTTCGGACGGAGATCTCGCCATCGTCATCTGAATCAAAGGGCTAAATAGGCATCTCAAGCTGCGGCGGAGCAACTATCTGACCATGACGCCCACACAAGAAAATTTCGCATGTCACTTTCAGACAGGTCCCTCTCGCGATATTGTTGGTCGTAATCCCTCCCGACTGCCCCTCCGGTTGGATCTGGGGTTTCTGACACTGGGTTGCGAGACACGACGGTCATTTTCGCGGCTTCTTGGCTCTATTCTCCTTGCCTACGCAAGTCCAACGGCTCTTGAATATGCAATGCCGGGGCTTACCTTGGTAATATGCGTGGGCTTCGACGTTGAGGTTTGCATCTTTGATCACCCATTGCTTTGCGGAGGTTGAAGGTGTCGTCACGTGCTCGATTGGGGTTCCACGGTTAGGGAGCCTACCCCACGTGACTTCCATGGAAACAACTCCCAAATACAAGAATAGCACAGATCTGCCAGAACCCTGATCAGTGGCTATTTTTGGGCTATTTTTGCTGCCACGGGGGAAAACTCGAGGGCGAAACACTGGGGGCGAAACAAAGTTTGGGAACGTTGGAAACAAAGTTGCCGTGTTACTGGCTGTGGCCGTGGATGGTCCAGGCGCATGTTTCAAGATGCCATGGTCGGGAGCTTGGAGGTTTCATGGCACACGGACACTCTGGATGCAGCTCGATGATCAGTTGTTGTTGATAAGGCATCGACATCCCCAGAAATTCCCAGCTCGTGGTCGATGGGAATCCGTGGTTGTTGCCGAATCTCCAAATGCCATCCTCGAGACGTTAACATCCAAACGTCTTCGAGATGCGTCGTCCCACAACGCCCATCCTAATACTTCTCATTTCGGCCATCTCATGGTCCCGCGCCGAGGAACTCAAAGCAAAGCACGTCCCCGCAGCGTGCGCGACCATCTGCAACCCGGTCGTCCTCCTCAGCAACGCCTGCGAAGTTCACCTCGACGAGGGCCTGCTCCGGGCCAGGCAGCCAGGCCCGTCTTCAAGGCGGCGACATGAACCCCGCCTCCGCGGACGGGACGACTCGCCCGAGGACAGGGCTGAGCGGTTCTGCATGTGCCGGAACACGAGCTTCGACGTCGAGGGCGTGACGGGGCTATGCGCGAGCTGCCTCCAGCAGAACGGGGACGAGGATGCAGGTAAGGGGTCACATTCCCGTGGAAACGCAAATCTACGTGGGTGGCTAGCTAACATGTGGCTCCGCAGTGGAAGACATCAACGAGATCATGTCCGAATGCGCATTCTCGTCGACGTCGTACGCACCGGCGGCTGCCACCGCTGCGACGGGCCTCACCATTGTGGCTATGATTCCTACGCTCGCCGCGAAGCCGACAGCCCTGGCTTCTTCGTCCACGGGGGGCGGTCAGGGTGCTAATGGCGGTGGGTTGGGCTCCAGTGCCAATAGCTGGGGAGCCAAGGGGATAAAAGTTGGCGAATCGAGGAGTTTCTTGTACATATTAGTAGCTTCTGCATTAGCGATGGCGTTATCATGATCAAAACATTAAGGAATATCATTATTATTTGGCTATTGGGGATGTACTTTGGTGCCTGTGGATGTGCCTGCGGATGTGCCTGCGGATGTGCCTGCGGATCATCTGGTCCCTGTATTGGTTGGTTGTGGGACCACTCATATCGCATTGCCGAATATGATCACACCTGCAACCACCTCTCAGATCAGCAATTGGTTAGGCAGGCATACAAACCTGCGGAGCTTCTAGTTAACAATCGCCCTATTAGCTACCACATCTCACAATCCAAGGCCAACATGGCTCAATGGCTGGATCCACAGAGACAATGATCCGAGAAGGCTTGCAATACCAATCCGTCGCCATCATCTCCGACATCAAGAGCCTGGGCGCGAGTGCAATTTGTCTAACATAGATTAGGCGATCGGCTGGGTATGTTGACCGCTGGTTGAGGCCAGGCGAGTTTGTCGCATCTTGAGGGGTCGTCGGATGATAGGTCTTCTTGGGGACGCGAATGCTGGACACGAGTGGTGTTGTATCTGCATCCCTGGTGGGCCTAAGGGTATCGCGAGGCTCCCAGCCATAACCTCGCGATGCTCCAGGCTGGGTGGACTGGAGATTGTACTTCGCAAACCAGGTCTCAGGGACAGGCCGCAGGTGGTTCGAACTGCGGCACTGCAAGCTGCAGGGCGGTTATCGAGGGAGATTGAGGCCTGCGCAAGGCCCTGCAGCAGCCAATCAAAGGCGGCAGGACCATGTCAAGGCGCAGGGGTTCGACCTTGAGGCCCACTTCGAAAGGTGGGGTTGAAAGGGGCTTTGCTTGAGGTGGAGAAGGAAGCCCTTGTCTCAGAAATGGCTGAGCACCTAATGTTCTAGTGTACTGCTCCAAGGCAATTTCGCTGGTACATCTAAACAGTTGACCGGCCATATCCTCCCGTAATTTTTGAGTGATGTTTAGCTTCAGCTCTTCGATCCAACGAGGCGAGGTAAATTGTCGAAATATTTTCGATTGTCCATTCTTATCGAGGGGGATGAAGGTGGCAGCGGTACCTTGGTACGGGCTGCCCCCAGAGTGGGTCACTGCCCGTCTCAGGACCTGGTCCCTGCTTCGGATCCAAGCGAGGGTCCAATGGCAGCCATGCGTCGATGGTGCAACAGCCTCCGCCTCAGATCCTGGTCTGGCTCGACCTCCTTTGCTAACTCTCCTGCAACGTCCTCTAACCTCGCATGTAGCATCGACTGACGATCCGACAGCACCGTGGCCCTTGGCTGGTCCTTGAAAATTGAGTTCGAGCCACAACACAACCACCGTGTCAGACCCCTTCTCTGGCCATGGACACCCTTGCTGTTCTCCATTCTGCGACTCTGCCCAGAGCTAGGAATGGCCTTCCCCCATTGGCCCCTTACTGGTGGCATGGATAAGTGCGCTGTGGACAACTGCGATGAGAATACTGCCTGTGAGTGCGATCCTGGTTCTTTTCACACGAATCTCCCGTGCCATACGTCGCGGGCTGCTCCTCAGACTGCACAATCAGGCCACTTCCTCTCGACCTGTCAGAGACGTGGGATCGATCTGCTTCACACTGAACATATTCTTCCCCACATGCTATTTCGCGTTTCGTCTGTGGCTTGTTTAATCGCCTGCTTTTGTTCTTCCGACCCGGCCGTCGCCTTTGCCACGCCGTTCCTTCACTCCATCCATTCCTAATACATTCGCTTCTAGTCCTCACTGCTGCCGAGAAATTGACCACGACCTTCCTCCCTTTCGACGGGCAGGTCCCTTCTCTCCTCCCAGCACGCGCGACGCCTGTGTGACCGACTACTGCCGCCCCAGGCTCTCTCAGAAGGTGGAATAGCAAGCCGGTTTGCTTGGCGGCTTCGACGCTCTTTAATCAGCCTTCGATTCGACTCCCGCCGGACGGACCATTCATACTGTTGAGCAACATATCGGCCTCGCTGCTTGGGCAACCTGTTTCTTTATTCTGGCGCAAAGAGGAGGAATATTACCAGAAAGATGTTTCTGCAGACAGCACTTGCTGCCGCGCTCCTGGCGGCTGGGGCGCAAGCAAGCCTTGGTTCGCTGATAGTAGAGGGGATGTCACGCAACAGCCCGTCGTACGAGCGTCGAATGGAGGAGATAGCGAAGGCGAATTTGAGAGCACGGGCTATCGTCGCCCCCAGGCAATCCGTCGATCTCGGGACGAGCAGCAATGTCGTCTTCAACCCAGATGGCAGCATCAACATGACGGCGTGGGACGAACAGGCGACGGCGGCATGCAATACCGCACTCTCTGCCCTCCAATTGGCGTCAAATCCCTCCGGAACCAGCGTATGCTACAATCTTCCCCTCCTCAACAACGTGACGGGGACATTCCAGGCCGACCTGCGACTCTTCCGGTTGACCGCACCGACGGGGGCATTCGCGGGCATCGCCCCGCAGAACATTCAAGTGGGCTTGACCTATCGGGGGGCGTCGGTATCCGCAGTAGACGCCACGACGGCCGCCAAAAATGGGGTTGTTGCTGCAGTAGGCCGGAGGCAGGCAGCCGTCGCCGCCGCCGGTGACAGCGCAGCGACTACCCCGAATACTCCGAGTCTCCAACACCTCCAGACCTATTTGTTTATTGGACAGATCGACCAGGATCAGATGAAGAAGCCATTGACAATGTAAGCCCTCGAGTTTCTGGCAGACTGGTATGCAGTGAATTGAACTAATGTCATCTCTCAAACAGGGGCCAGCTCGAAGCACTCGTCATGCCCATCGTGACGCTCAGCGGCGTCAATGCCAACGGCGAGACAGTGCGGACCAACGTCTCCTCCAACGAGGCTGCATTCGTGACCGGCGTCTTCTCGCAGAGCATCATTATGAGCGACTTTAACCTCGCGAACCTCGCCGTGATGCGAGAGGTCGAGAGCTTGAAGAACGGAACCACGGCCTTCGTGCTCCCCGGCGTCCGGGTCCTCGTCCTCCCCGTCGGGCTGTTCATCACGTCGCTATGGCTGGCTGTCGCCCTCGCGGCCTATGGAATGGGCACCTACGACCGGATCAACTACCGTGAGCAATTCAGGCGGAGGGCGGCTCGTGCGACTAAGGGGACCGCGGGACGGATATGAGTGACGGTCTCTGGGTTCCCTGAGCTGAGCTATGCATGACTGGTGTATTCTCGCGTGCATCTGTTCTATTATTTTCTTGTTAGCCTTTCTTCTCCTCGTCGCTTCGGCGACGGCGTCCTGGCACATCTCCACTGGCTGCAGCGGCTGCTCCCCGGATGGATCTCTTTTTAGTTCCATAATCTCCCGGCTGCAAACAACCGCAGAGATTTGTCGCATTCGTATATACACCTCTGCCACGACTCGAGTCGTGCCGTTAGATATAGAACAGAGCCAAAGCAGTTTACAACTACATGATTGAGTCATGACCGGTGGCTTGCGCCTGCCAGACGTGGGAAAAGGGGAAAAGGCGCTTGTGAGTTCCCTAGCAACAACTCTCGACTCGATATCATCGACGTCAACACCAGGGACATCAACACAATCCTCACTCTGTCCTTGCCCCTTACTTTGATGGTCACGTGACACCTGGGAGTAACTAGGTGCCTCAGGCTGTTAGCAGCTACTTGGCGCGAGATATGAAACGCGGTACAGGCTGTATCAGATTTTTCTGGGTAATTCTTGCAAGATTTATGCACCCAGGCCAAGCGACTCCTCATCGCAAGCAAAGGTATGCCGTGGTGGCGAGCGAGCTGCCTCGGGATTTCTGCATGCCTGAAGGGCTGCTTGCCGATTCCTGCGCCTGGCTGATCCTTCCCAGCTTCTGCTGCTGTGACAACGCTCCCATTTCCGCCGTTGGAATTGCCATGTACTTGTCTTGCAAGTACTGACCGTGTATCATCGGCCTACCGAAAGGAAATCCGGGCAGGGCAAGAAATACAAGTGAGTCGAGGCCAATGACGACGGTTGCCAATGCCGCACAGCCATGGGTGTTCTTCTTGTGCTGGCGTTTCCGACCTCCAATCGGCTGTCTCGGCGGGTCAATCATGGCCGATCCTCTGCTTCGATGCATCTGCTAGAACGTGAGTCGACGTCTGGCACCCTAGACCGCATTGAAGTAGATGCCCACTCCAGGCCCATCGGCCGCGTATGATGTCGCCGATTCGCGGTGCCGACCAAGCCGTGGAGGAAGTACTTTTGTTTCGTTGCTCTTGTCCTTCAGCCTGTTTTCTTTGCCACCATCCTGCACACTCCTCTTCCCCTCGTCTATGCCGCTGTTCTCCTCGTGCTTGTCTTGAATTCCCGGTGTCCCGTTGAGTTCCTCATACGACGGGGGCCTTAAAGCTCCTCTCGTTAAGTTCGCTCTTTCACTTTTCCTGGAAACTCGACTGAGCTAGCTGCGCGTTTCACTACTCTGGCAAGGCTAGGAAACGAAGAGCTCGCATGCCTCGGTCTTGGATCGCGATAAGCATCCGACCATAGGTTTCCCTTCATCTCTCCGTAATTTCAAGCACTGCCTGGGAGGACTACGTCCTCTTGCACTTTCTTCTTCACGCTGCGTCTAATCTCGGTCCCGCCACCTCACATTACGGTCCTGTTTTTGTTTTCCTCCTATACAATGCCTCACGACTATCCGGCCACCGCCGGGCTCTCCGGTGTCACGATGGACGTCTCCGCCCTCGTCTCGCAGATGAACGAGACGCTGTCCACCATCCACAGCACCATCGCCTCGCTCAAGACCACGGGCCACGACTCGCGGCTCGACGACCTTGAGCGGCAGCGCGACCTTGCCATCTCGTCCCTGCATAAGGCCTTCGACCAGGAGGACACAGTGCTCTCGCAGAGGCGCCAGGCCGAGCGGGACGAGATAGCTCAGCGCAGGAGGAGGGAGGATGAGGAGCTCGAGCGGAGGCGGCGGCTGGAGGACGAGGAGCTGGCCGAGAAGCAGATAAGGGAGGACGATGAACGGCGGGCGAGGCTGGAAGGCAAGGCGCGGGGTGTGGAAGAGGAAACTGACGAGCAGATGGGTGTTGTTGAGGAGGAGGCCCAGAGGATGCTGGACGAGGGGAGGGACAAGTTGCGGCTGCTGGAGGAGAAGCGACAGGTGAGCTTACCCGTGACAGCCCGTACTTGGCTACGGCTTCCTACAGGCATTGCTTTGCTGACATCTACCCCCCATGATAGGAGCTCAATCGTCTCATTGACGAGCAGCTCAAGATTGCTCTTCCGGCTGCCCCGAAGCGGAGGAGGAGCATGCGCGCCAGCGCGCACACGCCGCCCCCTGTGGCCGCAGAAAGTAAGCCACCGGCGCCTGCTCTGGCTGACGAACATGTCGGTAACAACCTTGCTGTCAAGGCCCCTGAAGAGAATGGCAACCCGGATGGCAAAGTGCCAAGGCTTGAGAAGCGGCTGGCACTGGCGGAGTGGCTCCGGCGAAACGAAGCTACCCGGAAGGACCAAGAAAAGGGACGTCCACATCTTGAGGACGCCCGGAACCATAGTCCAGTTCGTGGTGGATCAACGTCGGTGTTGACTACGGAAGAGGATGGTCAATCTACAGGATCGCTTCCGGTTTTGGAAGAGATGCCAGAGTCAGAATCTTCCCAAGACCCCAAACCGGAGCATGCCGACCTCTCGCACAGGGCTGAGACCCCTCTTTCCAAAGACCAGACACCCGAACCCAAGTCCCTCTTTGGGTCTTGGGGGAAGACGATGCGCAGTCTTGTCAGCAGCCAGCCGAGCTCTAGCAGAACTGCCCTCCCGGATGGCCAAGGACACCCGCCAGGCGTCCCGGATCTGGACCACGACCGGAGCGTATCAGCTCCTGGTAGCTACCCTACGGAGGAAGAACCCACCGTCACTGGACCCATCCCCGAATTGCAGACTAGCCCGGAGGTTTCGCCTGCCGAGACATTGGGTGAGAAGGCAATTGAGCAAGGACGCGCAGACGTCGATATCGAGATGGACGCATCTGAGATTGGGAATGGCAACGACATCGCGGGCCAAGCTGTTGATGCGACACTGGCTACAGGTGATCAAGAGGCTTTTGTCGAGGATGGGGATCTCCCAGTCAAAGACGACCATCACGTCACGCCTGTTACTGAAAAGCATGAAGAAGTCGAAGAAGCGATCTGCTCCGCCGATGAAACGCTTAGCGAGAAGTCTACCATCAGCGAGGAGACAGCCCGCCAGGAAAGGCTGTTTGGTATGTCGGGGAACGAGGCCATACCGGGCACCATGACACACGGCTCCGCTGATTCGGGGAGCGATATCGTCGAGCCCATTCCGGGGACCATGACCCATAGGAATGACTTCCCTACCTTGGCACAGGAGATACCTTCTAGGGCCACAGACCATGCAGATCCGAGATATTGTTCGGCTGATGGTCACTCCAACGAGGCATTTGCTCCAGCTCGAGAGACGGTCGATGTCCAGGAACTGGTGGGGTCGCCTACGACTCATTCTTTGAGCCACGGAGTGTCAATTGAGGACCTCCCCGGTTCGCTTGCATGCGAGACACTTGATTCTATGGCTGAAGCCTCGCCCAGATTCCCCGAGAAGGTTGAACATATGTTTGCTGAGCCTTCTGAGCCCGCTGGCCATCTTATAAGTGCCATGGAGTCTGACGGTCAACCTACCACTAATGACAACAAGATGGAAGTCCTGCAGCCAGAGGATCTGTCCCCTGCCGAAATACTCATTGAAGAGACGAGTGAAGTAGCCGAGGCCACTTCATCAGAACCCTCTTCACCGGTCGAGCATACTCTCTACGCCCAGGATTCCCCAAGCGAAGACACTCTGTCTGGCTTGGAACCGGAGAGCTTGCATCCAGACATGGTCCGAGAAGTGCCTGATCTAGCGCCCGAGACACAGCTAGCAGACGAAACAGGCGGCGGGCTTGTGGACCAAAGTGCCCTTGTCATAGATGGGGACCACAGTGAAGAAGAAATCGAACATGGGTCTGAGCCATATCAACCTGATGAGGTGGACCAGGACGGCCCTACAGATCAGGCCCATGAAGAAATCGAGCTGGTAATACACCAGCGCCCCGACGACCCGGCTGAACAGATGCCGCAGCCGGAGCCGGAGCCGCAGGAGAGTTACCAGTCGAGTTGCGATGAATCATCCGTCTCGTCTGCTTCGGATGGTGCCGAGACATACTCAGACCTAGACACCACGGTAGAGCTATTGCCGCTTCCGAGCACACAGGTTGCGTCAGCTGAACATCACGAGCCCGCCAAAGCGACTTCGGAGCCCGAGGCCGAAGCCGAGCCGGAACCTGAGCCCGCGGCCGATCCCAAGGCCGGCCATGAGGAGGATGACCCCGAACCCAAGCCTACTGACTCGACCGCCTGTATCGGCAATCCAGCCAGTGACAGCGACGGGGAGGTGCCAAGGGCGGAAGCCTGCGATGAAGCCGAGCCAGGGTCTCGACAAGTCGGCAGCCAGGATATCGTCGATCGTGTCGTGGAAGAGCCCGAACTTGGCGTCGCAGGTGTTGGCGAAGAGGAGGTCCCCCTCGAAGACGTGCAGCATGTTCGAGCTGACCAGACGCCTGGGTCATTGCAGGCTGGGGAAGTTGAGGGGAGACTGGATCATGCCCCAGAGAGCGTGCCTTACTCCCCAGAGGCCATGCATTACTCAGCCAGTGAAGAGATTGGTTATCATGGCGACGGGGTTGTGGAAAACCAACCTAATGTTGCGCCGTCGGGTGATGAACATGAGCCTCCGGAAGAGGTAGACATGGATGGCGTGAGCGTTTCGGATCATCCCCCTATTGAAGACAATGGGTGTGATGTGGTCGGGGGCGGCGAATGGATCGAAACTAGCCAACACTTTGAGCCGCCTGGAAACCAGGGCGATGATCCATCCCACCTATGTCCAGCTTTTGTGGACGGAGATCTAGATAATGGCGAGGAACGCAGGGTGGACGACCAAAGCGAGTCACATATGACTACCTACGGCCAGGTCGAAGAGTTCTCTCGGTTGCTCCGCGAGAGAGACACGGGCCAAAGCCCCCTTGGACTGGTCGACAGTAACGCCGATTCTGGGTCTCAACCTTTTGTCACGCCGCTTGCCTCGGCTGGTTTCCGGTCGCCGCCATTGAACTCTGAGGACGAATTGATCGACGCCGAGGAGGAATCAAGCCAGGCTGATGAGTATAACAGCCACTATGAGCTCGAGGACGACCATACAACAACGGTCCATGGCCAGGATGATCTGTTTGATGACGATGATCACAGCGACGAGCACGCTGAGCATACGTCGGATGACGAGCGTGAAGCTCTTGGCCATGACTTCCATGACGACGGGGACCCGTCGGTTAAGGAGCACGTTATCACGAGCCACCTTGGCTATGTTGATGATGAGCCCATAACTGCGGTGCCCGCGGGGCCGGAACAACGGTCGACAAGCGGTCCGGGGGAGTCCCAGGGAGATGAAGGACATCTGACCATTTCAACGGCAGAGTGGGCAGACGACCCTATCGATTCATATTCTGATCTGGCTGCGATGGAGTTTCATCCGAGGGCCGAAGAGGGCCACGCTGACGAGGCGCGAGGTGACCATATTATGGATAGCCCGACGGTGGGAAACCCACCAACGCCTCATTTCCGGCCAACCAGGGCACCACTTACGCCGGAAGCAGTCTCGCTGGCACTCAGATATAGCACACCCTACCAAGAAGAAGGAGGCCTCGCCAACAGCCGCCACAACCCAGACCGGCCAAGGACCCCTCAGCGAAACGTGACTCGAGACGCCGTCGACGAGGGACTCGAAGCCGAGTCGTTCGTGATCCGCGACGTGACCAACGTCCCGTGGCACTCGCGCAATGACTCGATCCCGCGCTCCCTCCACAGCCAGAGCACCATCTCGTCGTCACCGCTGTCGTCGACCCACTCCCCGCTCCGAAGCGACAGCCACGAGCCCGCCATCCACGACGGCTCGCCCGCCCACGCTCACAGCCACCTCCTCAGCGGCATGGCGGGCCGCCCTCGCAACGACTCCCAGCCCACGACCTACGACCACTTCGGTGGTGTTGGCGGCTACGACGCCAAGGCCGTCGCCGCGCAGTGGCTCCGCCGGGAGTCCTCCGACGCGTCCCCGGCCCCGCCGGCCCGGGCCCCGTCACCGTCGCCCCAGCCTGGCAGCCTGTTCCAGAAGATGCGCAGCATCTTCGAGCAGCAGCAGACCGACGGCGCCAACGACCGCCCCCCGCCGCCTCTCCCGCTGCCGCTGTCGCCGCAGCCCCGCCTCACGACGTGGTCCGGCAAGGGCAACCCGGTGCGGTCGCGGCCCATCAGCGGCGTGTCGTACATACCCGTCCGGCTGACGGGCCCGCCGAGGGATCTGGGCCGTGCCGCGGCCCACGTCGGGCTGGTGGACGGGGAATACGGTGACTATGGGTACAGGATGAGGGTGGTCCCGGATGGGGGGGACGACGAGGGCGATGAGAGGAGCGGGTTGCTAGGGGGTGTTGGTTGACCACACTCGGTAGAATCGAGCTCTTGGCATGAGGAAACGGCTCAGGAGGATCGCAAAGGGAAGGGCGTGTTGCTGACTGGGAGTTTGGGGGAGAGGAGTTCGGGGATTGGTCAGGCGCGGACTGTTAGTGTAGCGACTGTTAGTGCGGCGACTGTTAGTGCGGCAACTGTTAGTGCGGCGACTGTTAGTGCGGCGACTGTTGGTGAGGTGCAGACGACGGCAGGAAGAAGATGCGACGGCACCCGGGCCGAGGTTGAGGACAGGCGGGTGAGCGTCCTCTCGGTGCGGACGGAGGTGTCCATCGACGACGCGTCGTCGACGACGGATGACTCGGACTCGGAGACGGCGCTGACGTCGGAGTGCACGGAGCAGCACGACGTCGCGTGGCCGGACGCGCCAAAGAAGCGCGGCCGCGTCGTCGCCGAGGCGGGCGGCGACTTCCGTCTCGCGTGGGTGTGGGTCGAGGGCTGGAGGGCGCGCCTCCGCAAGAGCGGCGACGTGGTGGAAAAGGCGCGGTGGGAGTTCCGGCTCGACGACGCCATGCTGGGCCGCGCGCCCAACAGGATGCCCGTCATCGTCGCCAGGGTGCCCGGCGTGTCGGCGCTCAAGGGCTCCGAGGTCCGGGTCGTCGGGCCCGGCGAGGTTAGACGAAAATCGGTGCATTGGGCTTAGCGTTGCATTCTTTTTTGTTAGACCTGGATTAGAATTTTATCTTCGTAGTGTTAATCCTTCATGATCGTGACAGCCTTGTAAAAGAGCCCCATATGAGATCCGCGGCGGGAAGGAAGTATAAGGCAGCGGCGTGGGAAGCGGATTCGAAATGCCTTGTGTCTCTGCGAGGGTTATCTCACGATGATATATAGGGCTAGGCCATGTCTCTCCCCCTTCCTTCTAAGTGGAGGGATTGATTGCTGCCTTGGAGTGGGATATATGCGTAGGGCGTGGGGCATACGATTTCAATTCAGGGGCATGGGCATTTGGCTCAGGGGTTGGGGGTCTGTGCAAAGGTGCTGTTAAGAGGTTGTGAATGATTAAGTGTCGAGCAGCTTCTTCGGTCAACTGAGCTACCTCGTGGCAAATGCTCCCCGGTTTGGCACCATATACTCGTCCTCTCGGCTGAAGGCATGAACAAGGACTGCTAGAGTCTGTATGCGTATCAACGTGCCCACCATGAGAAGAAGCGTACCTGAAAGGAATTAGATTGGACGCTTCTGGTGGCAACGAATATTTGTGCAGAACGCTCTCGACCACTCGAATGTTTTCCCGCCAAACGCCCTGTTCTTCATCCTCGGGGAGGCCTTTGGGCCTCCATTCGGGCTTCATGAACAGGCCGAATCTAAACCACTCCAAAAACACCTGTGTCGACTCGCTTTGATTCCACTGCTTCCAGTCGGGGATAGTCCCCCAGAAAGCCTCGCGGAGTTCTTCAGCGCCATCATACTCCGGGCCGAAACCATTTGCAGCAGGCTTGCGGAACAACGACTCAATGATCCGGTGTAGCGATGCATATGGTGCACTTGCTGCAAATTCCCAGTCAATAACCGCCTGTATCTCTGTCTGCGCCTGGCTTGACACGATGATGTTATGGAGGCCCATGTCCGCAGGCATGGCGACTACAGGAACGTCCTCGACGGTGGCGGGAATCTTGTGCATACAAGTGTCGACAAAGTTCCTGATATGTTCCAGGAACCGGTCCTTATATTCTTCAATGCCCTGCTGCGCTTCGAGGGCGACAAGCGAGGATCTGATATGCGCTCCGAGGTACTCGCGCACGAAAGAAAACGGGCCGCCGAGGCAATAGTGTCGATCAGGTCCAATTCCGAGAATAAACTGGCCGCCGACTTCAGCGGCGGTGAGCTCACCGATGAGGCGAGGTTCTGGCAGCTGGATCTGCCAGCAAGCTTGGAATGCGAGTGCCATCTTCCGCACCAAAACCAGTCTCTCCCCGTGCGATAAGCGGGGGTACACCGACGATGCCATCACGCCTGGTATCAGCTGAGTTATTTGCCTTCCCATACCCGTGGCCTCTTGCCGTTTCATCTCTCCCGGGATTGGGTACACCGGAGGCACAGGTAAGATGTGTGAGTCAATCGTCTTCGAAATCAGGGTCATTAGGGAGTCCACAGATGTTACGTAGCCGTGGTGACGTAGCTGGACGACGTATGCGACATCCGGGTCTCTTGGACCGCGACTTTGTATGAGATACTCAAAGCTCCATCAGTGAATCTCGTTGAGCAGGCCAAATGTTGGCCGGTGGCCGCGAAAATAGCTTCAGCAAGCTCTGTTTCTGAGAGAACGATGGGTTTTGGACGCGAGATTTCCTTTGATCGTCTGTCAATTTTGATCAAATATCGATCAATAGGCGTAGCAGGTCCAATCCATATCCTCCAGCCCTGTCGACCAAGAGAAGGTGGTGGGTGTTGTTTCTATCAGAGCATAGCCTACTCCTTTCCCGTCGGCAGAACCGAGTGCACCAGAGAAGACGTATGCTAAAAGGGCCGATGCGGCTTCGTCTTTCGTCATCGGTTCTTCAGCCATGGTTACTTGGCAACGGAATAAATTCCGCGGAGGTGAACAAACTTGGAATTGAGGAAGTACAGTCTGAATTCCGAGGCAGAGAGATTCTACCTAAGTGAGGCACGCATCGGAGAAACGGAGAAGAAATAGAAGGCCGCATTAGTATGCAATGAAGTTACCGTCGGAAGAGGCCATCCACAAAGGGGGACCAAAGAGGACTTGATCGATTTGAGACAGCTCAAGAAGTCCTGTCTGCTCGGTCGCTTCGTGACTAATTATGAGATGGTCGTAATTGCTAGTAGGCAGTATTGAGTTGACAAAAGAGGTGAGACATGACGAAAGAGCGTACTGCGCTTGGAGGGGGGTTCGACTTGATTGAGTACCTAGTGAATCTGGAAAAGATGTAGAGTACGCCGTTATAGACAAACCCATAACTCAGGCAACTAATGTCCAAGTTTATCGTTAATGTTTCCTAGTTCACAAAGTGGTTGGGAGATTATAAAAGGCTAATGCTCGCCCGCTCCATCTCTCCCTTATTTGAGTGATGAGAATATACGGACTATTAGAAACTCTAACGGGCCACTTACTAGGTGATGGGGCAACAAAGATATCTACCACGACCCAGGTTCCCGGCCCAGTCTAACGGTGTCGGCCCGTCGCGGCGCGTCTCCAGCCAACCGATCCTTCCGGATTGCGTGCGAACCCGGCGGATGGCGAATGCCTTGCACGCGTCTGACGCCCCACCACGCAAGAGCTGATGCAATTGTTAAATTCTCTGGTGTGCTCGCTACTGCCACAGATAGCAGAGATTCCAGCTCCCTGTTTCAGATGGGCACCCAGGAAAGGCAGTTCGATTTATCAGCGTGCTCGTGGCTGACCAATACGCCATACACCATGGGACAACTATTCGCTCCCACGCGCTCCCCCAAGGTCAAGCTGCGAGGCCTGGCAAGGCGCCGATGATTCCGGATAGCTTCTACAGACTGATGGTACAGTAAAGGCTGGTTGATTTCATTTCTCCTACTTTCCGATAGAAGACCACAAAGAGGACAGAAAACCCCAACCAAGCAGTCCACACAACCCGCAGCAATGCAACACGACGTCGACGAAGACCAGCCTCTCCTATCCGGCGGTGGCACCGGCGCCTCCTCCCCGTCCCCGTTCCCCAGCCCCTCCCACGCAATCCCCCAAGACGGCAGCAAATCCCCCCGGTCCTCAACCGACACCGAGTCCGGCACGATCGAGCCACTCCCACGGACGATCGAAGCCGCCGTGCTACCAGAGACATCCAACCTCGGGCGCCACCTATCGTGGCAGTCAGCCTACATCCTCGTCATCTCGCGCGTCATCGGCAGCGGCATCTTCGCGACCCCGGGGGCGGTGGCGCGGTCGGCCGGCAGCGCGGGCCTCGCCCTGACCATCTGGGCCGCCGGCGCGGCCCTGGCGGCCTGCGGGCTGGCCGTGTCGCTCGAGCTGGGGTCCATGCTGCCGCGCTCCGGGGGCGACAAGGTGTATCTCGAGTTCATGTACCGGCGCCCGCGGTTCCTGGCGTCGACGCTTGTGGCTGTCAACGCCGTCCTGCTCGGCTTCACGGCTAGCAACTGCGTCGTCTTTGCCGAGTACGTGGCGTTTGCGTTGGGCATCGAGGAACCCTCCGATGTCCTCCGCAAGAGCCTTGCTGTCGGCCTGCTGACGGCCATCACGGTCGTGCACGGGTGCGCGCCGCGGGCCGGGGTGGTGGTGCAGAACGTGCTGGGGTGGATCAAGGTCGCGCTGGTGGTGTTTATGGTCTTCGTGGGGCTGTTCGTCGTCGTCTTCCAGCGCGGCCGGACCGAGATCGGTCAGGGCGGCGGCGGACTGCTGACCTGGGAAGGGCTGTGGAAGGACTCGGACTGGAGCCTGGGTGTCATCGCGACGTCGCTTTTCAAGGTGTTTTACTCGTACGCGGGACTCAGCAACGTCAACAATGTCTTGAACGATGTCAAGGATCCTGTGAGGACGCTCAAGTCCGTCTGCACTTCCGCCCTCGTCACGGCCGTCGTCCTCTACACCCTCGTCAACATTGCGTATTTTATGGTTGTGCCGCTCGACGAGATCAAGGAGAGCGGCGAGCTGATTGCTGCTCTGTTCTTCGAGCGCACCTTCGGGCCACAGTTGGGGAGGAAGGTGTTGCCGCTTGCTGTTGCGCTTTCGGGGGCCGGAAACGTCATGGTTGTGACTTATGCCTTGGTGAGTTGAGAAGCAGTTGAGAAGAGACCTGATCCCACCAAGACAAGTCGACTAATATCGATTAACCCGCAGGCGCGCCTTAACCAGGAGATCGCCCGCCAGGGGTTCCTCCCCTATCCCGAGCTGCTGGCCTCTTCTAAGCCCTTCAACGCCCCCTTGGGCGGCCTGATTGTCCACTACATCCCGTCTCTCCTGGTCATCACCCTCCCCCCGTCGGATCAGGTGTACTCCTTTATCCTAGAAGTAGAGGGCTACCCTGCGCAGTTTTACGGGTTAGCCATCTCCATAGGGCTGCTATGGCTGCGGTACAAGAGGCCGGACCTGAAGAGGCCGTTCAAGGTGTGGCTTCCTGCCGTCGGCATCAGGATAGTCGTCAGCCTCGCCCTCATCGCCGCGCCTTTCTTCCCGCCTAAGAACTACACGGGAACGCTGTTCTATGCTACTTATGCCATCGTCGGAGTCGGAATGTGAGTTTGCGCGATATAATGTGTTTTGATCTTGTTAACGCTGTGACACTGACGGGACTGCAGAATTGTGTTCGGATTATTGTACTGGTATATCTGGACTGTACTGATACCGCGCTGGAGGGGGTATAGACTGGAGGAGGAGGTTGATATACTGGACGACGGTGTTACGATCACGAGGCTTGTCAAGGTTCCCAAGTAAAGCATTCTTGGAGAGGATTTATTAAGATTAGACGAGGCGTTGGGGAATGCTTTCACTCGAGTAGACGGCTTGGATCCTAGGGGGTTAAACGGACTTTCACACGAATGACAATGACTAAATGTTGGACTAAGATGGTGTAATATTGCCAATTAACTGATAATCAACAACTCGATAAATTGGTTTAGCCCAAACATCACGGCACTAATTAAGCCCATAACCCTTTCTACCGTGGCCCGAGCTCGCGCTCCTGATGGTCGGCTCCAGGGGAAACACTGAGCTCTCAGGTGTCACATCTTTATAGACCTGATCCCACCGCTCCCTCAGCGCCTCGGGGGTCTCCCACGCATACTCCGGGTCACGCAACCAAAGCCGGATAAGGTGACGCCTGAACGACAGAGTGAGTCTGGGTTAGGCAATCTTCTCGATGCGACGAGTCTGAAAAAAAAGGGGGGGGGGGGGCTACTCACTGCTCCTCTGGCGAGTCCCTGAAATCGCCCCGGGCGTGGAAGATGCTCAGGTTGTTCACAAACTGAACATCCCCCTTCTTAAAGTCGAGCGCGACGGCATACTTCTCCGCCGTATAGTGCAGCGCGTCCAAGGCCTCTGCCTGCGCCTCTGTGATGGCCGGGATGTCCGCCGAGCGCGGCAGGCCCCAGTAGCCGGTGAAGCTCCGGCGCGCATACTGGATGATGAGGCGCTCAGGGGTAGTGTCGGTCGCGGGCTGGTGGTGCAACAGCGGCTTGGCCACGTACTTTTTCCCCTGCTTGCCGAACCTGATGAGGGCGACCAGCCATCGTCAGTCACAGTCTTACCTCAAACCGGAACGAGACTCACAGATCAGCCGCCCACGGCTCGGCCAGCGTCCGAACCAGATCGGGCCTCGTCTCCGCGAGCTCGTTGTAGACCCTCCAGCTGCTGGACAGGAAGCTCTCGCCGCCCTCGGCGGCGGCGCCGAGGGCGAACAGCGCGATCACGTCGCCCGAGTCGGTGTGGAAGACCTGCTTGTCGGCCGTGTACGCGGGGGCGCCGATGGCGGCCGCGTCCACCTTCGCCGTGAGGTCTCGGATGTGCGTCAGAACCACGTCCTCGCCGGCGGCCACGTGCCGGTCCTGCCGGCCCCGCACGGGAGCCACGTGCGCCGCGACGCCGGCGTAGATGGCGATGTTCTCGGCGCGCGTGTGCGTGTCCACGGGGAGGCCGCGCACCACCTTGAAGCCGTGGCCGGTGTGGATCTCGCGCGAGATGGCGCGCAGAGTGTGGTGGAGGTTGGGCAGGGGGAAGGTCTCCTGCGTGATGAAGCCGAGGGGCTGGTTTAGGGACTGGAAGTGCCGCAGGCCTTCCTCAATCTCGTTGATGTCAGCTGGCGTGAGTTCGTATGACCAGTCATATGAGTTTCCGAGATCCTTCCCTTCCCATACAAGGGCTGAGTTCAGCTTCTGTGGGAAGCCGGGAGGAAGTGATTTCTCCAAAGTCTCCGTTTCCTTTCGTCGCTTGATCCTTTCCTGGTATTTCTCATAGTTTGGAGCGTACTCGATATCTGGCTGGCCAGGCGGCCCGGCTGGAAATGGAATCTGGACTGCTGCAGTTGCCATTGTGTTCTGTGCTTGGGGGCTCTTGGTATAAGAGTATACGGGCTGAAGGTTATCGATATCCGGGGTCGAGGAAGCGGAAACGTGAATCTAATATAGGCATGCAGCAACCCCACGAGCACGCCACCCGCTCACGTAATTGAAGCTGCAGCAGCCTGCGATGTAGACCCTTCTTTATTCTATTGTCGATTCCGCCACGCCGTTCCCAGGTGACGAAATGTGCTTCTCGGTGGATTACTGGTCAGGTATGCTCCTTGGGTGGTAATTGGCCCGTTAACGGACGTATATTCTCTTCCTATGGCTCCTTCATCACTACGTCGTCTACTCTTTGACCTTGATCCTTCACGTTGAATTGAAGCGTGTTGGCCAGTGGACGATTTGACAAAGTCGTTAGTTAGGTGGACTAACCAGATGAGCCACTCAAGAATACGATCCTTGCCTGCAAGCCCGAGGGCTCTTGCAGTGTCTTTGGCTCGCGGTCATAAGTCGTCATCCATATTGCATATTACGAGCAGGTCGTGACCGGCATGCTGTGGTTCATATGATTCAGCAGGCTGTTACTCCAAACAGGCTCCAATCTGACAGGTTGTAAATCGACAAGCCTGATCCCTCATGACACGTGATGGATCTCGCCAAGAGCTTCGCGTTGAAGGAAAACGGGGTTCTTGGCTGTTGGCATTATGATGTCACCATGACTGCGTACACCAACAGGGGCACATGGATGATCCCAAACGCATTATTAGGCTTCCTGGTGTCTTCACAGTGGTCAATAGAGATCGGGTAGCTTAATTATACGAATCCGCACCGCGTCGAAAACAACAAAGCACCAACGATTTTGAGACATCGAGCATGTCTTCCGCGCCAACAGGCAAGAGCGGCAGCGAGCCCAAGTCATCAGGGGCTTCTGACGCCGACAAGCTCCCCCTCGATGCCGCGCCAGGGCAGGATGAAGAATTCGGCGCCGTCGCAGCAACCGGTAAAAGTGGGATGAATGACAACGACACCAGCAAGACGACCGACTATGTAGGGAACGAGATTAAGCCAGGTGAGGTCAAAAGTGACCGTTCTAGGTCTGACGACTCTTGCGTCCACTCCCCGGCCACGAGACTTGCAGCTGACCAGTTGGGAATCCCAGCTCCACAAACGCCTGAGGAGGTCGATGTTGGGAATATCACGAAAATCCCAATTGTGCCTTGGAACTGATGCAGCCTTACGCTGTGCAGGAGGACATCTATGACTTGATCAAGACTGGTAAGGGTGTGGTACAGCAACGGGGCAAATATCTACCGCTTCAACCAGGTTTGGCATGGTATTGGGTTTTACGACTGTTCGCATGATTCACGAATGTTTTTCAAGGCGCCAGGCTATCTACTAATTACTATCAATATAATTATCTACTTGATATATCAAGGGGATGCATTTTACATGTTATCCGCTTAAACTGGGTGACGATGGCCTTAGATTGCCTTGATGCATGGTAATCACTGATGCCATCGCGTTTCACGATGTTACGGAGGGCCTCTAGAACAGTGATGATGAGAACGTCTCAAAAGGGGCACAATTATTTGTGCTGACGGGTAATCTTTGCTATGGTTTTTGAAAGTAAATGAAAGGATGTATCTGCCTGCATATACCGGGTGAATGAATCAAAGAAGAAGATCATTTTTCTAAAAAGAAAGAAAGGATGATGGAAAGAAAAGGGGGAAAGAAAATGAAAGTAAGAATCAAAAAAAGATAAGAGAAATGGTACACGGTTCCACTGTCCTCAGCAACCTCCACCTTTACCACACAACCCCAAGCTCACCCCAAGTACATCCCAAAAAGATCATGATAACAATCCATCTCCCACATCACCGAATTCCGCCACGACCACGGCCCCGTCTCACGACTACTCCCAACCAAACCACCCCCACCACCTTTCCCCTCCTTCCTCATCCCCATCCCCACCTCCCACCCCTCCCTCTCCCCCTTCACCCTCCCCAAAACCTCCCTCAGCTCCCCCGCATCAACCCCCCAAAGCCCCTCCACCCCCTCCCGAAATCGCCACCCGGGCGCCGGCGAGTGCGAAGGCGCCCACTCGGCATGGCCCCGCCCGGCCGTCCGGCCCCGCGCCGGCCGCACGCTCGCCACCACCGCTGAATCCGTCGTCTCCCACAGCAGGCGTGGCGCCCGCTCCTCGGCCACGGCTCCCGAGTCGCGGCTCGGGTCTGTGGGGATCCAGCCTGCTGAGAGGCGTCGGCGGTGGCGGCGGCGCGGCAGCGGCGGGACGGGGAGGCCTGTTGAGGCGCAGTGGGGGCACTGGCAGGTGCGGCGGGGAGGGGGTGGGAGGAGGGGTTGGGCGACTTGTCGCGAGGTGGGTTTGGCTTGGTTGGAAGTCTTGGGGTTGGCGGCGTTGACTGGGTTGGGGTCCGACGCTCCGGGCTGGCCTGTGGGGATGGGGCGTGGCGCGGCTGGCGAAAGATATCGCGAGTTGGAGTGGTCTTCCGGTTTGTCCGGGTAGGGTGATGGGGTTCTGCGGCGACGCACGGAGTCTCCGCGGGTGGGTTTTAACAGCCCTTCACCTCTGTTTCCTCCCTGGGCTGTTGTGTCGGAGTCCGTTGATGGGTCCGAGTACAAATCAGAGTCATTCCCGACGTCGTGGACAGTGACGATGATTCTCTTGGGCGGCTTGACTGGTTCCGCCGCCCAGGATATGTGTCGCACCAGGTTTGCAGACCGAGGAGACTCCTTCGACTTCGAAAGTATCGTGAAGTCCTGCTCCCCCAAATCCCCGACAAGAGTGGCGTCGGAGTCTGTGCTGTCGCTGCGGTCTCGCCCGGCCTTTGACTTGGGGAGCTTTTTCAACATGGCCCCTAAGCTCCACCGGGGTGGGTTTCCGTCTGTGTGAGGCTTCTGGGTCTGGAATTCTTGTTTTGGATTCACCCCAACAGATGACGGAGCCCTGGAAAAATCAAGTAGTTGGCGCATGATGGACGATGGGAATGATCTCCATATAAAAACGAGTATCAATACACGGCTGAGATTGAGTTTCGTTGGTTTTGATACGAGGCTTGCGGATTTTTCAGGGGCTGAACGCACATCGAATTCGGCCAGCGGTGAATCGTGATTGGCAATTGTATCTGGATCGGGTAATCAAGGGAGACCTGTAGGTCAACCTAGTAAGAAGAGTAGAATGTAAGACCGTAATGCTAGTCGATGAAATGAGTGTGATTGAAAGTAGGGATCGTGGGCAGTTCACTGTATCCAGCAGCGAGTTGAGGGCGTAACCAGACGCGATTGATTTGAGCAGGGAGAAATTCAGAGTTCGGAATCCATGGTTCCAGCCCATCCGCCGGATATATAAGTGTTTCTCCCATTACTGTTAGACTCGGCGAATTCGCATACTTGAAATGGGTTGATCTGCTAGGGTGTTTCCCCCTGAAGGGAAGGTGGTCAACAACCGTCCTTGGCGCCCGAGTAGTTTGATGAAGGCTCGAATCATCCCACAGCCAGCTCGACTATCCCCGGAAAATTTGCAAGCAGTAATCTCAATTGGGGAACTGCGTGGCCCAGACCAGCCCTTCAATTGCTCACCCCCGCATTCGGGGTCTTGACGGTCGAGACTCCATGACTCGCCTGGTGGGGATCTAAAAACCGTTGAAACGTCGACCACCACACCAATCAGAGTTATCCCAAGGTCGTTGGGTAGTCACACGACTAGTTAACATGACCAACGTCCATCGAGCGACGAGGATGTCCTGAATCCATACCAGTCTCTGGATCGTAGCAACGTTGCAGTTCCACCACTATGTCCCTGAGTTGTTGGACAAGTTTACACCTTGCGTTGGTCTCTGTAGCGTTGGTCCACGGAAGATGCCGCCAGAATGTACCTCGAAGCCTAAAGTTCGAAACAATAGCAGGTGATCCAACACCGGTTAACCCGGGACGAGCAGCCTGCCCGAGGAGACATCCTTGTGCATCTAAAATGTCCCAACGATGGCTGGAAAAGGCGAGTCACTTGCTCAAGTAGAGCAGACGGTTCAATATCATATTATTTCTGCATATCAATTATGCTACCGAAGGCCCATCTGATCTGGTGCCTCGAAGATGAACGGACGAGTCAGGGTCACTCTTGGCCTTGGTGGACGCTGCAACCGTCCAACGTCCCTTTAATGTGTCGCCGACGCTAAGAGGTTCATGTGGGCCGCAGAAGGTATCACCAACAACATACCTACAAGGACATGGTCACCTGGGATAGTTGATACCCCAAAAGAAGGTCGAAGTTGGGTTCTCCATCGTTGATCGTGTGAGCTGAAGTGTGTCCCATTATCATTTGTCCCGGATCTTACAGAGCTTTAGTCTCTTGATCTGGTGTTCGAATTGTGCCTGGGACTCCCTGCTGGCAAACAAGACCGGACATCTCGGATTCATGGTGCCATCTTCGCCCAAGGGGTATCTATCACAAGCGTCCTGATCTACGCCGGGACGTTGATTGCTGGAGCTAAGAAGATCTGCACTAGGGTTAAGCCATATCCGCATTGTTTCAAGCTGCCTAAGCCTAGATCGATCCCTTTCAGGGATGACATCTGCCGACGAGGATCTCAAAAGATTGCCCCGAGCCAAGCCGGGCTTGTCAAGGGGGGTGCCTCTCGTCCCCCCCAAAGCAACTCCACGAGTCACCCATCAATATCGGGCAGCAACACTGTGCTGGCACCTAAACGGGGGCATCCGCGTTGTGATAATCCTTCAACTTGAACAAGGCCTTCGCATTGTCTCTCCCAATCGCACGATGCACATATTTCCAACCAACCACCTTCTGGATCTGCTCCGCCTCCCCGTCCCACCAAGCGGAGCACCTATCGATAGTCTCGTAAAGGTAGTCAACGCTAAACAGTACCCCGTCGGCGCTGATCGCGTCCATGACGTACTTCAGCGACGGGGTAAGAAGTGCCCGCCGGTGGTGACCCCGATGTTACGTTTGAAGGAGTCGTCGATGGTCTTCTCGCACATGACGCCACCCTGCTCCGTCGTGAGTGGCTTCTCGATGTCCTCGAACCAGCAATTGATTCGCCAGAAGTCGAACGGGACGTGTTCCACGAGATGGCCGACGATGACCTTGAGGGTGGGGAACCGATCGAAGACGCCATTGGACACGAGGCCAAGGAGGTGAAGGCTAATGCCGTTGGAAAACGACAGCGGCGGCCCGCCTGTTCCGGGTCGTGTATGGACAGTGACGCGAAGGCGCCGAGGCGGTCCCGGTGGCCCGCTTCTCGGCGGCGGCGCGGTCGGCCAGGCCCCTGGATGCCGGGGACCGTCAGCGAGACGATGGTGTAGCCAATGCCGTGCGCGTCGGACAGCTTGATGCGCTCCCCGGTGATGTCGGCGATCTGGGGAATGTAGCGGCTGTTGTTGGCTGGGTTGATGTACTATATAACTCGGCCTCAGGCTTCGACTTTGCTTCCATGCCGGCCGTCTCGAAGAACACTTCTCGCATTTCGAGAGAGTAGAGCTGATTCTAATTGAGGGTTGTCGACGACATGTAAGAAGCAACGGAGAGGGAAAAGTAAATAAGAGGAGGAAGAGTGACCGATTCCTTCGAGTCCTGGGTGCCGGGCATCGTTTATAATGTATCGTGCAACTACACTGGATTAAGGTTTGAACAGCAGATAGGTGGGAAATAGTTGGATCGAAGACGTAATGTTTGGGCCTGACATGACGTTGTGGTGATCAAAAGCGAACTGTAAATGTTGCATTGTATCTAGAAGGTTGCAGACCCGTTGCTAAATTGCACACTGTCTCCACGCCAGAGCCTTACAGATTCAGGGAACAGCTAATGTATCCTTCTAGCAAATGGTAGATGATGCTCTCTAAAGCCGTCGCGAGTAGCTCAGATAATTGATGATAATTAAGCCATCTTCGTGTGTCGTCCTTCAAACACGCGTCCTTGATCGTACAACTTGTCGCGATGGACGGCTCATTCAGCAAGGGAGACAGCCAGAGCTAGATCGACAATTACCCCTGAAATCTAGGTTAAGGCTCTAACAAGGCTGTGGAGACATGAGGCAACCAATAAGTGTGGCTGTACAAAGTGCGTAGGGTAATTCCATTCGAAGTAGCATCATGATCGTTTCCGCGATGCACTGCAAGAATTCAAACGAGTTTGTATATTCCGGTAGTGGCACTTTTAATTCAGGAGTCGGTCTGATTCAAAGGCATGCATTTACAATTATGTTTCCCACTCCAATGGAGATAATTTAGAGTCCCTTATACTGCACTTGTCGCGGTTTAAGAATATAAATGAATTGAATTTCATTGCGAAACATATTTGGTGCGTCACTTTCTCCAAACTCGGACTTCCCTTCGCGCAAATGTAAAAGTGCATTGCACCACCGCGACTCGTTGTGTTGGGATGGTGATTGAGTTGTTGGCAGGGCAACGGCAAGGGTGGGGCCATGAATACGATGGGTTAATGCTCGCGAATGCAATATTCAGAATGGGTACTACCAGACCACGCAGGCAGAGAGCTTTATTCCATCTTTTGCAGCCTCTCTTGGCCACTTGTGAATGAAGAGATGGTGGGTGAGGTTTGGTTTGCCAGGTGCAGAAGCCACACGTGCTTTCGTGTTGTGTCGAAGGCTGGCTCGTGCGCATCAGCGTTGAACCACAAGTGTGTGGGGAATAAGGATTTGCTTTTTTTCAGTGTGGCTGGGTTTGGCTTCGTTAGCCCGTCCTAGTTTTTCCAAGGTCCAAGCATGGCTACTGCACCGTAATACTGGGCAACGGTATTTTAGGTTGAAAAGACCGCAGGCAAGACGAAGTTGGGCTGCCTTGAAAGTAGAAAGTAGGAGAGGAGAGGAGCGAACCGAGTTTATATTTGCATGCGTTTTGTAAATTATTGGGCCGCGTGGCTCAAACAAGCCAGGTCATACCGAGGTACCTAGCATTTAGTCCCATGGCCTGCGTGGCTGACTGGGGGCGGTTGAGAACCCGTGCGCCTCAACCGCTAAGAAAAGGCCTCGAGTCGCGAACCGCGTAAACCCGCCTCCCACCTCTCCACATGGCCAAATCTCGCAAATCCCAATCCCGCCATTTCTGCCTCTTGCACGCGACGCAAACCCGCCCACCACCTGGCCCCTCGCTTCTTTCTTGCTCCAGGTGGCACAATTGCCATCTTTCCCTTCATTTACCCTGATGGACGTCGATGCGTCCTCCGTCCCGGCGCGACTCGACCAAGGCCGCGTCGGAGACGAAAATGCCACGACATTCCCGCTCTCAGCACCCGACCGACCCAGCGACGACGCCAGCAGAACCCAACTAGACAAGGATGCGGCGCCGAGTAAAGCCGGCGAGGGGCCTAGGCTATATAGCAACGACGACGCGGTCTCGCCCCGAGCGCATCGTCCCACCCCCAGCTTCTCCCTGCGCGATCCTGCTTCGACAATCGTCGCCAATCCTCCCCGGACAACCGGTTATTCTGCCCTGCTCCCAAGCGAATCCGGCGACCACGCCAGCCCGCATGACGCCCAATCGTCGCAAAAACACCAACAGCCTCCTCCCCACAGCAGCAATTCCCAAGGGACGACGAGCACCTCCCACGAAAGCGACCGGATATTTACCCCGCCATTCAGCGAGGGTGGCCTGAGTAACGGGCACGGGGACGGGCAGGACTCGAGCCAGGAATCCCAGCTTCTGCAGCTGTCCCAACTCGTTGCGGCCCAGGAGAAGATGCCCGTTTCCGATGCCCACATGAGTGCCCTGTCGCGGAAGCGTATGGCCGACGGCGCGGTCAAGCACTCGCGAGAACGGTCCAGCGCGTCTCCCGTGTTTACCGGCGGCCACTCCAGGAACACAAGCACCGTCAGTGTTGCCTCGACGGCGGGCAGTCGTATTGGCGAGGTAAGTGCAGTCGTCTGCATGTCTCACCCTGCCAGGCAGAGACAGGACAGGGGACCTCGAGCGGGTCTTTTGCTAATGCACGTCTCGTGCTGCTCCAGTTATCCGCCGAGCTAAAGACTCGCCTGTCGTATGCTCTGGTCAAGGTCAATCACGGATGGCAGTCTCACTCGATTGACCAGGTTGAGAACTTGGCCTCGCAAGCCGCGTCACCAACCTCCAGCAATTCGACAATTCATCTTCGCCTCGGTTCTTCTGCCAGTCCGCAGCTCTCCAACTCGTCCCAGCAGGGCAACAACTTTGCCCCCGCCACCGGCACCAGTCATCATTTGGGCAGCCGAGGCGCCGACTCTGCATGGCGAGAAAGTCCCCAGATACGAACTCACGACCCCCCGGCTTCTCCCCAGAAGCCCATTCTAACCCTTGCTCCGCCCGTCTCCATCCAGCCCTCCCGCCATCTCCAGAATCCGCGCCGAAACTCGAACGCCAGGCATGCTCCAACCTTGATGCCCGGCAGTCACCTTGCATCCCCGAATACCGCACCCCACACTCCCGGCCAGCCGAGCCCATATCTTGCATCTCACCAGAGGACGCCAATTGTCGACCCCATCCTCTTCTCGCCGCACCAGACCCCCCACCAAGCCGTCCGAGAACAAGACGCCATGGAAGCCCTCCTGTTCATGAGCAGTCCCGGCAACTCTGCCAACCTCAAACACTCCTTCCCGCCTTCCTCGTCGCACCCAGCCCCGTCCCGGACCGGCTCGCAAAGAACCGCGCTCCCGGGCTCACAGCCGAGGAAAAGCCTCCCATCCGGCCGACCAAGCCAACAGCAACAGTCGCAATCTCAGCCCATCCCAAAGCGCGTCGGGTTCGAGAGGTCCCCGGGCAACGCGGGCGGCGACATGGACGTCGACGACGTCCACGCGCGTCACACCCCGAGGCGGAAGGTTGGCGGCGGTGGCGGCCACGGGGGCGAGCAGCTGGGCCCCAGGCTCAAGCACTTCCCCCTCTCGGCCGGTCTCACCGCGCCGTCGTCGTCGAGGCCGCGGCCCCGGCTGGCCGACGAGGACATCGACCGCATGCTCGACCGGGCCGCCGCCGCCGACGACAGCTCAGACTCGGAGGGGGAGATACAGATACCGCGGCGGGAAGGGGCACATGTGGTGGGCGCTTAATCGGGGGTTGGCGTGAAGTGTGAACCCCCCACCACCCACCCCCCTTGGATCAACTCCCGTTCGCCGGCGCAGACATTTTGGATAGCAGCGGAATTGGTAGCTGTCGCCGACGGTCAAGCAGCTCGCATCGTACGGTCTTGACCCACACCCCTTCCCCCAGCGTCCGGGTTTGTTTTTGTTTTGCTTTGCGCTCGGATCGACTTTTTCGATGATACCACACTACCCGGATACGCTCAGGCCAAGGCACGGAATGATACATATATATGTGGTTGGCACGGGAGATTTTGTAATGGTTTGGAACAACCCGCGTGGGTTTAAGCTGGTGGTGGTGGGGTCGAATGCCGGGGTTTGGAACCCGACCTTTTTTGCTTTTTTTCCCTCCTTTTTTACGACCACGGATCCCTGTCTGGGACCCTTGCTTATTATGATGATGAGTGCTTTTTCTTTTTCTTTTTGCTCCCGGTCTCTCTTCCTTTCCTTCCTGGGTATGCAATGCAATCATAAAGTCCCTAGTGGTTGGAGCATCGTTCTGTCTGCATTCAGGATTCTAGGGTGAGCTGGGTGCCTCGATGCCTTTGGCTTGCGAGACCCAGCCAAGCTTCAGCATAGTTAAAGTGCAATTACATGTACATACAATTGCATCCTAAACGCGCTTGTCTGGTGGATGTCGAGAGTCCTGAGCCCTCGACGAATACCCTTGAATGCATCTGTTCCGGAGTTCCCGATCTCTTCGTGACTGCCCAACAGCAGGCGGGAGGTGAGCTCTGATGGTGAAATCTGCGTATACCACCACCAGAGTCCCCTCCTCACCTGGTTGGCGCCCGACGGTGTCGCATGCCATCCCGCTTCTCCCTACCCTCTTCGGCACAGGAATCCCAGTCACTTGGCGAGAGTCCCTGCAGTCTTGAAACCCAAAGGACTTATAACGAGCTAGGCTGGATGCGAATCCAGGGGGGGCATCCTACCTTGCTCGAGTGCACAAGGCAGGAAAGAGCCACTCATCCTGCCGACCGTGGAGCGCAGCTCCCTAGATTGGCGTCGATCACGACTAACAGACTGGATTGGTATTCAACAGGCAACGTGGTAACGAGTGTGCTTGCGGCTACTCCAGTGCATGGGATGGTCATACATCAAGCTGAACCTGAATCCTGTCACGACAGGCGCAAATGGGTCTCGATACGGTAAACAGGAACCAACGTAGGTAGGTATTCCTTAACGCCTTCAAAGTGGATAAAAAACACCCCTTCCCCATTGGTGCCAACCCAAGCCAACCGTCGTCGAAAGCAACCCAACCCGTAAGCCCCATCCATCATACCATGACCAAGACACCACCCACCATCAATCCCAAAACAACCTACCACCCAAAAGCCTCCTCAATATACTCCACCGTCCCCCCATACTCCCTCTTCGCAGCAAACACCGCCGCCCTCGCCGCATCCGCCATCCCCGCCGGCCCGCACACCACAACCGCGACCCTCCACCCAGCCTCCCACGCCTCCCTCGCCGCCGCCCCGACAGCAAGCCCGACGTCCGGCCTGCCCCGCCGCACCTGCACGTGCGCCGCCTCGGCCACCGCCCCGCCCTTCGTCTTCTCCGCCCCGGCCTCCTCCTCTTCCTCCTTCTCACTACCGCTCCCGCTGGCGCTGCCGCCGGTGACGAACAGCTCGGCCCGGAACCCATCCGCCGACAGCGCCTCGGCCAGAACGCCCCCGGAGGCAGACGACGAGCGCAGGAACGCGGCGCTGCGATCCGCCCAGACGAGGGTGAGGCGCCTGGTCCGCGTCCCACCACCAGCGCGGCGGCGGTGGGAGTGGTCGAGTAGGTACGGCGTCATGGCCGTGATGCCCGCGCCGCCGGCGACCATCAGCACGCTGTCGTAGGCGGTCCATAGCGGCTCCGTGTGCCCGTAGGGACCCTCAAGGAGGATGGTCGGGGAGATGGGCGTTGAGGGGGAGAGCTGGCAGGCGGAGCGGAGGTGGCGGGTCCAGCCGTCGAAGGGGCGGAGCCAGAATTCGAGGAGAGTTTCGTCTGGATTTGTGGGGGAGGGGATTGCGGAGGTGTGGATCTGGGTTGGGGGGGATTTGTCTGTTGGGGGGAGGTTGGTGGTGGAGGAGGTGGAGGAGGATTGGGATGGGGGTGTCGGGGTATGGGAACCGGGTGTCTCCCAGTAGGCGAGGGTGAAGGGGTGGTTCTCGTATCCGGTCCATCGGAAGGGCTGGTAGAGGAAGTAGTGCTGGCCTGGTCGCGGCTTCAAGTGGGAGCCCCGCACGGTGAGCTGGATCCGCATCATGTTGCTGTCTCCGTCGTAGGAGATGCTCGATCGCGTGTGGCTCAGCTTCTTTCCTTTGTTGAAGCTGACGTGGAGGTTGCAATACGCGATGCGGACAAGCCTCACGCCCCGGTCGAAGCACCAGATGGCAACCAGTGGCCAAAGGTAGGGGTCGTAGTCGCCCTCGAAAATATCGGTGTGGCTGAGGGGAAGGACCGCCATGTCAGTATTTAGCTCGAGAGACATCATCCTACTCGCTTGGCCGGCGGTGGGATGAATTGATTTGGGTCAAAGCTCACTAGAAGAGGGCAACGATCGTCATCAACGACAGAACGATATGGACGAGGAGGAAGGACTCGTAGAGGGCCTGCCTAAACCATGAGACAGAGAAGACGACAAGGAGGCTCATAGCAACGGTGGCCTGTACAAGGTTTAGAAACCCGCATCAGTAAAGTTCCCAAACGGAGGCAACGTGTAACTGATTAGAAGACTTACGAGGACACCCAGATAGAGCCAAGCATCTTTCATTTCTAACCGCAAGTCCGCTCCTAGAGACAAGGAGTTAGAATCAAGTGGCGTCCGAGCAGAAATGGCGGACGGAATCAGAGGCAAAGCTAACCTGTAGGGTCTCCAAGGTAATAGAAGACGACATATCCGACGGAGTGGATGATGGCCGCGAGGGTAGCCACACGAGCGATGTGCCTGTGGAAGAGATTGAAAGTGGAAAACTGCCACCCAGTCGCCCAGATGAAGATGTTATTCCGCCCACTGAACACCCAGAGCCACGGGAGATTTGCGTAGGAAAGGATCCCCGTGCGGTCGGCAACGTAGCGCCAGATCTGTTCTGGGACGTCGGACCAACTACGTTTCAGCCATTAGATGGCGTTTTCCCGAGGCTTGCTGATGGGGGCGGTGGGGGTGCTTACTATAGATTACCTGTAAAGCCTCGATAGTTGACGCAGCACAGCAATATAGAGATTACCCAGTATGACCCGATGGTCAGGGACTGCATCCTAGTGGGTATTGTGCACCACAAGTACAAACGCCGATGGTGAGAGTCCAGAGTACTGGGAATGACGAGGTGGGTCTGAACCCAGTTGTACGCTTTCGACACGATGCCCAGCGGGGAGGTGGGGGATAGTGTTTTTCGTCGGATGGGCTGGCCATCGCCTTCGACATCCGATGTGACACGGGCGAGACGGCTGTGGTAGAACAGCTGCCAGAGACGATTGAGGATCCCAATGAGCAGAACGCCACCCCAGAATCCGTAGATTGCGAATCTAATACCCGTCTCGGGTCAGTGCTCCATCTAAGGAATAGATGGGGAAGATATTACCCATAGTTGGCATGAGTCCGCATCTCAAAGTCCCATTCAAACTGTGGGTTTTGCAAAAGTTAGACACTGCAAGTTGATGCTACGAAGAGTGTGGCCCAGCTCCCAGGAGGATACACAACTTGATGTAGTGGGGTGGGAGAACTTACCACCGTACGGTCTGAGAGCTCAAACCAGTGTGGCGAGAGGATAAACGGTGCCGTGACATTCTCTGTGGCAGGTATGTCTCCGTAGTCCTTGACGGGCATCCTCTTGATGGCATCGTCGGTCAAGTTCTCGGCCAGGGCTGACTCAGGCAGCATCGATACCTCGCCATATTGGCGGCACAAAGCCTCAATGTATTTAAGGCCAGACTTGATCTCTCTTGGGCTGCAGTACAGTTTTGCTGCGGCATAGAGGGAGGTGACTCTCAGGGGGTTCTGGCATGCGCCGATGTAGTATGAATCGGCCCCAATTCCGTCAAACGTAAGATCAGCGTAGACTTCGAAGATGGCGTCCACGCAGAGGGCGCTCTGCGGCATGGTCACGGACCATGATGGTCGGACGAGAATGCCGAGCAACAGTGCGAGCGAACTCGAGAGAAGCATGACGGATAAGAGCCGCAGGACAGTATTTTCTGGGGAGGTTGATCAAGAGGTGTGGGTCTGGATACCAAGGACACTCGCAGGTTGCAGGAGGACATCGATTCATATGTGCTGATCGAAACCTCCCAGGCCCCGGGCACCGGGTAAGTCTTGGAAGAAAATTTCTCTCATCCCTCTCCCCGAATAGCAACCCCTGGGTTTCCCCCCCACGAAGAGTTCTGTCCCAAAGTGCATGCTGCCGAACTTCGGCCATGACAATTTACCCGCAGAGGGATAGTGCAGGAATGTAGTATTGTTTCTGCAGATCCACCCGGGTTGATGTATTTTCTCCTGTCAAGCTGATTCGTGGTTGATGGTTTAGGTTTTTTTATCTAATCTAATCAGATCATGTGCACGGATATTACACATGATCTGATTAGATGGAAAACATGCCACCCCTTGCTCAACTGCACGCTTCGGTTGGGGTTACACTGGAAAGAACCGGGGATCGTCAGGCGGATTTCCATTTTAGGACCGGCCTGGCCAGGCCCAAGCCCCGTTTTCCCACGAGACCACCAGGGCCACGGCTGCTGAGGATTCGCTGCGATTCCGCCGTTCTCGGAACAAAATATACGCTAGAGGTTTGAAGTGTGCATCGTGGGGAAGGAAGAGAAATCCCTGTCGTCAATCTGTGGCATGTCTTGTCAAAGCTTGATTTGGAGAGCCGGGCCCAATGGAAACGGTCCAATTACCCTCCACTGCGAGAACATTCCCGGCTTAGCAGACTCTAAATACCCTGTCACGCCTGGCAGTCTACTCGCTTAGCACTTCCTGCAACGGCGTGACCTACTCCCCGACACTGGAGGAAAATACAGCGATTGTGGAGTTGCTTATCTTCAACCCTTGACCAGGTATTGGCCCCTATTTGAAATTTCTTATGCGGGTTGGTGGGCACTTAAGCTTCCTTTTCTCGGTGCGACGCGGATGTGCACCACACCACTTGAGTTTGCTTGTACGTAAAACCACTCGAGTGCTCAGGCATTCCAGCCCGTACCTATCCGACACCTTGCAGGCCCGGGCCACAGAAGCACCTCGATTCCCGGTTTCCGTTTCTTCTCTCACCCCTCCAACCTCCCCCCCACATATTTCTTCCCGAGGAAAGCGAGCCTCAATATCACCGCCCCCCACGGCCATACTTCCTTTTTAGCGGTATTACCTATACCTACTCTGTGACATGCGACCTTGTTCACCACATGCAAATTCTGCCTGTGGCTGGGTGGGGAAAGGAAGGTCTAGAACCCAGATAGACAGCAGCTGAACTAGTGGCAATAATTAATGCGAAACCGGTGGGAACAAGGCCATCATGTAGTGTTAGCTTTTTGTGGCTTTGGCTTTCTCGCTTGTTGGAGGGTTAGGAGACTCGACGCTTGAGGAAACGCTTCCTCTTGCTGCTGCTATGAGCACACGACCACAGACCCCCACCCCCCTCCTCTGGTTGTGGGCCAGAAGAAAGAAAAGACACAGAAAAGAGACGTGACTCTCGTGGATAACCGGATTCGGAATCGGTGTTCCGTTTGAGGTTGGGGTTCGGCAACATCCGGACATTTCCTCCTCAACCGAACCCTGGTTGTTGAAATATCCTCCTCCCGCCGGTGAAGGATTGTTATACGGCCCAACCTAGCAGGTCCGCGATAGCATCGAGCCTAGCCAGGATGAGGATATAAGTCGCTCCGATGTTTGCAACTCAGATTACCGAACCATTACCCGACACTGGGTAGAAACTAGAAAACTAAATGCATATGTCAGAGAAGCTCGCCTCGTCCCCCATGCCCAAACAGATTTTCTAGCACCAAGGCCCAAAGGGACATCCCACAACCCCCTCCTTTTCTCCCCACCAACGTTCTTCTCAGCCAGGCATATTCACCGCTAACAACAGATTTCCATGTACCACAACACCAAGGCAGGCTAGTAGATAGCATCTAACAAGTCTCCAATGGGGACTCATTTCCCACCTCCTTCCATGTCCCTTCCAGTGACCCATTTCCCACCGTCTACTCGGGATTGCCCGCAGTCGATCCCCCAATCCACCGCCCCCCTCGCACGCTCTCGGCCGGTTCCCGCACGTCATACCACCACCCTGAGAGACAAGGGGGAGTCAACTATTACCCTACCAATTCCCGTCACTCGGGCCTATCAGCTCCAGCCATGCCCCCCCCCTTCCCGCCTGCTTGCCTCCCGCGCCCCCTGATGCTTTCTGCTAGCTCGCTCTGCTGCCCCCGCCGCCTGGAACACTTCTGGGTACTGTGGCTCGCCGCGGCCGGGACTGGTTGACCTCAGCTTCGGCGTCAGGGTACTTACGGCCGAGTGTCTAGACCATCGCGAGGGGTTTGGTATCGCCGGGGCGGGTGGGGTTTGAAGAGAGTGGGCGGCTTGAAGGCTGACGTTGCCTGTTAAAGGCTCTCCGGCAAGGGATGAGGTTCCAGGAGAATTTAAATGCCGCTGACGAGAGCCACACTCATTGGCGGCACCAGTAAAGTTGTCCTCGTCTTCGATTAATTAGACGTCCCCTACGGGTTCCGCTTTCTATCTCAGGCAACCGTATTTGTGGAGGAAGAGTTGGCTAATTAGGGCTTCCTCAAGGTGAGATTGCAAATAACGTAGTGAGCTACTTAACTACACCTTATTGTCAGAGGCGTTGGCAAGCTATGCTTTCAAATATACAGTTAGAGTTCCTCATTCGCTGCCCCGACGTTATCACGGATATCGAGCTGGCTTTTGGAGTCTGTAGGGGGTCACCCACTGAGGTAGACTTTCAACGATTTAATACCAGGATTTGAATCCCCCGACAAAGCCGATGTATCCCGTCTGAGGTAAACGCTACAGCCGCGTTGGAACTCCCTTTATGATGATGGAGTCTAGATTCCCACAACTCCAACGAAGATAGGTAAATGGTCCTAAACAACAGAAGAACCTCGCCGCCCCCTGTTGCAGTGAAACATCATTTCACGCCTGGACAAAAAGCCGGCGCAATATTGATCTGGCACTTCTTCACGACTTGCTGGTTGTAAACCGCGACGCCTAGGCAAAGTTTAGTTGGGGGATGTTAGAAATGAAAGACGGCTGGGATGGGGATCATTTATCCTGCTTCGGGAGGGAGGGTGGGGGGCTTCTTTTTGCACACTCACATTTCAAGTCCCTGTCCACAACCCTGATGCCCATCGTGTAGTTGATCCTGTAGTGTCTCTTCCCCTTCGAGCCGGGAGCCGGCTCTATAGGCCGAATCAAGCCCTGGTCGCGGAGGAAGGTGAAGTCGACAATGATCTCGCCTACCTTCTCGGCGCCTGATAAACAGTCAGTGTTCCAAGGGCCTAGGGAAAGGAAATCTGGGTAAGTGGCTTTAATCCTACCTTCGTTCTTTGGATGCTTCTTCTTGTAGTGCGATTCTGTCGATCTATCCGATACGTAGAGCACCTCCTTGCAGACTAGCTTGGGGGCGGTTATTTTGAATGTATGACTGCAGAGGAACGGCTCGCATTTCCAGGCGGGTTCAACTTCACGGCCCTTGAGACTGTATTAGGTAGGAGAGCTTGCGAGGGGCTGCTGGTTTGGCGTACCAATTTGAGTTTCCAGTCGATCGTGTCCTTGACATACTCCTGCCCGTCCAAGCGATCAACAAATGGCTTGACGCCTTTGTGCTCTGGAAGCTCCTGCTCCTCGAATGGTTCGGTTCTGAGGATGCCATAGCTTGACCGGGCCAACCTCCTCGGGCCTTGTTCCTTATTGAGCGCTCGCAAGACAGCCCCGGAAGCAACTGCTGTGGCACTGAGAATACGTTAGTTTCGGGGGAGGGTTGGGGTTATTGCGCTTGACGAGGGTGAGAAAACTAACGTGTTAGGAGGAGTGATCAAGTCAATTTTGCAGGAGTTAGCTTCTTCATAGTCTCGGAGTCGCCTGTCCAGGAACTTCTGGAGCGAACGTAGAGATGCAAAGCCGCCAATGAGGATTACTTTCTGAACTCCACGCGGTTAGCGTCCGATCAATAAACGAGACGAGTCTTGGATCTCTTAGAAAGGGATTCCAGTACATCAACTTGGACCCCTTCCAGCTTGGCAGCCTCGATTTGGTCTTCCATGAGCTTGGCGATGCCGTTGAAACAGGTGCTGAACATTTCCCTGATCTTCGCCCTAATGGAGCATTAATCGCTGTGATATGCGCGTCATAGGCTGGTAAAATTACTCACCTAGGAATCCAGAAGGAACTCAACCTGATACCTCTCTGAAGGTTTTCTCTCAAGTAGGGGATTTGCACTCGCTTTCGGCCAGTTGTCATGTCATAATCGAAACTCCGCTTGAACTTGTACTCAAACTCGTCGATCATGTACTTTTCAACGATTCCGTCCAACGTTTCCAACCCCTGTTCGAGGTAATCTTCATCCTTGATCAGCCCCCGAAGAAGTTTCCGGAAAGCCTGATTGATATAGCTGGACCCGAAGAGTCCCCCTTTGCGCGTCATGTTAGTGTTAATGTATCAAGGGGTAGTTTATGCCCCTATTTCCGGAGGACTCACCGTGGGGCCTTACCACTTCGCGAGAGAGCCTCAGCGGAGTAGTCTGGCCAACTGTATAGGTGTTGACATCGACAGTGCCTCCACCGGCATCGAGCAACACGAATGTATCACCGGGCTTCAACCACCAATAAGATTAGCTTATTGTAAACAGACAGACCAAATTGTAGCTCTCTATCACTCACAATAATTTCATGGTTCAGCTCCAGAACGTAAGCGGCAGCGGCCTCGGGCTCGGAGACGATGAAGAGGTTCTCGATGCTGTTATTCTGGGCATCGACGCCTTGAAGCCCGGCTCTCTTCATAGCCATTGCCATGGCAGTCTGCATGTCCCGACACGCCTTTTGCGTCCATATTGCCGGGACACACAGGACCATTTCGAGGGCGTGGTCCTTCGTGAATCCAACTTCGGTGAGCTCGTTCTTGACATGGCGCAGGAGACAGGTTAGATAATCGGCGATGATGTCGACTGCTGGAGAGTAGTCCTTGTTCTTGATGATTTTCTTTTCGCACAGTGTGTCGATTGTATGACTGAGATTCTCTCGAACCTCCTTCGTGACGGGACTGTTGTCGAGTAACAGCTTGAATCGCGCCAGCGGCTTGTTCGTTGCGTCGGAATGCATCTCTGGATAACTCCAGGCTTCATGGACCCCGTATCCCCAGCGGAAGGACGGCACGTCGTCTTCCATATCCACATCAAGCATTTCCACGTCACCGTCCGCGTCTTCGCCGTCGGTTGCTTCGGGATTCTCGTCAGAAGTGTCCGCATCCGCATCGGCATCTTCTCCGCCGCTGGGGACTTCTCTCTGGTTCCTTTCATTGAATGCCAGATTGTCTTTCTCGCGGAACCGTTTATCCAAGGGATAGATAACTTCTGTAGGGACCTCAAACTTCATCCGGTCACCCGAATCGTTGTTCCTGTCGCCGGGATAATTCTTAATTGACCGTATGCGATTCAATCCAATGGTTTCGGTCGACTCTCCCTTCTCTAGGGCAACATATGAGACGGCTGAGTATGTTGTGCCAAAGTCAACCGCAACGACGAATCGCTTCGTTGCCTGCCTGGCATCTTCGTCAGCAAAAAGGTAATCCGGGACTTCTTCGGGCGTGAAGTCTAGGTCTTCTGGCAGTGTTGCCGTCGAAGACCTCGAGTCTGTCGAATCCCGTGAATCCATCTTGAGGGCTTCCGTCCGAGGTGATTTGGGTGTCCAAATAAAAGCAAAAGATGGATTCCCTTGTGGGCTCTCTGTATTCAGCAATTTATGCTCCTCTCTTTCACTCATCTCGCTTCGAGCTCCACAACACCACATCACACCCACACCTTTTGCCCTGAAATCACAAGGCACTGGGAACCAATGGCATATGTGAGGCTGGGCGCTATCCCTCACAAATGGGCCAATCAGACTTGCTCGTTTTGTCTGTTGGCTGCAAGTTCTGAGGCGTGCATGAAAATGCCAGGGTCGGCCCGACAGAGCCCACTCACAAGTCACAACCTGCCTACCCAGCTACCCCCCCTAAACCGCCCCCACCCCTCTGACCCCAGCCCCTTGCTGCCTGGTGGCGGTTGCCTCAAATTGATGGCATGCCATGTCGTGAACTTCGAGATCTGGGCTTGACCTTAGCCATTGACCAGCAGGAGATCTGTCTTTCAGCACTAACCATGCCATCGAAATCCAAGTCCAAATCCAAATCCAAATCGCAGCGGGCAGGGCAGACGGAGTTTCGTCGGGTCTGGGACACAGATAGCACCGCGGAGCTCCTTGCTTGGCTGGATTATTGTTGCAAATACGGAATCGATTTCCTGGACACGGTGGTCAACCACCTGCATACCAAAACGGGACGGCGCCGTGACTTGGACCAGGTCAAAAGCAGGCTGCGGCTCAAATGGGACCAATGGGGTTCCGACGAACGCGGCTCAAACTCTCGCGACATGTACCACAAGGGAACGTCGTGTCTGACGCGGATTGACAGTGAGGAAAAGCAACCAATCCTGGAAGCATTCCGCCGACTGGGTGAGCTGGATTTGAGATATCGCCTTCGCAGCACCACTTCCACCACCCGTTCCACCAACCGCTCTCGCTCTCGCACCTTGGCCGCTGTTCAACAAGGCCGTGAGGCATCCCAGTCCCCTCTTTCCAATCTTTCCACCACGCCCTCCCCACCCCCGGTTCCACCCACGCCTTTTGAAAGCGCCTCAGTGTCGTCTAGCCCTGTCAAACAAGAAAAAGGGGAAGTGCCCGATAGTGACGAGTATCCACCATATCCCGACTCGAGTTCATCAGCAGAAGAGGAGGACACTATTACCCCTGAGAGATATATTAGCAGAGACATTGGGGGAAAGCGGCGACGCCTGGGAGACTTGGAAGGCAGGTTCCACGATAAAGCGAACCAACTCGCAGAAAGCACAACGGCAATTTTGGCACACAGGAGCCAACTCTTCACCCTGTCAAACCAATTCTCTGCGATCAGGCAAGAGAATGACCAGTTGCTTCGCAGTATTCGCGCCGCAGAATCGCAACAGGACAAGGCAGCGTTGCTCAGCAAACTTCAGTACGAGAATCTCATCCTCAAGCACAGACTCGCAGCCAGTCAAAGCTACCAAGATGACACGAGAGAGCTCGAGGCGGGGACTCTAGGGCCCACAAAAGCTGAGATCAAAAGAGAGATGATGATCATTGAAGACATCATCAACGATGCCGCATCTTCACTGTGGGGAGTGCATATTCCTTTCCAGGTCGAAAACGTGGACTTCCCGGAGCACTCCCGCGCCTTTGCCGAGTCTCTGATAGCTAGGGTTAGCGGTTGGAACAGCATCGATCAGTTCAGCGTCTACATACAAGATAACGATATCCCCAGGCTAGAAGTCGTCAGGTCTATCGCTTCAGTCGGTATATCTACACTAGTCTTCGAGTCGACGTTTCCCGATTTCCAACTGGTAGAATCTCCGCTCTTGGATCAATACCGCAAGCACCTGCTAATTCGAGGTTGGCGCACCCCCTTTGGGAAATTCCGGGGTTTACCTCCTAATTAATTATAAGTCAGACCACTGACAGAAATTGACAGACGGCCCAAACTCACTTCGAGATCTCGACCTCCTCGCGCATAAATCGCTAATCTCGCACGCCAACTTCATATCCCAAATCATCACCAACAAAGCCAGGGAACTGACAAGTCAGCTGGCCGAGGCACTGTCTCCATTCATCAACCCGAGCACTACCATCCCTCCTGGTGATGGGATGGTAGGTATCACCTCCACCGCCGACCCTTCTTTCGACCTAGAAGGCGCCGAAGACCAGGGAGAGGAAGACATCAGCCCAACAGAGGCTTTCCAAAGCGTCGTCGAAACGGCACTCACAATCCGAGCCAGGATGATCCTCGGTGGGCCCAGAGAGTACGGCCTTGTTTACGTCCCTCCGGGGACGGACTTCAACCCAGAGACAATGAACCAGAACGGGCAAAACCGCGATGACGATAATGACGCCACGCCCAAAAGGGTGGTTCATGTCAGCAAGAAGGATCCCCGCCGTCGTTTGTCGCAGATGTCATCGCATAGACCCCCGACCTCCACCAGCGGTAGCAGCAGCAACGATGGAAACAACAACAGCAACAGCAAAAGTAGTATTCCCGCCAAGAAAGTGAGGCTGTGCCTGTTCCCGGCACTGTATTGTCGCCCGCCTCCGCCGATCGATCCGGCTGGTGGTGGTGCAAATGTCGATGTCGGGGATCTCCTGGTCCAGTGCCGGATATTCACGGAGGGTGACCACGCGGACTTGGGGAGTCTTGGAAACGGCTTTGAATTGATAGCCAAGGCGGTTGTGCTGGTCTAGACTCCATGAAACCTATTTTTTCTACTCTTTTCAGCGTCAAGACGCAAGTTCACCTGGTCTGTTCTTCCGGCATCACCGATTATTTGCTATGTAAGGGCGAGACATACTCAAGGATTGGTGGACTTAGGGTATTCGAATCACATGTGTAAGGGATGAAACGGACTGAGCTGAAGATGGTATTGCAGAAGGAGAAACAGGACTTTGTTTCTTCAGCACTTCATAGAGGAGGACGGAGCTACCATAGGATCAGTCTTATGAGAGTCAATAATTTGATATCATGGCCTTAGGATTCTAGCTTCAGCCTATATATTAATAACTCCAGGCTGTTTCTAGCTAGAGTTTAAGCGCTGCTAATGGCTCCTGTTCCGTCCGCCGAGATTCTGTCCGCCGAGATTCCCTTTGCCGAGGAGGATTCCTCTCGTTAAACTTGACCATGGACAGAGTCAGGAACTGGCAGGGCAACTTCAGGCGAGGTGCCTACATCGAGGATCACTAGGCTTAGCCTAGCTCAGGGGAGCGCAGGTTAAAGCAGCGACATATCATGGTTTCGCCGACAAGCACAGTTCCTAGTGACCAGATTGGGGTCATATTCCTGTTGTGGCCGGCCAAGAACTCAACACAGCCTGTCACACTTATTCCCAACCGATAGCTATGGCACCTTGTCGCCACCTTGGAAACCATACCTTTCTTGCCTTCAAACTTTTTAATAAAATTTCATGGTTCAACAAACTTTCCCCAAATGTAAAGGATACGAGTTTACTTCCAAATCATATTTCCAAACCACATGCCCTGACTTTTATAACCGCGCCGCCTCCCACCCAAGACTGGCACAGCGTAGTCATCCATCACCACCACCAACAAAGACGATTCATACAAACGCCCAACAAACAATAAACTCGCCAAATACAATGTGCTTCGCAAAGCAGATCTCCCTCGCCACGGACGCTGGTCTTACCGAGAGGCGCAATCTTACACACACGCACGAGTTTAATTACTATACCTTACCTAGGTAGAGCGGCCGGAACAATGTGAGTGAGAATTATTCTGCCGAACTTGGAACACCACTTTGCTAATTTCGCCCATGAATCCCGGCAGTGTCGTGAGCTGCTTCCCTTGGACCTGTAAGGCTTCCGTGCCGGCCCACGTGGTAATTAGGCAGTGCATGCCAAGAATAGGCTTGGCTTATTGGTCCTCAGCCGCATGAGTCCAAGGCTGGTAATACTGCGATTGCGCCATCGTTTCAGCAAAACTTCAAACCTCTCTCTCTGATAGAACCGCGAATTTCAAACGACCTAACAGGAAACAGTGCTCGCAGGACTCCGAGTGTCTGCCACCCCTGGCAGCAAGGCGAAATGGGCCACTCGTCATGGCGAGACTTTTTGCCACGCAATGTCGCGCATCGTGCCTGGGAGGTGCTCCGCGTCAATTGGCACCTGGGCTTCACCTCGTTTGGAGGTCCGCCAGTGCACTTCAAAATAGTAAGTAGTAGCGGAGGATAGCTTAGGAGATGCAGTTCATCAGGTCTAATACGTCACGCAGTTGAACGATAAGTTTGTGAAGAAAATGGGATGGATCGACGAGCAGATGGTCAGTCGAATCATTGTAGCATGCTTATGATGCATAATTAATGCCTCATCGGCTTTGAGATTCAAAGACTGAGACCTCCAATAGTTCCAGGAGCTGTTCAGCATCTCCCAGGCACTTTCGGGCCCGGCTAGTACCAAGATGTTGTACTGCATAAACCTTATCCACGGCGGTACATTTGCGGCGTTGCTGAGCCTTTTGATCTGGAGGTAAAATAAGCTTCCGGGTCTTGGACACCCCCCCGCCCCCCTGCCTTTCCGCTATAGCTAACATGACATAATAGCCTTCCGGGTGCCATCGCCATGTACGGGCTCTCCATCGGGGTATCTAACATCGGCGAAACCCTTCCCCGGCCCGCCTACGCCCTCCTGTCCGGCCTTAACGCCGCAACAGTGGGCGTCATTGCCCTGGCAGCTGTGGAGCTGTCCCAAAAGGCCATCACCGATAGGCTGACCCGCATTCTGGTCTTCTTCAGCGCTTCGGCGGGCATGCTCTACAACGCGCTGTGGTATTTCCCGCTGCTGATGGTCATCACGGGGTGTGCGACGACGATATTCGACTACCGCTGGATCCACCGGCCCGTCACCTTTCTACTCAGGAGACGTAGGCTACCCAGGACAGGACACGCCCACGAGGCCGGCAACACGACAGAAGAGCAGCTAACAGACGTCCCCGCCCGGGGCCCCCACGATGACGACACCCCCGCAACCAGCAGCACCCGGAACACAACGGGCTCGACACACGCCTCGGAGCCGACCCTCCCCTTCGCCTCTCCAGCAACCCGCTCGACAGCCGAAGACGAGCCGCGCATAGTGCCCCGCGACCTCCGCCTCTCCATCACCTGGAAAGCCGGCACGGGCATCATCGGCGCCTTCCTCGCCATCTTCGTGACCATCATGGTCCTCCGCAGCACGCTCCACGACCCCCCCTTGCCGTTCCGCCTCTTCGCCAACATGTGCCTGGCCGGCACGATAATCTTCGGCGGCGGCCCCGTGGTGATCCCCCTGCTGCGCGAGTACGTCGTCGCCGAGGGGTGGGTCAGCCCGCGCGACTTCCTCATCGGCCTCGCCGTCGTGCAGGCCCTCCCCGGGCCAAACTTCAACTTCGCCGTGTTCCTCGGCGGCCTGGCCGCGACGGCGGGGTCGGGGTCGGGCGGCGGGGGGGCCGGGGCCGCCGTGGTCGCGTGGCTGGGGATCTTCGGCCCCGGGATGGTGCTGGTGCACGGCACCATGGGGATCTGGACGTCGCTGAGGGGGAGGCGGTGGGTTAGGTCTGTGCTGAGGGGCGTCAATGCCGGGGCGGTTGGGCTGATTTACACGGCTGTGTACCGGATCTGGCAGGTTGGTTACCTCGATGAGGGGTTTGAGTTTGGCCGTAGTCTGGGTGATGACCCCTGGTGGCTGGTCGTGGCGGCGACGAGCTATGTTGGGGGCTGCTGGTTTGGGGTCAAAGCCCCCGTGGCTATTCTTCTTGGAGCGGCGTTGGGCTTGATCAGATACGCTATTGTTTCTGCTTGATATTGCGTTTCTTTTCTGGCGACCGGAAATACCCGCGTAGATATTACACAATCATGGACGGTGAGGCCGTTGACTTGGACGATTAACCTGAACCGAGTCGCGACCTCCTCTCCCTCAGTGTGATATCCGACAGGCTGGCTGGTTAGTGGAATTATAAGTCTGGGTAGAACAGCAAGTGAATGATAATGCAGAAGTCAGGGTCTAAGATACAAGAAAAGAGCCGATAGACTGGCATTACCTTAAAACTCCGGCACCAATACAAGAGACTTCTTGCTGGTAATAGAACATAGTCTGGTGAGAGAACTTCAAGGCTGGGGAATCCGACATATTGGCGTTGACATGAGATGGAATACGCCGTCGTCATTCAGCCTGTGACCCCCATTTCCTCCCCCACCCCCCCCCCCCTCCCTTCGCATATTCATATCCCCAAGAACGCAAGGTTCCCAAGCTCCTGTGGGGTTTTGGCTGCTTTCCAAGCCTTAAGCCCCTTCCCACTACCTGAAGGTTATCGATGGCAGGAAGCGATCATTCCACGACCGTTTGCATTCGAGGTGTTTGGGCGGCGGCGACGGTAGTTGGAATGATGGTGGTGGGAGAGAAAGAGTCGACGGAGGAGAAGAAGGCGGCGATGAGATCGGGCCGAGTGAGGATGGAACCATCACCATTCCGTCGTAATCTGCCTCCGGAGGACTGGAATGGAAAGGGTCCTCAACGTCACTGTATGGTAGCTCCTCTCTAATAGCGGTTTGGCCCTGCGCGCGCAAGAGTATGCTATCTCTTATCGCCAAGAGGGCGGACAAGACTCTCTCTGGCGAAGGTGGTTGACGCGGCTCATCAACTAGATGGCTGGGCGGACTTGGAGCCCCCTGGGGCTGACGGGATGATGGAACCGATGCTCCTGCAGCCTGTGGTGCCTGTGGCAGATTGCTTGACCGTGTTGGTGTATTGGGCGGTTGTCGGAGCTGGGTCGTTGGAGGTAAAGTACTCTGAGGGTCGTTTGGGTTCATGATGGGCTTTCTCTTGACAAGGAAGGAGGCAAGTCGGTCTTGATGGATATGTGGCAGTTGTGGATGATAATACCTTGTCTTGGCTGACTCGCAAAGACGTATTGACAGAGGCAGGAGGAGGATAGGAGGAGGAGAGGTGCCTGGGGCGATATTTATATATTCATACTCAACAGGCAGTGAATAGTAAATTCATATCTCTGATATTCACCTGTGGAACGGTTTGCGGGAATCGTTGCCGGCATTCACTCCCAGCCAGAGGTTGTGATTGAGAGTCTCTGGCAAGAAGGTCGGAGCGACGGTTATATCCCTGATATTGACCGGATCGCTCCCGCCCAGGTGCGTATTCGAAGCATCTGCACGGGCAGCCCTCTCAACAAGCTGGTGTCGATTCTTTTGCGGACAAGCTATCGAAACGCTCCATCATGGATGGAGTCCCTGGGAGAGCGGTGGTGTACCCCGTCACCTACGACCACCTCAGATAAGATGCGACTATTGGGACGCAAAAAGCGAGCAGGATCCAGGACTGGCCGCCCAACTTCACGCCGCAGCAAAACGCCGACCGCCTGTGGGCTTTGCTATTCCCAAGCTTCTGTAAGCATGGCCACTCCCTTGCCAATATATCAGGTAGTCTAACATGAAAATAGACGACGAAAGGTGACTTCGATCCCGATACGAAAACCTGTCATAAATGCCGCCATCACGAGATGAAGTGCAGTTTCACGGATCAGCTACTTCTCAACGAGGGGCTCGGGACTAGAGGTGACATGGAGGGCCTGGGAATTCCTAATATGTTGAAACCAGAGGTCGTTGACTTGGTGCATCCACCATTCCCCGCTGGGAGGCCCAGTTGTTTGAAGAACAGGAACAGATTAGTCCCATCGATGAAACTAGGTAGGTGACTAACGGCAAGTATGGAGATACTACGTACATTCTATCAATAGAACCCACAGCTTGGGCTCCTTCCTCCCTCTCCGAAAAAGACGCTGATGGCATTATATGTGGCTCACAGTGTCAGGAATGTGATTGTCATGTGTATACCTCTGTATTGCTGATGACTGTTGATACAGACAGACGGGAGTTTTCGTCTGCCCGTCCTGATTCCTAGGCCTCTACAAGCCAACTTTATCAATCGCCAGTAACAGCACCAGGTGTATTCTATCTGTACTTTCTTGGTAGAATAGCTGCAATAGTACATGCAATACGACTGACCAGCCACATTAGCTACAAGACTGTCATTGCGTCAAAATCATTTTTGCCCAGCCTGCCCAACCTGACATGTCTTGCATCCTGCCTGTACGGGTCCGTAGTTATTTCTTTTCTCGTCTAGCATTGCCGTGGCGGTGGCTGTTGTGATCGAATTTGCGATTGAGGCGCAGTTATAGTGCTGAAGGAAGTGGGGCTCTACAATTCATCTGGCGCACTGGCTGGCCCTGTCATAAGCGGCATTTTGCAACCTCGTGATAAGGCATACTAGCCACTGAATCTACTCAGTCCCAATGTCGCGAGTTCGAGCCTCGCCAGAGGCTATCTCTTTTTTGTCCATATACCTTGTATTTTTGCCATTTACAACGTGAATAATTTAAATTGACTGTCAGGAGGCAGATTGAATTGTTGGTTTAGATGTATGTGTGTGGTGGTTGATTTTTGTTGGTGTGAAAATCTTGTCAACAGCCAGCTGAACGGCAAGTTATCACGTGATTGCTTCAGTCGCACACTGCTTTTTTACCAGAGCATTGTCAGCGAGGTGCTCCAGGGGCTAAGTAAGATAGGATTGATTAGCAACGATGACGTGAGAGAGCTTTCAAGCAGAATCCACGTCTTCCTCCTCGTTTGCCGCGCCCTAGGAAGTCATTGCGGCTACAACGTAGTACGCGGGCAGCGGACGCCAGGCTTTGGTGCAGCTCGTGGGGGCAATTCGTGGTGACGTCAAGGGCTGTCCTACGTCACGGCCCCCGTTTTCGAGGCGAGCCAACACTGGTGAGGAGCAGTCCATTATCAGCTGCTTCTGTATATCGATCGTGATCCCCAGGACATCTTCATCGAATCTCATTGCTCCAAATCTCCCGCAAAAATAATCAATAACCACTGAACAAGCCTTGATCACCAAAACCAAAATGTCGTCCAACAACAACGCCCACCAGCAACAACCCAACCAACCCGGCCTCATCGGCGGACACGCCGAGTACATCAAAGGCGTAGCCGAAGTGCGCAGCCCCCGCCACCACCACCTCCATCCTGTCCCATCCCATCCAAAGCTAACCACCCCCAAAAAGAGCACCGTAGGCAGTGTCACAGGCTCCCACGCCTGGACGACGTCGGGCGAGCAGGACAAGGCCCACGCACAGGCGTCGTTGCGCGCCGCGACCGAGAACCGCGACCCCGCCGCCAGCGGGTACGGCAAGGCCGAGGAGGTCGCCGGCAGGCTGACGGGGTGCGAGGGCATGAAGAAGGAGGGGGCGGCGAGCAGGAATAAGCGGTCGTCGTAGGTTGGGTGGGTCCGGTGGGTGCATGTATGATATGAGGATGTTGGGTGGGTGGAGAGATAGTGCAGTCAAAAAGGTCAAGGCAGAATTATGTCACAAGGGAACCAAAGGTGTGTGAAGTCTATCGCAGATAATTATTCCTATCTGATCTCTATTGCCCTGCCTCTGGCAGTCTGTATCCTTGCGTGTCTCGCCAGCAAAAGACATCCCGATCACTCGCCACGAGGGTCTCCAGTCCTCTAAGGCAAGCGATCCGACTCAAATGCAATCCACCTAGAGCAGGCCGACGATACATGAGACTCGAGAGATATTAAGGTCATCTCGAGGAAAAATCCCAAGGTAGTAAAATAGGAAAAAGACAGTTGCCAAACCATGCAAACCCCAAGCCGAAAAACGCAACTTTTTGTCTTCATCATGATGAACCGCAAAGCAAGACAAAGGGGAATTAAACAAGGGGAAAAAAAAAGGGATCCATCGTTTAGTCGTCCTCATCACTGAACACCTCCTCGCCGCGCTTCCGGCGAGCCATGCGCTCCTTCTTCTTCTTCCGTGCCTCGGAGCTGGTGAGCTTCGCCTTCTTCTTGGCCGCGACTATCTTGTTGCCCATGGCATCGAACTTGTCCTCCTCGTCGTCACCGTCCTCCTTCAGACGGGGACCGGCACCCTGGCCCTGGACCCAGTTGTGGCCGGAGGGCGTCATCTGGCCGTCCATGACGGCCCAGACCTCCTCGGTGAGATCCTTGGTGAACTCGGCGCTGTGAGTGATGATGATGACACCACCCCCGAACTTCTTGAGAGCCTTCGACAGGGCACCAAGGGAGTCACGATCGAGGTAGTTGGTGGGCTCGTCAAGGACGATCAAGTGAGGGCGCTGCCACGAGCAGGCGGCGAGGACGACCTTGACACGCTGACCACCGGACAGACCACGCATGCGCGAGTGGGAGACCAGCTCGGCGTCGAGGCCGAAGTTGGTGCAGTGCGTCTCAATCTCCTTCCGGACCAGAGGGCGGAACTGACCCGAGGCGAGAGCCTCCTTCATGTCAACCTCGGCGACGAGCTTCTGATGCGAAGTGAGCACCTCGGTACGGGGCAGCCACTCGTTGTCAGCCGACATCATGGGAGTCCAGCGCTCATTCTTCAGGCCGACGTTCTCGCCGAGGGCAAACGAGCACTCGTACTCGTAGCTGTTCTTGAACTTTCTCCGCGAGTGGATGCCGATGATGCGGCGCTCTGAGTCGTTGATCTTGTAGATCTTGTCCATGGCCTTCTCATCGTCCTCGGTGATGATCTTGTTGGCACGGTCCATGGTCTCACGATCCTCGCCGGTCTGGAAACGCCACTGGATGTACTCTGAAGGAGTTTTGTCCAGGTGGTTGTCGATGTGTGCGAAGGCGTGCTGCTTGATGTAGGCGATACGGATGTTCTCGTGCTGGTAGATCTCACCCGAGGTGGGGATCAACTCGCCAGTGAGGACGTTGATGAGAGTCGACTTGCCGGCACCGTTGGGGCCGATGACGGCAATACGGGAACCGAGAGAGCACTGGAAGCTGATGTTCTTGATCTGGGGTGCCGGGGTGCCGGGGTACTGGAAGTTCATCCGGGTGGCCCTCAGGATGGCCTTGGCCTTGGTCTTCACGCCCTCGAGGAAACCGGGCTCGGGGAAGCTGAACTCCATCTCCGAGGCGCCAAGCTCGTAGTAGGACTTGGCAGACGGGCACTTGCGCACAAACTCCTTGAGGTTACCCCTGTAGCGCTTGAGCTTGAAGCGCTCGTAGTGGACAATGTGCTGGCAGACGTTGTCGAGGAAGCCGCTGTCGTGAGAGACGATGATGGAGGTGCAGGGGGAGTTCATGAGATACTCCTCGAGCCACTTCACGTTCTTGACATCGAGATGGTTGGTGGGCTCGTCGAGGAGCAGGATATCGGGGGCCTCGAAGACGGCACGGCACAGCGCCAGCTTCATCTTCCAACCACCGGAGAGGGCGGTGATCTCGCCCTGGGTCATGGCCTCGGTGAAGCCGAACTCGAGGAGGCGCGCCTCGACATCCTCCTTGCTGGTAGTGACACCGGCATCGGCAAGCTTCTTCATGGTCCAGCTGATGGTGGTCATCTCAGTGTCGGCGGCATCGAGGTCGTGCTCAACGAACACGGTCTTGACCTCGCTCTGCTTGGGGAAGCCTTCGACCTGCTCATTGTTGATGGCACGCATGAGGGTCGACTTGCCCGAACCGTTGGGACCGCAGAGACCGTAGCGCTGACCACGCTTGAGGCGGAGGTGGGTCTGGTTGAGCAGGATCTTGGCACCGTAGGCAAGGGAGAAGGTGCAGTTGCAAAGATCCTCGCCCTCCTCGTCATCCTCCTCACCAGCGTCTTCCTCAGCGGCGCCGGGAGAAGCCTTCCTGCGGAGGGCGTCAACGACCGACTGGGAGTCGGCATCACCCACGACGACAGTGACATAGGGCTTGACGTTCTGGGCCCAGGTGGAAGCCTCGGTCTCCTTCTCATCAACGAGCTGGCCAGCAACAGCGGAGATGTACTCCAAGACAGGGGCCATCTTCTCAGCAACAGCGGCATGCTTGCCAGAGAGGACATCCTTGAGGTGGCCAAGGACAACAGCGATGTCGCCATCGTTGCGGGCCTCGGGGATCTTGCCGTCAACGACGTTTCCGACGCGGGCAAGGGTCTCAAGGGCCTGCTTGGTCTTCTCACGAGCCTCGGGGTCAGCCAAGTTGTCGTAGTTCTTCTGGAGACCGGGCATCATCTTGGGCAAGAAGGGGGCGACGATGTTCGGGTCGTCGACAAGCTTGCACATGTTGTCGACGATGACAGCGGCTTTACGCTTGATGGCGGTCTCGCGCTCGCCGAGACCACGGTCAAGCAGGGGAACCATGAGGGCGAGAGTGGGCTCCTGAACCTCGGTGACGAAAGTGGTGGCACCAAGCAGATGGACGGTCTCAGGGACATTCTCTGGCTTGGCGATACACTTGATAAGCTCGGGAATGAAGCGCTCGATATCCCTGTTGACAATCAGGGCGCAGAGCTTCTCCATGGTCTTGTAGGCGCGGTCCTTGACCTCCTTCTTGGTGTCCCACATTGCCTCGGAAATGACGGGGATGAGGTCGGGGACGCGGAAGGCCGTCTGGACGGGACAGTTGCTGACGAGGATATCGAGGAAGTCGAGAGCAGTCATCTTCTCGGGCCATTTCTGGGCATTGCGGAGGGAGTCGATCAGGGCAGGGAGGGTGGCCTTGATGGCGTTGGGGTTGACAGCACCAGCGATGGCAAGGGCCGCAGCGATAGCGGCATTCTTGACAGCGGTGATCTTGTCGCCGGCACCCGCCAAGACATTAGGGAGGAGAGCAACGAGGTACGGCTCGACATGAGCGGAAATCTCGGAATGCTGGGCGATGGCCTGGATAGCATGGAAAGCCTTCTCGCGGACGCTTGCGTCCTTCTTGTTGGCGAGTTGCTTCTTCAGTGCCTCGACGGTTCTAAAATTGGAACATCACATGTCAGCTTCGAAATCCCCGAAATTTTAGTGGGAGACCCAAAAAAAATTTAATGGGCAATTTGCCTGCCGCAAATAGGCTTCGGCTCAATTGCCGCCCGAGGCCAATTTTTTTTTCCCCAAAAAATTTGAGAGCCATGCCGCGCCAACGGAGTTCGCTGTGGCAAAGGTAATGGGCAGTCTGGGGATTGCCACAATTGCTCTGAATGTCCTCGACGCAGCAAACGTAGAGTCGAGACAACGAGCGGTGGGGCAGAAGTGCGGTAGGAGAGCAAGGAAATGATTATTTACCTGGTAGGGGCATCGAGATCCTCAATGCGACCGTTGATGAAGGAAGCAAGAGAGGTCGAGGCCTCCTGGACAGCAGCGGGCTCTTTGGCGATGGTGAGCTTCTGCATCAGCTCGTCGAGAACCTTGACGCTCTTGGCGTTCTCGGCGACTTGGGAATCGGTGATGGCAGGCATTATGATGGATGTGTCGTAAACGGTTCGTTTCGTGTCGTGGTGTATTTTGAAGGTGGAAGAGGTATGTGCCGATGAGGTTGAGGAGTCTATTGCTAGAAAACCGAAATGACAAAGAGCTCTAAATCGGGATCCGGTGTCTATTGAGGATCTATTCGATGATGCGAGTCTATCGGGGTATCTGCGATTCGCGTCGAGACGGAGAGTGAGCCCGCGAGAAAACTTCGATGGAGGGTCGAAGAGATCTTGCTCTATTCGTGGCTCTTCTATTCAGAAGTCGACGAAAAGAAGTAAAGACAGAGTGGAGAGCGTCCTGGGAAGGAACCACCGTCGAACCTGTGGCAGAAATGGAAAAGATGAGGAGACCTGAAGAGGAAAGAGGGAGAATGGGTGTGCGAGGAAGGGAACAGGAGAAGGGTTTTTAAATGGGAGGATGGGTTCCTAGGTGGCTTCGCCTCAAGCAACGACGAAAAAAAAAAGTTTTGGTGGTGGTATCCACCAATTGTTGCCGCAGCTGCGAGCTTTCTCCGATGCTACTGGCTTCAGCTAATCAAAGGTAAATTTAGGGCACGGAAGGGGCGATGCACTAGTACGTACCCGTCACGGTGCTACAAGGCCGATAGAGAACCCCGACTGAAAACTTTTCACTTTTCCATTCGACTGATTGTTTCCACGTCTCCTCGCCAGCTCTCCGTTCAGTTGGTCAAGGCGAAAAACTTGGTCAATTACCCCTCCATGATTGGCCCTAAAGGCGATCCTGACACGACGAATCCCTGCTTATCGCTTTATCAGCGACTAGCCTAGCCTGTTCTGGAATCCCAACAAGGCGGTGAGCCGGAGCGTTATGCAAAAATTTGAGATCCTAGCTCGAAAATTTTTGCCTTGCGCGCAAATAAGGTCTTGGAGTTTGCAATGGTAGTCTAGGTACCTGGCAGGTCCATACTATCACCGCCCCCAACCTTGTACCATGTCCCTTGCCACACTAACACCTGGGATTCTGGAGGTGGGCGGTGGGGTACCAAGCATCCATCCTTGTGATGCAAGGGACAACCTCCAAACTCTCCAAGCACGGTTTAAAAATCACATCCCCTGGCAGCTGCGAGGTGGCGAATGCCAGGGGTTCTAGGATTCTAGATTACCTTACTTACCTGAGCTACTCTACCCCGTGGAAAGCGCATTGCATCAAATCTGAAAACCTTGTCCAGACGGCAAGTGAATTGCGGGGGGCTGCTCGCCCGCCCACTTGGAGTTCTAGGCGTTGGGGCTGATGGGCAAAATACATGCCCCAACCTCGTACATTCCGCATTGCTCCGTTGGCATCCGCCTGCAAGCAAGTTGCCCGTGGTTACGGATTAGGTACCTATTAAGATGAGTCAAGCGGTGAGGCTCCCGGATGCAAATATCCATGGAAGGTATGGATTTAATGAGGCATGAAACCTGGCAATCCGAGACCGTGCCATTCCAAAAATGGCCATCCGATCATCTTTGCTAAACTCTATCGGGCCCATAAAGGAAACTCGCATTCAATTCCAGACAGGAGGTCTGGACAAGATCTACATGATCAGTTTGGTTGAGGCTGCAGAGTACAGCCAGCTCAAGAACCGAGGCTGACCGTTCGCAGCCCCCGTTGCCAGCCGTGCGAGTCAGCAATCAGCATAAACGTCTCCTAGTAAACTGTAATCCTGATCACTGTCTCCGTATCACCCATCGCTTTGCCACCGGTTTTGCTGTCCCGCCCCTTCGACAATTCGATTCTTGGCCCTAAATCCGGGACAATCCTGGAATCGTGGGGTACCTTATCTGAAAGCCCACAGAAAAGAAATTGCAGGGCATCCCTGCTTGGCGGTTGCCCCCGAGAATACGGCACGTGACTTCACCCCACGCGATACCCTTATGCATCATCTTGACTCCACCTGCTCACTCGCCCCTTTCATTACTTTCTTTCCCATGCCGATACGACGGGACTCGCCACTGGGCCGGTTGCCGGCCGAATTCTCGACCGGCCTGCCGGCTTTGCTTCTTCGCCCTTTCACCGGTGCCAGCCGCCCGCTCGCCTATGCCCAATAAAAATAAAGTAGGTGACCTGGAAAGTGTCATGACGATTTGACGGCCGACTCGCCTGGCCTCGATCCCGCGCCTATTCAGCCTTCCGAGTCTCCGCCTTCAACTGGCGGCCATCCCGCGAAGCGCTTCTACCGGTCAACCCGGTCAACCCTCGCAGTGAAACGCGTCGGTACCCTCGGTGGATATGGGCATTCGATGGCAACGGCGAGCCCGCCAACGGGGATACAGACACAGCCCTTGGTGCCGGGCAGCTTCAACCTAGATCTTGCGAACCTGTTCGAGTGCATGAACTCCTCTGTCGAGATGTTCGTCCAACACGAGGAGAGATCAAATAAGATCATGAGCTTGCAATGACTCTCTTCTTTATGCATACCTATCTCTAGAATACACATCCCGTCACACACCATGAAATTATGTCTCCACGTGCTTTCCGGCTCCCATGCTCCCATGCTATATGCCATTACTATTAACCACCTCAAGGCACGGCCTTCAGCTGGTGCACAGCCCTCCAGCTCGGATCATCAACAGGCACCTTGCGGCCCGCATAGCCGCCCTTCCGCGGCACCACAACCGGCGCAACCCCAGCGCCCACGCGCGTCGTCCTCGCCTTCTTGGGCGCCGCGATGCCGCCGTGCGCGCACTTGGCCCCATTGAACGCCGCGTCTGCGGCGGCCCTCCATGCCTCGGACACGTCGCCGACCATGGGCAGGGTCCAGTACAGGCGGCAGTCGGCCTCCTCTGCGACGAACTGGGCCGGCACGCCGTCGTCGACGTTGTCGCGCAGGATCTGGTCGCGCACGTTGACGGCCGCCGCCGTGCTGCGGCGCATCGGCAGGTCCGAGTAGCGCGACAGCGCCGCGCGCTGGGCCGCGTCGCGCGCCGACCCGAGCGCCTTGGTCGCGTAGCTGTAGATGTTGGAGAACTGCAGGACCTGCGCGCCCTTGACGCCCCCGACGCCCTGGATCGGCCCCGCCTTGGGCCGCCCGCCTAGGGCCACAGACTTGACTCCGCCGTGGATGCGGAGCATCTCCGAGGCGAGGGTGCAGGTCGAGGCGCACACGCCGTCGTAGAGCATGACGATGTTCTCGGGTTCGAATGGCTGTGTGAGGTTGGCCAGCGAGCCGTAGCCCGAGATCTCCATGCCCATGCCGAAGGTGTCGTTGACCGTCGTCAGCGGGTCAGTGAGGTTCCAGCGCATAAGCGCCGTGTACGGCGTGTCGCGGTGGATGTGGGGCGTGAACTTGTCCTCGAAGGTCAGGAAGTTCTGGTTTGTCAGGTTCAGGTCGTAGCGGTAGTTGAACCAGCTCTCGTAGTCGTTGATCTGGTTGCGATTGCCGCTGGTGTAGGGGTTGAGATTGGCCACCTCGTCACTAATGAGGTGGGCAATGCTGATGAAAGCGTCGTTGCCCTTCCAGCGACTGAAGCCGTCCTCCTGGACCTGGGGGAACAACTGCCGGTAGAAATCGTATCCTTGCAAGATGTAGCCTCCTCCATTTGCTTGGAAGTCGATGATCAGCTTCGTCTTGCCGGCGGCGACGGCCTGGGCAAAGAAAGATGCACATGTCTCCTGGAACTCGGCCGGCAGCTCGTTCTCGAACGCGAGGAGGGCGATCACGGCCACGTCTTCGAAGCCCTCGCCCGTGAGGTAGTAGCCCGAGACAACACCGTCGTCGGTGATGATGACGGGCTTGGGGTAGCCGGGCACGGTCACACCTTCGCCAGCTGCGGCGATCTCGGCAGTGGCACCCTCGACACTCGCCTTCTTGGGATTGCAGAACTTGGAGTAGAAAGAACTGCCGTCAACAACGCCGCTCATGTCCGTTTTCACGGCCGCCTTGTTCTCCAGCGTGAGGACGGTCCCGTTCTCAAACGTGAAGGTGGTGCTAGGGCCCTGGTAAATATACCGGATCCGACCACCATCCGAGAAGTACCCTTTGGAACCTGTGCTGGCGAAGTTTGCCTTCTCGAAGAACATGGAGTTGTACGCCGAGTCGACATCCTGGTTGTATGTCGCCGTGTTGATGGTGTCTTCGATGTACTTGGCGGCGTCGACGCCGTTGATCAGCTTGACGACGGATGCCTTGTCCGGCGCAGATATGACGTCCTCTAAATCGCGGTTAGTTTCTGGCTGGGGTACCTAGGTTCACAGCGGAGCCCGCTTCGTTCAGCACGTACCGTAGACCTTGATCACCGGCAAGGATTTGCCATCCTCGCTGATGGAAACCAGAGACCGCTGGCGCCTCCACTCGAACACGCGAGTCAGGGCATCCGGGTAGAAGACGAAATGGCCGTCGTGTCCTGGTCCGAAGACAGTCACGTACAGGTCCAGCTGGAAGGCATACTCGCTGGCATATTTGTCGGCCTCGAGGTTTGACTTGACCTTGGCCAGAGCAGCAAAAATGTCATAGCCCGGGTAGAAGTAGTCCGCGGGGGGGTTCGCCTTGTAGGGGGCATCACTCTGCCACTCCAGGTATGGCTCGATGGACTCGACAAGTGCAATGGCGCCAGCCTTGTCCAGCGGAATCGAGTTAAGGCACTCATGTGCGAGCTCTGCAGCCACGGTGGGAGTAGCTGGGTCTCTATGTCAGCCTCTGGGGCGATTGAAGGATTGGTCGATCTGAGCCGGGACGGACGAAGACTTACGAGTGGCAGAGATTTGTGCTGCCCATGAGCTGCTGACCAAGGCGCACGCTGCCGCCGTTGGCCCCGTGGTAGGTGTGGTCACCGGTGTAGTGGACGCGGGTTCGACACACGAGCAAGCACTTGAGATGCGGTAATACAGGTCCCCATTCTGGTTATCCTTGCAGTTGTTGGCGGCGTAGGACGGGATGGCGGTGGCCGCGACCGAGGCCGTGGTAAAGGTCGCACAGAAGGACTGGGCACTGGCAAGGCGCCCAGGAGTCTGCGTCGCCCGGAGGGCTCTCAGGCAGTTGTCGGCCGCGCAGTCGGCAGCGGCGAGCTCTGCGGCCCCAGCAAGGAGCGCCGAGGTCGCAAGGATGCTGCTCCGCATCTTCGTGTCAAGCTATGCTGCCGCAGCGATCTTGAACAGCGTTCACAATGGATCGTGCTTTGGGATGGCGTCGAGATCGAGACCAATTGCTACAGATAACAACCTAGAGCGCTCAATCGGTGGACGTAACCATGGGGAGAGAGTTAGCTATTTATTCATTTTGACTCGCCGAATGCATGGCATCTGCGGTCGGCAGGAAGCAGTTCCCGCTTCCCACTTCCATCCCAAGTTCCAGGTTCCACGTTTCCACCTTCCACTTTCTCCTGGAGCGTCCATGAGGGCGATAAGCTTTCTCGTCTTGCGCGGGTCCCTGCGGCGAAGACGCACCGCAACACCTCCTCCTCCCATGCGACCATGGTAGCATCGTGAGGACACCGGCGCGGGGAAAGGCAGGGACTACAGGAGCTACGATGGAGTTATTTGCTTGTGCGTCCTTCGAGCTTCCTTTCCGAGATGCAGAGCATACAAAAGGTTCGCCTGGGACGGGCTACTGGGACTGTTCCGTGGATCCTTCGTCGCCAAGAGAAGTCGAAGGCCAGGAGTTTTATTTTGATGATCCCGACCACCTACTGGATGGGGAAGGTGCACTCCCCGCTAGGGTCCCCCCCACCTATGCAAGGGTCCGGGCTCCGTGCCCCGGAAATTGGGTGGTTTGTTGGATTGCCCTTTCCTGGCCAAGCCCGCCGCATTCTGGGCAGCGGCCAAACAAGCTCTCTGCCAAGTGCGATCATCAAGAGGCGTCCCGGCTCAGCTCACAGGAAGACTCAACCTCGCTGCTGAGCGCTGCCATCTTCCAGTGTCAACAGTGACACTGCTCGGAACTGGCCTGCTTTGGGCTGTTCCTGCGGGCACACAGCATTGAGCAGTGCAGTGCAGGTACGAAGAGCTATTCTCCACTTCCAACGACGACGGAGGCATGCCAAGCAACGAAGTCGTGGCCCCCAATTTCATTCTTTGATCACGCCCCGGAACTTCTCACCCGCCAACACCAACGACATTTGCCGTTACCAGCGAGAGAGACACTCTCGGGTGGAAACCTCCCATCACCCATTGTACCCCGTGGTCCCCTAATAGGTGGATTATCTGTTTCTGGAGGAGTCAAAGGCCGCCCCCCTCCGGCCTCCGCAACCTATCCCTTTCCGGTCCTGTTCTTCTGTTCAGTTTATCCGCTCTCAATCATCACTGCCTTCGAAATATCGATTTCTTTGTCGAGCTGCCATATCCATTGGCAGGTGGGCTGCTGAAAACGATGGAAGCCAAAACATGCCATAGACCTTACCACTGCTTCGGTTCTCATCCCCAGAGTCATTGAGCGCAATGACATCGAAGACGGCCGTCCTCTCAGGGAGACAGAAGAAGACAGACTGATTGCTTGTAGGCATTATTTAGGAGTCAGCCTAGCATGAGACTGTTGCGGGCGACTAAACTACAATGTTCTCCTCACCTTCTTCTTTGTCCTGCTCTCGAGATCAAAGGCAGCGGAAATTCCAGAAATAGCTTTCTCCAGGCATTCTTTTTCCAGCGTTGACATGCTGCTTCCGCAAACGGAAACATTCTCACACTTTCGTATTCCCTCAGTTGGTCTTTGTTGAAGCCCAGTAATGCCAGCATTGCCTCCATGGCATCTATCTCCCCTTCTCTCTATCCGGCCCAACTCGACGTTTATTTCCACAGGTATATTATTTACTTACACTATCGTCCAAGTCGACCCGAGCTCTCCCATGACCCATCTCTGGCCGACAATTGATCTATTGAGAAAACATGAGCGCACCCGTAGCTGCCCTTGGGGAGCCTGCCCAGCAGTCCGAGGCCAAGGCCAGGTCAGGGTCCGAGTCGTCTGAATTGTCGTGGTCGACCACGGACAGCGAGACAGACACTGACGTGGCCGACTGGAAGCAAGTCCCCTTCAGCTTCCTGCTCACCGATAATTTGATATTGGCGCTGAGGGCGCAGAAGAAGCTCACCCTGCCCAAAGAACTGCCTCCGCTGAGCCCTCGCGCTCCCTCGAAACTGAGCCTCTGGGGACATTTCAAATTCGTTGAGTACATCCCGCCTTGGACACACCCGGACTGGAAAGATGACTCCATTAAGGGGAAAGACGGAGTGGCGGAGAAGAGACTCGATACCGATTACGGGGTGAGACGTCGACCTGCCCTGCTTCCGAAGGACGACCTGAAGAATCCCAGCCCTTACGCTCGGCGTTGGGGCATATACCCTGGTCGGAATGATGGTCGGTCGAGGTTATCTCCGACGGGTTCCACGACCAGACGCATCGGATTGCCGGAACCACTGGGGACGGAGGACAACCAACTGAAGTACTTTCTAACTGGGGAAGACTTGGCGAGGGAACTCGAGACGGAGGCCAGCAAGTTCGGAGTGCCAGTGATGGAATATCTGGCCGCCCTAAGATCAACCCCGATGCCGGCTGAGGACGGGTCTGCCCTGGGTGAGCTGTACAGCATGACCGAGGACGACAAGGACTTGCAGCGGATAACTTTCTATGACATGACAACCGATGAGGTGGCTGACCAACTGCCCCTGGTACCTCTTCTTGACTTGTTTGCTGACTTTGCTTCCCAAGAAAGTTGCCTATGGGATCCATACTGTCGAAGAGCTTGACTTTGTGCAGTTCGATATTGCTGGACCCCTGCATAGGTGAGCCTGTTGCCTTCAGCAGCTCCTTTTTCTATTCTTTTCTTCCTTCATGTCTTCTCTTGGCTAACATGATGGGTGTAGTCTCGTGTCGAGGCAGAGGTGGATGTCTACTGTCGACCGTGGCAGCACGAAGACCGAGCCTAGGTACCTCTACAATTTATTCGGTCGGCGAGGAGAGTACAGTGCCGTGGGTGCCCCCCTTTTCCCTAGCCCTCCGCTGGAAATTTTAAAATGACATTCTGACCCGTCACCCAAACCAGGACGATGAGCTTATCTGGATGGCTCTCCAGCCGGCTCTGCAGATCGTCACCCATGTCCTAAACACAAACCATCCGTTCTGGATTACCGTCATGGACGTGTTCCAGAGGGAGAAAATCAGCCACAGACGGAACCCGTTCGGCTCCTCAGGCCCGAAGCTGGTTTCTGTTTGGGAGTATCTCAAAAAGCCCGCGATGCCGGCTGAGGGCCAGACGTTGCAAGACGCCGGTTTCGACCTCAGCCGGGCGGCGGCGGAATATATGATGGAGCGCGTCGAAATAACCATTGGCAGCGCGTATCGGACCACCGGCAGCGGAGCCGTAGATCAGATTTGGGGCGCTACCACCATGATGAACGACACCGATGCGGCGATGAGGACGATTTTAATTGAGATTTGCGCCGAATCGATTTGGCCCTTGCTTGTTCCCACCTTCACTCAGGCCGAGAAAGCGGCCATTTCTTTCACGGTGGCATCGACACTTCTCCATGAGCTTGCTGTAAGCCCGTCCCCTTCCATCTTGACATGATCCGTCGTTTTGACAGACTTGAATGCAGCACGCGACCCACATGGCAATCAGGTGTTTGGTCGTGGATCCATTGAATGAGTACAGGGACGTTGCCCAGTTGGAAGACCTGGACATGCAAGTTCTGGCGGCCCTTGACAACGTGGGCAGGGAACTCCTGGGCGATGTTACGGCGGAGCCGTACTGGGAGGACGAACCACGGGATGAACTTGGATATGCTTTTGAGAATCAGGTCAGTCACCACCAGCATTGCGCTTCCCCTGGGCCGGCCTCGTCAAGACTCCATCTCACAAGCAGGCGCAATAGCTATGGGGCGGCGTGATTGTGAACCTCACCGAGCGAACCAACAGAAGTTTCGAGTTCATTAATCTCGAGGTTGGGCTCGAGACATGGCCTGGCGCCCGGGCGGACCCGCACAGTCTAGGGGGGAGAGTTCTCGTCAAGCCGCCATTGCCCGTGGACTCGATGGTCACTCCTCTACCCGTACAATCTTGGTCGAAACTGTTCACCAAGCACTTCTGGGAGCACAACTACAGGAAATACGGTCACCGAGCACTGAAACTGGTCCCGGACAAGCCAGTGCCGACCGTGCTCAACCGCCACTACAAGCGCCTGAGGGACTTCAAGCGCATCTTCGGCAAGGGTGAAGGGCACTGGCTGTACTATGCACTGACGAAGCTCCAGTTGGTGGGCAGGGGAACCATCCACACGTATCTGCGCGAGCTTGTCAACGACAGGATCGAGCACATCTGGGTCAGGAAACGCTGGCATCACGATTGCCGGCTGTGGTCGTACCGCAACAAGAAGCTCTCCAAGCTGTTCGACGCAGCCGAAGACTGGTCGAGGGAGCTGGCGAAGCACTTCAAGCTAATAAACGAGTCCGTCATGGACAAGACCAAGTCGGTCATGGACTACAACAACCGGGTCATGGGCGCCATGATTGCCGGGGTCGCTGGCGTTGGACAGATGCTGGATATGGCGACCTACACCAACATGCTCCTCCAGCAGCTGGACGCGGACTTCAACAAGCTGATCGCCGCCTACGAAGCCGTCCACCAGCACCTCCTCGTGGAGCTACAGCACATCCAAAGCCTCGTTGTCGACTACGTCCAGCAGAAGCCAGAGGACAGGCAGACACTCTACGACCGATACGGCATCTATTTCTATGAGCAGATCCGAGACACATTCGAGGATACCCTGGGGGATGCACTCGGCCACCTTGACCGTCTGGCACAGCTCTTTAGCAACGCTGGCAGTCTTACGCCACAAATCGAAGCCGACATCAAAAGGGTACGCACCAGCCTGCAGATCGACAAGAACCACTTCGCCCAGACCAAGGTCTACCTGCAGAGGGACTATATCCAACGCGTCGACGAAGGGTGGCGGGGTAGGTTCGCAACTGTGCCGTCGGGCCGCTACCATCGGCGCACCAAGGCGATGGAGAAGCTCGCGATCCAGGAGATGACGCAGTGCGAGGAGCCCGTCCAGAAAGTCATCGAGATGTTCGGCAGGATCCTCAACAAGCATACGGACTTGTTCAACACCGTGAACAAAAATCAGGAAGACGCGCTGACTGCCAGCCTACAGAAGACGCTGCAGGCGAGCCGCGAGAGGCGTGTCAAGGCCGCCGGCTCCCCCGTGTGGGCCGCCCTCAACGAGGCCCTCGGCGTGCCCAAGGACAACGGCATGAGATTTGCCAAGCCGGTCTACCCGAATCTTACGGATCCAGTTGCGATGAATGTCGACACACCGCCTTGGACCCCTGGTAAGTTTTGGATTTTTGCTGCTTTCCCCCTCTCCCTCATCCTCTCCGGCCCCGTTTCTCTCCAGTCTGTACCAATACAAAACCGGGCTCTGGCTGACAAAATCACCCATTCCACAGCAGTGACAGCCGCCACGACACGGACCTCGACGCCCCAGCACCCCTTCGCCCGCACCGTCGCCTTCGGGGTCCCCAACAAGCCCGTCCCCAGCCCACCGGGCACGCCCCCGAGCGGCGCCGCCTCCAAGACCTTCACGCAGTACGCCGGCGCGTCGAGCCCCTTCCCGGTGCAGTGGCCGGGCGGCACCTCGGTCTTCGCCACCAACCCCTCGACCGCCCTGCCGCCGCCGCCGACCAGCGCGCCGCGCGTCGGCCTGGGGGGCGCGCCGGTCCCGCCGGGCTGGAAGCCCTTCGGGGACCCGTACAGCGTCACGGCCACCATCTCCGAGGACCTCCATGGCGCCGCCCTGGATATACCCCATGTCGACCGGCTGTTTGGCGCCGAGGCGTTTATGCGGGAGAGGGCGAGGAATATGGAGGCTGGGAGGGGGGCGGGATCGTCGGGTGGGGCGGCGGGTACGGGGTCGGGGTCGGGGACGGGGGGAGGGTCGGCGGGGCCGGCTACGGGTGGGGGGTTTAATCGTGCTTTTCCGAGTGGGACGGGGGACTTCTAGGTTTTGGTTTGGGTTTGGTTCTGTGTTATTTGGTTCGTGTGGTTTGGGCTGCTGTGCGTTTTGGACGTGGCGAGGAGATTGGTTGAGGGAATGGGCTATGTAGGGTTGCGACATTTTGACTTTTGTCCTTGTTGTATGTCATGCTCGTTGGGTTTTGTATTCGCAGAGTCGTGAATTGAAGTTTTTCTCTTTACTTCTTGTGAACTGCTGCAAGTAAGCTTCGCCGTGACCTTGGTTGGGCGTCGGTGACGTGGGAAAGACAGACCTTAGTTGATGCTCCTGTGACGGTACAGTGTCTTGTTTCTTGTTGCCCTTTGGTGGGGTTACAAGTGAACCCCCTGGATGACCTGAGTAGCATGTCCATCTTCACAGCGCAGCTGAAACGTCTTTCTCAATAAGTGTAGATGTTTTTCAGTAGCGACTGATATTCAGAGACCCAGGGATACATTGGCTCGAACTCAGGGGCTGGTGAATCTAATGCTGTATGATGACGTCCAAGGAATGGATTCACAGCTGCTCTCTGTTCTCTTTATCGATTCCTGTATAGAGCCACTACCCCTGATCCGGGATATAAAGGCTACCCGCAGCACTTTCTGCCCTGCGGTTCGAGTGGGAGGAACACCCTCCATCTTCCTCTGCACAATAACACCAACCATTGTTCTTGCCTCTGCATTTCCAACCTATCCAATCTTCAAACAAACCTAGAGCCATGCCTTGGAAGTGGTCCGCCCTGACAAGCCTGTTGGCTGCAGCCTTGCTTTGCATCGGCGCCCAGGCAGCAGAATCGTCCTCGAAGGCCGCAACGGGTGCTTATTGCCAAATCAAAATTACGACCCTGTCCGTATGCCTGGGTCAATCCTATCCTACAGGGCACGCTGCTACTCCCTCCACCTCCTGTGCTCACTCTGCTGTGGCCACCTCGAGCTCGACCTCTTCCCATTCCAGCCATTCGACGTCGGGTTCTGGTTCCTTGACAACGAGATCCGCTCATTCGTCGTCAACTTCCAGCCATTCGTCGTCGACTTCCGGCCATTCGGCATCAAGTTCCAGCCATTCGGCATCAAGTTCCAGCCATTCGGCATCAAGTTCCAGCCATTCGGCATCAAGTTCCAGCCATTCGACGTCGGGTTCTGGTTCCTTGAAGACGAGTTCCACCCATTCGACGTCAAGTTCCAGCCATTCGATCTCGAATTCGGCTCCTCCGGCGGGGAGCTCCTCCTCCCCGGTTTCGGGCGGTTCTTATTTCTCGACTCGTCCGATGGCGACGACGACGATTATGGAGACGGTATTCGTGACTACTACGGCCACCACAAGTTCCATTAACAGCAAGAGATGCTCGAAATCGGGCACCAGTTCGGCTTCGACGCATTCGAGCCTTGCTGCCCGTTGATATTGGGCGAGGGTGGGACAGACATGCGCCCTGCAAATATCGTCCCTAGCATGGAAAAAGGTTCTGCTAGGCTGTTGATTAAGGGAACTTCGGGCGCTATTTTCGTATTCGGTGTAGCGATTAAATTTCCCCTCTTGCCTCTTTCTCCCTTCTGCTTTTTTTTAATCTTGCGGATACTCCCCAGATCCTCGGCGTGATGGAAATGGCAGCCAGCTTTCCAACCCCTATCAGAGATAGCCACTGTTGATAGACTTTACACTAACAAATCCGATTTTGGGCAACCAGCGAAGGAGTCTTCCTTTTTCATTGCCAACATTACAATCCTAGAGTAGAATTGCATCAAGCTGAATGAAGATCCTCTCCGCTGCCCTTGTACGCGGCCCAAATACTCGCTAATTACAATCAGTAGGATGCTCCTCAGTACTGTGGGGATCGTGAGAAGAGGGTGGGAAACGGGCAAGTTATGATGATCGTGGATCGGAAAGTCGTCGATATTGCACCATTCGATTGAACTCAGACAAGCCTGTGGTCCAACGCGTAGACAGCCAACGGGCCTGCGTTTGGTTGTCTAAGGTCGGAGTACCACTAATTATCTCGTGTTCAGCCTCGGTTAAAAGCGCCTGCTTGGGGGGCTGGCGATGTTGGGGTCATGTCGAACTAGGAATCCTGTATGCTGGAGCGGCTGACTGGCTCTTTCTTGAATTTCAATGCCATAACTTGTCGAGTCACCCTTAGACATCCGTCTGTTTAAACTGAAATTACGGACATATCAACCTCCACGGTATTCTTATCGCCGGACCGAGACCCAAACCGATTTTAACCATTCAACCTATATTCTGCTGTCTGAATCTGGAATGCCGTGCGAAGGTAGTCTCCAAATGGATGGGCCTAGCGACTGGCACGGTTGCACCGCCCCCCTTTCGCCAATAGTTTCCCGCTCGACTAATCACGATGTCGAGCTTGCGCCACAAACAGATCAAGAGTTCAGCTGACTAGGTACGGACTAGATTTGTCAATGCGTTATTTCAGCTGCTCCTATGTCCCGACGATGAGGGCAGTTTGCGCTTTCAAACCTTCACCTTTCATCCTCCAACTTTCTCCGGCCGATCATGAAGACTTCTCTACTGGTTGTGGCGGCGATGGCGGCTCTTGGCAGCGCCGACCTCATCCTTCACCCTGCCAAGCGATCAATTGCTGCCCGCGGCCTGTCGTCCTGGGGAGGGTTCGCCCTCCAGGCAAACCCCTGCCCATCTGGGACTTCCACCTGCCAGACCGACAGCTGTTGCCCAGATGGCTACACTTGCAACAGCAAGAGTAATACTCCAATGTGTTGCCCCAGCAGTAGGCTACTTACTCCCGCCATTGAGGCGCTTCCGCGATCCACGCCCTTTGGCGGCTAACTCGATCGCCAAACAACAGGTGCTGACTGCTCCGTGACCGTCAATGCTCTGCCTGCTTGCGCCGATAATTCGTGGGATTTATACACGTTTGCACAATTCTTCTGCTGTGCGCCAGACATGGTGGGCACATGGACTGGCGCCTCCGGAATACAATGCTTTTCGAGGGATCTCCCCATACCCGAGAGCATATCATTGACTATGGTACGTGCCTCATTCTAGCCCTGATTACGGCGCAACCGGGACGCTGATATAGGAGTAGGTTAGCCAAGTAACCGGAACTGGGGTCGGAGCTGGCGCTGTCGGTGCCACTGGCAGCATTACCTCGGCGAAGACCACCCCAGGTGGCAGCCAGGCGACCGGTACTGGAGGGAGTGGTTCGGGAAGTGGCTCGGGAACCTCATCCTCGGATTCAAGGACAGGGTCAGTCCCACCAGGAACTCAAACATCTCAAACATCCCGGTCGTCTGAGCCAGGAAGTACTGGATCACCCGTGTCTAATGGATCAACTGGCAGCTCTTCATCGCATGGCCTCTCCCAAGCCGCCACCATCGCCATAGCCGTTCTTGCTACCGCTGTGGGGATGTTGCTCATCTTCATCATCTGGCGGTGCTGCAAGAGGCAAAGTAAGCCACAGGGGCATATGCCGCAGGTACAGGAGCATCGGCCGCAGCCGCAGACGCAGGCTCAGACGCAGCAGTATTATCCCGTGTCTCCCAATCCGCCACCATCGGAGCGCGCCGAAGGGACTCACTCTATTCCGCCCCCTTATAGAAGCCCACCTCCTCAGGCACGAGAGGTATCTGGGGCAACAGCTTTTCATACCGGGCCCGTCCATGAGACTGAGGCGGTTCACCGCATCGAGCTAGAAGGCAATGTCCGAAAGTAAAGCTTGGTTTGGCGGGAATGGTTGTATTGATTCCGGTTGATACGTGTAGTTATATTTTTTACATGTTTTGAGAGAACTCTTATACTAGCTTCTATAGACTTGACCAATCCTTCTTTTTGATATTTGCTGTCTTCCTTGTGAAGCTTAGATTCAGTCACTCACCCTACTTACAGGTCTTCTCTCATAATCTTCTCTCATTAAACCCTTCTGATAGCTAGTCTCAAGAGTGTACTAGATTCTGACGTCTTTTTGAAGGATGCCAAGCGACGGCCCCCAAGCAACCCGTGACGAGGGGATGAACGTAAAGTGCTTGCTTGCATCATATTGTCGTTTTCTGACGTTTCTTTGCCAACCCAACACGTGGGTACCTTGGCAATGCAGTTTTGTAGACTCGACGTACGGATAGCCTCGAGAATGGTTAGTGTACGGCTTGGTTGACAAACTAAGGGTTTGTATGGGTCGTAGGTCGTAACCATGGCCCTCTCACACATCACACATTACACATCACACCGCCTTCTTCGTTATCCCAGAGCGGTAAAATGAAATGGCTGAGTGGATGAACGAATTGACACATCCTTCAAGCGATGGTGAAGTGAGTGATAAGAAACGTACGCAAAACCTCCAGAGAGTTATGTCCTAAATGTGCCCGAAGCTCTTGGCCTTTTATATCAGCATATAGAGACGTTGTCAACAACTAGGGCTACCAGTCTACCTACAACTACAACATACAAATTGGTGGTGGCATGATTAAACATCAACACTTTACCTGAAGCCCCTCATTTGGCAAGGATCCCACCCGGACGCAGCCGCCGTCCGTTGGTTGTCTCGCACATTAACGGCCACAGGCAGAAGCGCATTCCCTCATTCCAGGAAAGGGACAACACCGAAACCTCCTCACCTCCAACCCGCGAACGACCAAATTGCCAGGAGCCGAGTTCCCATCGCAGCCCACGCGCGGCACAAACCCTAAAAATGCGGAGCTCGATCCGACGCGTCGCCCGCGTCGCCGGCATACGACCCTTACACACCACCCGCCGCCAATTCTCTCTAATACCATTAGCCCATCCGCAAACCCGCCTCAACCACACCAGCAACCCGCCCGACTTCCCCTCCGCCTCCCCAGACTCAGCCACCAAAACAATGATAAATCAAATCCCCCGCCCACAGGACCCTCTACGGCAGACAGCCCCGGGCCACCCTCCACCCCGGCCGCGACCTGGTCACCCCGCAGCGCTGGCTCCGGTCGGGCGACTTCGGCGCCGGGCCCGGGCAGCAGCAGCAGCAGGAGGGCATCGAGGTCGTCACGGGCCAGCGGTGGGCGCGCGTGGACCTGGAGAAGATCCTGCGCAGCGACGGCGACGGTCACGGTGTCGTGGAGCGGGACGACAGGGGCTGTTCGCGGACTCACGCGACACCGACAGACCCGGCCGCGGGCCTGGAGCGTCTGCGGGAGCGCCTGGCTGCCGACGCCGAGACGGAGGTTCTGGAGCTTGTGGGGGAGACGCCGACGGAGGCGGCGTGGGGGGTTCTGGGGTCGCGGGTGCGGGGCGTGCGGTGGCTGCTCGTCGAGGCCGGGTTCGAGGAGGACTGGGTCGACGCGGGGTTCCCGCTGGGGTGGCCGCTCGAGCTGCTGGTCGTGTCGTCGGCGGGCGGGGACCTCGTGGGCACGCCGGCTGTGCTGGAGGGGAGGGTGCCGCACCTCGTGCTTGTGCGGACGTGTAATCTGCGGTTCGAGGGACCGGGGAACGAGGTGCTTGATCGTAGCGAGGAGCTGGGCTGCGAGGAGGAGGAGAGCTTCAACAAGGCGAGGGAGGAGGGCAAGTCCGGCATCAAGTGCATTTTCAGGCCGGGAAGGGCCGCTAAGTGGCTATGTAACAAGTACCTGGGCGAGAGGGAGTGGCCAACGCCGGCACCGGAGGACTGTCCGCCCTCGCGGCTGAAGATGCTGGAGATCCTGGAAAACGACGCCATCGACACCTTCCAGCGCCTCGCCATGGCCCACAGCCACCTCGCCATGGGCCTCGAGCGGCTGTACCTCCGATCGACGACCGAGAACGACTTCGTGCTCACGCCCGAGAGCATCTTCCCCCAGCTCTTCCCGGCGATGCACAACCTCAAACACCTGCAGCTGATCCTGGACTACCCTTTCGATGACGGCACGATCCTGCCGACCCTGCACCGGTCCCTGCCGCCCAACCTGGAAGCCCTCGAGTTCCGCGGCCCGGTGTCCCTGGCCGCGGACGCGCGGTTCGACGACTGGATCGCCGCATTCGGAGACCCGGAGTTTCTGCCCGCCCTGAAGAGGCTCAGCTTCGCCCTCGACCTGGGCAAGGAGCCGAGCGAGGAGGACGCCGCGTCGGGGGCGTCCCGGGTGGTGGAAAAGCTGCTGGCGGGGGCGGCCGCCAGGGGTGTCGTCGTGGATGAGTTTCGCGACCCGTGGCACGGCGTCTTTTGATTTCGATTAATGACTGACGACAACATAAGAGAGAGTTAGATGTCGCCATGTAAGAGCAGTGGCGTCTTGCGGCGTTTTTGGGTGCAATTTGCGCAACAGGAACTCCCCTCAGTAAGAAATTGCCTCCGCAAGGAACTCCCCTCCACAGAACTCCCCTCAGCAAATGTACAAATTAGAAACAATTAGAACCCCAGCCCAGAGCGGTCGGGGTTTCGCAACAATAAACTCCCCTAGCAAGTGTATGGATTGGGACCATTAGAATCCCATGCCATTCTGACCCTCCGTCGGTCCTATGGAGACCAGCAGACCATGCCAGCTGCCCAATGCTTTTGTGAACCCGATGTAACTTTAGAACTCGATTTCAATTTTGTGAGCGGGGTTCTAAGCTGCGTTTCGTGGGAAGGGGCTTGCTTTGAGAGGTATCCCGGCCCACGTTTGTTCGTCCGCCTGGCCCTAGTCGCTAAAGACAAATGACATCGACGACTCCGACGACCCCGTGTTGCCATCGGCAGACAGAGATTCCGTCGACTCGGAGCCCGGAGGCGATGCATGATTGAGGCCAACCAGATATGTCCTAGGAAATTCCAGCAGCTTCTTCATGTGCGGGACGCCGCCGTGAAACCTCTCCAGGTAGCGGCAGATGGCTTCGCACTCCATCTGGAGGCGTCGCCCCGACCACCACGGCGACCGACCGCGGAGCTTCGCGATGTAGTACGCCAGGAGTAGGACGGCGCGGTGGTCTTTGGCCTCGATTAGGGCGAGAAAGTCGGGCGGCATCAAGATCACGAAGCCCATGAAGTGTAGGAGAGTCTTCTGCGAAAGTTCAATGGGCATCAGGCGACCCAGCATAGCCGCGGGGCGGTAAAGCGGGTTGGTCTCGGGGCTAGAGCCTGGTCCAAGACCACAGAGCTCGAGGAGCTCGGCTGGAAGAGCCTTGAATGACTCTTGGTCGCTGACCTCAGCCATCATATTGTCGTAATGCTCCAATGCCATAGGCCGCAATATGCTGTCGGGACGGAGAGGGTCGGCAATCTCCCAAACCACCTTCTTGCCCTCGCCCAGCTTGAGCCAGTCAAGATCTGCGACCGACGGTGGTCGGAGCGGCCAGCATTCTTCCGGGCTGTCTCCTTGTACTTGGCCCAGAGTCGTGCAGCCTAGGATGGCTGACGCCATCCATATAGCATCTCGGTCTGACGAGGTCAAGGGGCCTGACAGCTTGCGGTTGAACTGCGAAGTGGCTTCGGTCCAGTGATAAAGCTCCAGGACACTTTGCTTTGTGCTCCACGAGTCTGCTCTGTCATGCATCATGGTGAGAGTCAAGGCTGCGTGCAGGAGGAAAGGGTGCTAGTGCGGCGATCAGCAGGAGTCTGTAGACATGACGCAGAGAAGGTGGCGACGCACCTGGAAGGCTAGTTTAGTTCCCTCTCTCTGAAGGACGAGGCTTGTCTTCTCAGAGCCAAGGGTGAGGACGGTCCGTTCACGGAACCGGTTGAGCAAGGCGAGATCACGGTTATTTAGCTGGAACGCCCTCCCGCCAGGTGACTGTCGCCTGATGGAGTCGTTCAGGGTTCCTAAAACGGCACGGTTCACAGAAACGGTTGTTTGCGGGGCTCCGAGGACAAAGGCGACTTCCTCAAAAGGTTGCAGCGCGGAAGAGATCCGATCGTAGGTGCACGAAACTCCGAAAGTCTGGCACTTTTTGCAGCAAGGTCTGGATTCATCACACTATGGAGGGCGTTTAGGATGACGTGTCTCGCAAACAACTCGGCTAAGGAGCTTCACCTTCACTCTTCGAAGTTTGCAGTTGCCGCAGCCGCCACGGGATTTCGTGTGGGCCCGGCGCTTTCGTGCCGAGTCGTTGTTGGCGACCTGGAGCGGGTTACGGGCCGACATGGTGACGCGCTATGACACGCGATCAAGGCGCACTAAGCCGGCTTGGTGGCGGAGGATCTGATCAGTCGATTACCAATGGATAGTGCAATGCATGCAAGGCGCTTGCAGGCTCGGCGTATGCTTATCACCGGCGGGCTGGAGTTAGCGACGCACCGAAGATGGTAAGAGCACAAATGTATTGCGAGAGACGGGAGGGAGCGTCGTCGTCGAAAGGACAGGAGTTGAGCTGAGGCTCGACATGATGCATTCCAACAGCTCCTTGACGTCCGATTGGACGGATTTCTCCGACGATCGACTGCGCTAGCCGGTTATCGTATTGTTAGAACTACGCTAACTACTTTCAGTTGTCGCGCGCACCAACGACCCCACTGCATGATGGCCCATCATCCTCCATCCTCATCAACCTGTCCGGCTTGCAAGTCGGCGATTACGGATATAGGATATTCAGCGAAACTAAATCCTTCATTCACAACGATGATGAAGAAATATAATGGGAGTTCGACAATCGCCGGTAGGAGAGAAGAGGGAAGAACAGAATCAGTACTATAAGACATCCAGAAGCGCAATCGATTCAGGCGTGGATAGCCTCGCAACCACCATCAAGTAGCAGTCTTCTTCTATTCGGCACTAGTATCATCCATCAACAATGGATTCTTCGTCCCTTCCACCCACCATGAAGGCCCTCGTGTGCCCTGAGGCAGGCCAACCCTTGGCTCTCCAAGTCGTCCCAACCCCGACCGCCGTCCACGGCAGCGTCATCGTCAAGATCATCGGGGCCTACTTCGACGATACGATACCCTTCATCCTCTCAGGCAAAGGCCCCTTCAGCTTCCCCAAAAACCTGATCCCTGGCAGCCGAGCCATCGCCCGCGTAGCAGCCCTAGGCCCGGACACGACAAGCCTCGAGGTGGGCCAGCTGGTGATGCTAGAGCCCTTCCTACGGGCGCGGGACAACCCGCGAGTGGAGATCCTATGGGGCATCTTCGACGGCCCCACCCCAGCCAGCAAGAAGTGGGCGGCCGACAACTGGTCCGCGGCCGGGTACGCCGAGTACTGCCGCGCGCCCCTGGAGAACTGCCACGCGCTCGACGAGCGCCGCCTGTGCGGCAGCGCTGCCGACGGCGGCCTGGCCTACTCGCCCGAAGACCTGCTGCACCTGCCCACCCAGCTGATCGCCTACAGTGGCCTTCGATCCGTCAACGTCCAGGCCGGCGAGACCGTCCTCGTCGCCCCCGCCACCGGCTCCTACAGCGGCGCCGCCGTCCAGGTCGCCGTCGCCATGGGCGCCAACGTCGTGGCCATGGGCCGCAACGTCGCCGAGCTCAAGCGCCTCCAGGACCTGTTTCCCGGCCGAGTCAGCATCGTGCAGAACACTGGCGACGTCGAGGCCGACGCTGCGGCGCTGCGGCGGGCAGGAGGGGAGATCGACGTCTACCTCGACATCTCGCCAGCCTCAGCCAATGATTCGACACACGTCCGCAGCTGCTTCATGGCCGTGCGGCAGTACGGGCGGGTGTGCCTGATGGGCATTATCAGCCGCGATCTGGCCATGCCGTACCAGCTGGCCGTGTGGAACAACCTGACCATCAAGGGGCAGTACATGTACGAGAGGGAGTACGTTCAAGGGCTGATCAAGCTTGCCGAGAGCGGGGCTCTCAAGCTGGGCAGGGAAGGGGGGGTCGAGATCGTGGGCAAGTTCAAGCTTGAGGAGCTGGACAAGGCCATTGCGGCGTCGAGGGCGACTTCTGGGTTCGGAAAACTAACCATTCTGGCCCCATGAGTCTAAGGCTCAAGATTAATGAGTGTCCTTAGCGAGAGCTTGCACATTATCCATCTAATAGCTACACTATGACCATCCGCAGAGCAATATCGCAAGTGATAAACTTCCGATTCAGACCACTTCTACGACCCAGCTAGGTACTGTATAACCCATAGAGTGATGAGCCGTACTTTCCTACTATCAGATTACAAGAGCAACTGCTATTCTTTTCCAGGCAAGAAAGAGACTATACAAGGTGGTCGATCGAATACAGGCAGGAATATTTGGTCAGAGGGGTTGCTATGGGATAAGTGAAAAGAAGAACCAGAAAGAAAAAATGTTTAAAAAAAAGCGTCGTAGGGTGGTGTAAGGAGCCTGCCTTCAGAACGGACTCAGAGGTGGCTGTCGTAGGCGCGACGGTCAGCATCGCATCTGACCATTACACTACCCTTTATTGTACCAGGCCACTTAATTTCTTTATCAACCCAAGGTCTGGTCCAGCCGACGAGGAGCATGTCAACAAACCTGGAAGTGGATCACCTCTCCTGGGGTCAGAAGCTCGACCACTTACCAATTTGGGCCATTAGCAATGGAGACCTACAGTAACCATTGCTTCGCTCTGAATCACCGAGACGCGGTCCCCTCAGACCGGAACCCTCACACAACCTCCCCAACTACAACCTCAGGGCAGCCCTTTTTTGCCCTTTCTCCCCCCCATAACTATTCGCCCGCCGCAAACCATGTCTGCAGCCTACCATCACTATCAGCCACCCAGAACAGTCAGGAGAAGAAGGGTGGGGAACAGAATACTCACCTACTCCGCAATAGCATACGCCGTCGAGCTCTTGTACGTAGCAGGCACAAGCACCACGACCGAGCAACCCGCCACACTCAGCCCCCGCACCCCATGCACCGTCAGGTCCGGCCCGAACACGCCTCCCATCCACAAGCCCGATCCGCGCCGCCCCGCTCGAATGCCCCTTACTCGGCCACACATTGGCGGTGATCCACTCCGCATCATCCTCCGCACTGCCCCCGCTGGGCCGGGATCCGTCTCGACGGGTCCAAACTTCCCCTCTAGAGCCTCGAAAGCCATGAACCCCCGGAGCCACGCCATCGCCGAAGCGCTGGGGCGCGTACTGCCGCGCTAGGACCTTGAGCTACTCGGCGTAGCCGGCTGGGAGGGTTGGGTAGGTGTCGGCGGGGAGGGGCTTGGAGTTTGGCCACGATGGCGTCGGACTGGTTTGTCACCACCGAGAGGGGGAGGAAGGCCGATGTGTTGACACGCATGCTTAGCGGGCCGGTCTTGTTTGCGTGCCATAGGGCTGCGGCCTTTGCGGCGAATGTGGCGTGGCGGGAGGACGGCACCATCCCCATTGGCTTTGAGGTAGGTCCAACCTACATATGCAGTGTTCCCTGCGCTTAAAGCAGGTGGGGGGGTAGGGGGGCTACTTACCTGGTAGGTATACATAGTGGCAGCCACAGCCGGTAAGGAGCAGACGGCAGAATGCGGGCTGCATGCGAGTCAAATGCTGCTCCCGCTTCCGAGTGGGATGATCGGCGTGCTGTTGGTGGCCGGATATGCAAGGGCTCCCGCGGTGGTGTGCTGCATGCTGAATCGGGAACAATAGACAACGAGGTGCGAGACCGACATCGAGGGACCAGGTTCCTCCGGCATCCAATCCCTATTCCCAGAACCGCCAGAAGGATACCATTTCCCTGACTGGAATAAAATAACGCCTTGATATTCAGATACCCTATCTTTGGGTTGGCAGAACGCCTGTCAAGACGGCTGATATGCCAAAATTCTAAAGTACACCCTCTCGCATCAGATAGGTCCAAGTAAATCTACCCAGCCTGTCCAGCGTACTGAACAAGGCAGTTTTCCCCACAATATATCCCGCAATGCAATGCCCTCAGAGAGAGTCAAACCCCAGACGCCGTGCTCTTGGTGCCACCTTCGGCAACACTCCCAAAACCCATTCCCAGTGGCTCTCGTCAACAGCTAGCCCAAGTCGTATAATACATCCATCTATCATCAAGTCACAAATATCCCCGCAGATCACACCGGGGCCGGCGTCTCTTGCGCTCCACCCCCGTGACCCGCCGCCCTCGGGCGAGAGTACGTCCTGCCGACACCAGCCAGCTCCTCCTGTATCAGGTGGTACTCGTCGAACGGCGCGATGGCCCAGGGGGCCCTGCCAGATATCTCAGCGACCTCGAAGGGAGATCCCCGTCCTCGGCAGGCGGGGTGATCGCCCTCGCCGTCTTCCCCATCCAACAGGGCCATGGACCGGCTGCTCCGGTCCGTGAAGCTGGAGCAGCAACACGTGCTCGGGGCCGTCGACGACCCCGCGGCCGCTTCCTTGCAGTCGCAATTCGGTACGCGCTCGGAGGCGAAGCTGTCCGCCCGCCAGTTGCGGCTGCGATCTCGATCCCGATTCCGCCAGGCGACGTGTGACGGCTCGGAGCCAATGGTGGGCGGGCGCTGGTACGAGCCGGGGCCAGCGGCAGCGGCTCCGGTGGGGTCGTCGTTTGCCGGGTCGGAGGGGCCGAAGATGCGGGACCAGAGCTTGGCGGCGAGGGGGCGGAGGGTGGTGAGGCAGGCGCAGGCGACGGCGGCGCACGGCTCGATGCAGGTCAGGTTGGCGATGGAGGCGGCGTTGAAGCTCATGTCTGGGTCGGGGAAGCTGACGCTTTGGAGGATTTTGTAGAGTCGGTATGCGGAGATGAGGACGACGCTGCGGAGGGTGGGGTTGTTAGTTCCTGCAGCTTGGCTTCTACCGGGAAGGGGGCGTGGGGTGGGGGAGGAGGTCGGGGGAGACACACAATAAGCCCAGCATGAAGACCCCACAGAGAGCAATCCTCTGCCGCCGCGGGATCGTCATCGACACGACGACGGGGACGGGCAGCAGGAAGATGAGGATGTCGGTCGACATGTGTAGGCCCGAGGCGGCTAAGTAGACGGAGCCCGGGTGGGTGTACACAACTGGCTTGGACAGGTCCCAGAAGCTGTCCAGAGGTATGCGGCTGGTGAAGTAGGCGCAGATAATGAAGAGCTGGCTGACGAGAACGATACCAAAGAGGATCTTGGTCATTCGCTGGGCGTACTCGAACGTGAGGATGCGGAGGTAAAGACATAGGATGGAGAGCTTGGTGAAGCCCAGGCTGAAGTTGTAGAAGGTTGTGGCGAAGTAGGTCCACTGGGTTGCCGCAGGCTGTGTCAGCAGGTTCTGCGTGGACGCGTGCGAACATCCCGGGTGTCGGATCTTACCTTCATGTAAGTCTGCATGTTGTGCTCCATGTAGATGGTGTGCTTGCCCAGGCCGGCACTCACGACTATAGATTCCGTATCAGTCACCCACCCACGAAGACGCATCACACCAGGATTACCTACCGACACCAATGCAGGCGCAAGTCCCGATTCCGCACAACTGGTCACGGTCAGCTTTACTCCGTCTCAGCTTTCCCCGGCCATCGCTGGGGAACGCACCAGAGCGAGCAGTATCAACCAGTCCTCCCACCCAACGAGTCGAACGAGGGATGCGCGAGTGTAGAACCGCAGCGCGACGAAGATGCTTGATATGACGGCGCAAAGGATTGCGCAGGCGGTGACGGACGGGCCATTGTCCTCGTTGGGGTCTGGCAGGGCCGTTGCCGTTGCCGTTGCCGTTGCGGTGTACTTGACAAGATTGAGATCCGAGGGGGACATAATTCAATTTCTCGCAACGGGCTCTCCTCTCCGCCCGTTGTGGTTGGTGAATGATCCACTCCAATCTCTCCTGTCTCCTCGATCCCGAGTTCGACTTCTGCGCCGAATGTCGTTCAAATCGATCGCCCCGCCATTTGGTTTGCCGTCGACAGTCGCTGCAAGGGCGGCGAGCTTGTGAGGTGTTAAACTTGGGGTGTTGATCGGGAATGGTGGGGAGGAAGGGTGGGCCATTGGGGATTGAATGCCGGGTCAGGGGAAACATGGACAAGCGTTTGGCGGGGGTCCTTTTCCGCCATGCTGGGCCCATTGCTATTGGCCGTGGGCGCCAGATTGGCAGATTGACGACTTGGATTGGTCCCACGTTGAAGGCGTCAAAGCGCGAATATTGTGTACGTAATCCTAGGTAATCCACACTAGCCTATATTCGGAATGCTAGGCCGCGACCGGTGAGAACTTCGGCAGTTTCATTTGGGAACCAAGTCACTACGATACATACTAGACACGCAAACTTCACGTCCCACTCGACGAACCCGAACCCAGGTCAACTCCTTTTGTTTTGTTTTGTTTATTTTCCCCCAATTGCATCTGTTCGACCAGCTGTGAGCATCTGAGAATCGCGTCGCGGTGATTATCGTAGATACCTTTTTAACCTGGCAGCCATCTCGGCATCGAGCGAGACATTCCGACCTCCATTTACCGGGCCGTATAACCACCGTCGATGACAATATTCGTGCCGGTAGTGTAGGTGCTAGCATCGCTGACGAGGTAGACATATGCGCCTTTGAGCTCCTTGGCCTGCCCGTTCCGGCCCATCGGGATCATGCTGTTCCACAGATCCTGCGTCTTCTGGTCGATGAAGTCGGACAGGCCCGTGTCGATGTAGCCTGGGGAGATGGAATTGACGCGGGCATAGTCGCGCCACTCATTCGCGAGCGAGCGGGCCATGTGGATGCAGCCGGCCTTGGCGACGTTGTACGACGTCTGCTCCTGCGGGAAGTTGGCGACGAGACCCGACATGGACGCCGTGATGACGAAGGAGCCGTGGCCCTGCTTCCTGAAGTGCTGGCCCACCGCCTTGGCACAGTACGCCGTGCCGTTGAGGTCTGTCTGGATGACATGGTCCCACTCCTCCGCTGTGCCGTCAACGACGCCGTTGTTGGCGGTTGCGCCGGCACTATTTGGGGGGGGGGCGTTCACGTCAGCATTGGGCAAACTCGTCTTCGTTTTTCACTCCATCGCAGCACCAAACCACTTACTTTGCGATGAAGGCGTCAATCTTGCCAAAGTCGTTGATGACTTGGTTGACCACCTTTTCAACATCTGCGTAGTCGCCGATATTGCACTTGTACGCCTTCGCCTGGATGCCGTACTGCTTCTTCAGTTCCTCGGCGTTCCTCTCGCCGCCCTCCTTGCGGGAAGAGTAAGTGAGGGCGATATCTGCACCCATCTCGGCGCACCCCCGAGCTGCCTCGATGCCCATGCCCCGAGGGCCGGAAGCGCCGGTGACGACGACGACCTTGCCCTTGAGGCTGAAGAGGTCCTTGAGGCTGTCGGATTTGGGGACTGGAATCGGCATGATTGCGGCTGTTCTGATGGTTTGATATCTAAATAGATGACGGGAAAAGCTGTCTGGGAAGTCTGCGAAGAGGTGGTAATGCGTGGGAATTCAAATGTTAAGATGGTTCAACGGGAGAGGAGGGGGTTGATGACGTTACGTCATTATGGATCTGATCGCACAGCACCTTGAGATCGTCCCCACCAGGAGTGAAACACCTCACATGCTTTCAGGTCTGATAGGCTTTATGGTACGGCACAACTTGAAGATACAGATACAATCGTATGATGTGTCCCTTGGGACTCAATTCATCTAAATCTAGGCTTGGCTTCGACTGCCAAAACAGTTGCACCCGAGTTTGAAGAAGCTGTTGTTGGATGGGTTTTTGGTTTGGGTTTTTGGTTTTGTTGCCTCTGCAAACGACCAGGCACCCATGACCCCACCAAACCGCTTCCGGCGGGTACGATCGTCATGCTGGCGAGGGGTCAAGAGCGGGGTGGCCGCAACCAATCCTGATAAGACATAATTACCCACTTGCGTGAGTTCCATTGAAGCTTATATAGTAGGCGTTATTATGACTGGCTGTACGTCTCGTGAAATGCAAGTAACTCAAAACTATCACACTCGCCAAGTCGGATCCAAATCCATGTAAGCTTCCTGGCTTCGCCTGCAAAATGTGGTCTAGTCCAATTGACTGGACTAGCTTTGCCTGTGATATCATGGCGGCTTCAGGTGGAGTTTCCACCTCTGCACTCGTCTTATGTCGGCTTTGGATACCTCGGCCCTTCTTCTCTGCCATGATAGGCAGTTCTGAGTCTTATTTGATCAGAATCGGTCTATATCGTCGAATTGGCATCACTCTTTCAGAGTCGAGCCTGGAATGAGGTTGTTGGACAGGAGGCACATGAGCGGCGGCGCCCTCCCTCTCTTCTAGAGAAATTCACTTTCGCCTAGGAAGCATTACGCAAAACACTAAAATTAACGAAGGTTAACCTAGAGATATCAATGAGATGAATTCCGCGCTTGTGGGATGAAAAACGGGGGAATCGGTCCTGATCCACGTCTAACAACAAGGAATACCCTTTCAACCCAGCGTACTACAATTCCTCACTCGGGAGCCTTGTTATTCCCGGGCTTCCTGCCGTAGCAAACAATGCTGTCGAGGGTCAGCGCTGTTTCTCAAATAAAACCTAGAACAACTTTTCACTCACATGGGCCAATAAGCATGAATCTTGACATCCCGGATCTCCCTCCTCGCCCCCTCGCAGAACGCCAGGGTCTCCTCCCTGCTGATGCCCAGCCCCCTTGTGAACAGGGCGAGAGTCAGACCCTCGAGGCCTGGGTCGATGTTGGCAAAGTTCCAGCGGCCCATCTCCTTGAACTTCTTGTCGCGCGGCCACATGTTGCTGGGCCACTTGAAGCGCTTGATGACGACGTCGACGAAGCCCGCCGCCTCGAACATGCCCTTGTACGTCGGCGAGAGGTCGATGCGCCGCCCCAGCTTCTCGGCCGCCTCGGTCGTCATGTGTGACATGCGCGCGAGGAACGAGTCCTCGGCCAGCGTGCCGTCGTCGCTTGTCACGGGCAGCGCGATGTCTTCCATCTCGAGGTAGCCGCCTGGCTCGAGGTTGCTATAAATTGGACTGTAAGATGGTGGCTGGTACTACAAATTGTCGAGGTGGGCAAATCACTCACTCGTAGGCCTTCTGGATGAATGCCTGCGTATCTGAAAAGCTGCCGGCCAACGTCCGGGAGAAGATGAAGTCGAAAGGTTCATTCCATGTCCACTCTTTCTCAATGTCGTCGATCTCAAAAGAGCAGTTCGGGGGAAGACTGTATACGCAAAGGGATGAGACAGGGGAAATAGTAGCTGTCAGGGGCGACAGAGACCTACAAGGATGACTGGACTGGGCTTAGATCAATGCCGATGACCTGCAGAGGGTAGGCGGGGTTAGGTCAACCAAGATAAATAAATAGCCTTCTTGAGGCTGGGCTAGATATATGCTCACCTTCGCCTCCGGATGGTTGTCCGCTTTGCACTGGTTAGTTGTACTGCCCACGAGAATAGAAATCATGGAGTGCTCACCGTAATCAATGGCCCAGATGCCAGTCCCCGTGCCAACGTCTAGGACCCTCTTCGCCCCATCATTCTTGGGACTCAAGCACAATCTATCGTCGAGTGTAAGGCGAAACAGGGAGTGCTGTATGTCTACTAGGTTGTCAGAGAAACCAGCTTTGATACGGGGTATCGTTCAGTGACAGGGTACACTCACCTAAACGATCAAGCTCACTCTGTCGAGAAGAAACGATTATTAGCTATCGGACTTCTCCGCAGTTTCCAGCCCAGTGGTCAGATAAATTTGCACGAACGTCGTCATTTGGAAACAAATATTCTATCCAAACACCGAGGTTAGCGTTGATCCCGCCAGACTGTGCCTGAGATCCTTACTTCCAGCGCTGAGTGCATGGTACGTCCTCCCATTTTCTTCATGGTACGCTTGGACCGATGACCGCAGCGAGGTTAGAGATGTCGCGAGAGACTACGCCGGCGGCAGAGTGTCAACATTTTTTCCAGTGATCGGCGGGAGTTTACGATTCCCGTACGTACCAACTGGAGAGTCGAGTCGACATCGCCGAAATCATCCGCGGCCTGAGTGTAGCACAACGGCTTGTCAGCCCTAGACTCCAAGAGATTTATATATTGAAGATATATCCCACAATTTGGGTGACGTCAGAAGTAACTTCCGCCATATTTTAGAGAGACGTTTATGTACGATCAGCACGGAGAGCGAAAACGAAGGGTATTGGGAGAACGGGGGGAAGGACGGGGGAATGACGGGGGCAGATGCTCTCCATGTTATGGGATGCCGATGACCTGATTCCTCCGCGTTTTCTTACCATACTTTCGACCCTAAGGGCCAACCAGGAAGCCGGAATGGCGCTGTTGGGGCGCCACACTGTTGCAGAAATGCATCCCACGGCGGTGCGTCTTACTAGTGCGGGTTAGCCCGCGTGGGACTGCGACCGCGGCCCTTCCGGAGACGCTGCCGGGGACGCAGCTACTGTTACATCGTGGAACAGATTCGTCTAATTATATTGAATTTGAACACACCATCTCGGTCTGCCCGGTTCGAGTTGCCTACATGCGTATATCTGACCGTTTAAATACTCGGTATTCTGCTTTGACGACTCTGGCATATAATTATCTGATTGTTTGACTACACCTTTCTCAAACCCCTTAAAAATACAATGCCGTCCGCCAACTCGCATCACCGTAGGGCTTCGCACTGAGGTGCCAGACAGTTGTCCACAAGGCACAATGCCAGATTTGGTTGTAATTAAATCTCAATCGAAGCAAACCTAGCCATCTATGGAATACTCCTGTCTCATACCAATACCTACACTAATTCCCATGGTAAAAGTGACTTCACGTAATCATATCAACCGTCCATCCTCTGAGACACAACCCGAAGCATGAACCAGTCCCCAACATATCCTCCTCAAGCCACGCAACTACCACCACACGCGGGGCGCCTCGAGGAAGTAATTCATAACATCAACAGCAAAGTCCCCATGCTTCCTCATCACCCCCGCCATCCTCTCCCTCGTCCCCCTCCTCCCCAGGCCGTTCCCAACAAGCCGGCACACGACCCCCCGCAGCGCGACGTCGCCCGGCGCCGTCGTGGCGTACAGCTCGTCCACGAGGGCCGGGAAGTCGGCCCGCGACTCCCAGCACCGCTCGGCCGTCCGGTACAGGCGCTCCCGCGCCAACAGCCGCAGCGCCGGCACGTCGTACCGGTCCGCCATCACGTACAGTCGCAGCGCCAGGAACAGGCCGCGCGGGCGCCGGGACTCCTCCACCGGGGAGTTCGCGTCTGCCTTGCTGGCCCCCTCCTGCTTCTGCTGTCGCCGTATCCGTATCGCCGTCTTGACCCGGGACTCCTTGGTGGTGGTCGTAGCGGCCGTTTGCTGGCCCGCGTCGGGCACCCCGCTGTTGCCGTCGTCGTCGTCGTCGGCGTAGCTTTCCTCCTCGTACTCGTAGTACTCCTCCGGCGGCTCGTCCTCATCGTCTGAGGGGTCCGGGCTCGGGAAGTCCGGGTCCTCCACCTCATCGTCGTGATTGGTGTCATATTTGGAATGCTCCACCCCCATCCCAGCCGCCTCAGCCCAGATGACGTGCTCCTCCGTGGCGGGGTCCCCCATCGGCTGAACGGCCCCCTCGTCGAGAGGATCGACCGAGTGGGAAGCTGGCCGTTCAGCACCGGCCCCTGGTCCGACGGTCACGCCCGGGGCCTGGGCTAGTTCCTCGGCGACTTCTTCGCTGGTCATCGTGGCGGGGATGGACGGGTCCCCCGTGTTCGGGTATTCCCCGTCCTTGTAGTCCCCCGTGTACAGGAACTGCAGGAAACGCTCCACAACCTCGGGATCGTCGTCTGGCAGGTCTATGACGCCGGAAACGGACTCCTAGGTAAGGGATGTGAGTGAGTCAGCTTCCCCGCTGCGCAGGCGAAGCTGTGCAATCTGCCCTCTCTGAGCAATTTAAGGTTGTGGGATGGTGGCGCTCTCACATTGAACCCGCTCGAGAAGGCCCTGTCAAAGAAGGACGACTGGCTGCAGACGACGGCGCGATGGGCCTTGAAGGTCTGGCCTTGGCAGGTGATGGTCATGTCGGAGAACTTTTCGCTCGAGCGGAGCTTGGAGAGGGAGGAATAGAGACTGCATGTGCGCAGGTCCTCGATGACGCCGCGCTCGTCATCCGGAGGTTGAGCGCTGGTTGGGGAGGGGTTCCCGCGGGCGATAGGGGTAATCGTCAAGACGATGTTCCCAAGATTCACAGTGGTGGGATTCGCCATTTTGCGTATGGTTGGGGGAAGGTGCCCGACTGCTAGAACAACTGGCCAGATCCCCCAATTCATAGAAGGAAGGAAGCAGAGCAGGGGGACAAAGGGATGGGGATTTGGAAAATGGAAAGCAAACCAACAGCTCAGGTGCGTTGGGTGTTGGGTGTTGGGTGCTTACAGTAGGAACCGCCACAGCCCTGGAATGCACACTGTGCCTCCTGTTTGCGTACCTGAGGTGTTCCCTCACTTTCGAGTGTCGTCTTCAAATGGGTGTCCTGCTCTTGGAAAATGCAGTGTTTGAGGGAGGGCGAAACCTCTCCAGCTCCTTTATTTGTATCTCAACGTTTAGGGCAAGGAATCATCGATGAGGACTCTGACACACCGCCATACGGTATTAGTTGCAAGTCGGCTCAGCTGCTGTTTATGATAGAACAGTGTTACGAAGAATGATCTGCTGGGAATGAGCAATTTGAAGCCTTGACAAATAATCAATCAATAGATATCCAGGCTGCTCCTGATCTCACCCAATCTTGAAATCCAGCAACTCCCCATACGTCTTCACCCCCCACTCCTCAAATCCCTCCTTCAACGCCTTCGCAAACACCGGATCATACCTCTCCCCGCTCTCATAATAACCCACCCGCCCCGTCCTCCATGTAAGCCACCCCTCAGCCGCAACCCCCTCCGGCGCCCTCAACACCCCAACCGCAACATCCACAACCCCAGCCCGCTCCTCGCAAGCAAACAACACCGTCGCCCCACACACCCCACAGAACCCCCTGGCGATCCCCTCACTCGACCGAAACGTCCGCAGCGTCCCATCCCCCACCTCCAACCCCTGCGGTCCCCCGATCCCGATCCTCGGCTCCGTCACTGCACCGGGCACAAACATCCACCCCGTAACATGCGCCCCGCCCACGAGCCTGCAATCATCACACAAGTCCAACGTCGCGACCCACCTGTCAGCATGCGTCGGGCTCACAAACTCCCTCGCCGCCTCCACCCCCGGCGCATTCGGCCGCGGAATCGTAAACGACACCCCGCCGCACCGACACTCGGCGCGCAGGCGCTCGTTCCCCTCGGCGTCGGACTCCGCCCGCGGCGGCGGGCCCGACGGGATCTCGTCGCGGTCGGGGTTCCAGACGCGCACGGCCTCCTCGCCGCCCAGGCGCGGCAGCCAGTCGTGCAGGCCGGTGCCGTGGCCGCGCGTGTAGACGTGCGAGCGGATCACGAAGTGCTCCTGGGAGTCGAAGACAGAGGTCGCGACGCGCCACTCCGCCTTGCCCGTGTGCGGGTCCGGTTCGGTGTCCGCGTCGCCGACGTGGCAGCCGCAGGTGCGGCAGAAGTAGCGGGTGCTGAGGGCGGAGGGGGAGTGCAGGTAGCCGGTTAGGGAGGCTGCGAGGGAGGAGGGGGGGATGAAGGTCGGCTCGATGCCTGCGGGGAGGGGCGCGTGGAAGCTGGAGAGGGTGCCGTGGGTTTGGCGGCAGATGGAGCAGTGGCAGAGGTGGACGGGGAGGGGGAGGGCGGAGGAGGGGACTGTGATGGTAAAGTGGGTGGCTTTGCAGTAGCACTGGGCTGTTAGGGTCTTGGTTGCTGTGGGGAGCTCTGGGGGGAGGTCGATAGAGGCCATTGTGTGGAGATTTGAGCTTCGATCGATATGGGAGACGGAGGACTGACGCGGACCAGAGAGAAAGGAGGCAGAGCGAACTTGACGAGGCGGCTCACGGTATAATTAGATGACGCGAGGGCGGGGGAAGTATTGACCCCCGCATCACCTATCAAACGCGCAGCCATGTGACCAGAAGTGACAAGAACTGACCGATAAGCTCGGGCAAATCCAGGCCCGGCCATACGATGAGACGGGACAGGCTTCGTGTTTTTCCCCCTTTCAAAATGTTACATACATATGTACCTGCTCATGCCGCGTCCAATCACCTCTCCCGGCAAACCCTCACCTGCCGATACGGCATCACCACAACCGGCCCCACCAGCCCGTACGCCTGCCTCGCCGCCGGCCCATAAACACTCGGGTCCACGACCCGCAGCCTGTTAAGCAGCGGCGTCGCGACCTCGATCTCGATCTCGTTGCGCCCCTTCTTAAGCCACTGCCCGACGTCGAACTCGGCGCCCAGCTGGTCCAGTGGCGGCAGCTGCTCCCCGTTAAGGCGCACCCGGAACGAGCCCGTGAAGGTCGGGATGCCGAGGACAGCGCCCGCGTCGGCGGGCCAGTCGGCGCCGAGGTCGAACGCCGTCGCGTAGGTGCCGACGCCCGATGTGTCCTCGAGCTCGGGATAGCTGGTCCACGGCTCGAGGGTGTCGAGGTGCAGCTCGTGGTGGACGTGGACCGTCTCGGTTGAGTAGACGTCGTCGGTCGGCCGCCAGTCGTCCACCGTCAGCGTCCAGTTGCGAAGCTCGACGCGCGGCGGGATTATGCCGATGGTCGACTTGATGGTCTTGCCGGTGCTGAGCTTCGAGGTGTACGTCCCGGAGACGTTGGAGCGGACGTACAGGCCGTGTGCGTCGCGGCCGACTAGCTGGGCTGTGGTCGTCACCGCGTGCACCGGGGCTTTCTCCAGGGGCGCGATCGTGATCATCATTCCTTGGTATGCCTCGAGGTTGATGTGCACCTTGATCTGGCTGTCGGAAAGCTCCTCGTACTGAGCGATCGGCGTCACATCTCCTGTCCAGAGATCCATGAGGAACGGCACTCCGTTGGCGTTTCTCCGCGGGAGGATAACGTCGGTATCGACGGCATAGACCTTTGTCTTGGTGCTGACAGCGTAGGTTGCTGGGGATGCCGCTACAAGGAGGAAGTAGTCTAGGTCGCCGTCGACGCGGTGGTAGCTGATGAGCTGCGACGAGTTGTACTGGACCTCGGGCAAGACCCCCGTCTTCACCACCCCTTCGCCAATATCGTCGCGGCTCGCGACGTTGACGACGTTGGGGAGACTGAGGATCTCGGCGAAGATGGAAGTTATCTCGGAATTGAGGGCGGATTCGCCGTACTAGCATCCTAGTTAGCCTGGCTACCTTGACCCTGCATGTACGATATGGACGCTGATCACTCACCCCGAATGCGGTCACTGTCGACCAATCGCCGACAATGAGGATAGGGAGACCTGCTTTGGCAAATTCCAGTATCTTCTTGGCCGAGGCAAGCTTGGCAACCGGAAGCTTATTTGCGAAAGCATCGCCCTCGAAGGCCAGGAGCTTGTATGCGGGACCATCAGGGGCAAGTCGCTTGTCGCGGACAGTGGCGCTGGGTAGGTCGAGAAGCGACGGTCCAATGATATTCAGACTCCATCCCAGCATGCTGGATGCCATCCAAGAGGTGACAGTCAGTACCTTGTTATGGAACTGGAGATTCACTAAGGAGGGGGGTGGAGAGAGACTCACGTTCCCGAGTCTGCAAACCAGGGGCTGTTATATCCGGCCCCGATATAGCCCTTTTGCTCGAAAAAGGCGACATCATGCTGCGGGATTCCCCGCTGCAGGATATACTGCATCCTCGAGATATAACCCGTGATGTCGGTGGCATGGTTCCACAGCGGGATCCGGGGGCCCCAGGATTCCGAGTAGCCCATGTTGCCGTTGTACGGAGTGAATGCCGCGTTGCCGGGCCATTTCGCGGTCTCGGCGTTTAGGTAGGAGAAGCCGTGAAGTACCTGATGGTTGTTGCCGCTGGTGAAGATGGGGTTCAAAGTCTTGAGCACTACACGACTCCTCGTCAGCGCTCATCATCTCCCAAGCCCGACCTATCCTGCGAGACTTACCAAGTTCCCAGGTGACGGAATATGCCGCCCCGGCGAAGGCGCACGCCTCGTTGGAGATCAGGTTCAGACCCATCATGTTCGCCGCCCCGGCCAGCGAGCGGTAATCCCCCATGTTCTTGAAGCCCAGGCTCTCGCCCTCGGGAATCGAGATCGCCGCCGACGCGGACATGGCATCAGTGGGTAGGCCGTAGACCTGGGCGCGGAACTTCATCCCGAGGGACTTGGACCACGACATCATGTGGTCGGCGTGGTTCTCGATGTACATTTCGCCCAGCGTGTCCCAGAAGTCGTTGATGACACCCCGTGTGACCTCCTCATCGGCAAACTTGTACGCGTTCTTCTGCTTGGCCTGCACCACGGCCGGCAGATAGCGGAACAGGTCGTAGCCCCTCCGCCGCTTGAACTCGCAGCGGAGCCCGGGGGTCCAGAGTGTCTCGTATTCCAGCTCGATGGAGTCCTCGAAGAAGGAGCCGCCGATCCCCTTGAGAACCGACTTGAAGGTTGGCGACAGGATGTTCTGGTCCCAGAAGTCGGTGCTGGCCGTGATGCCCGCCATGGAGAAATGGTCGATGACGGCGCCGTCCTCGGCGTTATGGGGTCCCGCCTCAGCGACTTGTCCGGTACCTCGCATGTGGTATGAGATGATGAGCCATGTGCCCTTGTCCGGCGGAGTAAAGGTGACGTTCCCATTTTCGACCTCACTCGTCAGATCCACCCTGGTGTCCAGGTCCAACACCACGGGGACGGCGGTGGGCGTACTCGCGGCATTCATCCTCCAGGCGTGCACGGCGAGGAGGGTTTTGTTGTTCACTCGATTCCCGGCAGCCTTGGCTGGTTGAGGGATCGGACCGCTGTAGGTGGCCCCGTTCGTCACTACCACCTGTCCGCCCACAACCTCCTTTTCGGCACCCACATCGTCGGGCGTCAGAGTCGGCACGGCCGCAGGGTACGAGGGCCCTAGCGCGAAGTCGATCTGGAAGCCCAAGGGCAGCGAGTGGTCGCTGGCAGCCTGGACGGCCTCAATCCACGGTTCCGTTGCCCATCCGTGGCCGACCGGGTCAATGGCAACCTTGACGCCGCGGTGGACGTCGTTGATCTCGGCGCCACCGAATCCGGCCTGGTACATCTGGTCGACCTCCGCCTTGATCTCGTCAACCTCGACCGCGCCGTGCGGCCACCACCACCGCAGCTTCGGCTTTGCCGACATGGGTGGCTCGGCGAACCCAGCGAGAACGTCGAGCCCCGAGCTGGGGAAGACGCCTTGGAGCCATGTTGACTGCGCGTATTCATCACGAGTTAGAGACCCGGTGGGCTAACGGGAACTTCGGGCGAACTCACCAGAGACATATTTCCCAAGAAGCTATCTGGACAGCGGCGGTTTGGAACTGGACCCTGTCTCTCCCAAGACGACGGCAGATATGAACTCTCCCATGGTACCAAGTCGGGGGCATCATACCCATATATGCTCTAGGGCAGCCACGGGCCAGACTGCGGTCCAGGACCGACCCTGGACTGTATGCCTTGTTCGTGAGACATTACACCGAGATAGGTTTCTATCCAAGCTAGCCTGGATATCTCACTTCCGCTAAAGCAAGTCTGGTCTTCCTGGTAGGGCGCCAGCAAACTTGCGACGTGGGGCCGAAAAATACTAGAAATTTAGGGCCTTCACTTCGCAGTAATAGTTTAGCGATTTCTCTAGGGTCCTCGTATTAACCCCATATAAGACCAACCCCCTCTCCTCTAGACATCTTCGAGCGGAGTCTAAGACACTCTTCATGAGGGGTAGTGTACCAGGGTGCCGCATTTTTTGCAGGCCAAACCTGGGGGCTGCCAGGGGTCAACCCGACTCACACTTTACTGAGAGGTGCCATAGCCGCTGCGGAAGTTCTTCAAGGTTCTTCAACGAGAGCGAGCAGGGAGTCTGATGGTCCATGGGCATAAGAAGTCGAGCAGCGAGGTACATACCATGGGGATCTCCCCAGGTTTCCGTCTCCACGGAAGAAGGAGAACCCCGAAAACGAGCGAGAGGCTAATGCATGTTAAGCAGCGCAGGCGCAAGGAACCTGGAAGGCCTCTTCGGTGCCATGTCCCACCGAAGTAGGTAGTACCCAATGATTCATTCGCGCACAGCCCCTCGGTATTTTTGCCAGAGTTCAACCGAGGGCACCCAATTGAGGATTGACCCCTTGCTTGATTTATTCTTTATTGTTTCATTTTATTTTCTTCGCTGAATTGGATATACTGCACGTTGGTATAGGTGGCAGCACTTACTCAGTACAATGCCCAGGCCCATCTCTAGGTAGGTCTGCTTGGGCGGCCTTGGAGGCATTTCTTTTCTCCTCTGGGGCGGAGCATCGCGCTACAGTTTCCTGCCTGCCATTGGTCAGCTCCCGCCAACGCGCCTCTCGCCCTCGACATCATTCTCCTCCTTTGTCTCCGATCTAATTCCACCAGCGTTGCCGCCGGCAACTCCATTACAATCCTCTCCCTCGCCATCCTGCACCCCGTCTTCTCCCGCCCCCGCCCCCGCCTCCTCCTTCCTCCTCTTCTTCCTCTCCTGCTTCTCCGCCTCTTCGGCCCTCCACGCAACCCCTTTCTTCATGATCAGGAGCAGCACCGGTGAGAACACCACGTACAACAACCCAATCAGCGTAAATGCCCACCCGGACCCCATGGCGTTGATCATGGGCACAATGACGGCACTCGACGCCGCGCCCAACAGACACCTGGTGAGGTTATTGGCCGCAACAGCAGCGCCAGCCCGGCCGGGGTGTATGTCGACGATGAGGACGTTGCTCGTGTTGCTAAACCCAGTCATGCCGGCGCCCATGACAAACAGCAGCACGCACGTAGCCGGCAGCCCGCCGCGCTCCTGCATGACCCAACCCCAGCACACGAGCGCCGCCGCGCTGAGCGCCAGCAGCGGCATGCCGACCTCGAGGCGCGCGCGCTCGATCGGGAACCCGGCCAGGTCCATCTGCCGGCTCTTGTCGACGGCGAGGCCGAGGCGCGCCGCGTGCCGGCGGTAGTTGCGGTTGATGGCCGGGCCCGCGACGAGCGCGGACGCGATCGACCCGCCCGCCAGCGGCAGGTACATGAGCCCGATCTGCAGGTCGTTGAGCCCGTACATGGAGCTGAGCTGCGACGGCATGGCCGTGGCGATGGCGTAGAAGCCCGCGAACGCGACGGCGCTGTAGAAGAGCAGGAGCCCCAGCTCCTTCTGGCAGAGGAGCACGACGGAGCCGAGCACGTCGGGCGCCGCGAGCCGCAGCGTCGGCGCCGCTGAGGCCGTCGAGGTCGTCCGTTTGAGGCCGCCGCTTGCCTCCTCGGCGGCAGCGCGCCGGCGACGCCGCCGGTCGACGAGCATCTGGCGGAAGGTGCGGTAGGCGAGGGGCGGGCGGACGGAGCCGTCGCCGACGATGCGGCGGCAGGTCTCGGGGAAGAAGAAGAGTAGGGCGGCGAGGTTGATGGCCGAGGCGATGGTGAGGAACCAGAAGATGGAGCGCCAGCCGAGGTACTGCGATAGCACGCCGCCCAGGACTGGCCCCAGGCTCGGCGCCAGCACGATGGGGATCACGGTGATGCCGATGTACTGGCCGCGCTCGGCGCTCGTGATGATGTCGGCCACGACGGCCTGGCAGAGGGCCACGGTGGTGCTGGACCCGGCCGACTGTAGGCACCGCACCGCTAGCACGGACGCGTAGTTCTTGCTGAGCGCCAGGCCGATGTTCGCGGCGATGTAGACGACGAAGCAGATGACGAAGGCCGGCCGGCGCCCCGCAGAGTCGGCGAAGCCGCCGATGAACATGGGCGTCACTCCCTGGAAGATCATGTACGTTGTAACTGTCAGGTTGATCTGGGATTGCGTGACATGAAACTCCTTGGCTAGCACGGGCAACGCCGGCAGGTAGATCTGGGCCGTGAGCGGCGAGAAGAAGGCGCTGAGGGCGGCGGCAAGCACGATGAACCTCTTCTCCCAAAGTGTGTAGATGGAGTATTTGGGCGGGTTGTCCGGCTGATCTGGTGAGGCGGCTGGCTCCTCGCTCCGAGGCTCGCCAGTCGAGAGTTCTTCCCCATGGCTAGGATCTTGTTCGTCCGAAGAGGTCCTCTCTGTTTCGGAAACTGGGCTATCTTCCGCAGGGCAATTAGTTGGATCTCCGTGTTGTAGTTCCTTCTTCTCATGGTCAACAGAGGGCCTCATGTCGTGGTGTGGTGTGGTGTGGTTTATGTCATGGATTGTTTGATTGCTTGGAAACCACATGCAGCCAATCTCTCGTCGACGAAGGCCGGGCCATACATAGTATTTATGCCTTGGCCCTCTCGGCCGGGGATAACGTCAGGGCGTTGTAGGGTGTTGTGGGGCACGCCCATTTGCCTCTTCCGAATTTTTGGTGGTGCTTCGGTGCCGAATCGGCACGGGTATGGTCGCACTAGGTTTACTTCCAGCCCCACCAGCAATGCAACAGCGCGATTACGATTGCGCCGGTGCGGGCCGACGCCAAGCTCCGCCGGATCGGCTGCTCCCAGGCCGCCATGGGTGGCCATGCCCAGGCCCGGGCTTCATGGATACGGGAACATGCCTCTCACATTGGCAAACAGCTGTTTGTTACACGCAGACCTGGTAAATTTGCGCACACACGTGACTAGGTAGTCCTCTTCAAGAAGTTAGGTTGGCACGTGCAGAGCGAGCCATTTTCTGGTATCCCCAACCAACAGCCCTGCTAAACCACAATTTGAGAGTTACCTTGCCTTCCATCTCTTCAACGACAGCGCCATGGATTCGCCAGTCATCATCGACCCCGACGGAGACATTTACCTGCGGTTGCAGGTATTTGTTGCTGAAGAAGAGCCAGCAAGCTTACCAGAAAGCTCGCCAGAAGGAAACACGCCAACACCAAGGAGCAAACACCCGCAACCAAGCTCGCAGCGGGTGAGAGTCTCATCGAAGGTGCTATCCCTCGCCTCACCAGTCTTCAGGGCCATGTTTAGCGGCAAATACAAGGAAGCTGTGGCATTGGCCGATGCTAGCGTATCCTTAGTGCGCTATACTCTGGATCTCCCCGAGGATGATGCGGAAGCCACGATACTGCTTTGCAGAATCATGCACTTCAAGACAAACGATGAGGACGATAAACCTACACCGGAGACTCTCCAGCAGCTAGCGGTGCTCGCAGACAAATACCAGTGCGCCCACGTCGTCCAACATCGCGGCGCTCTCTGGGTGAGGGGTATTCTTGAGAAGGAGCATGATCTGGCCATCGATGATCTCTGTAGCCTCCTGATCTTTGCATACGCCATGGATCTCCACGACGAGCTTCATCTTATCGCGTTCAAGCTTGTCATGTCTCACCAAGGACGCTTCTCATCCGGTTCCTCTCAGACAGCTATACTGTCTACGCACCCACTCCTATCCCATGATTTGCTAGGTAAGCATTAATAATCGGGATTCGCTTGTAATTCAGCCATGCTAACTCTACAAAGGGGCACTAGACGCATTGAGGTCCAAGATCTGTCAAGAGCTGTACGAGGCGTTAATGGCACCCCTGACCATGCCGTGGAAAACACTCGCATCGCAGTGCTATTGCGCAGCTAAGGCCGTCGGCAGGTACCTCAACCTTCTCCGCCAAGCCTCCATCTTCCCACAAGACTCGCAATTCTCCAACCAGATCCTTCTCTCCATCATATCCAAGGCAGGAGCTCTACCAAGCGTTTCTGCTATAGCCCATCGATGCGACAAACGTCACTGCAGATGCTCCTTCGATCTCAACGTAGATCTGACAGCCGGGGCTATTAAGAAGGCTAGGTCTATACGTGGAGGGAGTGATAGATATAACCTCTGCCTCAACGGCATCAACTCGGGGGGTTCGAACAAAAGGCAGCACAACTAGGTAATCGTCCCCTAGTAGACAGGTAGGTACCTACAATTAGCCATCACCGTCCTGCTAAACGAGCAAAAAATACTTCAATTCCTGTTTCCAGTTGCTAACAGCTCCACAGCCAAGCAGATGAGCCAAATCAAAATCAGGCGTATCGACGAGATCACAAAGGCGATTGATAGTCCCCAAGGCCCGCTGGTGGAGAAGGAACCCGATTATGGCAGAGTGCAAAAGAGCTTGTGGAAAATAGCAGAGGCGGTGGCGTCTGTGATGAATGATGAAGCAACATGGCCAAACCCATTCCTTTCTTCTTCCGATACGTAGTCTGAATAGAAATCCAGACTGCCATAAACCAAGCAATCCCTCCAAAATTAGCCCATGAAGACAGTTGTTTCCACCACCATGGGGACAGTGCCTGTGATCAAAGCGAAGCTTGGCCGCGCCAATACCACTCTGCTAGCAGCAGTGGGGTTTCTCTCAGAGGAGGGACATCTCCACAGGTGGCCACTACCCAAGATCAACAGACAGAGCAACCAAGGGACCAAGTTTTGAGACGGCACAGGGACCGGATTAGTAAAGCGCACAATGGAATTAACCATGGGATTACATGGCAACCAAACGCAAGCAGCTACTAATACAAAACAACGCAACAGATATAGGGCTGTTGCCTCTCGTTGCTAGTCATAAATCACAGCCATCATTTCACAATAATTGTCACTAGAATTACGAAGCAGAAAGAGAAGTATGGATGTTGGGAAGGTTTGGTGTATCTTTGTTTTGGTGGAGACTATGGTTGTTCATCGTTTGCCCTGTTCCTCCCTTCGTCAAGCTGGACTGGAGATGTGCTTGATGTATACACCGACGGACGACGTATTGTCCCGAGCAGCAGGCTGGGCCAGGTGTGGTGGTGGTGCTGGTGGTGGTGGTGGTGGTATCAGCGGCGGCGGTCTTGAGGGAGGTGATGTTGGCGGTGTTGGTGGTGGTTGTGGTGGTGGTGTCGGCGTCGTCGGCGTTGTTGGCGTTGTTGGCATCGTCGGCAGCAGCGTCGTCGGCGGTGTTGGTGGTGGTTGTCGTCGGCGGCGGTGTCGTCGGCGGCGGGGTCGGCGAGTTGGGTTGCGGTTGACAAGAATTATGGCTGGACCTGCGTTGATGTGGATTCCATTGAGGTAGATGACGGTGGGTGAGACGGAGGAGGCGGGGACCCATTCTGCTCGGGGTAATCATGGCACCGGTTAATGGTAAAGGTGCGATTGTGCTGCCTTATCCATTAACCAGGGTACCAGCGCCCAATCGAGCTCAATCTGTCCACCAGAGAAGCCCCCGTGGCTGCCGGCCATATGATTCCGGAGGGCGTCGTTCCTCGGGAACTCCATGCTGAAGATTCTGTACGTAAAGTGAGCTCTCTGCCCAAGTAGCGCCCTCTAGAACAGTCACCTACGACGAATCTCGAGGCCAATGGCCAGCCTATGTCGCCCAAAGGGCATGAGTTGTGTCGCCCAAAGGGCAGTGTCGCCCAAAGGGCAGAAGGTGAATCGACCAAAGGGCAGGAGGAGTGTCGCCCAAAGGGCAGTAGACATCTAGAGAGGCACTAGATATTAGCTTTGTGAACACCGAGGAGAAATTCCAGGCCAGCTTGAACTCTTGTAGACACTTTGAAGAGACAACAGGATTCTTTCCAACCACAGGAAAGGAATATGAAAAGTTGATACATACCGGTCATGATTCTTGCTGGACAGGCGGCGGTGCAAATTTAGTCATTCGACCACAGGTCATGTCTTGCACCTGCTTGCTGTGGTATAGGTGGAAGCAGATCAAACCATGCCGATGATGGGTGGGCCTTTTTAACGTCTTGCCCAGGACAAGTCTCAAGACTAGATTTCTAGGATGAAGAGGAGAAGAAAAGTTGTCAACAGCAGCTACGGCAGCCTCTATATATATATGTATCCCAACTTGCAATTCACTTCCCAAAGCTGGATCGCAGGGCTAGCCTAATGAACTGAGGCCATACTTCTTCACTTGATTAAGCCCACTTCACTGAGGTGGCCTTCGAACGGGCCGATTGTATCAGGGTTGTGAATGGGAAACATACCTAGGACTCACTAATTAGGTAGGGATTCAATGCCAGACCTATTACGCTATCTTAATTGTTTATGCGTCTTGTTACCTTTGCTTGGTACCTACTTGAATTTGGAGATAGTGAATAACGATGTTTGCCCACATGCTCAAAATATGCTCACACCATTCAGTGAACTCTCCTACAATGATAGTGTTGTAAAGATTTCATAAGATAGGTGTAATATAACCCCAATCTGGTCGTCTCCCGGTCGCTATGTAAAACAAAAGAACCCAAACCATCGAGTTTCTGGGGGGAACAGCTAACTCGATAACGCCTCAAGATGCTGACCACTGCCTTCAATTTTCCTGCTGACACGGCACTGAGGCTTCTGGTAGCGGCGCAAAAGACCGTTGCAAAGGGGACAGTTGTCGAACCTCAATCTTCAACTCAAAACTCCGCCTCCCAAAGAACTCCACCGACTTAAATCGTAAGGCAACCTCAATGGACCCCGGCCGGAGGCTCAAAACCAGCCCTCTCCCCGACACCTCTAGTCCATCCTCGGGGTCATCGTAGCTCAGGACTGACAGAATATCTTCCTTCCACTTAGCTGGCGAGGCTTGCCATCCCTTCCACCCTATGATGTGAGACCACAGCTCCGGCTTCTCGCTGTAACGGTCCATCGGGTCGAATCCCACGCCCCAGATGATCACAAAGTCGTCTCCGCGACTGCCCATCCAGATTAGGCCACAGACATAAGCATGATTTCCACTGAGCGACACGCTGGCATTGACGCTCGACGCGGTGACGTCGCTGCGGTACGGGAAGCGGTCGCCCACTAGGGCTGGGAAGGTGTCCTTGATGCGGTAGTCATCGCGCGTCATGTCGGCAACCCGTACGCTCAGCTCCGGAGACGAGGGTGTGTATCTTCTCGGCCTGTCTCCCAGAACTATGCGTTCGACCGTGAAGGCGCCGACCGAGATAAAACCTGGATCGTGATCAGCACCAGCTCACTTCCAGGAACAGTGGGGGGAACCTGATTAGGAAACCTTTATAGGCGGCTCGGTGCGAGAATGCCGTGGCCGCCAGCTCATTCGCTCTCGATCCTGGATCGACCAGAAAGCACGGGGCGGACAGGTAGTAGAAGGGAGTGTGGCTGGGGGGTTGATCCGTCTCCCGCCTGGGAATGAGAATGCACGCGAGTCGAGAGAGGTAGCTGTCGGCCATGTATGTGTTAAAGATGGCTAGTCGTCTGCCAGGAGTCGGTAATCCGGACTCACCCCCGCCGAAGACGGTGCTCGTCACAGTCGCCACCACCAGGTCGACTTCAAGACCATCGGGCGTGATGGACATCCTGGAGCCAGCCAGCGGACCATCAGCGGCCAGCGGACCATCAGCGGCCAGCCTGACGTTCGAGCAGTGGACAAAGTCTTCGGGGCTGTTGGCGAGGTACTGGTAGACGTCCAAGTGCAGGTGCGGCCCGTACTCGAGGTCGCGCCGCAGGTCGAAGCAGAGGATGGACTGGTCCTTGGAGTGGGCGATGATGGCCTCCTGCAGGCGCCGGAAGGCGCGCGCCCCCTCGCCATAGAGCAGTGGCATGTGGACGTCGAAGATGCCCATCAGGCAGTAGGCCATATCCTCGAGGCGGCTGGTGACGCGTTTGGCCGCCCATGACATGCGCGCCGCCACGCTAACGCTCGCCAGGAAACCTCGGAGGGGCGTGTCGCAGCAATCGCGACACGCAAGCAATCGCTTTCCAAAATGCAAGTAGTGGTCCTCGCAGGGCAGCTGCTTCTTCCGCACGAATGCCTGTTCGTCGATCTTGGTGATGCCGCTGAGCAGGCCGACCATGGAGGTGCGGTTGCCGATGCGCTGCCAGGTCTTGTCGTAAAAGACGACGGTCTCGGGGGCCATGAGCTCCTGGAGGGTCCAGCCGCGCGTGAACCACCGACTCCTCTCGACGCCCCGCTCGCCGTCCTGGGCCGCGACGTCGGCGAGGTAGGCGTAGCAGACCTGCGACCACTCGTACCAGGTGAACATGGAGTTGATTGCCTCGGAGAGCTCGGCGCTGCTGCTCTTGTCGATGCAGCAGGTGTCGATCCAGATGTAGTCGTGGCCGTCTTGCCGGGCGGTTGCGCAGCTGTCCCGGACCTTGGCGTATCCCTTCTTGGTCGTCGGGATGGCCTGGGGTCCGGCCTTGACGTCTTCGTACAGTATTTCCTCATCGTCCCACGTGTGCGACAGGATGGCATACGGAGGGGCGGCATCGACGCCGGCAAACGACTCCAGATGGAGATCGTCCGTCCTGAGGAGCCTCATCGCTGCAATGGTGGTCAGAGCTGGTGATGTTGGGTGCAGATCTGGGTCGGAGCCTCACAAGAAAGAGAGCTTCTGCTGCGCCTCGGGTGGCTGCCCCTGCCACGCCCCACTTTCGGCTGCCTCAGGCTGGGCACGGGACGGTGATACTGGCTTGGAAAGATCCAATAGAAGCGGCCTCCTCGAATGAAGTGGGAGATTAGGTGATTTACACCTATGATATTCCCTGCAGGCTATTATTGCCAACGAGAGTGCGCGGCACTTGGACAGCGAAGATGGAGGAAGAATCTAGCTTGGCCTGCCGTCCACTCACGGCGAGATGCGACGGTTCAGTTCAGATCATGATTTCTTATTACTTCCTACCTACCTAGGAACCGAGGCACATCTAATGTCCAGGCCAGCTTCGAAAGCACGTCGATTTCTAGTGCCACATGCACCCCGCAAGATGTGTTATTCTGTCTCGCCCACTTAAACGCTTGCATTATTTGACTATGGGAACACTCTTTCAACCATTTAGAGTCTGCTGAACGACCATGAGTATAGAGGACAGTCCCAAAGGCTCCAACTCTTCGCCTGGTGGTGTGGCCTATGTTCGCCACCTGCGTCCCCTCCACTGCAGGAGCATAGTAGGTATAACAGCGGTTCCTACCAGGATCCCCGTCGGGATACCCGCGCTCCGAGCCAAACCTACGTGCTCCAGCATCTGCGGGAACCTGATCACAGCAAGTAAGCGACAGCTCCACGTGAGACCTTGACACGAATGTCACTTACCAAAACGGTCCGATAAAGCCCCATATCTGGCGGACAAAGGTGATGAACACCCCAACTCCCGCCGATTCCGCAGGATAGCAGTCCACGGCATAGGTGATCATGACCGTAGTCACAATCTGATTCCCCGCAGCCGCGATCGCCGCCCCGACGATCGGCGTGACGTTCCAGTGCTCGCCAGCCCTCTCCGTCTGGACCAGGAAGACCACCACGCCGCATATGGTCAGGGCGTGCCCGACGTAGCTGAGCCAGAGGCGGTACTCGGGCTCCGGAGACTTTCCCAGCCGGCGCCGCTGCCACATCCACTTGTCGGAGAGGCGGCCGCCGACCTGCTCTCCCAGGACGGTGCCGATGATCAGCCCGATGTTCTGCAGTCCGACCTGTTGGGTGTTGAAGCCGAACTTCTCGGGGAAGAGCTGCGGGATCTCGATGGCGATCATTACGCTGCCCCATAGGAAAATCATCGAGTACGCTGCCGCGGGGACTGCGGCGCAGGGGCGTGTGACGAAGAAAAGGGGCTGGATGAAGTCCACGAGCTTCAATGGAGTCGGATCGATTCGGCGGAAATACAACAATCGTGATAGAAAAGATGTCTTGTTGCTGTCGTTGCGTTGTCCACCGGGCACGTAGCGCGACTCGGGTCCGAGGAAGAAGTAGAGCACGAATTGCACCCCGTTCGTCTATGAGGGAGGGAGGTTAGGCTCAGCACACGAGGGTTTTCCACTGGGGGTTTTCTCTGCCTACAATAGCAAGGGTCCAATAGATCCATCGGTAGCCGACCCTCAAGGCAACAAAGCCGAAGATGAATGGTGCAACTGGGACGCCGAGGGTGACCATGGTTGCCCAAATGCCCATATACCGCGCCCGCTCTTTCTTGAAGAAGGTTTCCGAGACAACGCCGCTTCCGATCGAGGCTGCCGGGGAGATAAAGAACGCAGTAAGGGCTCGGCAGAGACAGGCGGTAGCGTATGAATGGCTCGCCGCGCAGCCGATGTTGCAGACGAGGCTGCAGATCAGCGAGAGCAAGAAAACGGGCCGCCGTCCATAGACGTGCGAGATGGGGCGCCAGAACAGAGGGGCTCCCCCTAGGACGGCGATGACAAGCGACGTCAGGTAGGTTGCCTTCTGGACGGTAATTCCCAAGTCGAGGGCGATATCGACGAATGCTGACTGGATTGCGGCTGCCGTGAAGGTGGCCATCATGGCGTGGAAGGAAACAAGCATCAGGTTGACTAGTTTCTGCAGATCACCAGATTAGGAGGTTCCCCTTTCTCAAGTCCCGGCCTTGAGCGACAGTAATTACCTTTCGTTTGGGCCAATTTAGCGGATCGGCGTCGTCCATGGCTGGGATCGGGTCAAGATCCACGGTGCCATGGCGCTGGAGGAGGAATTCGCGGTGCTCATTCGAAAGGGCATCACCCTCGGACTGCTGAGTCATTAGCAAAGCTCGATGGATTTGTGTTGCTGTGTGGTTGTGAGGTTCTTGGTGGGTTAGGCCTATAAATGTTGGACTGACACTATATTCGACATTCTGGTCTTCTTCTTTGGACATGGCGGCCTTGCTCTCGGTGCGTGCTTGTGGTTTCTATGCTGAATTGATACTGTAGCTCTTCATCTAGACTTCCATGGGCAGTGGGCACTCTCGACTTTTGAATCCAACTTCTCCAGGTCTCCCCCACACGGAGCTTGCCATTTGTCTCCGCATTCCCCGGATTTTGAGCCCACTCGAGATTCGTGATCCCCCCCCCATTCTGACAAGGCCAATCGGACGCGGGTAATCCGGCGTTGTCGTCGTAGGCACTCTGATCAGCATACCCCATGTTTATCAATGCCCCTGTGACAGGTCTTGGCGCTGATTGTCTAGAGAGTTACTGACTGAATCTGGCAGCCTGCAGGTGCCAATATTTTGAGAGATCTACGGCGAATTGGGTGCTGTAGGTCGGTGGGACTTCCTTCGGGTGTAAACCAGATTTCAAATTGCCTCAGAATTGGTAAGGTAGATCATGATGTCCCATCAAGCATGATTTTTTGAACACGGCGAAATTACCTTAGGAAGAACCTTGTACTTTTTCTTTGTCCTCTGGCTTGCAGCACAAAGCAGAAGTCGGGGGATGTCTTGGTGGTCTAGACCCAGTAGATTTGGTAGCCCTATTTACACCTCTCAATATCCTTCGTTTATACTTTATGCTCTTTAGATACGTGGGCAGCCCGTGTGTCACCTAGCCCAACAAAATAGGAAACTGCTCCTTCAGATGTGCAACTATCGCATCTGGTCCTTGATTGACTTGTAAACCTTGAGGGATCGCATGTGTTTTGATACCAGGGAGGATTGATCTTGCTTTCTCCTGCATTTCCGAGCTCTCCGCCGGAGTCCACATGGAAGCACAGCACTGAGCATGGTCAATAAGTGGCTCTTAAATAGCCGCAGTCAATTGATGATACCAGGACAGACGACTAACAAGAATATCAGGGCGCAGTTCTGTGAGCATTGGTTCGAGCTCATCCTTAGCTATAATTATATCAATACCTCGTTAGACTCCAGGTGCAGTAATCAAATAAACACAGTGGCTTACTTACATGTGCAGTTTCCAACATGTTCAATAATGTAGCGATCTTGAAGATCATTAACCACGCGACCGATTAGGACCTTTGCCCTTGCAGGCGCGTTGTTCACCGTCAGTAGCCTATAAGGCCCAGTGGGACCTTCTGAATCAGTAGGAGCCATCGTTATTGTTTCTCTGAATGCTGCGCCGACGTCGAAGGCTGGTAATGCAAGTGGAAAGAGTGACATCTTTTCTGGGTTTATTCCAAGATAAGCACCTCCGATGCCGCCCTCTCGAGTCGATCGTGGGCTCCACGTTTGGGTATCCAATATGCCGACCCGCGTGCCGCAGTCTCGGGCGCCGGAAAGAACACCATAGGGCGAGGGGCGGCGGGTCTCGGGTATCCTCACGTTGATTGGTCACAGTCTCCAAAAGCGCGGGAGACTCTATGGTGATTGGCCGGAGCTGCCATGCGAGTTCCGGTTTGGAAGCGCTAGGGGCCGCGCAATTTTCGGCGGGGACGGCGGAGCAAGCACCCCGAGTATCGGCGAAACAATAACACGACGGTTGAGTATCTTAAATCCATAGTCCCACGCTAATTACTACATATGCTTGTCATCGTCGAGTCCGAGAGTAGCAGGGACAGATACAGACAGCTAATCAGGAACCCTCGCGTGCATTCTTCCTTGATTGACGAGGACGGTCTGAAGAGCTGATTCGAACCCATGGCCATGCACGACGACCAGGAGAGGTCCGGCTCCGGCCCGACCAACATGCGCATCGCCATTGTGGGTGCAGGTATGAGTTTCCCCCCTGAACGTGCTAGACGCTGTCCGGAGACAATGGCTCACGTTTCCCACAGGAATGGGCGGCTTGGCCTGCGCGTTGGCGCTGGCCAAGAAAGGCTTCACAGACATACAAGTCTTTGAGATGGCTTCCGATCTTGGATTCGTCGGAGCAGGCATCCAGCTTGCGCCCAACCTGGTCCGTATTCTCTCGCGTCTAGGCTGCTGGGAGAGCATAGAGGCCGAGGCGACCGATGTGCTAGAAGCTAGCATTCGAGGTATGAATTCCTAGTCATGCCGCATGCCATTGAACTTCGAATGAGGGACGCTCCTAACGCGAAAATTGAGAAAGATGGCGCGTCGAACCGCGAACTAACGCACGTGCACATGCCCGACATCCGCAAGCGATATGGTTACCCCCACTGCACCGGGCACCGCGCGTCTCTCGCCGCCGGTCTCTACGAGGCAGCCAAGAAGGAGCCATCGATCCGGTGGAACTTTGGGTGCACCGTCGAGGGCATAGACCAGTACACCCCCGCAGTAACCTTCACAGTGAAGCCCCGCGATGGCAGCGCTCCCCGGCAGGTTGAATGCGACGTCCTCCTCGCGGCCGACGGCGTCAAGTCCAACGTCCGGGCCCACGTGCTCGCCGAGCTGGGCGTTCCCGCGGTCGTCGAAGACACGGGTCAAGCCGCCTACCGCATCACCCTGCCGCGCTCGGCGATGGCCTCTGACCCGGAGATGCTCGCCTTGATCGACAGCAACCAGGTGACGCGGTGGATCGGGTCGCGGCGCCACTGGATCGCCTACCCGGTGGCCAGCAAGACCATCTACAACATGTCGTCGACGCAGCCCGACACGCACTTCGCCGCCGCGCCCTCGGCGACCTACACGACCAAGGGCTCCAAGGCCGCCATGGCCGACGTCTTCGCCGACTTCTGCCCGCTCGTGCACCGCCTGATGGACCTCGTGCCCGACGGCGAGGTGTGCGAGTGGAAGCTGCGCGTCCACGCGCCGCTGCCGACGTGGGTGCGGTCCACCGTCGCCCTCGTGGGCGACGCCTGCCACCCGACGCTGCCGCACCTGAACCAGGGCGCCGCCATGGCCGTCGAGGACGCGGCCGTCCTCGCCGAGGTGCTGGCCAGGGCGCCGGACGCGACGCAGGGGTCGGTCAACAGGTGTCTCAGGGTGTACGAGCTGCTTCGCAAGGAGCGGACCACGACCCTTGTCGATCTCGCGGCCGAGTCTGGGCGCACGCTGCATCTGGGGGAGGGGAGGGCCAAGGAGGAGAGGGATAGGCAGTTTGCGGAGGCGAGGGCGAGCGGGAAGAAGGCGGTGCCGGATAAGTGGGCTTCGCCTGATGTCCAGGAGATGATTTATTCACATGACTGCATGAAAGTGGCTGCGGAGAAGTTTGATGAGCTGTATAGAAGTCTGGCTTAGATCTTAAATGAGCAGATATGTCTATGACCCTCGTGTCGTCCACAATATCTCAATCATCCTGTAATTATTTCCCAAACGCTTCCTGCCTATAAATTCAGCATCTTCTCATCTTAACGCCCTTAGATAGCACTATTGGTACATAAAACCCCCTACATCGAGATTGTTGATCTGGTGTTCCACACCGAACCCACCAGCACTCAAGAAATCATTGTCGCCGAGCTGGCAAAAGAGATCATCGACGGAGGTCATAGTGAAGTCTGGGAAGCTATCCCGGAGGAATGACTCATTCGGCAAGAGACTTTGTTGTAGATCGTGAAAGATTTCTGATCCAACAGACCCAGCTATGCTGTTCTGCCTCCTTGTGTTGGACGCTGTAGTGTGGTGTAAACTGCGTCAGCACGACAATACTGAGTGATTATTCGACGAGCTCCACGGGTAAGCACGTAAAAGGAGTAATAATAGCCTACCAATTACTCTCGAAAGCTGAATATACCGAGTCAGGCAACGGTGGGCTTTGAAACTCATTATGCTGGAACCTCCAATAGATTTCAGAGTCTCGAGGCCTTCGAGCAGCAAGGATTCTGCCTCGGAGCTTGTGAGGCCAAGAGCCGATGGCATCGTTGCCGAGAGTATAGAGGTCATCCATAAGGCAAATAGGTGCAAGCACATCGTGAAAGCTATGATACCAAAATGGTGAGAACTCTGGCATAGAACAGGACGGTGCTGTTGGGGAAAACATACCTGTAAAATTGCACACCCACCATACCGCGTTGCGTTTGAAGAAAGGTCTGTCGTGTTGTAAGATGCCGCGGATGATTCGCTGGAACTCTTTAAGTGCCTGCAGATCGCTCTTTAGGACAGACGCAGAGGCGTCTTGTAATATCCCAACCGCGGCACCGTCGGCCGCAGGGTCTACGGCTCGTTCCAAGACGGCTATCAGCACAGGGCCACTCGCTAGCATGACAGTCTTGTAGTAGTAAATAGACAGAAGTAACATATATCGCTCGGTGTGGAATTTCGAGGCACACCATGTATTCAGGTCGGATTTCTGACTCAGAATGCCGAAAGGACTGATGCCGTCGCGCCATTGCCCCAGTCGTGATAGGAGCTCTATGGTTTTTGCAATCAGATCTCCCGGTGCCAAGTCGGATGGCGAGCCAATGTTACAGCCGTAGATGGAATCTATAGAAATTCCCATGATCTCGTGTAACGATCTAGACATTGTTAATGGCGTCGGGCGCTTCAGAGTTAGGGCTAACGGGGGTGCCTACATGAGGTGGCGGAAGCAAACCAAGTTCTCCATAGAGGACGGCATTGTGACAGTCCTCGTATGATGCATCAGGACCAGACTGTCTGCAATCTCGGTTCGAACGTGTTGTAGTGGAATCAGACATGGTCGACCCAAGGCAGCACTCAGAATCCTATTCCAAATCAGCATCGAAGGCATGACAGGCTTTGCCCTCGAATGATTTACCTGTCTTGGTTCACTACAGCCAACCAGACTTTTGCACGGAGCTCCTTTTCCAGCGTGCCAAGACCCTCATAAGAAGACGGGGAATGAAGTCCAAGCTGGTATGAAGTCTTGACTGCGAGGGAATGTGACGTGAAGCTAGCCATCGCCCGTTGGCTATTTTGCTGGAAGCTTCCTAAGAGAAGCAATGCTTGGACTGTGTTCCATCAGCGTCTATCGACGTCGTTTGTCCAAGAGATACATCCGTATAGATCCGGCATTACTCACCCGTCTCTAGATTCGAATTGCACACTGTTTGCTCGTCTGCTAAAAGCAATGCCAGGGCCCGGTGGTAGAAAGGCTCTGCCGGGCCAGCATCGGTTGTAGATAATGCGTGAGCGAAGACAATATTAAGCAACGCCTGAACAGATCGCGAACGTAGCCTGCCGTTGTCGGGCCGCGCCCGCGCCCCCGTCGTATCCACCTCCCTCAACAGAGCGGATTCATTGACGTATGGTAACACAGCACCAACCGTGTCCGAGAATCTCGTTATCCACTGGATAGAAGCTAGGGGCCCGGGTAACATATCCTGGTTTTCTTGCGTAGTTGGATGGTGGTCCAGGTCCGAGGACGTCTGTGGCACGGGCGTCCGACCGGGACCTTCGTTGATCGGGGTTTGTCTTTCACTCTCATGAGAGAGAAGCGCGCCACGATGCCCGGAGTTTGCAATGGCATGTGTCAATGACCGAAACAATGCATGGTTGGAACTCGGGCCTAAGATGTTTAGTTACCCTTGGTCCTCGGATGGTAACATGTGACGGGAAGCTTGCAACTTACCAAAGTAGCCGATATCAGCTGCCGGCCTCTGATCAAAGGCACCAGTGGCTATGATGTCTATGGCCGATTCGGTATTCGTGCTGTGGCTTCCAGCGTCCGAAACGCCACCATTGCTCATCTGAGCAGGTGATGTTTTCTCCTTTGGCCCGTGACCGCCGAAGGTGACGTTTGAATCCATCGTCTGCCCAGTGGTCGTGGAGACAGCAGCCAGCTGCGCCTCGAGCTCATTGACCCTGTTCTTCAGTGCCCAGCGAGCCCTGTACTCTAGGCACTTAGTTATCATGTTTCATGTCTGAAAAGGGGGCGTGCGAGTTGGAGCTGGACTGACTTTCGTTCTTCCTGGCGCTCCATTCTCTTATCCCGAACGTTTTGTGAGTAAATGCATTCGATATTCTGCCTTGCGCAGCGGCCACAGGCAGGCCTGTTGCTATCGCACTGTTCTGGTTAGTAAAATAGGCCATGAACCAGGGACACCGCCATCCACAATGGCGATCAGTAGCTAGCTAGTTAGCTTACTTTCGACTTCGTCTGGCGGCAAGTGTTGCAGGCTACAGCGGCTCTATCCCGCTTGGTTAGTGGACGACTGGTGCATTCCATTGCGCAATCATCCATTAATCGGAAGACTAGGAACAGACGATAGCGAAATCATAACAGTCTGCCCGCCGGTGTGCCGATGTTGGGATGTTTGGGTGGCGAAGATTAGAAGGCCTCGTGGAAACAGAAACAGGATAGAAAATGTATGTGGCCCTCGCTCCTTCCTGGCACTTGTTGCGCTATATTATAGCGCCATCTTAGCGCAGTGCGGGGTAATGTGCACTCGGATCCGCTGCTCGGAGAGAATGACGAATGGAGGAAGGGCATCCATACTTGTCGCCCCCGTGCATATTACTTTGGGAACCCTTTTGGGAAAACTTAGAAGCGAGTAGGCTTCCTCGAGACAATAGGAGCATGGAAGGACTTAAGGCCGCATGACTGTTCCTTGGATAGGCAAGTTGGAAAAAGATACTAATAAATAGATACACTGCCCAATTCAACGTCATACCAAACAAACAACCCCTTACTCCCTTCTCTTGGCTCTAACAAACAGTGGGCCTTCGAGATCACTTATACCCACGCTGATGAGGCTGGGCAGTTTGCCATAGAACTCCCCCATTTCCACCCCCTCCCTCTCCTTGGGATCAGCGAGTTGAAACTCGAATACACGTAGCAGTGTGCTGACCAGCTTATAGATGTTGGTCTGCGCCACCGTCTTGCCTATGCACTGACGACCTCCCAACCCGAAGTGCATCAGGTACTTTGCCCGGGCTGCAGTCTCGGGCACCTCCCACCGCGAAGGATCAAACACGTTGTGATCCGGGCCCCAGACCTCGGGGTTGTGGTGGAAGGCATGGTTGCAGACAGCTACCGACGTCTTCAGGCGGAATGTTAGCAAATCGTTCACTTCGAAAACGTCCCCCTTAAGCCAAGCAATGATACTTACTCCTTGTTTTATATGGCGGCCGGCCACCATGATGCCCTCCGGAGCCATGACTCGTCTCGCCAGCGGCATAGTGAAGACCGGTGTGATGCGGAAATTCTCCCTGACGGTCTGGCGCAGATACGGAAGTGAATTCTCAACCTTGGTAACAGAGTAGGCGGGCTGGTCAGGCTGGAGAGGTTCAAGGTTTGCATCAATCTCAGCAACAACCTTTGCTAAGATGTCTGGAGCGTGGAGCAGGTGATAAAGCAACAGGGTAGTCGTCGCGCTGGTGGTATGGGTCCCGGCGATGCTGTATTCGAGCAAATAGATTAGCAATCAGGGAGAAATGGACCAGGAGGATGTCTCCTTACATGAAGCCGAACGCCTCAGCCTCCAAGTCTGACTGTTTCAACCGTTCGCCAGTGTCCGGGTGTGTAGCCATGATGAGATTCGTCAGAATATCCTTCCTCTGCTCACCCCCCTCCTTGCCGTCTTGCACCTCGGCGATTCTCCGTTGGACACACTTCGCCGCCAGCTCTGCGCATTTAGCCCGGCCCTCGAAGAGAGCCCGCAAGCCAGAATGCGGCACTTTGGGGAGCCACGCTTTGAGCCTCATCGTCATGGCAGGCCAGGCGCCCGTCGCGGCGGCAAGTAAACTGTGCTCGATGACCGGCGGGACCAGGGATTCATCGTCGGTGAGTTGGACACCAAAGGGCTGGCTGAAAGCAAGTTCCCCAAGGACGTCAATGGTATAGTAGTGGAGAATGTGCTTGAGATCGAACACCTCCTGACGCCTGGCAAAACCCTCAATCTTGTGCCGCAAGATGTTGATGTTGATATCGAGGTACTGCTCCATATCCTTGACATAGGACATCGAGAAGCTGTGCGACATGTGGCGTCTCCGTATCGAATGCACCTGAAGCCTGTCAGCAACATATAGACGTCTAGGAAGCAATTCAAGGGGTTGGGATCTTCACATTTTCATCCCTCATGCCAAAAACATTTGGAGTCTTTGCACCGTAGGCGTCGTAGAACTCTGTCTTGGGCATGTTGCGGGCGCTCTTCTGATATAAGAGGGGAATTGCATCCTCGGATGTGACGCTGAGCTTGTCTGGGCCGTATCGTACGAAGGGACCGTACTTCTCGTGAAGTTCGGTGAGATTATACGGCTGCTTCAGAGATAGGAACTGTCGCACTTGCCAGAGGTCCGTTATGGACGCCCAGAAGGGGCCCGGATAGCAAGCCAGTGGATGGAACCATCTTTGGTATACCACATACACCAGAGGCACCAAGATGCCAAGCGCAATCAGTATATGGACAGTCGGAGGGGGTGAACGAATAGCTGTGAGCAAGAGTGAGCCCATGGTGACCGCTGAAGAGAGAAGAGAGGACCGATATCATCCAATGGATTGATGGCCCGCAGTTGAGCTCGCAGAATCTGCTGCATTATAATCAGATCCGTTCATGGAGAGGTTTATGCTGACGGCATATCGAAACGTTGTCATCATTCTCGCTCGCCAGCACTCCAACTGACCAGAAAGTTGGCGAGCCAATAGGATCAAGGTTATCCGCTTACAGGCCCCTTAGTACCCCGGATGCGGGTGGCCCCCCGCGAATTACGGGCCGCTAAGACCAAAGGTACTCCACTAAACGACAGGTGCAAGAGCTCTGGTACATGGAAAGGGATGAGCAAGCTCGGGAAGACCAATAAATTCAGGTCGTTGAAACTCTGCATCGTAGGCTCTATTTGCGGCCCCGGCTCATGAGTGCCGCCAATCGGGTCGTTATGCACGACTTAATCACCTGACTCTCGAACTGCCGTCCCCCTTGGGCTAGACAATAACACGCTCTGCTTCGTCGTCATGATCATCGTCACAATGTGGAGTTTGAAACAGCAGTAGGGGGAAGATGCCTGCCGAGGCGGCTCATTGAAGCCGGACGGACGGCCGAATGAGGCCCACGGCATAAGGATTAGCAATTCATCAAGCTCTCTACGACAACACAACAGATACTTTCAAGTGGCAATTCAACACTCGTCATTGTGCTCGGCATCAGATATCTAGTTACATGCTGTCTTGTCCTAACGCCCTGCCTAGGCAACCTGTCCTGAATCCAGAGCGAGCTGTTGATTTTCTTCTCGTTTTCCATCTTCCCGGCTAAGCTAATGCCACTGACATATCCATCCTCAGAAGACTGGAAGAGAGTGGTGACTTCGATGACCAGAATATTGACTTGGCTGGATGTTTTGTGAATGCATGTTCTGAGCTGGATGTTGTTCTGAGTTGTTTCGAGAATCGGTGTTGTTTCGAGAGCAAGATGGGTCGGCGAGGTACATGTTTCCCCTGGTAGATGATTGATTAGCTTGGCTGGATAGGTAGCAACATGGAAGTGACAGCTTGGTAATTACCTGAGCGGGGAGATCAGTCGGAGAACCGACTTCCGTGCTGCCCTCAGCGGGCGTCGTCTCTTCGGGCGTCGTCTCTTCGGCCATCGCGCCCAGGTCGACAGCGACCGGGTCGCTATTGCTGTGTGGGTGTCTTTTCCGCTCCTTCTTCCTGCGCAGGTAGTCCTGCGTGTGCTGCCGCTTTCATCGTGCACAGTCGTTACACTGCTGGGCCGCGCTGCGGCCCCCCAGCGAGTGTTCCGGGCCCTGGAACTCCTCGACCGACTTGATTTGTTTGCAGACCGTGCACCTCTTGGTGCCGTCTGCAAACACGGGATACGGGACCGGTGGCGCTGATGGGCGGGCGGGGGCAGCAGCGCGAACCTGGGGACCAGCCAGCTGCTGCGGGCCGTCAGCGGGATGGTTGGCCGGGCCGTGGAACAGAAATTGGCCGGGGGCGAACCCGGCGGCCGCGTCAGCAGGATAATAGCCCGCGGGAGGCGGGACGGCGGCTGCAAAGGGGTGCTGGTAATAGCCCACGGGATACGCGTGGGCGGGACCGGGCATGGTGACGATGACTGGAGCGTGGCGCCGACCACGGGAGGGCTGGGCGTGCTACAGCGCGTGTTGCGAGGGTGGAACCAGCGGAGACAGTCCTGGAAGCCCTTTCGATCGTCCTCTGGACATCGCCCTCAGGGCAAATGAGCCTTTTCATGTCATGCTCAGGAGCTCGTCCACAGGACAAACAAGCCTTTTCATGTCATGCCTAGGACGTCGCCCTAAGGGCAAGGGGAGCAGTTTAATGTCGTGCTCAGGACGTCGCCCCAAGGGCAAGGCGAGCAGTTTAATGTCATTGCTCAGGACAGTAGCATTCACAAAACAAAGGGATAACGACACACCAGTTTGAAGATGACAGTGAGTATTTCCTATGATTGCTCTAAGTAGAACTCCTATCGAGCATTGAAGCAAGTCCCACCATAGACACATGGCTTCCCAGGCGACAGCTGGCAGGTGTTGTCTAGCTGAAATATGGTTTGAGGCTCATGTCTCGGCATCTGACTGAAGGTGGGTAAGCATTGTGCTAAGTGGCTGGTGGCGGGATAGGCTAGGTAGGTGCCTTAGGTAAGTAGCAGAGAATGGAAAGTACATACCAGTCTTGGGTCCCCCCTTGGTGTTCCTGCTAGATGGGATGTATGGTTCATAACACTGCATCAGGAAACTTGTGTCTCGGGGTGGGAAGGCAGTGCTGTCAGCAAGGGTGGGTGTGTCTGATGACAGCTTACTGTGTGATATGACGAACATGCTTTGTGCATGAGATTGTGTCTTTGATCAACGCGTCAAAACTTACCTGCCAGGTCATTGGAAGTATTAGGGTGCTGTGTGGGAAGAAAGGGCGCAGGTGGGAGAATGCTAGAAGGGGTTGAAGACAGGCCATGGGAAATAGAAGAACGGCAAAGGAAGAAGCAGAAGATATATGGTGGTGTCACCGGGCCAGGAGTAGGGGAGATAAGGATGGTGAAAATGGCTCCGGGGAAAAAACAGGTGGGCGGGAAAAGAAAACAAACCGTGAAGTGTGTCCTAACCTACCAAGTAAACAGGGTCTTTTCTGCTGACACCTACCGCTGAGATATCTCTGCTTGATGATGTCACATCGAAACATGGAAGGGGGACTCAACTGCTGACGAAATATCTGGTGATATTATATTGCCGCAGTTAGATGTCGGTGGATCGGAGAAAGCTTACAGGATGAAGTTGTCGGATATTGTTGAACAGGTTTGGATCTTGATCTCTCAGCAGAATCTGTAAAGTTCGTGATGATATGTGGAACTGTAGAAGATCAAAATGCTGGGGAGCTCCGGAAGTAGCAGAAGTAGAGGTAGGAATGGAGGAGAACAAGTGCTGAGTGTGTGTGATGCTGCTGTGGGATTGTTGATGGTAGGAAGTTGGGCAGAGGCGGGAAACGTCCAGCTTTATATCCAGGAAGAGTGGCCCGTGCAGCCTGTCAGGGTGAATTACCTAGGGTCTTGGGCCTGCTCGAGGTATTGGTGAAGACGAGTGATATGATAGAAGGGCTGGGGAGGGAAGTACTGTCCCAAAGATGGAAGGAGCCCTGACCCCCTATATAGAAGGGTAGTGAATGACGGCGCTGCGACCAAGTGAGTAGCAGATATATGAACAGGGAGAACTCCTTCCAGCTCACCAAGCAGAAGTGAAGCCTAGGTTAGGAGATAGCATTGAAGAGACATGTGATAAATATCTAGACATGCACAAATCATGTGAATATTGCACCCATTCCATCAAGATCTCACACAAAGAAGCCAGGTATAGAAACTAGAAAGGTGTGTAAATAGCTCCAAGCACCGCCCTCCTGTCCAAAAGCTAAACAAATCTATTCAGGGGGAGATCTGTCCGAGGGTCCATCTCGCGAGGGTTCACCTGTGATGTTTCAACTCAGGCCACCAAGATTTGTCTGGTGCAAGACAAACAAGCAGGTAATTCCCATAGAAGTAGCCAAAGCGGCCAACTAACCGTTTCACATAGCCATTCCAGCCCTCCGGGGCTCCGTCTCGGTCTCCATCTCCTTCAAGTCCTCCAAACCTCAACCAAACCCCTAACCTCCCTTCCCCTTTGGTGGGGGAGGAGGGAGAAAACGACAGCAAGTCCAGCGACGGTAATAAGCCCTGCCTCACGAAGGGCACGCAGCCCTCTTAAGCGAGACCACCTGGGTCTTGATGTGCCCTCCCCTGCCTCCGAAGACAACTGACCTGTTGATGGGATGGCAAGCGAGCACCGCCCCTCAAGTAGTGTGCAACGAACGATAAAGAAGATATGGTCTGGCTGGCGTGAGAACAGGGATAAATACTTGTCGTTCAACAAAATCTCCATACCGCGTGGGCTGTAATGCGAATATCCAGCCAGACGCTGCCACAGGGTGAGCTTCAGGGTGCCACGTGGTTGAGAAGGGCCGGCCCAAAGCACCACGCTTTTACGTAGGTAGGGTAGGATCTACGCATTCCAACGAGCATCAGGAGCTTCCCGTGGCAGAGTCAGGGATCCGATACTTCCTTGAGGGGGAGATAAAATGTTACATCCATCATTTTTGCCCATTGTTCCCTACCTCAGCCAAAGATATCAGTGACGACTGCTGAAGCTGCTCATCCCACCCCTCAGGGGTGGCTTGGTAAGACTCGCCAGTCAAGACGAGATCCCTGGTTCCTGGTCCCTGGTCTGGTGGTAGCGTCGTTGAACAGGTCGACATCATTGAAGACGAATTCAGGAATGCCCAGACCACCCTGTCTTTGGGTGGTCACGGGTTCGTTATCTGGAGCCCGTAGTCCTTCTCGATGAAGGGCTCTTGGCTGAGGGATATTGATGGCGTAGACTGCGGGTTTCCAAGCCGTAAGGCTGGCTCGGGTGCAAATTCTGATGCAACCTTTAGTGTGGTGGGAGAGGTTGCTGGAGCATGCAGCGGCAGGCCTTGGGGGTGGGACATTGCCAGGCACGCCTCGGGCCGTCCTCCTTCCCCAGCCCGATGATCCCTATTCTGCCATCGTCGGTGCCTCCACTGAGACTTTCCCATACACCATGTCCATTCGTAAGGCATGCGAGCAGCGCGACACCCAACGCCCAGCCAACCTACTAGCCAACTGCCCCGAGCCAGCTGCCCCGAGAAGACCCGCCAGTGTATAGTCCCCCCTGAATGTGACCCGTGCTAGCTTAGCTAAGATGCGGAGGGAGCTGCCGCGCCTATGGGGGACGGGACCGGAGAATCGGAGAATAAACTCGGCCAATTAGCGCTCGCCGTCGGTCAATCGGCCGCGTGTAGCTCGGCAACGCGCGCTTGAATCCATTCTCCTCGCCCATTTATACTTTGGCTCTCCTTTTATAGCCAGCGTGGGTGTTGCTGTCCCTCTTTCCTTTCCATTTCTCAAGCCGAAATGCAATTGCAAAGTGGATCGATCCTCCAAATGCAACATCGCAACCCTTTGGTCACCTCCCCCCTCCAAGTCCAACTTTCTCAAGCCAAGGTCCCTCAAATCCACTCTCGGACTCTCCCTTACATATTCCAATTAGCCAGGCCGAAATATTCCATGCAGCACCCTGTCTGAAAGCATGGGAGAGCACAACCACCAAAGCAGCGACTCCCAGACGTTGGGCGAAGGAGCAAGCGCTGAAAAGCACCCGGAAACTGGGCAGGCCAACAGCCATGTTGACGCGGCGCCTGTGGATATTTCTCCTCGGAGTATCCATGGTTGGAAGGTAGGTCACCGATCTCCCTTTTCTCCAGCTTGATTATGGAGTTTCGAGTTGACTGAATGAGCAGTGGGCGGTGGCCTACATGGCCATGCTGTCGACCACGTTTCTTTTTGCCCTAGATAACACGATTGTACGTCGTCTCAACATCATTTTCCCCACTCGCCATACCATCCATACCATCCCTACCCGCCCTTAACACCGAGGACAGGTTGCCGACATCCAACCCGCCATTGTTCACGATTATGGAAACGTCGAGTTGCTCCCCTGGATCGGAACCGGCTTTGCCCTCGGCACGATGGCAATACTTTCCTGGGGCAAAGTTTACGGCATCTTCAATATCAAGTGGGTCTACACTTTTAACATCCTGATCTTCGAGGTTGGTAGCGCCCTATGTGGTGCTGCACCCAACATGTCGGCCCTGATAATTGGGCGCGTCATCGCTGGCGTCGGCGGCTCTGGTATGTATTCTGGCACCCTGACGTATGTGTCTGTTTCAACGACGATGAATGAGAGACCGGCATATATGGCTGGAAGTACCGCCGTCTGGGGGGTGGGAACAGTTCTAGGCCATGTGGTATGCTGAATCCCTTCGCCCCCTTTTCTCCCCCTCTTCCCCCTCTTTTTTTAAAAAAAAGGGGGGAGGGTGGGAGGGGGGGGAGGGGAACCACACACAGCGCCCGGGAGCCGCTCTGTTGTAGACAAGACACTAACAGTGATGCAGGTTGGCGGGGCTTTTTCAATAAGCAGCGCCACATGGCGATGGGTGCGTACCAAACCAAATTCACCACGGGACGGAGCGTGACGGGGCGTGACCTCCAGACAGGAACTAACATTTTCTCGTCAGGGCTTCTATATCAATTTCGTCATAGGCGCCGCTTTTGCCCCAGCATACCTGTTGCTGTTTCCATCCATCGATCCTCAGCCCGGAAAGACGTCCAAGGAGAAACGCGAAATGATGGACTGGCCAATGACAGCGGTCTTCTTGGCCGGGTCTGCCTGCTTCGTCATGGTAATTACATTTGGAGGTAGCCTATACTCTTGGAATTCTGGAGCGTTGATAGCCTTGTGGACGGTGTCTGATATCTTCCTAATTGTGACTTTTCTCCTTGCGAAATTCCATCCCGGCGTCTCCAAAGACCACAGGCTGTACCCTGCCCATTTCCTAAAGCGGCCCATCTTGATGAACCTGCAGCTTCAGGTATTCCTATCGTCAGCAATTATTCTTGTAGGTGCTCTTGCTTCTCCTTCTGAAACGCAAATTAACCGCCGGCAGGCCATGACATATTACATCCCTCTCTTCTTCCAATTCGTTCGGGTGGGTGCCATCGACGAGGTGAACGAGTAGTGAGAGTTGCGGCGGCTGACAACCTCTAGGGAGATGGCCCGCTTGATGGGGGAATCAGACTCCTCCCGCTAATTGTCTTCATGGTTGTGGTATCTATGGTCAACGGCGTCCTCATGTGTACGTTGTTCACGGAGCGGGCTGCCTGCCGTGGTATGAGCGATGAAACTAACAGTTCCCGGGAACAGATACCATCCATGCCGATACTCCGAATACAAACATATACGGCTACACCATCCTCATTGGTGCAGGGGCAGGATGCTACATTGTAGCCGGATTTTCCATTGTCCAGTCTCTTGTTCTTGTTACGGACATTGCTAATGCTGTTGGAGCCATGACGATTGGTAGGTGACTTTTCAACCTAGATCTAGCCTGGTATCAAAAGGTTTCCACCCATCCCGCTAATGATTGTTCTTTTCCTTGCAACAGCACAAGACCTAGGAATGGTTCTCTTCCTCGCTATTTCAGGGAGCATATTCCAGAACACAGCAGTCCAGAAGATCGGCAGCGCCCTCCCCAATGCCTCGCCAGCCGAGATAATGCAGCTTATGACTGGAACCAGCAGCGCTGTCTATATGGACTTGTTTGAATCGGACAAGCGGGTCGTCATTCCGCAGATCACCGACGCTATGAGCAACGTCTGGTTCATGTTTCTGGTTGCCGCGGCCCTGAGCTTCGTATGCTCCCTGCCTCTCGGTGTAAGTAACACATTCGAATCCAGCACGCCTCGTGGTTTGTCCTTCATACTAAGGTACCCTGTCCCTTGTAGAAGACTCGCCTTGTGACGCATTGAGACCCGCGCGTTGCATATGACAGTCGTCAATGCATATGTCCTAAGAACGACAGCTATAAGCTGAAGTTAAACTACCTAGGCTTAAGCTACTTAGCCTAAGCAAAAGCAGCGAAAGGTCATGTAAGCTAACGGGGAGGGGGGTGATCATATTGGGGCTATATAACAACGAAATTAAGTTAAAAGCAAGGATTTATCTAACTAGAAGCAACAAGTAACATGCTCCATTGCCACCCTAGTCTAAAGCTCTTCCGATTTCACGGGGGATGTCTCGCAACTCTTGCCACCTACTGGCGGGATGGACGGTACGATAGCTCCGAAAAGCTGGCGCCTAGGTGCCCCATAGTACCACATACTGTCAACCCTCTCCCGCCATCTAATCAAGGCGCAACAGCATTGTTGGAAAGGTCATAAGCATCCACTGTCTGCCACTCGCCCTGTGGCAGCTGACGACTCGAATATCTGTAGTGGGGAGCTGGCGAATACTGTGCCTCTGGAGCGGCCGGGTTCGGGGTGTCATATCGACGTTGGAAGATGGATGGGGATATCTAGAGAGTGCGGGCCATCCTCCGTCACACGCAAGGCACGTCCATCGCTCCAATAGGCAGGTAGGCATGTAGTCAGTTGCCCCTTCCCCTAGCTGCGAGCTGGAGAGGCAATCTGGCTGCCGAGGGCACCGATTGGATCGAAATAGCCGCAAGGTTTGTTGAGCCTCTAGCGGTCTCCTGTGGGCGATTGGGCGATCAGGGGCCTTCCCTGATTTGGCTCCTGCGCTACTGCTGAAGAAAAAGCATAAAGAAACAGTGCATGCAGGTTAAATGTGGGTGGAGAGGGCGTGGGGGCCATGGCTCGTGCGTGCTTCCCGCTGATTCGCGTCACTGGCGTGCTGTTTTGGGACATGCTCCATCTCCACTCCACTGCTTCCATCCTTTGTTCCCGGAACCATCAACAACCTCTGCTTCACCTGCCTGTTCAGCCAGGACATTCCCCCTTCTCCCATAAGCCTGAGCTCCTGTCTGATATTTTTTGACGCGCTTGGGGGACTCAATTGGTAACCCTACACGCGTGGTTCTAGCCAGGATACCCCGCACTGCCTCCCTGCCACTTTGACGCGTCCATTTGCAAAACCCCCGGTCTCCAGCCACCGCCAACGCGCAATCGACCCGAGTTCGAGCTTCTCTGCAGCACCACCGCTGTGCTTATATTGGCCCTGTGTCAGGTGTAGGACTGAAGGAGCCAGGTTGAACTGCCAGACGCGAGGGCAGGGTCTAGGAGCTATGGTCTGACTGTGCGAGGGTCGATGGTTCAAATGCTCCCGACAGCGCGCAGGACTCTCCATCTCCCCGGGCCCTCTGCCCGGACACAAGCGCACTCCCCAATATGCCGACCGTACATGTCACACCAGAGTCGGCCCTGCTGCTGCAAGACATTGCAAACTCGCTGTACAAGGCGAAGAAGGTTGTGGTGGTAACCGGTGCTGGAATCAGCACAAACTCTGGCATTCCGGTTAGTCGACGCGTCTCCCAGGGCATCTTGGCTCCCGGTGTGGGACCCCTGCTAATTATCAAGTCAGGACTTCCGATCTGAAAATGGCCTGTACTCTCTGATCCAGGCCCAATTCGACGCCGCGACCAATGAGCTCTCTGCGAGGGATGAGCCTCGCTCTCTCTCTCCAGGGCTACCGACCGATGCTTCTCAGGGGCCACCAGCGAAGCGGCGAAGAGTTGTGTATGATGAGGCTGTGCCTCTGTCCAGTGGGGCGCCTTGTCAGGATGGCGCCGAGAGAAAGATTGGGCCAACAAAGTACAATGAAGAGGGGAAAGCAGGGTCTTGTTCTGGCCAGTCGCCATTGCAAGAAGACTCTGCAGGGGGCACAATGATTGAGGATCGGTGCATCACTGTGTCGTCCCCCTTGTCAGATCTTCCAGACTCAGAATTTGATGGGATGGGGGAAGCTTTGGAGCTCCCGTATGGTGTTGGCTTGCCCGATGTCGAGGGGCGTGAACACTCTGCAACTCACCCCAATGGACCCCCGGGGGTGGACTATGAGCTCCCAGTCAAGGAGGATCCTTCCACGGGGGTGAGGATATCGCCAGCGGCCACTCCCAAGCTGCTTCCTCGGCTGCCTGAGGACCTCGAGCTAATGGGTCCAAGACTAGACGGGTCCTGCTCCTCGGGTTTTCGTTCCTCCCCGAGAGCCTCAACGCCAAAAACCTCGCACCTTTCTTCTGATTCTGAGCTCCCATCCTGCCCTCTCACCTCATCACCTCTCTCATCTCCGCCTCCAATCCTCTTCGACCCGTATGAGGACTCTTCATCAGGGCAAAGCTGTTTGCTGAAGCAAGCTCCCTCGTCTCGAGCCAATTCCCCATCTCCATCTGAGAGTGGGAAAACTTCGCCGGCCTCAACACCACTCCTCGCCTCACAATCGAGCTTCGGTTCCTCAACTTCCTCACTTGCGGCCCTTCCGAACCTCAAAGGACGGGATCTATTCGACTCGTCCATCTGGGCAGACCCTGTCAAGACCTCAGTCTTTTACACCTTCACCACTACTCTAAGACAGAAGGCGAGAGATGTCTCGCCTACTCCGAGCCATGAGTTCCTCGGGGCGCTGCGAGATTGCAGGAAGCTCGTCCGTTGCTATACCCAGAACATTGACCAGCTCGAAGAACGAGTCGGCCTCGCCACCTCCCTTGGCCTTGGACCAGGGAGCCGCGCCAGGTTCTCCACCAGAAGCCGTGCCTCGGGTGTCGGCCTCGCAGGAAGCAGCGGCTGCTCCGGGGATGCACAACGGAAAGGAGACTCGGCAGAACAAGCCAGAGGGTCAAATCCAGAACAGCAAACGCGGGAGCCAGAATCGAAACTCGCCTCGGAACAAGGTAAAGCCTCTCCTTCTCAAACTCAAGTCTCTCTTCACCAAGACTCGAAATGCGTTCCGACCCAAGAAAGGAAAGACGGGTCAGACAAAGGCAGCCGCCGAGAAGGTGACGCAAGAGCATCACCAATCTCCGACTCCGGGCCCCGTCAGCCAAGAGGTCAAGGAGGCAAAGATGGATCAGCCACGCCGCCGAGTTCGTCGCCGCCCCAGGACCATTCGGGCAAGGAGGGCGCCCAAATTGTTCGGCATGGGCACCAAGATCCTCAAGCCAAAGGCGCGGCCGCGCCTGTCGAGCATCCGGGAGTCGCGCATGATTGCCCAGGAGGACATAGTCCGGGACCGACGCATGCGGGACGGGCGGATACTTCGAGGCCAAACCGAAGGGATACTCTCCAGACCCCTCCCCCCTCTTCCGGTCGGAGCGAGCACTCCCAGACGGCCAAACCCGACGCGGCCGACCAGGCTCCCCCAAAGAATCGTGCCCGCCCGAGCACACTCCCTTCCACGCTCTCCGCCCCCAACCGGGGCGTAGAGTGTGTCTTCCTTCACGGCTCGCTAAACTGCCTCCGGTGTTTTGTCTGTTCGCGTACCAGCTCGTGGGACGAGGCGGATCGAGAACTAGACACACTAGCGGGCCGACAGCCGACGTGTCCTCATTGCGCAGGGGCCACGGCGGCGAGGGAGGAACGGGGGAAGCGCGCACTCGGAGTCGGCAAGCTACGGCCCGACATTGTATTATACGGAGAAGAGCACCCGCTCTCACATCTCATCAGCCCGCTCGTCCAGCATGACCTGTCTCTGGGTCCGGACATGCTTCTTATTTTGGGGACGAGCCTGCGCGTCCATGGGTTGAAGGTCTTGGTCAAGGAGTTCGCCAAGGCAGTGCACACCAAGGGAGGCAAGGTTGTATTTATCAACTACACAAAGCCCCCCGACAGCGTGTGGGCCGACGTCATCGATTACTGGATTCAATGGGACTGCGACGCCTGGGTCGTCGACGTGAAGGGTCGAAAACCCGCTCTTTGGTTGCCTCCGGGCAGTGTCCTCGAGGACGAAGAGCCCAAGCCCGCAAAGACGAAGCGAGAGAGCAACGGAGATGAGCGAAAAGGCAAGCGAGAGAGCAACGGAGATGAGCGAAAAGGCAAGCGAGAGAGCATCGGAGATGAGCGGAAAGGCAAGCGCGATGCGGGCAAGCCCCAGCGAGAAAAGAGCAGCTTGTCGTCGCAAAAGAAGGCGAAGGACGCGGCCGAGCCGGCAAGACCACGCCGCGGTGAAGCAAATCTCACCCGCGACACCAAGAGACCGGTGGCTGTACGCGACGATAAAACCAATGGTGCGTTTTTGACGTGGAAGATCATGAGGGATCTTCGAAGAATCGCAGGCACATCTAGCCCAAGCGACTTCCCGCCGCCGGCCTCAGCAAAAGCAGGTGCAACAATTGCAGCGCCGAGGAAGAAGTCCCGGAAGTCTGCCCCAGCAATTATGGAGTCCTCCGAAAGGCCTCCCAAGAAACCGAAGCGGGCCCGGGCTACTGCCCTCCCCAAGGAGATTAAAGAGCCGGCCCCCGCCCCGATAATCCCCGACAGCTCGATATCCGCCGCCGTCAAACTCAATCCGCGGAGGAGGAAGGCGAAGTTCATTGAGGGCTACGAGCTCGAGATGCGAGGATCCCGACTGTCTGGTGCATATTTGACGCCGACTCCGCTTCTTCCCGCCACCCCCACCGCTATCCCCCCCACCATCCTTCTTCCTCCCCCCGTCCCCCACGGCGACGTAAACATGGGCGGTGTGGTGTCGCCCACCTCCGTCCCCAACCTCTCCCCATCTCATTCCCGATCCTTCAGCCTACCACTTTCCCTTCCCCCGTTGAACGAGCTCGCCTCTCAACCAGGGGGGACGCCGGGGAAGCCCGAACCCCTGGAGCCGTGGGTCGGGAGCCTCGGCCCGCCGTCGAGGATCTCGGCCGACGTCGGGGGCGGTGACAGGTGGAGGCACAGCATGGCGGACCGGCTCGTCGACCCATTCTTCCTCGCCGACCCGCTCGGCGGCCAGCTCTGGCATCCGCCAACGATGGAGGCGGTTCCCGCCGTCGCGGGACTGCAGGGCGAGGCGGCCAACTACGGCCCCAACGAGCAGTTGAGGAAGGAGCAGGATGCTGCGTTGGTTCTCTCGGGTTTGAAGGCTGGGTTTACGTGGTGAGACGGTCCGTCAAGTACGCTGAGGGAAAGGGGGAGGAGGCTCTTGATTGGGATGACGCGGCATGGCATGGCATGACACGATATCACATGGTATCATGACGGTGTTGGTGGCGTTGCAGTGGCTCGGATAATGGGCCTTTTTTTTTCTTTTTTTTCCTATCCTTTCCTTTGGCAGTGTAGTCTCTTGCATAGACAAACATGCCTGACCGTCACGGCCATTCACTCTTAGTCAATATTCTTATCCCGAATCCACCAGCCGTAAAGCTGGCTCGAATTGATCGATTACTCGGGTGCCCTGCATCTACCCTGCTTACCCGCGACATGGCATTGCCAGCCTTGATGGAAGAGTTGCCTAACTGAACGCGAAGTGATAGGAAGCGGTAGGTACCAAAGATGCATGTTGTTTTTTTCGCCCTTGACTCTCCTGGCTCATCCCTCTGCACGGAATACCCATGTATCGCATACATATTCCCTACAGCTCTTAGGTGGCATGCCAACCTCGGCCGGATGGGAAGTCTCCTCCGGGTTGGAGCCTCAGTAATGCAAAAGTCTTGACCACCAAGGACTCGGGTTGCAAATCGACTGGTTACCTTGCTGCCGGATACGCAATACAAAGAGATACCGAGAAAACCACGGGTTAGACCATTGAGCAAAGGCTCGTCGAAGAGTTGGGCTTGGTTTCGATCACTTTATCGCCACTCTAGTAATATCGATAACTTCAAAATGAGCCCTGCGTTCCTTTCTCTACCTAGGATGAGGGCAGTCCTTCGGTGATATTCCTGATATTCCCTATTATAGACTCTATCGAGGTCCATACCATCATGGCATCGGGAAGTGGCATCTCACGGGAGCCGAGGTTTCCATGATATGTATGCTCATTTGATAAACATCTCATTGTTAATTATGAGAAGTCTCCCACGTGAGATAGTAACCTTGCATTTTGCCAGATTTACGGTCTCATGGCAAGGTTGTGGAGAGGAAGCATGTATTTATTTGCTGTACAAAGAGGTGAGGATAACATATCTACACTATCCTGATTCAATATCCGCCATCGTATGTGCCCGGATTTCAACAAGACGTCCAATTTATAAATGGAACAGAGGCGTCGAAAATCAGTTCTCTTTCAACAACCACTCTCCCACATCATTTGTCGTATGGACTTCGATGACATCGTGAGTGTGGATTTTGGAATGCGCTCAGAATACCCAGACTCGTGCGGCAAGCTCGCCCGTTTCACCAATAAAAATTCCACTACTGACACAAGACGGTTTGATCGCCGTCATCCCAGCAATCCCGCTCCATCTAAGCTTCCACACCCCTACGATTGGCTGGTCTTGGCGGACGTGTCGGAGATCTCTTAGATCTGAAACCCAGGGACAGGTCAAAAGACGTCCCCCCCGCACAAGATCGTGGAGAGCCATGGCTTGCAGGGGGTAGATTCATATGTAAAGCGACGTTCCCCAGCATTATTCGGGAATGTCCTCACGCCCAAGCTATCGTAGATCGATTCCCTCTTTTGCTTCCACCCTCGTTTATTCTTCCATTCTAAACTAGTAATTGTATTTATTTTTATTTTTGGCGGCTGGCCTGCATCTACATTTCCAAGATGGTTTCTTCACGCTCCTTCAGCGCAGCGTCAGTTCTGTCGCTCGCTTCGTCTGTTCTGGCTCAGACCTGTACTCTTCAATTCGATGGCCGCATACCGGCGGACTTTGGTGTTGCCTCGTTTGACACCGCGAACAACTTCTTCAGTTCGGGCAATGTCTTTGGACAAGGTATGCCGCTGCCGTCTCCGCATCGCGATAAACCATGAAAGCCGAGACTGACGCCGAACAGGACTGAAATTCAGCCAATTGCTCAAGACCCCCGCCGCAACGGGATCCCTGGTACGTGATTAACAGCCCTCGTTCTCCGTGGGCAGGACGGATGGTGCCGAACCCCTCTGACCGCGTCCTCTCAGTTCGACACCAACACGATCCCCGTCGAGGTGACCATCAGCGACAAGTCCATCTTCGCCCCGAGCGCCGACAACATCCAGACGGGTTTCCGACGCGCCGAGCTGCTGCCCGCCAGCAACAGCGGCACCGACCCCAGCACGACGGGTGTCAAGACGCTGCACTTCAGCCTGATGAAGGACGCCCAGCGGCCGCTCAACCTGTCGCACGAGTACCAGCTCGTCTTCCTTGAGAGCAACGACTTCAGCACGAACCAGCTGGTCCTCAAGACGGGCACCCTCATCGGCGGCGGCGGCGGCGCCAACCCGGACACCCTCCAGCTGTTCGGCAACGTCAACTCCCCACAGCTCCTCTTCAGCACCCCCTTCACGCCGGGCGTGTTTCACAACTTTGCTGTGACGCTGGATTTCAATAAGCTGTGAGTGCCTACCCCACCACCACCACCACCCCCGCTTCCTCTCAACCCCCGAAACCAGTGATCTGACAGTTACGCGGCACAGCACCTCGCAAGTCTTCTTCTCGACAGGCACCGCGGCCCTCAAGGCGGTCACGCAGGCCCTGCCCAACGACGTCAGCGGCCAGGGCCAGTTCCACTTTGGCGTGCTGAAGAAGCCGACCGACGGCGGCAATGACATTGTGCACAACGGCTTCCAGGAGGCCGGCATCGACGAGGGCATCATCTACGGTGGAATCTTCCAGGAGGACAGCTCGACGGGCTGCGTCAGCCTGTCGCCTTGATTTTTTTTGGGGTTGGGAAAGCCGACACCTGAACTTGGGTGGAGCGGGGGTTCTGGAAGGTTTTATACAGGGGCTTTCCTCTGAAGGATATGTTGGGGTTGGGGAAGGGGAGGGAGCGGATGGTTGGTTGCGGAACTGGAAAGGAAATGTAATTATACCGATGTGGGCAGCTGGGGAGCTACTATCCTCCAACTTCTATTACACTTGAGACACTCGAATGCATCTAGATAAGGAGAAACGGCTCGGCCGGAGCATCGGTCCATCCCCGATCCATGAGGCCATGGACGTAACAGCAACCCACTAGCTCAAACCCCTCCGAGGCTAGTCGAGACTTTGGCCGCAGGAGGACAGGCATCCGAGCACCCTTCATGACGCAGATGATGTCGCCTTTCCGAGAGTCTGGGGGGACGATGGCCATTCGACCGTTGGCGGTGACGCAAAACCGATTCTGGTATACGACGCCAAGGGATGATCTGAAGAATGGCGACGCTGCCACGGAAGCCCGATCAAACCTTTGGACTATATCCTCCATGTCCCTGTCGACATTGGTAGAATCCGCATCTATCCCCGAAGTAATATGTTGGATGGCCCGGTACATCTCTGGTTCTATCGAATCTCTGTTCCAGGCAGCCGTGTTTCGAAGACGTCGCTGCATCGCACGGCAGTCCAAACGCATACTTGCAGCACGAGCCACCTCGAAGAGGGAGAAGTGTTCGTGCAGAGCCTCATAGGCCTCCAGGCATTCAATCGTCGACGGTCGATGGTCAAGATCGGAGATTCGGTCGCCCAGGACGGTGCGCACGAACATCTCCAACCGCGTGCTGCCCTCCTCGGGGTAGTGAGCCGCACACTCCATAGCCATGCACTCGGCCGCCTTATACCACCCTCGAAGGGTCCGGTTGTCCTCCACCGCACCCTCCATGGCCATGAGCTCGGCCGGCCTATACCGCCCTCGAAGGATCCGGTTGTTCTCAACCGCGGTCGTCTCGCCGCCCATCTCCAGTGCGTCTCCGAGTAGCTCGACGCGGTCGCGCTCCCATCCCTGCACGGAAACCACGAGTGGGTTTTCCCTGTCTAAGACCACCGCCGCCGCGTGATCGGTTCCTGCACTGTAGGACGACACGTGATAAGGCCCGTTCGTGGAGCCGCCGTCCCAGTCAGGCACCCACGACGGCAGGTTGGCCGCGCGCCTCGCTCGGCCGGTGCCTGCAAATTCCATGGCATCGAGAGATGTTGCCTGCAGGAGGATTTCCCACATGGCGTCGACGTAGAGCGCCTGAAAGTCTATGCGATAGTCTGGTGTGAGAGTCGAAGATTCCATGAGCGACAGGAGAGCGTAGATCTTGTCCCTCTCGTCCTTGCATTCAAACTCGAGCGCGCATTCCAAGGCGGTCGCCAGGGTCAGGTCTCTCGAACAGTCAACGTCGCCGCGGAGCTCCAGCATCACATCTACGTTGCATAGGCCCCTGAAGATCCGCTGCCTCTCCTTGCTGAAGAACGAACCGTCCATCTGGGGAAAGTTACCCATCATGTGTTTCCCCATGAGGATCGAGAGAGATTGGCGAACAACGTCCCAATCCATGCATACGTCGCCGTAAAGTAAATGCAACTCTTTGGACAGGGCCACTTCCTGAACTATCCACATCCGCGTGAACCAAGGGTTGAGAAAGAAATCGGACAGGGCGAGCCACTGCGGTCCCATTGGGTCGGCGGTAGCATCCTTCAGCTGCTCGACCGAATACCCCAGTCCCTCTTTCTTGTAGCGGAGTTGTGCGAGGAACGACTGCACAACGTGGGCCGTGCTGCAGGGCCCAAGCCACGCCACCACGCGTCGCGCATTCGCATACAGCGCACCCATCATCTGGACCTGCGAGGCTCTCTCGTCGAGGTTCTCCTGGTCTATGCACAGCCCGTCGATCCACAGTAGCCGCTCGTGCCATCGCGACCGTCGTCTTGCAATAATGGAATACGCACTGTCGGTCACGTCCAGACGCGTCGACTCGTCGTCACCTTCGCCATCATTATCGATAACAACGAACCGGACTAGGTCCGCACTTCCCCACACGTACGATACGGCCTCGAAGGGAGGGGCGGTTCCGAGAGCAACGGTCTCCAGCCGGCATCGGATGGGCTCCGAGGGAAGTCCGGGGAACACTCTGAGAAGCCGGATTTGCGTTCCTATGAGATGACGGTACTGGTACTTCTCTTCGGGTTGATTTCGCGAGGAGCCGTGAATTCCACCTGATGGCTGTCCCAAAACCCTCATGAGGGATTTGGCCGCACGATTTGCCAAAATCAGGAGCATCCGGGTGGCGTAGAGAACGATTTGCTCCGCGGCCCAGACGACGCGGTGTCTGACGACTTTTCCCGGCTCTTCGGCCGGGCGGTACCGTATCCAAAGCCACGGCTCCTCGTTGGACACCACAAGCGCCCTAAGCAGAACGGCAATGGCGGCCCCGATATTAATGGCAAGTATTCCGCGAAAGGTCTTGTAGTGTGCCATGGCTTCGGCCACGATAGAGAAGAAGCCGCTGAGGAGAGCTCCTACCAGAAGCAGCCTGACTTGGTCTCGGTCCGAGATGTCGTCCTGGAGATGGTCGACAAACGGGATATATAAACTCTGTACCCAAAGCCAGCAACTGAACAGCCTCGTGAAACTGCCAGATATGGCTGGAGGCATCATAGCTAGAGCCGTGAGGACGAGAAGAGGCACGTGTGGCAACTGCCTCCTGGACACCGCGTACAGTAGATGAATCGCTAGAGTAGCACCTGCATATGGCGCGAGGCTCTTTGGGCCGATAAACATGTCGCAGAGCCTGAGGATGGTTACCGGAAGGAGAAGTTGCAGCAGACCATAGTTGATGGTCTCGTGCTGAAGGCCTAACCACTCCGGAACAGCGTCTTCCTCGAGCCACTTTAGCGCAGGCGGCTGGTCTTGCAGTTCCTTTGCTTGCTTGCGAAACAATCTGTTTCCCGGGCTGCTGTCCTCCAGTGCTCGGTAGGACGATTGCACCCTGTCAAGATATGCCCGCCACATTGCGACGATTGGCGCCCCTCGCTGTCTCGAGTGTCACTAGTTCGGCGTGAGATGGACCAGTGTGAAAATGGACCGGCGTTCGAGCTGTGGCGGCCGGCGTTATAGACGCTTGAGATAATTGACAAGCCCGGCCTAAAAAATTGGAGGCCTCATGGGCGGGACTGCTTGAGTGGCAGATTCAGGACATGTACGGCGTTTCACGAGGCTGTACAGCTGAGCAAGAGCCGCGGCGCAAGCCACTCCTTGGCAACCACAATGGGAAAAGGCCGACCTAACGTGGCGCCAACTATTGGAACCACACGGACGGCTGTGCCTGCAAAGCTCCCTGAAGACATTTTCTCACTTGTTGCGGCACTACCCTTTCGCCGCCGACCCAACCCCGGGATATACAGACGAGGAGTTCAGAGAAAAGTACGGCGAAGAAGAGTATAAATAGCTGGTTATCGGGAGGGTCGTGCAAAGAAAGCGGTGGGGACAGAAACTTCCAAGGCACGAGCAGGAATTCCTCGAACAGCACCCGGAGCTGGCTGAGCAGTTGTAACAATCGTTCGGCGGCGCTTTAACCTCGGTGGAGGAAGCAGATAGAGGGAAATGAGACTCTCAATGTCCTATGCAGGTCAGGTGGAACGGACGGCAGGCTCGAGTCCTCTTCTCATCTCCAGCAAGGGATATTCTAATTCTTAGACATGTCGCGAAGCATCCAAGAGATCTTTGATGTTAGTATTTGATCCGACTCAGAGGTCAATATAGAGAGGGGTATTACTTGTAGTAATCGGTCTTCCTATTCGCTTTATGAGGTTGGGGCAAGTTTCAGTCGTTTCCGCACTAATGATTCATCGAGATTCGAATGAATGCGGAGAAGTGGGTGCTTCGTACTAGGACGTCGAAGTCCGACGGCGGACGTGTTGGATAACAGTTGCCGATGAACGCCGGCCACCCAGTTCCTTTACTCGTTTATATTCTGGTCGGGGAAGACTTTGGAAATCTCATCAAACCATCCTTGGATAGCTAGATATACGTCAAAGATATAAACCCACGATTGTCGATCGGATTGCAACGTCTATACTTTATAGTACAATTCATATTAGCGGAGTACCATGTCGAATACCGAGAAGTTGATACGAATTACCACGCTCATCCCGAGAAAGAAAGGAATGACCCAGAAGGAGTTCTACAAGCACTGGACCGAAGTACACGGGCCAATGGTTGTGGACTTCATGATGCGACACGGCGTGGTCGAGTATCGTCAGGTGAGTTTCGAACGATATTTTTTTTACCTTTCAGTTGCTCTGTTTCCCATCACATATTAACGGCGACGGCTCACAGTATCACACAACGCCCGAGACAAAGGCCCTGGGGGAGGCCATGGCAAGGGCGGCGGGGCGGCCGATGCTGAGCTTCGACGGCATTAGTGACGCGTATGTGAGGGACTTCAAGACGTTTGAGGACGCGTTCAAGGACCCGGAATATCTTGACAAGATCCGCGCGGATGAGCTGGCTTTTATCGATGTCGAGAATATCCAGATGACCATTGGCCAGGACTGGCTGGTGGTTGCGGACGGGAAGAAGGTGACTGAGCATGCTCGGAAAATTGAATGAGTGGGAGGATGACTGAATGTGAGCCGAGACTGGGGTCTCAAGTGTGCGTGTGTAGAATGGAAATGGTTCCGAGAGGGTGTGTTTGGAGTCAGAGTATAAAGTGGGGGGGTTTGCGGTTAGGGGGAGAGACATATATATAGGTTTAGGGACTAAACTCGTACAGACTACAGACGGCGGCGGTATGGCCATATCTGCATGTTCCCTGTAGGCTGGTCGGGTGGGATGGCTAGAGACGTAGCGAAGGTGGCAAAAGTCAACTCATCGTGAACTCTTTTGTTCGAACCACCTCCGTGTCACCCCCCCTTTTTTTTTGTCTCTTTTTGTCTTCTTCCCCTCCCCCGTCCCTCTCCTCTTATTATGTTTGGTGTCTCCTTGGCCTCGTTTTTTTACTCTCCGTCTTGCCCTTCTCTGAGGTGATATCACATGTACCAAGTGCTTCTATCTGAAAATGAAGTAAGGTGGATATATATGCTAAAATGGAGTGCGTGTTTGTGTCTTATTTATATATATATAGCACGACGACTTGGGGATATCTACGGACATGACTAGGTTATTCAGCTTTCGCGTCTCTATACTCCTTACGGTCTACATAACGTTGTCTGTGGAGGTTTAGAGGTGTGGTGATGAATCAAGCAAGAGTTTTAGTTGCTCTCAAACCTTGCTATTCCCAACACCTCCTTCACGAGATAGGTATGCCTGACTGGCAATTCACTTTAAAGCCGCGACGATGTGGCCACATGCCTTGGGAACTTCGAAGCTATCATGGCTATCATCCACAATTAGGTTCATCCCCGCCTGCCGTTTGGGAAACTTCTCCGCCTCCTCCGTAGATTCCCCCATCCAGTATGACAGCTTCGTTGTTGTCCAAGTCGTCTTGGACCCTCCGCCACCTGGTCTTCTTATCCCTTCTCCCTTCTAGTTCTGTGCCCTTCCCCTTGGCATCATATACAGGCTTGATCACGCCGCCGAGCAATGGATTCCTACTGAACGCGCCACCCCCCGAGGTCCGGTTGGAATCCAGCTCCTCCAGCGCATGGCCCGCTCCATCCGCATCATCGGGTATATCCTCCGGGCTCGGCGGCCGCTCGATGGCGGCCATCTTCTTGACGACCTTCCCGCCCACGAGGTCGATGCTGACCACCTGCCTCCGCTTCTCGTAGTCGGGCCGGGCATTCCACTCCATCTCCCTCAGCATCTTCTGCTGCCTCTTCAGCTCCCTAGCTCTCTCCTCGGGGCTCGCCCATATGCTCCCCCCGACCGTCGCGTCAAAGTCCGCCGCCTCGTCCCGGACAGTCGTCCTCCTCGCGTTCTGCGCCTGGAACCCGAGAAGCCTGTCCCGATGCTCCCTAGCCCTCACCTCCGCCGCCGCACCACCACCACCACTGCCGCCGACATCCCCGCCCGCCGCCGCAAGCCGCCCCGCCAGGCCCGCCGACCTCCCCGGCCCCGCGACGGCGGCCCTGCGGTGCGCGCCCCTGTCGGCGACCATCTTCTCGCGGCCGCGCTCCTCGCGCAGCTCGCGGATCATGGACTGCACGTCGGCCGCGCCCAGCAGGGGCGCGCCGCACGACGTGCAGGGGCCCAGCCCTTCCTTGACGCACACCACCTTGCCGCACGACAGGCAGTTGGGCGCCGCCGTCTGCAGCGGGTGCCGGGCCGCGACGCAGTTGCACCGCCGCGCCGCCGTGCCCGCCGCCGAGTTGGACGCGTGCGTCGGGTTCGTCGTCGCCTCGAGCGTGCGGATCGCGTCGTCGAGGTCCGCGAGCGCCGTCGAGGCCCCGTGCATGGGCGTGCCGCCCGCGATGGAGATCTTGGTGGCCGAGGTCGTGCTTCTCGAGCTTGGCCCCGGTGTCGAGCTCCGGGACGAGGGAGTTGACTTTGGCTTGGGCTTGGGCTTGGGAAGCCCTAGTTCTGACACTAGGGTGCCTGCTGCCGACGGCCGGGGCGGCGGTGGTGTTGCGGACTTGGGGACTGGCTGATTTGTAGGGCCAGGTGCGCCATTGGATGGCGTCGATGTGCCCGGCCTGCTGGATATGTAGTCATCCTCGCGGCTTTTCTTGTTGTAAGCCGATCCGGGCGCCGGGCCGGGGGCTACGACCTGTCGCGGAGCAGGTGTGTGGAGAGGACGCTTCTTTTTCGACCCACGTTGTGGCTTGGGTACTGCGTCGATATCGCTACTCCGGTTTATTTTTGCCGGTGCAGAAGCTGCAGTAACTGCAGCTGGAGCTGGAGCTGGAGTTTTCGCACCGGGATCGGCTCGTTGCGAGTTGAAGGAGGAGATGAAGTCGACGACTTGTGGTGAGTCACCTAACAGATTGGAGAAGTGCTCGACTGCCTCGTGTTTCGACAGTGTCGCGGCATACTCGAGGACTTGCTGGAGCTCGGAGTCGGGGAGTGGGAGCAGTCTAGAGAGCTGGGATAGCGACATCTTGCCGTCGGCGCTGACTTAGGTTGTATATCAACTTGTAGAAGCCTGGGATGGGAGGTAATTCGTAGGTTGCTGTTCGTGCACACCCCCACATTACTCACCCCACTATTGCATTATGCGCTAATGCAGGACGACGCCACAAACGCCACAACACCGACTTTGTGCGACATTACCATCTGGAGATGATGCTGTCGCATCTAATATTGCCTCCTCATCGCTACAGGAGTCGCCAGATGTGTTCGGATGCCTGCCTAGACCCTCAAGTGATGGATATATTCGTAAGGAATAGATAATCATGGCCCGAGCGGTTGGCATCTGCTCGTCCATCGCCTTCCTCCTCTTGGCGCCATTCGGCTCTTTCTAGGCCTCAGGCCCGTGACAGCTGATATTCGAGATCACCTTGGACTGCCACTATGGGAATGTATAGGTAGGCTAGCCGTTCGACAAGAACACTTCGTGCCCGATTACCAATGGGTCCACCCCGTTAGGCGGCAACTGCACTCGATTGTATCCATCATGATGGGTAGGCACAAATGTTCTGACCTGTGGTTTAGACGGCGTGATACTAGCGTCCTCTTGCGATGTCTTGCCTAGAAGGAATGGGACCATGGAAAATCAACTGAATGTCTAACTAGTCCCGTGAACGAAGGGGGATAACTCGTCCCTTGACGTGGCTTGCCGTGGGCAAGTTCGGGAAAATGTCCAGTCAATGTATTAGGACAAGTGGGCTTCTGTATGGACGAAGCGGGTGGGAGGTACAACCATTTGGAGCCAATCGATGCACACAAAACATAAACAGCAACGTCGAGGAGGGCTGGGCTCAGGGCAAGACGGCTGGTCCATCGGAGAGAGGGAAATGCAGCATAAGATTGTGAAAGTCGCCCTCGTGGTAAATTGTGACCTGATATGTTAGCCATCATGAGGACTTTCCCCCAGCTTGATTGCGCTGCTCTACTGGCATGCTGTTGTGGACTTGTGACATCCAAGAGCCGGAGCTCGACGAAATAACACGATTGGAAGCAATGCGAAGTGGTCGTTCAGAGAAACAGCGCAGCGGAAAGGCGGATTTGGCGCGAGGCAATGCACGACCGGCCAACACGAAAGCATGAAGGTCACTGAAGGCGACAATCCAAAAGAAACGGGCAATCATCTTTCGGACACGTCCGTAAGCTCCATCGATCGGGGCATCTCAACTCGGATAGCATTCTCCTCGGAAGGTCTATGACCCTACGTCGGCAGCCATGCCTCAACGATCAGACACCAGCCCTTGGTTGTCTCCAGCCAGCCTGTCCGCCTGTAAAAAACAAGTCCAGTCCATCTTCCCCCATATGCCGTGACCGTAAAATTTCGCCGTTTCCATGTGTGTGGGAGTGTTGGGAGGCACAGAAACCAGAGATGCAAATGTCCACCGAAGTCCACCTCGCCCCGAATACCAGGACCGCGAAGTTCGTCGTCCGGGAATCGTATCGGATCGATGCTTAGAAGACGAGCGCGGCGCCCTTGGTTTTCTTGTCGCCACTGCGGAAGGGGGAGGAAAATGTGGTTAGAAAAGGCGCATTCCAAAAGAACAGAGGAAGAACCCCCCCCCAAAAAAAAGGTTACTCACCCCAGCTCGAAGTGCTTACACCGCTTGAGCGGCAGCTGCTTCTTGGCCTTGCACGCGGTGCATTCCAACCTCAGGACGATCTTCTTGGTGGTCTTCGCCTTCTTGTGGAAGACGGGCTTGGTCTGACCTCCGTAACCCGACTGCTTGCGGTCGTATCGTCGCTTTCCCTGGGCGAACGACGAGGCCTTGCCGGCCTTGTACTGTGTGACCTTGTGGACCTGGTGCTTGTTGCACTCACGGCCCTTGCAGTAGGTCTTGCGCGTCTTCGGTATGTTGACCATTGTTGCGGTGTTGCGTGCTGGCACCTGTTTCGATGGTTGTTGATTAAGGTGGTGATAATTTTCGCAGAGTATTGGATTTTGCTGTGTGCGATGGGTGGGGTAACGTGATCCAGTTGGGGCTTAACCGAGAGTGGCTGACTTCATGGCTTTACAGCACGTGATTTTGAATTGTGGCTGGTGAAGACACACGATTGACCACTTACGTAATCACTAATCACGTGGCCCCGGGACACCAACACGATCGGTCTCCCCTTCCAAGTCACTTGGTCACAAAAGACAGATCGAGTCATGGAAGGGACGCAAATTGATTAAAAAGGCGAGGCTTCCCTTTGATTTTCCCCATTCTAAGATGAGAATAAAAAATAAACAAAGTATCCTGGTATAACTCTCCAAACTCCATTCCCATTTACCCCTGAGGCCTCAACCGTGATGCTACCCATTAACCACAATTACAACCACCCCCAAACTCAAGTCCTCCACCCCCAATCCCTCACGTGCCCCCTATGCCCAAATCCCACCCTCGCCTGCAACCCAAGCCCAACATTCTCCCCACCCCCCCAACCCCCCGTCCTCACAACCCCAACCCCAAACACCTCCTCCCTGCCCCCTCCATCGTCCTTCCCTCGCGCCTCCCCCCTCCTCCCCCTCCCCCTCCTCCTCCCCGCCGCAACCTCCCACCCAAGCCTAAACCCCATCGCGACATGCAGCCCATCCATGAACAGCGCCCGCAGTCGCGCCGGGTCGGCCTGCCACTCGGCGGCGCGCCCGAGCAGCCCGAACATGTTGCTGCCGTCCGCCAGCAGCGCCGCCGTCGACGCGATCGACCCGGACCCTGCCGACGCCCGCGGGTGCACCTGGTCCGCCCGCTGCGCCGCCGCCCAGCTCAGGAGCCCCAGCATCGCCGTCGCGCCCAAGAGGGCCTGTAGGATGCGCGTCGCGGTGGGGTCTTGGACGACGCGCCGGCGGGCGGAGAGGCGGCCTGCGATGGTGCTGCTGTCTAGGTTTGGGTCGAGGGCTGCGGAAGTCAATGTGCCGGCGAAGGTGGTTGTTGTGTTGTTGGTGTTGAGTTTGGCCGGGTCGGAGGACTGGCGGGTGAGGTCGTCCCTGAGGACTTGGGTGCGGATGATCTTGTGTTGCTTGATGATCGCCTCGGGGACACCTTGGGTGAGGTCCCGGTCGGGGTTGCCGAGATTGCTGACGGGAATGGCGTAGCGGGAGGCGACTAGGGACGCGAAGAAGGGGTCCAGGATGTGTGGGGTGGATAGGTTGGCTAACTGGCTGTAGAAATTGGCAGAGTCGGTGGGTATTGCGATAGTAACTGGTATTGCGCTCGACTCAACTACCGGCGGGTTGGATTCGAGAATCGTGAGTGAGGAGCCGAAGAAGGTTACGCTGGCGTCGACCTGCTCGAGTGACTCGTTGCAAGCCATGGCAGATATCGCCTTGACGGTGGTCCGATTGGTGTTGGCATCGGCAAGCTCCCCCCAGACATAGACCCAGTGGGATACGACGGTACCATTGTCGAGCTTGGTTTGCATGTGGTCTGTCGCTCCGAAGAAGGCATCCTGGGAAATCGCCGTCACGCCATCCAGGGGCTCTGCAGTGCCGATAATAAAGGTGCTAGCAGTCGAGTCCGTATTCCCTAGTGGCTGCTCACCGGAAAGGTCGATCCTAAGAGGGTTTACTTTACCGCCTAGGGTATTCCTTACCGTGAGGTTCGTTGCGATATCGGACTGTTCAAGCATTCTGCAAGACATGGCCGGACGAACAGCCGGCAGAGAAGCGCTGACGACCGCATCGTCGGGAATGGCGGCATTGTCCAGCGCGCCGTCGAGGACAAGCGTCGGGAAATTCAGATCCTCATATGTGAACGCCGGATAAGGCATATTGGCGTTGAGGATCAGAGACGACACGACGGCCCCATTCTCCCCACAGTCAGCGCAGGAACCCAGGTCCGGAATCGACCCGCTGCTTGCAAAGTCATCCAGGCCGAGCAGCCGGACCGGCAAGACGGCGGGGAGAGTGAGGACCGAGAAGGCCGGCGCGGTGAACGTCACGAACTGCGACGACGTCAGCAACGCGACGGTCGCAGCTGCGACGGCGACGTTGCGGAACTTGACCGACGCATACAGGACCGCGGGCGGGTACTTATCAAGGTAGTTGAGGCTGACTGAGTTCTCGAACGTTCCGCCCCGCCTCAGGGCCGCAAACGGCGCCAGGGCGCGGATCGTGTGGTCGGCGGAAGCGAAATATGTCGCGAAGAGCATAAGCACCAGCGCCGGCACCGCGGTCCAGAGGAAGTGGGCGTAGGACCTCTCGTCTGCAGCGTCACCGAGCCCATCGTTGTTCTTCGAAATACGGAGGGTGAGCTCCAAGGAAATTATTAATGCGACAACCAGGGCGAACGCTGCAATCCTGACGACAGGATGCAGAACGATTGGAAATGGAAAGCTTTCAGTCCGCTCCACGGGGCGCGTTTCGGCCTCCTGCGCCGGGGGAGACCCGAAGATCTTGAAGTAGCCGATGCTGTTTGATGAGGCGTGCTCGTAGGGCTCGACGCCGGTGAAGTAGCTGGAACCGCCGAGGCGCTCGCGAAGCACAGCCGAGCTGCCACCTCCGGCGCCTCTTAGCGACTGTAGAAGCGACCGGCTATGAGAAGTTAGGGCGGCGGTGCCGATGATGGTGTTTGGGTCCCGCGGGAGGAAGCCCTTGCGAGGCACCAGGAATGCCGCCACAGTCGTGAGGATGATGGCGACGCCGAGTAGGCCGACCATCAACTGCACCGTCAGGAACCTGACAATTAACCTCTCGTCCTCGAGAACGGCAGTCCCCGTAGCTGAGGCTGTAGTTTGTTCGGTCATGGCTGTCGAGGCCAGAATTGTAGCGTGTTGTTGGAAGTAGTCCTCAGCCAAGGATCGCAACGCGGGTCCATCAAGGAAGGTCGACGGAGGTGTAGCGCTGCCCGTCCCCTTCTGCCGCATGCCCAGGGCCAGAAACATGGGAGAGTCGACATTCACAAAGTCTGGGAGATAGAATGGTGGCGTCGTGTCAGCCATGCCGGTCGCGATATCATTCCTGTAGGAATCAAACATGGCCTGGGCGACATCCCAAGGCCCAACCTTCTCCAGCGTCCTGTTCTGCGGCGGGTCGGCGAGCTCTAGCCCGAGCAGAGTCGTGCCATTTGCCCTGATGTTCAGCCGGCTAATGATGGCCTGCGTCGGCTTGCAGAGCAGCTGAGCAGACTGCGGGATCGTCCCGTTGATAGAAACCCTCCTGCCAACGACGGGATCAGAGGGAACAGACGCTGGGTCGATGGCCGCCATGCCGAAAATGATGACCACGCGCTGGTCCTCAGGGCTGGCAGACCCAGCACAGGCGCCACGACCGAGACGCGCGAAATACCTCGACTGTCCCGCCGTGCCAGGGGGGTTATCCGGCACGACAAGCTTCCGGCTGCTGAACGGCATCGCGACGGAGCAGTTAGGTGTGTCGAAGGTCATGTTGAACTGGACGTCGGGCGCGGCATACTCCACTCCCGTGACACCCAGCCGGGCGACCTCGCAGTCCAGCCCGGCAGAGAACCCATCGACCGCCACTTCCACCTCCGTACCAGCAGCAATCCCAGTCGAGAACCGCTGGTACGCGAACCGCGGCGCCACCCCATCGGGGAGCGACACCGTACCCCCCAGCTGCAGGCCACGCATCGCATAAAACGACAACGGCCCCGCACCCGCCAGCCCCTCCGCGCCGTCAACAAAGGCAGTGCCCAGCGAGACCGGCACAGACACGACCCCCATCCCGCCGCCACCGACAGCAAGCAGCGCCGTCGAGAGGACAGCCAACGCCCCGAGGACAAGCGACACGCCCGCCGCGCACGCAACGACGCCATCCCCATTAGCGACCGCCCTCACGACCGCCCTCGCCCTCGCCATGGACACATAGTCCACCAACAGCGTCCTCTCCGCCGCCTCCGGCCTCCCCCCCGACAGGCGCACCCACGGCGCCGCCGCCCGGGCCTGGTAATCGACGCGCGCCCACAGCGCGCCCAGCAGCGCCAGCAGAGCCGGGGCCGCGGAGACCCAAAGGTAGTAGAGGAACCCTCCGTGTGCACCCGCGCCGAAGCCGAAGCCGCCGCTGCGGCGAGAGTAGTCGGCCAGCGCCTCGAGGGCCACGACGAGGCCGGCGAAGGCGCCGGCGAAGGGCAGCAGGACGCGCCGGCGGAGGTGGGAGGGGCGCCAGGGGAGGGGCATGTCGATGAGCTGGGTGGGCTTTTCTGGGCCGAGCTCGAGGTCGGGGGGTTGGTGCTGGGGCCGGGGGGATGGGTTTGTTGGTGGGGTGTTGGTGGTGGTCGGGGGTGGTGGTGCGGTTGTGGACGGGGAGTCGGCGTCGTGCTGCGAGGCCGAGTTTGAGGGGCTTATCGAGGCGGACGACATGCTTGACGAGATGCTACTTTGGGGGCTCTTGCGCGGGATGCTGAATGATGCCGTTGAGCCCCTGTATGGTCTGTCAATGCTGTCGTTCCTGTATCTCCTGGACCGGTGCCTTCTCGGTCCCTTGCCCAGCTGGGCGGACTCCTGATATGACATCTTTCCGTCCGAAGGAGAGACGGCTTCCTCGGCTTGTGTACCGGGGCTGTAATAGCGATCACCTTCGGAGCATCTTCTTCTTTCCGTGCACGTCGTCGCCAGTCTGTGCGGATCAATTGATAGGATGCCCTCAGATCGAGCAAGATATGGTAGGTTTCGATGACTCGCTACGCAAGAAAAAGGATTGAGATCAAAATTGGCCCGGATGAGAAAAAGTCTAGCTCGGCGAGCTTGCTGGAGCCAGCCAGCACTGAACACGACAGATTACAATAGAAACAGACGAATAGGTACGAAACGTCTGATCTGGGGAAGCCTGGCCCATGAATGATTGGCGTTGCGTCCGTCAAGGATCGTCGATCACGGAGGGCAATCCAGCTATTTAGATGTTCGAGCTCGACAGCAGGATCTCAGCCCACGGATACACATGCAACCCGATTCCACAGTTCCCCAGGCAGGGCGCCAACCATGTTGGGAATGTTCGTTCATCATTGTGGTTAGCTGCAAGCTAAAAGGGCTGCAGGGGGCCGCCCTCGGAGTTTCAGTGACCATGGTGGTGCAGGTACGACGAGCTTGGAGATGTCGGGGCAGAACAGACGCAAGCCATTGTCTGGATGGTGTCTCAAACACGCGGGCTGCGCCGATGGTGAGAGGGCAGATGTGTTGCGCTCGGACCGACTCGCTCCTCCTCCTCTCATCACAACTGCGGTTCAAAACGTGGCACCACTGACAAATAAACAAGCACGAGCCCCAGCCAGCCCTACCTAGGAAATGATATCATCTGCCCGTCTCTGAAAAACAATGAGATACCAAAGTAAGAAGTGGAGCTATCATCGCCGTCGGGGATTACGAGGAGGCCCGTGTCCTCATAGCTTCCTGGTGGTGAGGCCATCGCATGAAAACCGATGTTTCAGGGCTTAGGGTTGGGGTGAGCGGATCGACAACAGGGGGAAATTAGGGCCCTGTTTCTCCCAAAATGGAAACATTGAGAACACCATCCATTGCGGGGAAACTCTAGCCTGAGGATGGGAGACAATCCACTTGATTTGTTTGCTTCTTTGGGATTTCAGGTCTATGTCCATCTGGCCATCCATGCTCATTCAGCTCTTCCCAGCATCCTCCTTCAGCGACACGATCCGGTTGAGAACAATCTTCTCATCGGTACTATCTGGGTCCATTGCCTGCAAGAGGATGTCAGTCAGCCACGGCATCGAAACAACTAATTAGGCCACAAGGGGGGAGGGAAAGAGAGGAGGGGCGGGACTCACAAAATACGCCACCCTCATTCCCTGGAAACGCACGCTCTCGGGTCCCCCCTTGCCTAGCTTATTCTCGCCTGCCGCCTCGGGCCACGGGGCCCGGTTCTTGACCTCCTCAAAGCCGGACTCAATCAGTGCGTCCGGGTAGATGGTCTCGCTGTCGGGGTTGACGTCGTTCAGGAAGCCACCCTCCGCCGTGCCGGGGTCTTCCGACTTGAACAGCGCATTGTAGACGCGGACCTCGACCCGGCGGGATCCGGAGCCCTGGCCTCCCACCCACTGGATGTACGTCTTGGGCTTCTTCGACTCACGGTCAAACACCGCGCGCACTTCCTTGACTCTTCCCGTGGCTTCGTCAATTGTGAAGCTCGTGGCTTTGATGGGGGAAGGGACCTGCAGTAGCCCGACGGTTTTGCCTGGCGCAAGTCGGAAGTAGTCTTTGCTGTCGACCTCCCGGAAGTCAGACCGGTCGATATAGACCGTCTTGGTGAACTTGATCTTGCGATCGCCCATGGCAGGGTTCTTGGGCGAGAGCGGTACCGTGAGCTCCGTCCCTTCCAGCTCGTCTGCATCCTCGATGACGACAGGCAACGGGTCCAGCACCACCATCAACCGTGGCACAGTCCGTTCGAGATACCTCCGGATGGTCTGCTCAAAACGAGTAATCTGGATGATTGTCTTTGATGTAGTCACTCCCAGCTCGTTCACAAACTCGAGGATCGCTCCCGGCGGCACGCCCCTCCGTCTCACAGCGATGAGCGTGTAGAGCCGCGGATCATCCCAGCCTCGGACGACCCTGTTTTCAACCAGCGTCTTGAGCTTCCGCTTCGAGAGCACCGTCCCACTCAGACTAAGTCGTCCGTATTCGCGCTGCATGGGCTCGTACACGCCAAGCGTCTTGTTCAGCCACTCGTACGAGACTCTGCTCTGGATGAACTCGGTGGTGCAGAGCGAGTGCGTCACGCTCTCGAAACTGTCACACAGACCGTGTGTAAAGTCGTAGGTTGGATATATCTTCCACTCCGTGCCGGTGCGGTGGTGCGGCTCGTCCTTGATCCTGTAGGCAGCCAAGTCCCACATTTGAGGATTTCCGTCGGTTATATCCTGCTTCATCCGAAGGAAAGCTTCTTTGGGTTTGTACTTGCCGTCGCGCATGTCCCGGAACTTCTGGAGATTGTCTTCGATTATCTGGTCGGCATGCTCGCACCGGAAGCGAGGACTCGTACTCTTCTCGCCGCCGCGCTGGAGCTTCAACTGTTCCTCTGGAGTTGGGCGGATTGGTTAAGTAACACCATCGCGAGAAAACGGGACAGAACCCAATCGTCACGTACCATTGCAGTAGCAAACATAGCCCTTTCCCAGACCGATCAGCTTCTCTGCCATCTCGTAGAGCTTGCCAAAGTTATCGCTGGAGTGCGTGATCTGATAGGGAGTGAAGCCCAGCCAGCGCACCATCTCCTCAATAGAGAGGAAGTACACCTCCTCCTCAGCCTCAGGGTTCGTGTCATCAAACCGAAGGTAGCAACGGCCCGAATGGTATTTCGCGAAGCCAAAGTTGACTGCAATCGCCTTTGCATGTCCGATATGAAGACTGCCAGGAAGTCAGTTCGACGACGAGTGACGCGCATGAGGTCGCTGTCAAGATACGTACTAGCCATTGGGCTCCGGGGGAAAACGAGTGACGACGGGCTTAACGGGCCGCTCGTTGTAGACGTCGTTCAAAAAGCCCTGCTTGAACATGGCCTCGGGGTCCATCACGACCTCTTCCGTCTTCGGGTTAGGCTTGGGTGCTGCCTTGGGCGTGTCCTTTGTCTCCTTTGCCCTCACCTCCTTTGCCGCCTTCTTCGCGCGCTTGGCCAGGCGCTTCTTCAACTCGCCCTTGGAAACGAACTCTCCGGTTTCCTCGTCGAGTTGGAGCTTGGCCGTCGCCTCAGCTATGGCTTCAGCCATCTTTCCTGTTGCGAACTCGGTGGCGTGGAACTCAGTGGTGTGCTTGGCTGGCGAGGTATCAATTTCACTAGTCAAAGGTCTTCAGATAGGCATTTTCGGGGTTCAAATGAGTAGTGCCAGGGGCCGACTGACTTCACAGACTGTGGGTATTAGTATGACTTGGTGTCAGAAACGTGGGATGTCTCGTTCCGGGGTGACTCAGAATGCTGACGGTGATAAGATAACACGGCCAGTTTAGACCCCACCTTTTGCATCGACGACAACCTACCTACGTACGGTGAGGCACAGATATCGGAAAACATCCAATGAATGGCGACGAAGGACGACAATAAAGCCTTAGAAGATAAGGTATGCTTAGGTAGTCACTCAATATAGCATTAAAGTCCAAATTGGGTCTCGAAGGACTCTTGTATTCCGTGGAAGCTGCATGATGAAGGCAGCCCCAAAACATGGAAGAGGGTATTGCCTCTTGTTGAAGAAGCCATCCTCAGCCTGTTGAAGATCTATTTCCATGTCCCATCCATCCCATCACCGAACCGTAAAACAAAACACCTTTTGGTTTCCCCCTTTCCCGCAAACGCCGAGTTGAGAATGGCGCTTTTTTGGGTATCATCGATCATAGCTCGTTTGTTGAAGACTGTTAGGGGACACCCGACCTCGCAATATGCTGATGCTGTTGAAACAAACCCCACACACACATGAAGGCACCACACGACTCCCCGTTACATGGGTATCACACCCCCACCCGCTTTCGAGACTCTCTCGGAGTCAAGACGTCTAGGACTTGTACTGCTCACGGAAGTACTTAGCCGCGTTAACCATGTGAGTCAACGCACCCTTGACCTCATCCCATTTCCGGGTCTTGAGACCACAGTCTGCAAGGAAAGTTAGCACACAAAGTTGTTGGCCCAATGTCTCGTTTGTTGCACGTGGACTCGGGAATGGAAACTCACCAGGGTTGATCCAAAGTTGTTCAGGTCGGACTGTGCAAAGGTCAGCTGGCAATTCGTTTGAAGCTTGTCTCGGGAGGTGGGACGCTTGACTTACGATACTGGAGCATCTCCTGGATGCGCTGCTTGAACTCGTCCTCGACGGGGACACGAGGGCTATGGATGTCGTAGACACCTGAAGGCATAGTTAGCATGCAAGCGAGGCACAAGGCATTGTCTATATGCATGGGTACATACCTGGTCCGATGTGGCGAGGGTAGGCCTCATCGATGAAGACCTTGAGCAGCTTCGCGTCGGACTTGGAGTTCTCAATGGAGAGAACATCGGCATCCAATGCGGCAATGGCTGACGGACAAGTTAGCACACGGACATATTCGGATATATTGCCGCGTTAGAAGGGACGGGTTGGGCATCGGCATCGTACCGTGGAAGAAGTCCTGGAATTCGGAGTAGCAGAAATGGCTGTGGATCTGGGTGGAATCCTCGACACCAGCGGTGGACAGCTTGAAGCTGTCTACAGCCCAGCGGAGATAAGCATCCCGCTCAGATCCCTTCCGGAGAGGAAGGCCCTCCTAGTAGCTAGTTAGTGCTCCGTTGTGCTAACCATCAGAGAACCGGCGAGGGAGTGTCAACTTACCCGCAGGGCAGGCTCGTCCACCTGGATGACGTAGATGCCATTCTTCTCGAGGTCAACAACCTCATCGCGAAGGGCGAGAGCGAGCTGCTGGCACTGGACAGATTGGTGTACGTCGTCACGGGGGAAGGACCACCGGAGGCAAGTAACGGGTCCAGTAAGCATGCCCTTCATGGGCTTCTTCGAGATCGACGCGGCGTACTTGGATTCCTTAACGGTCATGGGAGCAGGGCGGGAGATGTCGCCAACAATGATGGGAGGGCGGACGCAGCGAGAGCCGTAAGACTGGACCCTGTTGGCGAGTTAATACACTAGTCGCCATATCGGAGAAAAGAGGGGGGAAACGTACCAGGCGTGCGTGGTGAAGACATAGCCCTCAAGACGCTCACCAAAGTACTGAACCATGTCGTTACGCTCAGGTTCGCCATGGACGTAGACATCTTATTGAAAAGTCAGCAGACAGATCACCACCAGGGCAAAGCGGTAGGAACAGGGGGGTGAGGGAGATAAGCTGCTCCTCTTGATAGAAGTTGAACATACTAAACTCATAGTTAGCAAAAGGCATCATAAAGACGGCAAACTGCCCGTGGAATTGCGACGTACCCTAGATCAAGCTCATCCTGGATCTGAATGGCGTACTCAATCTCCTTCTTGATGAAATCATCGTATTGCTGCGTCGTGATTTCACCCTTGGTGAACTTGTTGCGCTGGATACGGATCTGCTGGGTCTGAGGGAATGATCCAATAGTAGTGGTGGGGAAGAGAGGCAGGTTAAGATGCTTCTTCTGCTGCGCGTAGCGCTGCTCGAAAGGAGTCTGGCGGTTATGCATCTCAGGGGTGACCTTGGCCTGGCGCTCCTTGACCTTGGGGTCGTTGGTGCGGGTGGACTCGGCCCGAGACTTCATCGTGGCAGCATTGGCATCGAGCTCGGCACGGACAGAGTCGGGGTTGGTCACAGCCCTGGCGAGGACGGAGACGTCATGGCACTTCTCAACGGCGAAAGAGAACCAGTTGAAGACTTCTGCGGGAAGCTTCTTCTCGCTGGCCAAGGTGTGAGGGACATGGAGCAGAGAGCTGGAAGTAGCAACAATGACACGGTCCTCGCCAAGGGCCTCGACTGCGGTCTGCACCAGCTCGATCGACTTCTGGAAGTTGTTCTTCCAAATGTTCCGGCCGTCAATGACACCAGCAGCTGTTTCCAAAGTTAGGCAACGGATTTCCCGCCATATCAGACGACGATTTTACTCACACAAAATCTGCTTAGGCCCAAGCTGCTTGATGACGGCCTGGAGCTGCTCAGGGCTACGGACGAGGTCGATATGGAGGCCGTGGAGGTTGGAGAAAGCCGGGAGAACATCAAGGTTGTGGGCAATGTCACCGAAGTAGGTGGCGATGACGATGGAAGGAGCAGCACTGCCGAGGGCGCCAATGGCCTCGTAGGCGGGCTTGAAAGCGTTCTTAATCTCGGGCTTCAGGTCGAAAACAAGAATAGGCTCATCAATCTGTACGCTGTCGGCACCAGCGGCCTTCAGGGCCTTGAGGAGCTCTACGTAGACTGGGACGAGCTTGTCGAGGAGGGTGATGGGGTCGACGGAAGAACCCCTGTCGGCCTTGCCGAGGGCGAGGAAAGAGACAGGGCCAAGGAGGACGGGCCTGGTGTGGAAGCCAGCCTGCTTAGCCTCGAGGAATTCCCGGACAGGCTTCGGGTCCTTTGCCAGAGAGAATGTCTGGTTATCCTTGAGGGTGGGCTTGACGTAATGGTAGTTCGAGTCGAACCACTTGACCATCTCCAGGGCGGGAACATCGACACCACCCTTCTGGTGGCCACGGCCCATGGCGAAGTATTCATCGAGAGTGTCGAGTTTCTGAGAAGTGTACCGTTCGGGGACGGCCTGTGCAGAACCGGTTAGTTGAGGGATTAATAGGAATTGAGACCTTGTAGCTTACGTTGAAGAGCTGGATGTGGTCGAGAACATGGTCGTAGAAGGCAAAGTCGTTGGAGGGAATGATGTCGACACCGGCATCCTTCTGGATCTTCCAGTGAGCCAGTCTCAGCCTCTTACCCTCGGCCAGGAGGTCGGCCCGGGAGATCTTGTCGCCCCAGTAAGCTTCATTGGCCTTCTTCAGATCTCGGAGGGCCCCAATTCGCCTGTAACGGGTCAGTTTACACATGAATGCCAGAGTGTCGACATCAGTTGGACTTACGGGAACCCCAGGACGGAAGACTTGACCATGTTGGAAGGTGGGGGTGGGGTACGAGGACGAGTGCGAAATGCTGGTGGAGGGGTAAAAGTCTCTTGGCTTGGCTGTACTTGTAACGAAGTCTAACAAGGAAGAGGGGATGCAGACTCGTGTAGAGACGAGACGAGAAGAGTAAACAAGGGAAACGTAATGGGGAGTGGTGGAGATGAAGGAGAAGGGAGGAGGAGAGTTAAAAGAAGCTGACTTGGCCCAAGGGAGGAGGAGGGCGAGGTTTTAAGAATTTGCTTTTGATGCCGTAATCTGGATGGCATGGAGCTGATCTGCAGTGGGCCGGAAATTTGTCCGGAAGGCTATGGTCAGATCTTGTCACTCCATTCCTCCCGGAAAGCACGCACGATATGGGTTGTGCGCCAATTAAACAGGGCCCAGATCCCTTGCCTTACGCCGCCAAGTGGATTTTCGCAGGGATTATGCCACCGATACCGTGCTACAGCGTAACCAAGCGGTGTGAAAAATGACGCCGGCCGCCAGTGCACGCTAACGTTCTTCGCTAAAATAGTGTAGAATCTATGTGACACAGATTTCCAGTAAGCTAAGGAACAAGGTACCCGCTGCCGCGAGGAAATGCGATACTTTTCAAATGATGAATTTTCTCTTCTAAATAGGTACCTCTCTAGGTAATCGTCGGGGGAGATCTATCAAGCTCTGAACTTCGAGGACGCGATTAATCATGGAAGGCACATACATAGGTGCAGATATATTAGGTAGGCCCTAATCATTTCCATCACACCGCCTGGCCGGGCTGCTCGCTTCCACGTTCCGGGTTAGGCAGAGTCCAAGCCCACCAGCTTGTGTGCGTACACTATACCTAAGCACGAGTACGTACCTCGGACTTGCAGCTTCCACATGTTTGCCAACCTATGGAATCAATCAGAACAGCACTGGCAAGCATCCCGGGTTGCCCCGCGTTACTGTTTTGAATTCCTATACCGGAGACCACACGACATCCAGGTTTGGGTCTAGGGCGATTCAGTTGGCGTAAGGCAAACACAGCGATTACTTTAGGTAGTGTACTGCCTGCCTGTTACATCAACTTGCGAGGGTCGGGTGCTTTACTTACCGCCGTAGGTATTGTTGGTTCTTCCACCACAGCTCTTGAGCATCAAGGACGATCATTTGTACAATACTATTCCCTTCCGTCCGGAAGTGTGGACTTGGGTTCGGGATGTGTGGGTCAACCGAAATTGGTACCTATCGGGTATATTGAGATGCCGAATTCGGCCACCACCGACGTCCTACTCGGGGGATCGTGCATTTGGTCCGGATCTGTTTGTTTGCCCAGTCCCTGTTGATTTTGGAAACACAACGCTCATTCATCCATACCCACATAGAAGCATGTTGATAAACGGGCTGTGCTGGGGCTGCCTAGGTAGGTTGCTGCCTCCAATGTAGGCACACAGTGGTAAGTCACCTGGATTTGCACGTGATCTTGGCAACTTCCCAAGGCCGTCAACATGGATGTCGATACCGATGATGATATCCAGCCCCAACATCTACAACTCCCCGAGACCTTGGAGCCGCGGAGAGGTATTTTAAACAAAAGAATCACGCCCTCACAAAAAACTTAAGGAGCTCTCGAATCTACTCTGTTATTCGTAGCTCGGTTATCGATGGTCCTTTGCTCGAGCCCTTGAGCCTTACGTCATCCACTGGTTAAGGTTGCTCTGGCCGCTATCAAATAACGTTTCGGAAGGAGCTTCCCAAAAGCTTCAACCTTCTCGAAAAGCGGTATTTACGAGTCTCTATCATTTCTCCTTCTACCATCAAAGCTTCGACGCTGCTAACACTTACCCACAGACCCACCTACCTACCTAGGGCACTCACTATCTTGGCACGTGGTTGCACCCGAACTTCCCTCACAGAATCAGCTTGAGCAGGGAGCAGCTTTCTCTCTCCGGGTGTATATGCCCTTTCATCACCTTGCAAAGATGGCGGTAACTGAATCCTCCGACATCCCAATCCTTTCACTCCTGTACAAGCTCAGCAAGCTTGCTCCACCCTCACTCGCCACCAAGTTACCCAAGACTCTCAATGGGCCATCAACTCCCCCCACTCCTTCCAGGGTGCTCAACGACCGCATTGGTTTGATCCGAGGCGATATCACCACTCTCGCTGTGGACGCAATAGTGAACGCTGCCAACCGCTCGCTTCTGGGTGGCGGGGGCGTCGATGGGGCCATCCATCGAGCCGCCGGCCACGGCCTACTTGAGGAATGCTACACCTTGAATGGTTGCCATACGGGGTCCGCCAAGATTACCAGAGGATACAAACTGCCATGCAAGAAGGTCGTGCATGCCGTCGGGCCCGTCTATGACGTCCTGGAACCTGAGAAGAGCGAGAGACTGCTCGCTGGATGTTACACCAAGAGCCTGGAGCTGGCCGTGGCGAACAACTGCCAGACCATTGCCTTCAGTTCGATCAGCACCGGCGTGTATGGGTATCCAAGCCGTGAAGCTGCCCCTATCGCCATCAGCACCGTACGCAAGTTCCTGGAGCAGGACAGTGGAAGGAGGATCCAGAAGGTGGTATTTGTTACCTTTGAGGCCAAAGATGTCGATGCCTACAACGAATTTTTGCCGTACGTCTACCGCCTGCATGTTGACCGCTCAATGCTGACTTCAGGTGCCATGCCAGCCAATACTTCCCCCCTGTGTCTGAGGATGGTGGTCCTTCTGAAGATGCTGCAATTCCCAAGAAATCCATGTTCGACGAATTTGAGAAGGGTAAGGGGACCGAGACGAAGGCCGAGGCAGAGCCAAAGGCAGCCACTATCGAGTTGCCCAGTGCCCCCACAGCCAATCCATCTAGCACTCAACATGCCGATAAGAAGCAGAAACATGGCAATGCCTGACCGTTCGTTGGATGGAGCTGCCGAATTAACCTGCAGTCCAGTTGCCGCTGTAAACTTATCTCACAGATCAACAGATTAATGATAAAAGTGCTTGTCCACAAGGCCACTCACACGTGACTGTTTGCATTTCAAGGGTCCAACTGTCGGAATGAGATCGCATCTTAATCCATGTCATGCCAATACCCAACGCCATTCGTTCCCCCCGCCGTTCCTATCTGCTACCCGTTCCAGCGTATAGGTTTCCGCTCATCTCCGGTTCCAACCTATCCTACATGTTACGTGTTTCGACGTGCTCCCAATGCCAACGTAGTACCTGTTCAAGCAAAATGATACAGGTTTCTCCTTGACCCCTTTTCAACCCTCCCCCTGGTCCAACCTGCAATCAGTTTCTCATTGTTGGCCATTCTCCCCTATTTCTTGTTTCTATCTTCTACAGTCCAAGCATACAGGTTTTTCCATGGTTCCTCCGTTCCGTTGGGAAGACTCCAAGTGCCAGTCATACCTGCTCCTTGTTCAAGCATGCAGGTTTCCCCTTTTCACTTGTCCTCTTCCAACCTGTCACCCATTCCAATCTACCTATTGTTTGTTCCTGCCTGCCACCATTTAAATATCCAAGTCCTCCCTCGTCCCTTCGATATTAAGAGTCCAAGTGCTGTTCGTGCTTGCTCCATGTTCAGGTTACCCCTGGCCCCTTTCCAGCTTGCCCCTTCCCTACCTGCTACTCGTTCCTACCTGCCACCCCTTTTAAGGACACTGATTCCCATCGTCCCTTCGATATCAAGACTCCAAATTCTGGTCGTAGTTGCTCCTTGTCTAAGAATACCAGGTCGTCCCTGGCCCCTTTGCAACCTGCCCCTTACCTGCCTGCAACCCGTTCCTGCCTGCTGCCACGTTCAAGCTCACAAGTTCCCATCGTCCCTGCGATGTTAAGATCCCAAGTACTGATCGTACCTGCTCCTTGTCCAAGGATACAGTCAGGGAGCACTTGCCGCCGAGGTCCTATCACCAGGTCGGTGAACCAAGCGGGTCATCGTCCCTTCCAACCCCGAACAATAGGACCCTAGTATCAAAGCCCTAACACGATATGCCCACGTTTGTTTTTAATAAATACCTTTCAAAATTATCTCTTGCTGGTACCTAGATACCTAAATATATCTGGGCCAGTTGAAAAAAATCCTTTCGAAAACAACAACCAGGCACACCCAAAACACCAGCAAGCACCACAAAAATGTGAGCAAGATACCCATTCCTCCTTTGAGCTTCTCTAACAATGGCTAGCAGACTTGCTTGAAGATGAACCCATATCCAGACGGTATTTTGTTCGGCCCCGATGGCACTGAAGTGAGTACAGCCTTTGATGCCAGTCTTTCATGCCTTCCTTCAAATACTGACAAACGCGATGAAGGACTCCTCCTTCGAGGACGAGCCGTCTCTTCCGGCTCCCCAACCCCCCAGCTCGCCGCCCCCCGCCGCCTCGCCCCTCCCCGCCGCCTGGGCCCCCCCGGTCAATGGGTCCATTGCCGACCTCCTCGACCCGCGTGTGACCAGCGCACAGCTCTCCTCCCCGGCCCCCGGCTTCGTCCCTGCCGCCTCTCCCGCCGCCGCCAATGGGCCCGGCACCTTCTTCGCCCCTGGTTTCGTCCCTGGCTTCGCGTCGCCCGTCGCCTCGCCCGTCGTCCCTGCTGGTGTTCCTGGTGTTCCTGGTGTTCCTGGGCTCGGTCCTGCTGCCAGTGGCGCTGCCCCTGGCCACGCCTCGTCTTTCGCCTCGCCCGTCGCCCCTGTTGGTGTTCCTGGGCCCGGTCCTGCTGCCCGTGGCCCTGCCCCCGGCCTCGCCTCGCCCTTCGCCTCGCCCTTCGGTTCTGCTGGCGTTTTTGGTCTCGGTCCTGCCGCGCTTGGTCCCGCTTCTCCCCTGGCTGCGGTGCCCGGTCCCGCCCCAGGGTATCCCGTGGGGTATTACCAGCACCCCCATGCCGCCGCCGTCCCGCCTCCCGCGGGTTACTATGCTGCTGCCGCCGCCGCAGCCACCGGGTTCGCCCCCGGCCAATTTCCGTTTCCCGGCCCGGCCGATCATCCCGCCGTCCCCGTCGCCGACGGCCTGCAGCAGCTGGCTGGTCCCCAGCTCCGACCTGCTGCGCCTGCCCGCCGCCGCGCTGCCACCCGCCCAGCAGCGCCGCCGGTCCCCTCTCCCGTGTTTGCGGACGGCACCAAGAGGTGCACGGTCTGCAAACAAATCAAGTCGCTAGAGGAGTTCCGGGGCCCGGAGCGCTCGCTGGGGGGCCGCAGCGCGGCCCAGCAGTGCAACGACTGCGCTCGAAGAAAGCGCCAACATACGCAGGACTACCTGCGAAGGAAGAAGGAGAAGGAGAGGCGGAACGGAGGAGGTGGTGGTGGTCCCGGCCCTGCCGCTGGCGCCGTCGGAGCCTAACTGCTCCAGCGAGAGCCGCCCCGACTATAGGGGTTGAGACGACTGGCGTTTAAATTGTTTGAGATACCAAAGCAGCAGGAGCTGCTAGATACAACAGGCTGGGAGTTGGGACACAATATCCTCTTTGAACTTCGTATCTCGTCCAACGCTCAGTGACTAAAGACTGCCATGTGAAGGCCCTACCTGACGAAGTGTCATCTGTGTCGAGAGCATTCTCGCGGACTAGCAGTCCAAATGACCCTGTTTCTCGCACTAATAACTCCCAAGAGACACTACCCTCCCCAGCGAGGTCGTACTAGAAGGCACAGAACAAGGTAGAAATGATATATTTGAAGACTGACTAGGGGCCCGTGGCCCTTCCATGATTCCTATCTGATAAATAACCAGCGACACGATACCGCCAAGTATGGACCACCGTTCGTTCAGATATCCCAGTGTCCGTACCTCTTTTCGTCTCTCGATATGTCCCGCGGCAAAATGGCGGTCCGCTAGAAGAAAATACTTCGTTTCTCTGTTCTCAAAGGATCCTTTCTCGTCGGATATGTTCGCTGACATCGTAGTAGCTAGGTTCGTTGCTCAAAAAACTTGTCCGAGACGCTGAGCTTCCCTCCGAAATATCGACCCGCGAAACGAGACGAGGGCAATACTCCCGAGTTCAGGCCACCCCCAGCTCAGTCTTCAGCGGGCTTGGTGACTGACGAATCCTCTGGAACAAGAACACCTCGATCCCGAGATGCGCCTGTCCAAGGCACTCGCACAGGCAGCCTTATCCTGGATTAGACACTACAAACTCCTTCCCTCTCTCCCCAGAATGTCTCGGCCCAGATCAGTTGGCCGCCTGTCACTCTAGTCTCAAGCGGACAACTACGCTCTCCTCCGTGTTCGACATGCTGTTCACGTGGCTGGCGACGCTGCACGAGAAGTTGGTACGCCATATATTGGCATCGAGCAGCTGCGCTGGAGTGCGAGGCAAGATATGGTCTGGGTACCTGTCCTTGTGTGGCGGAATGGGTGGTGGCACTCGAGAGCACCTCCCATACTCACTCGTCCTCCTCTATCCAGATCTCCGACTTCTCCATCAGTTCCATCAAACTGAAAGCCCTGGAGTGATATGCCAGGATGTCGGTCCCGGGGTGTGGGATGTTATATTTGATGGAAAATGCAGCTACAAACTGCCCAAATAGCCGTGAAGCTCCCCCGAGAGACCTGTTACACCACAGCCAGCCCGAAACATCCAGCAGCCCAACCCCCCCGCCGAGAATTCCCTTCAGTCACTCAGTCTCCCCACCCAACTTCCCCTCCCCCTCCCCCCTCGGCCGCGGCGGGAACTTCAGCTTCCCAGCCGCATCCGTGCCCCAGCCGCCATATCCCGACGCGGCCGCCAGCCCGCCGAGCCCCGACGCGGGGCCGGCGTCGATCTTCCCGGCGACCTGGTTCCCCGCGACGCCGGGCCGCGTCTCGGCCCAGCAACGCCCAACAACGCAGCTGGCCGCGCGTCATCCCCGTGTACTTCTTGACGTCCTCGTCCGAGAGCGAAGCGTTGCGGCCGCTCTTGGCGTCGGCGTAGCGCCGGTAGAGCGATTTCTGGGGTGCCTGCTGCTGCGCTGCGGCCTCGGGGCCGCTGGGAGATGAGGGTTTGGCGCCCATTTTGTGCTGGCGAGACGATCCCTTTGTTTCCAATTTGATGCTGTGGAGGGAGGGAGAGATTTATGCCTCGTCTTGTCGTAAGATCAACTCCGAGGATGCTGGGCTACCTAGACGATCAAGGTACCTCCGCACTTTATGTCCACCTGACCATTTCTGGGTGAAGGATCGCCCATCCCCGCATCCCACAGAGGCTCTCTTTTGCGGCCTTTATCTAGCTCCCTGTAACCAGTTGAGGCACTGCCTACCTCGTACTGCTGATGACTTGAGATTAATGCATGGGGCATCCTGCTTGATTACTTGGGTCTAGCTCGTCATCAATTGGTGAGCTGTCCATCAACCTTAGATGGTCCACCCCTCACTACTGCGAATACCTTGGCGACTGGTTGACAATTCACAAATCCGAAAAAAAAAAAATCTAGATTTTACCTACCTAGTAGGAAAAAAGAGAAGGGGAAAAGCAAAAAGGAAATGGGGCAAACATGGTACAGAACACATAACGAGCTATTCCAGGGAGGGTAAGGCAATGCCCGGAATGCCAACGTGGTGGGTCCGGCTGTTACTGGTCTGGTCTTATAACCTAAATTCGACGTCACCTCTGTATTTCATCAATCGTCCAAAAAGCAATGCACAGCAAGCTGCCGGATCGCAAGCTACGCAGGGGATTATGGTCATCAATTCCGGAGGAAGGTTCTGAACAGCATGCCTTGTAAGCTCACCTCTCCACAGCCAACCTACTACGTATTTGCCCGCCCTTTTGGGAACTAACGACTATCGCGCCCCCCGTTCCCGCAGATGGCACCGCAACCAGCTAGAATCCCCACTCCTCCGCTTGCCCCCCGAGATCCGCAACCGCATCTACGAGTTCCTCCTCGCCGTCGGCCAGGTCAACGTCCAGTACAAGCCGTGGCAGCACCGGCGCCGGACCAGGGGTGGCCAGACCTACCACGAGGCTATCCGCGGCGGCTTCTGGTGCCGCGTCCTGCGCCCGAGGCAGAACCCCTGGAGCGGCGATGGCTACTCCTCCCAGGGCGGCGGCGCAGAGCGCGGCATGACGCTGCTGTCGCCGGTCTGCCGGCAGCTGTACCACGAGACAGCCCTGCTGCCGTACAAGCTGAACGCCTGGTCGTTTGAGAACAAATACGTCATGGAACGCTACGTGCTGAAGGAGAAGAGGCTGCCGCTGCCGCAGAGACGGGCCATAAATACCCTCTATGTCAACGGCACCTTGTCGAAGTCGTTGGAGAAGTTCTTTGGTGGTCTGAAGGTGATTGTTTGGAAAGAGGGGACGAAGTTGAGGAGAGAGGTTCTGGAATCAAGCCAGGTGGCCGAGAGGCAGGCGAGAGCGATGCAGAGGGAAATCGTGATATCACCATCGCGGTAACATCTGGCCTCGCTAAAGTCCGAACCCGAGCCAATGTCCAGACACATGGGGCACTGACACCAAGGGCCAGTGTGTTGTCTGGTCCCAGTGAGCAAGTACAGTGCCTCGCATCGGTGGCGCGCGGCTGGTCCGCACATTGTCGCCGACACTCTGGCTGGACCAGTAGATGGGGATTGATGGACCCTCGCCTTCAAGGCGATATCAATATCAAGGGAGGGGTAGCTTCTAAACAAGCATAATCCCACTGATCGACCCGGTTCTGGAATGTTGAGGTCCGCCGGCCTCGCCAACGGGATTGGCAGCTGAGCAGATACCACCTCGCCTGTGGTTCGCGGTATCATGCCTCGCCTCCCAGGGATTTTCGAGGCGTTTATAATGTTTAAATGAGAGGCGTGCATAGTCTAGAGTTCCGTAGCTCGGAGTTAGTTGTGGTGCGTTGCTTGGTGTGACTCGGCATTAGCCTGTCATCTCGCCTGGCTGGACTTCTCGACTTGAGATGCCAAACACGCTAATGCCATGACTGCCGCTCAGCTCATGTATGGGGACTGCACGTGCAGACTACATCTGCGCTGTGATGCATGGGTGCCCGCCACGGGTGACTTTACGGACCTCCGGTCTACGTCTACTGACTGCCCGGACATCAGTGGACTGGCGAGAAAATAGATCACATGTGGCAGTGATATTAGACAGATTCTCACCCCAGACCCAATTGAGACAGGTGATTCCACGGTTTCTGCCGGACATCAAGCCATTGAAGGTGGGACACAGGCCAGGTGCCACTGGGTTGGCTGGGAATGCTACTCAGACGGGCCTGGCACTGACATGGTCACCTCAGCCATGGCCCTTGAATCAACCGCCTTGGGTCACTAGGCACCGAGTCGGCTCTGGACAGGGTGACCCAACGCCTCTCTCGCGCCACGTGAAATAGTTGGATGGGATACGACATCATATGTGCATCCGGTTCCAAAGCCCTATGCTTTGGGTGAAGGGTTAGCAAGCCGAGTCCGCCTCATTCCCAATAACCCACATCCAGCAACAAGCCACTCCCACAGTTACCCACTTCAAGGCAGACGTGGGCACTAGTGAGTGGCCATGAACGGGGGATGCACTGAGTTGATCCGAAGTTGTTGACTAGCGCAATATATCTGGTCTTCAAACCGCAATAGTGTGAATCAATATGCAGCAGCTGTTATGCTGTGCATGGTGATACAAGCTGTGCTCCTGTCAGAGCCACACTTTTCCACCGGCTTCCTCCATCCTATGAGGATCACTGAGGACCTCCAACATGGGTGCTGGTGAGACCTAGTTGTTCCAAGCTCCTGGGCTTGATATGCTTCGAGACATTCCTGGGCTCCCCTTCTTGTCGGGCTGCTCTTGTAACTCGTGGATCCAACAAGCGACAGGACTCTGAATGCGGAAAGAGGCATGCCTCGATCTCAGCTTCGGCTGGCAGCATTAGAGCGGCGTTATCCGGACTGGTTTACAGCCACCCATTGAATGGAAGCCAGTCTGCTGCAGGGAAAGGAGAGCCCAGGAATGTTTCACATCGACGAGATCAGCTCTGTAGCCGCTGCAACTACTCGCTTCCAAGATATTATGTCATTGAAGTTCGCCCCGGATATAGATCCATGGCAAATGCCCGGCTCAGGGAAGAATGGCAAAAAAAAAAAAAAAAAAAAGCACTCAACGCAGCTGTTTCTCCAACCACAACAACCTCAAACGTGCTCAAGTACAGCTCCCTCTTATCAACCCAAGTAACATCAGAAGATGAAGCTAGTACCTTCCATAATCACCGCCTCACTCCTGGGGTGTGTCATAGCGACCTATGGCACGTCAGATGACAGCAGTGAGAGATCCGACCCGTTCCAGATCTCCAACTTCACCGCCGACGTCTTGGACGACCACACAACAATGTGAGCCCCAGTGTCTCCCCTTCAGCGACTCCCCCATAAGACCTCGCCTCAAACCCCCAACTAACTCTACCCGCAGCTACGCCTTCGACCTCATTTACCACCCAGGCGTGCCCTTCGCGCACTGCAGCGCCTCCAGCCCTCCCTCCGCCGTAGACTGCACCGGCAACCTCTGCGTCAGCTACGGCAGCTGCGGCGCCCCGGTCAACGCGACGACGAACACGACGAACACGACTCTGCTGTCGCCCGTCTCGTTCAATATCAGCCCCGACGCCGACGGCACGGGCCTGGTCGTGTCCATCCAGTCAAACTACCCGCAGGACGCGGCGCTGTGCGACAGCTGCTCCAAGTCCGGGCTCGGCAAGCTCGAGGACGCCGTCGAGTGGTCCGCCGCCGGCGTGCAGGTGTACACCGGCCTGGCCGAGTTCAGCGTCGATGCCGTCTTGACTGTGTATGCCGAGTGAGGGGGATGGTTGAACCCCCCGCCCCCGCAAGGTAGCTCGTGGGGCGAACCGCTGGGCGGCGAGTTGGGGGAGGGGGGAGGGCCCCTTGGCTGCACATAAGGGATTGATAGCGTTTGTTTAATCTAACACGTTGATATCCTCGGGGAGAAGCTGGGCAGGCGTTGGGGGTAGGAGACCAAAGGCGTACAATAGATAGCTTCTAGGCACAAATACAACAGAGTCACCACCCCGATTTGGCAAGCCCCTTTTTAGATCCGACGACGGATATACGGCAAAGGTGAGCCATTAAACGCACTGGTACTATCCACCCACTAGCCAAGTGATTTGACAACGGGTGTTTTTATTTGACAGGAGGTTGTGTAGGGGTCTGGTCCAGCGGTGTTGGCTTGCTGGAGCTCCCACCCGAAGTCGCATCACCACCAAGCCGACCCGCGAAATCAGTGCTTGACCACAATCTTGCCCCCCGCATCATGCGAATCCAACAACCTGTGCGCCTCCCGTATGGCGCCGTACTCAAACACCCGAGCCGGCTTGGCATCCCACCCCCCCCGGGCGATCTTGTCCACAATATCCTGCAGCGGGATGCCCTTCAGCGGGAAGTCAGGGCCTCCCAACACCTTGCTATGGAACAAGCTAAAGTGCACGCCCGTCTCCATCTGCAACATGGGGTTAAACCCATCCAGCGGCTCCAGGCCCCCCAGCCACCCGGCCTGCAGCACCCTCCCGCCGGGCCGCGCGAGCCCGACCGACTCCAACAGCACGCTGTTCCCGACCAGGTTCAGCACCTTGTCGAACCGCGGCGGCCGGTCGAACCCGTCCGCGAACCCGGGCCCCTCCAGGCGCGCCTCCGCGGCGCCCATGCCCCTCAGCACCTCCAGGCGGGGCTCCCTCCTCGTCGTGGCCGTGACCTCTGCGCCCGCGTCGACGGCGAGGTGCAGCGCCGCCTGCCCGAGCGTCGACGTCGCCCCGCGCACGAGCAGCCTCTCCCCAGGGCGCAGGTCCAGCACGGAGAACAGGCACGACCAGGCGGTGCAGTAGGCCTCGGGCAGGGCGGCGAGGTCCTCCCAGCGGAGGCCGGCCGGCCTGCGGACGACCGCCACGTTGGCGGCCGGGACGGACACCAGCTCGCCGTAGGACCCGGGCCGGTTGCGGCCCATGCCGCCCATGACGGCGACGGCGGTGGCGCCGGTGGGGAACAACTCGCTGCTGCTGGGGGGGCTGGAGGATTCGACCACGCCGACGCACTCGATGCCGCTGATCGGGTCCCACTCGTCCCACTCGCCGCGGCGCATGTGCAGCTCGGCGTGGTTGAGGCCGAAGGCTTTGACGCGGAGGAGGACTTCGCCGGGGGCGGCGGTTGGGCGGGGGACTTGTTTGTGTTCGAGGACTTCCGGGCCGCCGAACTTGGTGATGACGATCGCTTCCATTGTTGCTGACATGTTGGGCGGTGGGTGGTCCTCCGATGTTGCGATAAGGTTCACTCAGGTGTGATTGTTTTCCATCTCAGCTCGTTTCTCCATATGGGGGACTGCTGGGTAGTGGAGGGATATATAGTCAGTCCCCATGGTGTGTGCACGATCTTTAAGTTGTCGCGGCCATATCAAATGTCAACTTTAGGGCGCCAGTGTACTTGTACCTGAGCTCATCATGACGACGAAGTGTAGGTGTGTTTAGGGGATGGGTGCTTTGTCAGCCTCGCCCGGTTTGTCAGACAATGCCATTCTGTTATCAATTTGACTCGAGCAGAAGGGCGCAAGGAAAACATCTCCTAGTAAAGAGGGGCGGGTGATGAAAGATCATGAAAATGCGACGAGCTAAATTCTAGTGCAGAAATACCAAGCCAACGAATGAAATACAAATAGCAATCACCTCCTCCTTCGATCCGGACTAGGCGATGCTCTGTCCAATTCCCAGCATTCATCTCCGGGAGGGGGACATATCCTGTCACGTGCCTCCCCCGACTCCGACAGATCCCCATTCAGGACCATGTGAGCCAGCCCCGGAACAAGGGGAGTCGTTGTTCCGGGGAGAAGCATGGGAGTGAGAATACAGACCTACGCATCCATAGCCCGGGAAATCAGCATCCCTCGCAAGATAGCGGAACACAGCCGCAATCCAACCAGACATCTCGTGTTCCTCAATACACAGATTGTCCTTTCATGTTCAAAGCCCCCCGGTGGTTGGCGTCCCTTACGTTTCCGGTCGTCCCTGCATGCGTGACTAGCCCACGCCCCTTCTCCGAGGATGTTCGCAGATTCCCAACATCCAAATCCAGCGATCGGTTCAGCCGCGGATTGACTAGGTAGGTGGCGTGGCGGCAAAGAGATGGGAGATGGTATCTGGTTTCGGCCGGGTCATTGCCGACCTTTTGGGAGATGTCCGTTTTCGGCTCAGAATTCGAAATCCCGGGGTAGCCGATTTCTCTTGTTTGGGGATTTTGAAGCTGTCTATTCTCTGGGATGAAGACGGCGGGCCTGGTGGTTGCAGAGGATCCGTGACGTGTTGGGGCGCAACAAAAAGCCGGGTTGGGAGGGCAGACGAACAAAGGGCCGCTGAATACGGACCAGTTTTCTCGGTTGGGCATCCTTTGGAAGTACATTAGTACTGAATCCGGTGTGCGAGAGAGAGAAAGAGGGGAGAGAAGAAAAGGAGACGGGGATGGTAAGGGCAAGAGCAGTCTGTTGGCGACCAATGTCCCAAGTCGTCTGTACAAACTTCGGGGCGGACTCACCGTCCCGTAGCACCATTCGCCGCCCACAGATTCTCAGGAAGGCATCACTGTAGGTGAAGTCCAGCAAGCTTTTTATTCACGGTGTATTCGGAGTCCGAGTGCTCCTAATGAGGAGTACCGTACCAGTAACCAGAGTATCTAGAAAAAAAGGAAGAAAAGAAACGCGTCGCACAGGCCCAGACTTAAAGATAGTCCTCAAACGCCCGGATCGGATCCTCCAGCAGCGGAGGCGGCCTGTACGCATTCCTCCCACCGGGCCTGCGCGGCCCAAACCGGACCTGGTAGCACTGGTGCGCCGGGAGCCGCGGCTGGTCGGGCCCCGGCAGCGGCTGCTCATATTCCTCCCACTTGTCCGCCTCCTCCTGACTGGGCAGCCTGAACATGTCTCCCGGGATGTCCCGCCCGCCCTTGAACAGATCCAGGGTGTCCATCGATAGGAGGTTCTCCCCTTGGCTGTCGTCGTCGGCCTCGTCCTCCTCGGGGTCCGGTTTTGTGAATTCGGGCAGGTCGCACGGGGGCGGGTCGAGCAGGGCCGGCGGGTCGTCGATGACCCTGGGCCCTCCTGGCTGGAATGGTTCCCACCAGGGGATTCCTGGCGGGTGCGAGTTGGTGGTGGGCCAGTTGCCGGCGTGGAACTTCGGCATGGCAATGTCGTAGTGCTTGGTGCTGGGTCGCCGGGCAAGAAAGATCTGGGCTCGGCCGGGAACGCTAGTGCCGTAGGTTTTCCACGAATACAGATGAAGCTTCTGGGGCCACCATGGTTGAAGTTCCCCTGCTTTAATTGGAGGTTCTGGAGGCTCCGCCGCCCACGGGTCGTCCACCAACCTGTCGGCATCCCAGTAGAAGACGACAACCTGGGTTTGGAAAAAATCGGCGATGACGAAGAGGATGTCGTCAAATAAGGCAGACTGTATCTGGTCAGTCTCTCCCTGCTCCAGCATGAGGGGACAAGAACAGCAAAGGTCGGGGAACTAACATCACAGGCCAACCCATGCTCCATTTGGTTGCAGTACAAGCTGCGGAGGATGCTCAGCTCTCCATAGTCTTCCGAGAAGATTTTCGATCTGAGCTGGAAGAGGATGTATTCCCGCCACCTTGGATGCTCCGGCGTGTAGATGACATGACTAAAGTACACCCACAGGAGTGCCTTCATCTCGCGATTCTTCATCATGTCTCGGCCGTGGGGAATTTTGACCGGATCGGTGCGATCTGGCCCCCACCAGTAACTGCCTGCTCGTCAACCACCAAAGCTCAACCTTGGCAGGTTGCAAAGCAAAACTCACGAGACACAATGCCACAGTGCTTCCGGGCCATCTGGAACCGGGATGACCTTGAACGTCTGCGCCACGTCTGCGGACGACAGGGCCTGGAATTCCTGGTACGGATGGTACCGCTGCCACATCTCCATGTCGGTTGGGTGCGGAATATCGATCTGGGGCTCCTTCAGGGGCTCCATTTCGAAGTACTCCTTCAAACAGTCAGCATCATTCGGCATAACTCCCGACGATGGCCCCTCAACCGTAGCCCAATGCGCCAACACGCTCGCGGCTGAACTGCGGCCGAGAAGATGCTGGTGGTTGATATTCAAGGCTTGGGTACGCGGGTTCCATTTTGCGGTGTAGCATCGGAGAGCTCGGAGTGCGTCCAAGATGTAGGCTCTGATAATCCTGCCCCGCCTGTCGTTGGGGGATATGAACTCCCACATGGCCCCGACCTCCTCGCAGAACTTTGGAAAGCTAGGTTTCGGTTGTCCGCTGTAGCCGAGGATTTTCCACGCCCGTGGAACATTGTAGTATGTCGGCTTGGTTTTGATGGAAAGTATATGGGTACTGATCATCTTGAGGGATTTCCCATTGCGACGGGGTGGCCCCCCGGCCAGTTTAGGCACCACCATGATGTAGAAGGAATGTGATGTATCCGAAATGTTGTTGAAGTTGCGCGTGGGGAGTTGGGTAACGTAGTTGGATGCTAAGAAATTGAGGTTCCAGAGCCTGCTAAATAGACGGAAGTTGGAATCGGGCAGTGTGCCCGGAGTCCAGATAGAAAGGCCGGCATACCTGCCAAAGAACAGGGACGAGACCTTTGAGGATATACCCAGGACAGGACTCTCGTTGGATTGGGAAAGAGGGCTGAAAGATGCCGTTGCCAGAATACCACACAAGAGAGCCGTCTCAACAAAGACGGATGTGAATGCCCGAGTCGAGTGACAGAAGGGGAAAACGAAGTCATCACAGGAAGCCGGCCTTTGTCAGCGTTAGGACTTACCGGATGAGGGCTAGATCCCCTTCCCTTTTTCCCCTTTCATCCTCGATCTCTCCTCTTTGTCGCTGTATATTTTTGTCATTCTTTCGATCTACCCCGTTGCAGCAGGAGCACTGATGAAATCATTACGTCGGGAATAGGGGGAGACGGTCAGATCCTTTCTTAAAACAATAAATAAAAGGAATGGCACTTGGCACCTATACTAGCCAGCCATATTGGTCCAGATCAACCTTCTCTTTCATGCTATAATCCAGGCGGTTGTTATCATATGTCAGGTAATTTGCAGGATTTTGGGTGACAGCGTGCCAGATGCTGAGATAGAGGACGAAATAGGGAGGGAACGTACAGAGTTCCGTGTATCCAGGAGTTAGGATGGTGCCACTCACTGTGACCCTCTACACAATAACGTCCCCAAGTGGCCAGGGAGGGAACTGCATGCATGGATTGGTAGATGCCGCTGAAGGAGGCTTTGCAAGCTCCAAGAGCTGTATAAGAGGAACGAGGTGACGGAACTCACGAACAACACCCACTGCCAAGATGAGGGGTGCGGTAACTGCGGTACGAGAGACTGCAGGCTGAACCTGAACAAACTTAGCGGCACAAATAGGAGACTGGCATACGGAGAGAGCACATAAGATATCACAACTAGCTACTAACTGAGGAGCCAGGAGGTTCAAGTTCAACACAAGCTTTCTGTTTTATTCTCTGTCCCACCACCAAACCCTTCTTGAGCGGCCTTCTTACTAAAGATCGTAGAGCTTATAAGAAGCGAAGCCTAAGACTTGTCACTAGATTGCTTGTCTCTATTTCCGTTTGGGGTGCTTGCCTTGCGGCTCGTCTTCCTAATACTTATCTCATTGTGGTCAAGATGATGTCGTCGTCGTCTGAGATGTTGGGGCTCCAAGACCGAAGCCGAAAGAACCCCGAAGTGGGGACCAGTGCTAATTTAAACGAGCTAATCCCCCGGAATGGTCGGGCTAACGCGGAACTTCTTTTAAAGATGCAGACGCCAGGAAAGAAGAACGTCATCTGTTCGAGTCGAGGCCCCATGTTGGAGTACCTATGTCTTACTGGGAAGACCCGAGTCAAGCCCTGAGTCTGAAAGCACCAGAAAAGGGGAACCTTTGGCCGTTGGACGGTGCGACCTGCGGGATTTTCCGGGAGCCGACGCTTCCGCCTAGACCCTGAAATGGAACTCCCCACCGATTTCGCTGGGTCAACCGCGCTAGTCCCGAAACAGAGCCCAGAATCGACACTTTTATTTTTTTAACCGCAACGACACATCCCGAACATCGACTCTCCATATTCCTTAGAACTACTATTCTTCAACCTCATCTGATCTTCTGCTGAGCAGCCACTACATCTCAATCCCCCCGTCACGTTCATTACGGTCTCCTCCTCCAGATCCTTCACAATGTTCATGGCCTCAAGAATCCAGCGCCGTGCCTTCTCGGCTTCGGCAAGAAACGTGAGCAACCAACAGTGAAACCCCATGAGGGAATCAATCCATCTGCCCGAATCGGCTCGATACTGACCTGCAATTCCACCGACTAGCTTTCCAGGGTCACCGTCCTCGGCGCTGCTGGCGGCATTGGCCAGCCTCTCTCACTTCTCCTCAAGCTCAACCCCAGAGTAACCGAGCTCGCTCTGTACGATATCCGTGGGGGTCCCGGTATGTTTTATAGCGCAAATGTCGAGACGACCGGCGCAGTTCGTCTTTGACACCAATCTGCCTCCCAATACTCGCCTCCGGGGTCTTGCATACCCGATTGAACATTTCAATTGCCCCTTTATCTGTGCTCTCAGCCCACTCGACCATGGTCGGCTAACAAAAAGACTTAGGTGTCGCCGCCGACATCTCCCACGTCAACACCAACTCGACAGTCAAAGGCTACGACCCGACCCCCAGCGGCCTCGCCGCGGCACTCAAGGGCTCTGAGATCGTCCTCATCCCGGCCGGCGTGCCGCGCAAGCCGGGCATGACCCGCGACGACCTGTTCAACACCAACGCCTCCATCGTCCGCGACCTGGCCAAGGCCTGCGCCGAGAGCGCCCCCGACGCCAAGATCCTCGTCATCTCCAACCCGGTCAACTCGACCGTGCCCATCGTGGCCGAGGTCTTCAAGGCCCGCGGCGTCTACAACCCCAAGCGCCTGTTCGGCGTCACCACCCTCGATGTCGTGCGCGCCTCGCGCTTCGTCTCCGAGATCAAGAGCACCGACCCGCGCGACGAGAACATCACCGTCATCGGCGGCCACAGCGGCGTGACCATCGTCCCGCTCTTCAGCCAGTCCAAGCACCCCGAGCTGTCCTCCAACGCCGACCTCGTCCACCGCGTCCAGTTCGGCGGCGACGAGGTCGTCAAGGCCAAGGACGGCGCCGGCTCCGCCACCCTGTCCATGGCCATGGCTGGCGCCCGCATGGCCGAGTCGCTCCTCCGCGCCAGCCAGGGCGAGAAGGGCGTCATCGAGCCCACCTTTGTCGACTCCCCGCTCTACCGCGACCAGGGCATCCCCTTCTTCAGCTCCCGCGTCGAGCTCGGCCCCAACGGCGTCGAGAAGATCCACCCCGTCGGCCCCCTCGACGCCGCTGAGGAGAAGATGCTTGAGGCCTGCCTCGTCGACCTCAAGAAGAACATTGACAAGGGCGTTGACTTTGTCGCCCAGAATCCCGGCAAATAAGCGCCTACGCTTGAAATGATGCGGGGTTGGGGCCCGGTTTATAGATGAATCGGATCGGAGAGTGGTAGGATAGGGGGTTAGATGGGGGGGAGTACATATAGCAGGGGAGAGGAACCCCCCCCTGCAAGGCGTATGTGTGTGTGTGTGTGTGTGCGTGTGCGTGGCGGGGAAGCGGGATACAGCTTGGAACTGCTGCTTCTGCTAGAGCCCGTCCCTCCGGTCTTTCCTGCTCCCAAGGATGCGCTTGGGTAGAGGGGAGAGGAAAAAACGGTTTCATTGCCGGGAAATCCAGTGAAAACTGCGCTCTAGCTGTATCATAGCATCTCGACCTTCATCCTGTGTATTCAATTCCTGACCATTCACGACAACCTAAGTCTCTCGATCTATATGTGGTGATTAGATTCCTCAACAAAGTACACGAAAATGTTTGGTTCCCGAACTGGACCCAATCGAGCAATGATTGTAGGCCAAATTCGGCAATCGATCGGCCAGTCTATCAAAATTTCACACTGTTCTTACATCCGTCGTCCCCGCCCAGCCGAACTTCATCTACTCTTACCCTATATTTCCACCAACAACCCCTCTCCGCACACACGTCTACGCGTACTTCAATTCCGCGGCGGTCCCGTCCCCGCCCGCCACTGCTGAAGCTTCCTCGTGCGCTCCTCCACCTTGCGCTCAAACTCGGCGACCTTTTCGAGCCGCTTCCTCTCCTCCTCCTCGTCCTTGATGCGCTGCGCGTGCGCCTTGCGCACCCGCTCCCTCTCCAGCTGCTCGGGCCGCCGCTCGGCGATGTTGCGCGGCCGGAAGTCGCTGAACAGCCACTTGAGCGCCACCTCGATGACCCAGCACGCGGCGTAGTCGATGATCATCACCGTCGTCAGCGTGGTCTTGAACTCGGGCTTGAAGGGCACCAGCTTCATGGCCTGGTTCAGCTCCGGGATGAACTCAGTGGAGCACGCGAAGGCGATGCCCGTCACGCCGAGGATGCCGTAGAACATGCCCTTGTTTTCCGACAGCGACTCCCGGAACGGTCGGCCCTGGTAGTTGATGGCAAAGGTGGAGATTTGCTGGATCAGTTGGAGCAGGTAGACGGCCGAGTTAAGCAGAGAGGGCTGGAAATCGGCTTCAAGATCGACCATCTCAGAACGACTGTGAAACGACATTAGAAAAGCAGGGCCACGGGAGACTTGGGAAAGGTTTGAAGACTTACGGCTCAAGTTGGTCGCAGAAACGGGCAATGTAGATGAGAGTGACAATGTGGACGGCAAACTGTCCGAGAATCGACCCGATGATGTAGAAGTTGAAGATGTTGGGCTGGGGCCGTTCCTTGGACAGGCCTTCGACAGATTTTGCTCGCGAGATGGACAAGAAGCAGACGCTCATCAGCATACCGCTAATGGTGATCTGTCCGTCGCCGAATTTGATACCCTCGAGATAGAGAACACTCAGGCTGTAGGCGCTGATAAGACAGTTGAGAGCGAGAATCTTGTACATCTGGATCGTCGCAACGAGAGTGCATCGTCCCTGGCGGATGATGTTTGGAATGGCGATGACGTTTCGGAGCTTGGACGTGAACGGCGCCGCAACCGAAGCATCTCCCAGCTTTAAAGATGGCGGCTCCATGTCGTCTAGCTCGGTCTCCATCATACTCTGAGTGAACTTGTCGGCAAAATTGGCGGCTTTCTTTGCAGCCTCGGCCTGCTTTGCCTTGTTCCCCTTTTTGGAGTCCTGATCGAGCAATTGTTGGGCCGCAGGAGATGTGATGGTCTCGATCTGGGACCCGTTCGCCTTGGCATATTCCTCGGGAGTGACGCCCTTCTTCAGAGCCTCGCGTTCAATGGCCTTCTCATAGTGCGGGTTCGACGGGCCAGGAGGATAAAGGTGGGCGATCAGGGCCGGCGCTGGAGGAGCTGCCTGGCCCCAACGCTTCATCAAATCGACTTGCTTCTGATAGAGCTCCTTCATCTTGGTGTTGCGGGCATGTTCGGCAATACGGGTCAGATCATCTGGCGTCCCGTTGAGCAACGCGATGCCGACATGTGCCTGCTTCAAGGCCCCAACGTCGTTTGTTCCGTCTCCTGCCATCAACGTATAATAACCCATATCCTTGTAGCCCAGAAGGATCTCCTCCTTCTGCTTTGGTGAGACACGCGCATAGACCCAGGTATAGCGAAGCAGTGTGTTCCATCCAGGCTGGTGCCTGTACTTTTCAAGTCCATGGCCGGTAACGCAAAGGTCCTTTGTCTTGAGAATTTCAGGGTCGATCGGTAAGGTTGGGTCAACTTCGATGCGAGTCTTGTCATCAACGCTGCGCCAGATCAGATGAGAGGAGCCGTCACCGGGCTCGGCCGCGTCAAGAATCAGGACCTCGCGATCGACAATCTCAACTTCGCGGGCGACATGGACGGCAGTGAGCGGATTGTCGCCCGTGATCATGACAACCCGATGGCTGCTCTCGTTCAGCATCTGGATGGCTTCCTTGGCGTCATCCTTCAGGGGGCACTGTAGAACCAGGAATCCAGCAAAGTTGAGCTTGGCCTCGACGTTCTCTCTCTTCAAGTCGTTGATCTTGCCCGAGCCCAATTCAGTGTCGGTAGTGAGCTGCTTGTAAGCCAGGGCTAAGACACGAGATCCTCTTCGCGTGAAGTACTTGAACGTCTCTTCGTAGTCTTCGGGCACAGTAACAAGCATCTTCATGATTGTTTCTGGGGCACCCTTGACACCAACAAACGTTCCCTTGACCTTCCTCCCCGTGGCGGGGTCGGTGCCATTGACCGTTGCGACAGAGCTCTGGCGTTTCAAGGCAGAAGAGAACTGGAAACGACGCCTGATTTGCACAGTGCCAACTGTTCCCCCAACGGCCGCGGCAGTTGGCTTGCTTGCCAAAATATCGTTCTTACCAAGACCCCAGCCCAGTGCATTCAGCGTCGCCTTCTCCATGGGATCACCGACAATATCCCCATCGTCGAGCTTGACCAGGGCGTGAGCTGTCGCGAGGACGAGAGTAGTCTCCATTCCGGCCTCGTGGACGGCACTCATGTGGCTATGGGCGCCATCAGACTCTCGGGGAGTATCGGTTCCAGAGTGACCAAGACCAAGACCCGCGATGCCTTCCACAACCAAGTCTTCTCCCGTCAGAGTCCCGGTCTTGTCGAAGCAAGCCACATCAATACGCCCGGCGAAGGGGATCCGGAACGGCTCGGTACAGAAGATGGCGAACTTTGCGAGCGCCGCCAGACTGGTGTTGACTGCTAGACTGAGCTCCATGGGCAACTCGGGAGGCACAACGCTCGTGACGATAAGGATGCAGTCCAGAAGCAGCTTCGACCGCTTGCGATCCTTCTTGACACCCTCATCCCACACGTACCAGGAAGCTGCAATGGCGAAGACAAGGAGGAACAGGATGAACAGCAGCGCCTCGACGTTGTTCGCCGAGACGCGCTCGGTTGAGTAAATCATGGTGCGAACAAGGCTGCCCTGAGACGTTTCGAAGCCGGTCTTTGTCACTATTGCCATTGCGCCGTTGTCCGGAGGAGGCGGCACACCCGAGGCAACCTTGGGTTTGTCGCCTTCAGCATTTCCATGGGTGATCTGCAGGACCTTGGTGCCACCCCACAGGAAGGCATTCTTGTCAAGGCCCTCGGTGTCAAGAGCCACATCGCCGGGCCGCAGCTGGATCGAGTCCTTCAGGAGAGGCGTACTTTCGCCGGAAAGCATAGCCTCGTTGACGATTGCCGTTCCTTCGACGAGAAGCATATCGCATGCAACGCCGCTGTCCTCCTTTGTCCGCGAGACGGAGACCAGATCGCCGGGAAGGAGCTTGTCGCTCTGGATTTCGGTCCATTTGCCGATACGGTAGACCCACATGTCGTAAGGCTTAAGGCTCATACCCCGGAATTCGTTCATGGTCCGTTGGCGCTGCCAGACGACGGTGCTCTCGAATGCCACGAGCATGACCAGAGTGAACAGAGAATAATACCAGTAATCATCGAGCATCCATAGTCCGACACAGAAAATCTGGAAGACAAAGAATGGCGCAACAGCATGCTCCTTGAAGAGCTCGGAAAACGTGGGGACCGGAATGTCAAACGTGTTTGTACCATAGTGCTGCTCGAGGTGGGTGTGCTCGGCAGCACTAGCAATACCTCTCGACTTCTGGAACGTCTCAATCTTTGGCTTCGGCTCGGCATCGATGGCAAACGTCAGAGGGCTGAAGGTCTCTCTCTCCGGCTCGTAGAGGAAACGGCGCTTCTGGAAAAGGAAAGAGATGTTCGTCTTGCCTCCGACCTGGTTCGGTGTTAGGAAAGATTCGATCGCAAATGCAATGATAAGCAGGCGCGGGAGCTCACCTTGTCGCGCACGAGCTTGCAGATGTCAGCGGCCCCGGCGTTTGCCATGGGGATAACTTTGATAAGCTCGGCATCCTGGACTGAGCGGCCTCTCTTGGCCGTGAAGGTGGCCTTCAAGTTGACGCTCCAGTGGGTGCAGAGCCAAACCAAGCTCTGCAGGGTAACGATTGTGCCAACCCAGACGAAGGTCCATTCGGGGGCCTGGATGTATTTATCGTATAAGTCGGTAGTAAGGTAGTACCGCAGGAAGATGGGCCATAGTATTGCGAAAGGCCAGACGTAGGTGTGCAAATACAGAGGCAAGGGCGTCAGGAGCTCGGCCGACCTGATTTGCGAGTTGTCGACGAGCGGCGCCATGGTTGCTGATCAAGAGTCTGTAAACTTATGGTGAATTCATGGGAAATCAGGGATTTCGGTTCCCGTCCCTCTCTCGAATATCGAAAGGAGAGGTGATTAAGCCGGAAAGAAAAGGAGCACAGAATAGAATGAGGTTGGTTACTTACGATCTGTGATCTGTACTTTTCCGTTTGTTGGTCCCACTTGACAAGGCTCATACCAATCGCGATTTCAGTGCCAGTTGTCGCCACGCGCTAGCCGTAAAATCCTTCTATTCGTATCGAGCTTTATGGTTACAACGATAATATTTCCCTCAACCGTACAAATTTCACCGGCAGCGGCCACTTCCTTATGCAATGTTTGCATAGGTAGTCGGCGGAGAACGATAGCGTGAATTTCACGTGCCGACCTGGTAACCCACAGTTGATAGTCACGTGACTAACTACGGAGTACTCGCTCGCCCCGTCCCTGTGTACCTAGATTGATGAGGCTCTCCAGCTTTGAAACGCGAGCCTCTGGGCCCTCATTACCTGAACCCTATCTTCCAAGCCGCTAAAGATATTGTCTCCACCGCTTGCTCGAAATGAGTCAGCTAACTGGTTTTCCTGCACTACTCTCGAGGCTGGCAAGGTATCCGGTGTCAGTAGTAGATTCTGCTTGCTTAGACACATCAACAAACTCTTATATAATCCCTCACTTGCTCTTCTCTCTATTCCCTTTCCTGCCCTTACCTTTGCATCAAAACTCTCCAAAATTGGAGTCTTGAACTCGTGGAGGACTGGCGCGGTTCTGTGGTGGTGGTGTTTCAAACCAAGGGCCCACACTAATAAATATGGCTTCCCTCGGCCCCATCGGTAGAATGGAATCGAGCGCTAACACTACTGCAAGAGTGCAAGCTATCGACAGATGGTTTGAGACACAGCCGGCGGGCTAGTGGAGTGCGAGACGCAAGGGGGGTCGAAGCGGAAGGTTGTGTCGATGAAAATATGCCTCGTTGCAATCTATCGTCATATTGTATTTTCAGCCTTATTCGAAGGCGGACGACATAAAATGCAGTGTCTATGAATGTGGAACCGTCTCCCTGGGCTTGGGTTACGGTAATAAACGATGGTGCAATCCAGACCTTCAGGGGTACCAGATCTGGGCCACCATCCTAGGAAGTGGGGATGTGGAACAAAAAGCTTGAATCTGGTTCAGGCGAGCAAGCTGCCAATTAGCAAACAGATGAAAGGTGATTACAACCAAACGCTACCAGGAAAGTAGATTAAGTGCTTCGTAATTCCACCATACAAACTTTGCCTGTCATGGTGGATGACAGCAAAGTTGAACCTTGATCAGGAAGTTCCTATTAAACCAGGTGTCCCGTGGGACCTGCCAGGGATCATGAACCACAACATCTACCAAGCTAAGATCCGCGAGTTGCAGCCTGCAACCTCCCAGTGCACGGGGATTGGTTGCCTTCCCCTTGAGCATGAACCCGGTCAATTTGCCCGGATTCGCAAACGAGTTAGGAGCAGGGAAGTTGAAGAGCTGAAAGCTGTTCGCAATTAGGGCGAAATCTACAATGATCAAATCATGGTGCACAAGTTCATCGATGAGAAAACTTCAGAGGCATTCAGCCGTGAGAATGGCCAGGGCGGCCGCCTCCGTTGGTGGTACGAGCCCCTCATTCGTCAAGCTCGAACAGTCCATCTGAGACCTGCAGGGGTGCCCAGGCTCTCGTCATCCGCAGCATCAAAAACAGATACCTACGGAATAGGCGACGTAGATACAGCACAGAATACATGAAAAGGGATCGATCACCATGGTTCCCTCCCGTCTCTCCTGTTGGAATCCCCCGAATCCCGTCGTTAAGTACCTTCGGTTTCGACGTCGCATCTCTCACCTTTCTTTCTCTCTTCTCGCCGTTCATCTCTTTCCGTATGGGGCTCTGGTTGCGACGATCTATCTAAAGTTAAGGATCGCTCCGCCCAGCTCTCCCGCCCAGCTCCACTCCGCCAGTCCGAGGACCCCTCTTCCTGACGGTAGTCTCGATTCATCGGCATACCCTACCCAAGACGCTGACTACGATGGATTGCCCTTGCATGAGCATCTGATTCGACCAAATCCTTCACATGGTCAGCAAACCTTGGAAAAGGTGGCATGGCCAATAGCCGTTGCCTGTGTTGCGCACCTTACAATCTAGCTATGCCATAAATGGGAACGCCAGCACCAAATACGAATGCACCCTGCAGCCCAAGGCAGGTTATCTCATCGTGCAGTTCCTGCTCGACAGACAGAAGAAAAAAGAAAGCGCGACAAACATTTCGAACGAGGTGACTCCGGACCTGGAAAGGCTGCTGCGATTCTGCTCGAAACAGGATCTTCACAGAGGATCTACTCTGGGTTTCGCGGCAGTTACGCCGCATTTCGTGTCAAGCTGCGACACCCATGTCGTCCCCCATTATTACCCACGGGGATCTCCACATGGCCCAGAACCAGAACCAGAACCGAACAGCCGACGTCACAGCGGCTGCACCACCTGTCCGGCCAGAACAGCGGGACCAGTGTAACCAGGGTGGCTGTGGGAACCGTCCTGTTGGGGCCACGGCTGCTCCTATTAGTAGTAGTCGTCGTCGCACATCACCCATCCACTCGCGGCTGTTCACTACCAGTCTACTGCATGGTTCCAGAGCTAAAGAGGACGGCAGATTGCCCCTTCTCCAAAACCAACACGTCTCCATCTCCGAGCGTGGTGGCCAGAGCCGTTCCAGCTCTGAGACGGACAACAGCTCTCAGACTCGGAGGGCATCCTCAAGCTCCACGCCAGACATAGGAACCAGCCCCAAGCCACAATCGCCGCCACGCAGTCCGCTATTGGCACGGGCACGGGCACCGGTGCCGAGAATGGTGGCGCCGACTCAACCGTTGAAGAAGAGGAGGAGCATCATGGACCGCTTCAGGTTGCTGTCCAGGGAGACTCCTAATCCTAGCCCCAAGCCCCAAACCCGAACTCCGGTCATTTATGTCCCGACCCACGCGGCATCGGATTTCTCCCGCATCACAGTGTCGCCCCGGACTCAAAGGACGGCAGCTTCACGAGGGGAGCCTCTCGAAACCATCGTCGCAATTCCCTCAGAAGACGAAACTGCATACCCAGCGGCGTTAAAACGACATTCCCCGGTCCTGCAAACGCTGGCCGAAAACGAGCCAGTTTACACGATCCCGGAGCATCCCGTGCCCAGAACATCCCCTGCAAAGGAACATACTCGGAAGCACTCAGCATCATCCGCCAGGCAACCAAACTCACCTTCTCCACAACATTCGTACTCTCCTGTCACCGACCTTCGGGAAGCATCGCAAGCTATGCCTTCCACGGCAGCCCCTAATGCACGCATCGAGGCCATTCGCGCAACCGACGATACGCCAGCACAACCAGCCGTCAAATCCATGCCAGGACCCTCGCAACAGCAACTTCCAAATACCGAACCTAGGGAAGTGGAAGGGCCGGTGACAGTGGAACAAAGCAGCCAACTTTCTGACTATGAGCTATTCTTAGCCCGCGCAGAAGCCAAGGAGCGCGCATATAGGGACCAAACCTTGCGCCATCTGTCGCGGCACCCCAACGGCTATGTCGTCCCCTACTACGACCCCCGCGCAGAGGCCGAGACGACCCTTTTACCGTACCGGCAACCGGTCACGTATCCGGCCAAGACCAGCAGCACGGGCTCGACTGCCGTCGGCGTTGATCAACCGGGGGCCCTGAGAAAGACCTGGGACGGGCGAATAACCTCGATCGATTCCGGAATCGGAAGCCAAAGCAGCAGGCGGGGGTCGAGGCGCGAGGCGGAAGAGGCGCCGAACCGACTCTCGAGACACTCGGAGTCCCAGCCCAGGAAGCATACCAGCTGGTCGCCGGCCCCCGGATTGAGGAGGGGTGACGCGCACCGAAATTTGACGGCTCCCGGGACAGCGGCGGTGGGCGAGGTGGACGACAACTGCGGAGGCACCACGACCGCGTCGGGGTCGACTCTGGTCGCGGACAAAGGCGGCCCCAACAACAACGACAATGCCCCACAGCAACCGCGGACTCTGAGGAAACAGGCGAGCTTCAGGCAGAAGATCGGCGAGTATATCAAGCCACCCCGGCAGCCCAGCCGGTATGACGCGGTTGGGAATACAACCGGACTGGCGCGGATTATGGAAAGGAAGGCAGTGGGTGAGGCATAGGTTCCGGAGAGGAGGCGATAGGGTGGCATTCTGAATTGGGTGTTTTGATAAGGATCGCATAGCCGGAGTTTGGGGAAGTCGGGCGCGCTCGGCGGCGGCGGCGGACAGGACTATACCCTCAGGCAAAGCATAGATAGAGCAGAGTTTGTTATTATTTGATAGATCTCACTGTAATAGTTAATGAGGCAACGAGGAGCAGCTTTCAGTTGAGACAGGAGCACGGAGTCGTTGACCTGCGCTGGATCTTGCAATCCTCCCCACGCTCGCTGACATTTGGCAAATTCAGAAATCGTTCAGTTGGTAGCGTTAAGAGAGAGGGAAGCCACAAACCTTGGCACTGTCATTGTCCACTGCTGCCCATTGCACCCCCCTAGTCGCGCCGGTGACGCAAGGGGTTGCTTACTGACCCTAGGTGTTGTTACTGCACTATCTGAAGTTGAAGCTCCTGATAGTTTGGTTTCCCCCACACGGACGGCCATGGCAAGCGTTTTCAGATTGAGATCTGACGTGGTACCATCTTTTGAAAGCCGCGGAACTTGTCATTGTCGGCTGCACATCCTGCCGATTCAGTAAGGAAGTCAGGGTCGAGCTTATTTCGGCAGAGCCTCACATAATTAATCTGCGCATCCCCTAAAAACGCCACGAGGATGTTTCCACGGCGATGAAATAGCCAACAAGAATAATCCTTGACGGGGGGAAGAATGGTTCGATGTCACCCACGTAAAGGTGCAGGGCCGATCACAGCAGGCTAGGCTGTTTAAGGTGGTGGTTGTGTTGCTCAAATGGCCAGTAGTTTGCTGGCAGATGGGGGGTCCAAGCTCTGGGTCCATGCTCAAGTGGGTCATTTTGGATGAAGATCATGCACCGAAGATCACCAGGCCAAGAGAATCCCCTCCTTCCATTACACCCTGCCATCGCACCCCAGTTTTCAGCTTTGGGAGCTGTTGGAGCCCAGATCCACTCTGCTCACCTCACCTCGTCCAACCTCTCCTTTCATGTTCCATCAAGCAGCCTCTCCATCCTTCTCGCCAATGCCGGCTGCCGTCCTCTCCTGCACCCATCCACTCGACACCCGACCTATGGAATTACTGCTAGCAGGTAGTTCGTAATTGACGACTCCGCATCGCATCGCACCCGCTCTCCGACATCCCGGCAATTCACTAGTTGCTGTTTCAGGGTTTCCCTTTCTGTAAATTATCCCCTTTTCGATGACCTACCGGCTCACCTACGATGCCGTCGATTGCCAATCTCCCGACCGAACTCATCTTCTTTGTCGCCAATAACCTCGACAAACTGAAGGACCTCTCCTCCCTCGCCTGCACCAACCGCAAGTTCCACGAGACGGTTAACCCCATTCTATACGAGACTGCTGCCGCCCGCGGCGATGTCTGGCCCTTGGCATGGGCCTCGCACTGCGGAGTTGCTGGCACAGTACGAAACGCCCTCGCTGCCGGCTCCAACCCCAACTTCCGCTTCACCGATTCCCAGCACGTCAAGGTTTGGAAGAAGTCCATCGCGGCCGCTCGAAGCGCCGTTGACGACGGCCATAACCCCAACGGTTGGAGTTCCACTGACGACGCCTCCACTTACACCCGATGGTCGCCGACGACCGACGGCAGCCGCGCCGAAACCACGGTCGACTTCGACAGCCCCATGTCCAATGTCGATAGTTGGGGTACTATGTCCGATGGCACAGAGGGACACTCGGATGATGAGTGGGGCGATCTGTCGAGCTCTGATCCCGACGATCTGATGTCCGATGACAGCGATGCCGATTCGTCCACGCTGGGCTACAGTGACGCCGCCGTCTCGGCCTCGGACTTTGTCGTCCGCAGTTTCACACCACTGCATCTCGCCGCCAGGGGGGGCCATAATGAGGCCGTCGAGGTCCTGCTTGACTACGGAGCATCCCTCGATTCCTTCTCAGAGAACTTCTGCGATTGCAAGCGTGCCGCTGGCATCCTGAATGCTTTGGAAGGCCCTACTCCGTACGAGGACAGGTGTTCACCGACGTGGTCTCCGCTTCACATTGCCATCTGCCACTCCCGCCCGGAAACGGCGAAGCTCCTCCTGTCTCGTGGTGCCAGCTGCACCATGGAAGCGGGCCCCGGAGGGCTGTCGTCAGCGACGCTGCAGGACGCTGCCAGCACAGCCCTTCATCATGCTGCCGGGATGGGACTAGTAGAGATAGTCAGGTATCTGCTAGTAGAGGGCTATCAGAGCGAGGTTGACGTCCGTGACGTCAGAACGTTGACTCCCTTCTACTATGCCTATGCAAAGGGCAGGTGGGATTCCACCATTCCTCTCCTCCTCGACATGGGTGCCAATATCAACCTGGACATCGACTTCTTCCAGCCCTACTGCACAATCACCCCGCTAGGAGAGTCGTGCAGACTCGGTCGTTTCGACATCGCTGAGAGACTGATCGGACTTGGCGCCAACCCCACCCACGGCTTCTTTGCTACCGGGTCAGGTCACCGCAAAGGACTCTCCCCCTTACATCTCTGCTGCATGTCGTCCGCCCGCCCCTTCCTCCCAGAAGGCAGCGAAGCGAATATACTGGATGACGAGGACAAGGCAATGGAGCGAATGAGGTTGATGGACATATTGATAGCCCAGGGCACATCATTCCGCGAGAGGGACTGTTCCGGAGACACGCCTCTGATTACAGCAGCGCAGAACAGGGTGTTGCCTGCAGTTAGGGCCTTGATAAAGGCCGGAGCCGATGTCCATGCGACGAATGCCGTCGGCAGGAACCCCGTCATGATGGCCCTATTGGGTCCCCCGACTCTCCTGCCCAACGCTCCCCAGCGTGAGTATGACGCCACCCTCGCCCAAATCATCAACGAACTCTTCCGTTCCGGCGCTCGCATCGGAGACGTTGACCCCCATGGGGACACCGCGCTTCACCTCATCTTCCACGGGAACCGCGACAAGAACTTCCAAATACAAGCCCTACGCCTTCTCCTGAACCAACCATCCGCCAACCAACTCGTGTTGGCACAGAACAACGACGGCCAGTCGCCCTTCCATCTCGCATTCCAGGCCCGCAACATTGAAGCATGCGAAATCTTTGTTCGCCGAGGATATATACGTGGCGTGATAGAACGCGATGAGCTCCTGGCAATGCTCAAACACGTGCTCATGGACCGAACAGGCGCCGCGGACCCAGCATTGAACTTCGTCCTCGACCTGGATGTCAACCGAGAGCTCACCTCGGATCCTTCCGTGTTCAACGACCTCCTTCAGGAAGGAGGACGCGCCGCCCTCCAGGCTGCTCGGCTCATCTCGTCTCGGGGACTCCCGGCCATGAGTCGTGAGATGTGTAGCGATCACCTGCGCCAGGCCGTCTTTCTAGGGGAGTGGGACATGGCGTATTACCTGATCGAAGGCGGAGCCGATGTAAATGCCACCAGCATGAGTGGTGAATGTCCCCTGAGCATATTCATCGAGAGATACGGACACTCGTGCCTCCACAGCGCCGACCTTCGACAATTTGTCCGTATCCTCCTAGACCGTGGCGCCAATATCCATCTCTCCCACCCAACCCGTTCCTACGCGAGGCCGCTCGTCAAGGCGATCCAGCTGGGATCGGCCAAGCTAGTATCCATCCTGCTAGAAAGGCAACCTCTGCGCGGCGACGCCCGGGCAGAAAACGGATGCTACCTCCACCACACCATCCGGGATCGTTCGGTCATGCCATTTCTGATCGAGAAGATGCTCGACACACTGATTGAGTCAGGAGCCAGCCTGACCGAACTCGACGACAACGGTGATACGCCCCTCGCCGTGCTGCTGCAGATGACGTCTCTGAACATCTACCTGGCCCGGAACTGTTCCCGCTTCGTCAAGATCCTGTATGGCCCTGGGGTGGATATCAACAAGAAGAATAAGCTGGGCCAGTCGATCGCCGACCTGCTCGTGGATATGCTGCCCCCAAAGGGCAAGTGTAGCAGCGAGGCAAACGCGCTCGCAAACACGGTGCAGCTCATCGACGCGTCCTGCGGCTGTAAGGAATTGAGGTTCCTACCCCAACCGCGCAAGAAGGTCAGGCCTGGCGACGTCTGGCGGCCGTGAGATCGACGAGGAGGGCGGGGGGGGAGGTTATTTATGTGTATGTGTGTGTGAATAGGGTCAAATGTCAGTGGCGAACGCAAAGTTCAGCCCGTCATCTGCTGGCGCCGGTCGGCGTCGATATTTCGTTTGTCTTGGGAGCGGATCCTTTTCACTGATTATTTTTAGGTGCTTGGGAGGTCCGTATACCACCTCTACATACATAGGCGAGTAATAATTTATCTATACTTAACATATTCGCCAAACCAGTATCCTCCGAGATATCTCACACCTGCCGGATTGACTAGACTTCACACGGGCCAGGTGAGACTTCAGAGAGGATTATATGACAGGATTGTGAGAAGCAAACAGGCAGTCTACAGCACCTTCAACAATCAAATCCGTCTTCAATCTCTGCCTGGAAATTGGGGTTTTCTTCTTCCCCTCCCAAGTATCTAAGGTATCTTGGAAAGTGCAAACCAAGGAGCTGCAGCTTGCCGAGCGCCTTCCCTCCACAAACAGACAAATAAATCCTTTTTCCCCTTTCAAGCCCTACCGTTGTTTCCTTCCTCCAACCAAAAACTTTTTCTCCGCGCCGAGAGAGATAAAAAGCGACTCCGACAAGTTTGACGGGAAAGCTAGATATCTCTGCCAATATCAAGCCCAACATGGAACCTTCCAATGCCAGCCATGGATGGGACGGTAAGATGGCCAGCTGTGATGATAGCGAGGATGATGACTACCGGCCGGCACGGACAGCATTCCACGAGGACCCGGCCGTCTGCACGTACATGCTCGGGACGGTGACTGCGACAGTGCCACTCAAGATTGCCGCCTCCCAGATTGCGAGTCCAGGCTCGGGCCTCTTTGTCACCAAAGATATCATGGATGGCGAGGAAATCTTCCGGTCTCAGATCCCTTTCGTATGCGTGGAGCCTTACCAGACTACCGTCTGCCACTACTGCCTTGAAGACACGGGCAGCCGGATTCACCATGAAGAGGGTCGATTTTGCGCGGGCGATGATGTTACAGCCGCGACCAAGCGTTGTTCGGGTTGCAGGGTGGCAAGATTCTGTTCCACGGTGAGCTCTACCGGTCGGGCACCTATGCCCTGTGTCATGGCCACGCTGACTCGAGTGACTCCAGGCTTGCCATAAGAGAGCGTGGAAAGCGTTTCACAAAGACGAGTGTAAGATACTGAAAGATGCACCTCCGATTCCCGCCCATCACCTCATCGCCTACCGCATCCTGTTTTGGCAGAACCGAGACCTCGTGACAAGCGGCATGGGCAAGGCCTTGAATCTGTTGGAGAACCATTTCGTGGATTACTTGGCCGACTCGGATGAGGCAACCCACATCTACGAGGTTGCCATGGCAATCCGCCAGATGACCCAGACCAAACTGGCTTTGCGAGCTGTGTGGCGTCTGGTGCCAGCGGTATGCCCCCTGTCCCATGCCCCACGATGAGGATAGCTAGTTTTGCTAACCCGTCGCTTGATAGATCATGACCAACGCCATTGGAATCCGCTCGGCGGGGCGCAAGGAGCCACACGCACTGGGTCTCGACCTTGTGGCCTCGGTCATCAACCATTCGTGCGACCCCAATGCCTTCGTATTCCATGAAGGAGGTAAAATCCACGTCCGGTCGCTTCGACCGATCTGCGCCGGCGAGGAGATTACAGTGTCCTACGTGGCTATGCCGACCGACGTATATCACCGGAGGCTAGCGCTCAAGAAGGAGCATTTCTTCGACTGCTATTGTAAATGATCTTGCCCTTGACGGAATCGGTGGTCGTGTATGCCCTTACTAAACATCTCAATAGGCAAACGTTGCAGCGACGAGCACAAAGAACACACGGAGATGTTCGACCGAGACCCCACGAAACTGAACAAGCTACACCAAGCCCAGGACGACATCCTCCGCCTCCTCATCGACACCAACAAGGCCCTCCTCCAAAGTACGCCGCCCCACCGCGCCTTCGACGTCGACAACGCCGAGACGTCCCTCCGCACCATCACCTGCCAAGCCTTCCCCCCCGGCGACTGGCCCGCCCACATCGACCCGCTGCCCCACGCCCGCCTGACCCTGGCCCTCCTCTACAGCCGCCGCGACGACAAGCCGCGCCCCGCGCTCCTAAACGCCCTCAGGGGGACGCTGCCCACCACCCGGTACCACCGCGCCGGGCCCGACTGGGTCGCCAACCTCCTCGACCTGGCGCGCATCCTGCTGGTGGTCACCGGCGCCACCGCCACCACCACGTCTGTGTGCGTCACCCCGCCCGAGGCGATGCTGCTGGCCTGCGGGATTCTCGGCCGTCTGCGCGCCGAGGCCGCTGGGGTGTTTGGGTTGGAGTCGGGGTTCGTCGTGGCTGTCGGCAAGCTGCACGACTCGCTGGCCGGCATGGTGGCCGAGGTGGTCCCCGGCACTAAGCCGGGCACGGGGGAGTTTGAGAAGGAGTTTGTGAGGGTGCAGGGGAAGCTGCTGGCCTGGGCTGGTATCGATGAGATCCATGGGGTCAGTCTACCGTGAATGACTTCTGGCCGTTTGTTGGGGCATTGCGCCAGATTCGTTCGGCAAGCGGCGCATGAACTCCCCCGGGTTGGCTTCTTGAGAAGGCATTCTCCGAAGGTAGTGGCTGATTCATCGGTATGACAGTCAGTCTTGGTAAATACAAAAGCTAGAACTTGCATGTTATGGTAATACCAGGCAGGACCTTCCTTTCCTGCATTGCCATAAGCAGGAGGCATAATAATTAGTGCTAAGCTAGCTCTTGCTGAGAATAATCGATGGATTTATTTTCCTACCTACCCCTGAGTATTCAGCCCTTTGCTCCCATTTCGTAACCAGCCCCTGAATATGCCCCTGAACATATTCCCAAGCAATAATTTCCTCCAGAAGTACGGGACCCAGTCGTGAATCAAGTTACTCTTTTGCGCCTCAGCATCATCCGTGAAACATTCAGTGTCGAACCGTACTACTTCGGATAACACCGATCCGGCAGTCTCTCCCCAACCCACCCCAACCCACCCCCCCCCCCCCCCCCCCAAGCCGCACTCAACCAACCATCGCTCCTTCCCGAAAACCCCCCAGTCTCTCACCCCCCCCGGTCAAGACCGACCCCCAAGATTAACCGTCGAGGTAACCGTCGTCGGATTCGCCGGCGGCGGCGGCCGGCTCGGCGGCCTAGTCGCCGCCTCCGTCCCCGCCGCCGCTGGGACCAGCATCACCGGCCCCGGCACCAACCCTCCGAACATTCCCCTCCCGGCCGTCGGCGTAGGCGGCGGCGGCGGCGGGTGCGGATGCGGGTGCGTAAACGACACGTCGGTGGTGTCGGCGCAGTGGAACGAAGTGCGCGTCCACATCCCCTCGCCGTCGACCACGGCTACGACGGTGGCGTAGACTGTTGCGATCCCGTCGTCTCCCTCCTGTCGTCGTTGTCGTCTGGGTATCGCGCCCGGCGGGCCGTCGGCCGCGCTGACGGGTCCGCAGTCGGTGGCTGTCACGACGGCGGTCACGGTTGCGGAGTAGGCTGTCCGGGTGAGAGTTTTTGTGATTGTTGTTGTGGTCGTGGGTTGGGGCTGGTCGTCGCGGCGGCGGAGGGGGGCGTCAGCGGCCGAGGCGGTTGGTTCCACTGGGAGGGTGCGGGTTGTCGGCGGGGTGATAAAGCTGCGGGTCTGGAGGCAGGCGTATGTCGTCGCGGCGCTGGGCGACTCGGCTGTTAGGGTGGTCGTGAAGTGGATCACTGGGCCCGGGTTGAGGTAGTCGACGGTGGACACGTGGACGAGGTTGCAGCCGCTGCAGTCGATGTGGCTTGTGATGGTGTCCGTCGCCGTGTAGATGGTCCTGGTATGCTCGGACATCAACAGTGGCGTGATGGGCACGAACTGGGTGTGCGTGCATTCTGCCGCGGTGCTCGGTTCATCCTGCCGGACGTCGAGCCCATCCCGGGGGATCTGTTGGTGCGGGGGCGAGGACGGGTCGGCGGAGCACACCGTGAGCGTCGTGCTGAACGGCTCCGTCGCCGTGGTGGTTCCCGTGACCATTTCCACTGGCCCCAGTCCGCCGAAGGCGCCCGCGAAATCGGCCGTGATGGCCAGGGCGCACCCGCCGCACGGCACCCGCGAGTACACCGTCTCGGTGGTCGTGTAGACCGTCTTCAGGATCGAGGGGGTCCACTCGCCCTGGAACCCGGCGACCAGCTTTGTCAGGGTCGTGGTGCATGTCGGCGTCGCGAACGGCGACTCCCCGCTGGCGGAGGTGGTGCCGAGGGGCGGGGGGGTCGGCACCGGGAGTGGATTGGCGGAGGCATCGAGAACCAGCGCCAAGAGGCAGAGTGGTAGGAACGAAGTCATGGTCCTCGTTTATGCACCGGAGGGGGAGCTAGTCCTGCGCAAGAGTAGTTACCAGGTCTGAGTCCTGTAGCGTAAAGAGGCGAACATATATATCCATCTATATATATAGGGATAATCTGGTTCATTCCTGGAGTTTGTTGTTGTCATGATCGGCACCCACACCGCAAGATAGATAGCTCATATGGAGTATACGATCATGGTGCTACGATACCAGTCGACGAGCCACAGCGCCCCTTCCTTCGGTTCGTAGGATCCCAACAACGCCCGGCCGCTCGTGCGGGGAACGTATATGAAGTAGCAACGTCAAAGGAACCACGGGGAGGCGTATGAGTCTCATATGAGATGTGTGATCTTGGCCACGCAGGTAGTGTTGTGCTAGCTCGGGCGAATGACAATATTACCGCCACCGTCGAATCAGGAAGCAAAAGCAGACCAAACCATGGAAACCCTTGCCAAGAGGAGAGTGGCCAATCTGTTCTGTACGACCTGAATTTCTCAGCTGAATATACAGGTCTTTCCACCTGCCAGCTAGGACAGAAATATTCAGTTCCATCCGGAAGGTGCCTGCGGATCAGATCGATCTGGAATGTTCCAGGGGTAATGGGGGACCACAGCCGGGACTTGGTCACATGTCATGAAAACAAGCTTCGACGGCGACATTCTCTGGCTGCAACCCAACGGGGGTCTCCCATTTTCCCGGTATAAATTAGGGTCGCTATCCTGTCGAGGTGGGTGGCTGCCGTGGGACATAGGCTATATGGTGTCTCGGACGTCATCGAATCAGCAAATTACCTGCACATATTAACCCGGGACCCCGGATTGAGATCCAACAATTACGCAGAGAAGATAGCCCCCAACCCTGGGCTGTACCGCGGTATTCCGCCGTCATTTCAAGTGGGATGCGCCCTACTCGGCGGAACCACATACCCGTCACCGAGGGCATCTAACATCGAGACGAGGTCGTGGGCTGAGTACCGACTGTCCCGGCTCCGAGATGCTCCTCAACAACCCCGAACTTTGTGCGCTACTACTCAGCTTCGGCCTCAAGTCACAGACAGACCTTCATCACGCCTGCAGGGACACCTCTCCCGTGTCCGCCGTCCAGATCAGAACTGAGTAATGCCAACACCCAATGTAGGCAGGCCCAAAACGTGGCACTTCGACGGGCCGACCACATAAACTAAATATCTAAATCGGGACCGCTTCTGCAATCTGATCGCCCCTCCCCTCCTCCCGCCTCTATTTTTTCGTCCACACACACGCGGGAAGGGCAAGTCATGTCTCGGCAGGTGCGGCTCCAAAGTTGCTTCCCTTGGTACCCGGTTTAATAACCGAGTGTGACTGACTGACTGACTGACTGACTGAGGCGTGAGGATGGACGAATTTCTCAACGTGGGTCCGTCCTTTTCGCAATGGAATTCCGGTGATTGCTCCTCGGAACCTGGAGCCGGGAGCCTGGTACCATTCCTCTGGGTTCCATGCAGTTCCAGATTTGGGAGTCGGAACCTTCGCGGACGAAGGACGAACGTCTGTACTGCAAGTACCCTGCTGTTTTGAGGGTTGTCAGACCCTCTCTGGGTTGTCAGACCCTCTCTGGCTTCTCATCCCGGCCTCTTGTTCCGCTGAGGCCGTGGGCAGGAGAGAGAATTCTGGTAGAATATTGTAGTCTGTCGACGTGATGCCTCTGGCGATAATAACTACTCCTTACCTCGAGTCCTTTTAGAAACTAGAAACTTGAGGTCGGTTTGGCTTCGTTTCAGACATGACATATGTCGATGTTGATATCTGTTACACTATTTTATTGGGAAATGGGGAGATTTGACACGAGACCCCGCAACACCATCACCTGGCTCAAGACAGAACCCCCATGTTCCTCACTCCCAAGTGCAAGACCACGTAGACGCCATAGATTTTGTGCCAACTCCCAGCAATGGAGATCAGACAAGAGAAACAACCCCATTTCCATGTCACCCCCTTTTTTCTCAAGCTATCCGGGTATCCGCATCCTTTCCCCCCCACCCAGCATGCCCACATCTTTCCTTTCCACGTTGACGCATCGGCAATCAAAGCAACAAATAAACAACCGATGCCGAACCTCGAACCCGCCTCATTGGCAAGCATACACCGTCGTCGTCCCAACCGGCACAGTGAGCGTTTCCGTAAATCTCCCCGCGGGGCCGTACCCCGCCAGCGCCGTGCTGATCACTAGCGGGCAGCCCCCACAGTCGAGCTCGACCGTAGACGTGGCCCACTGCTCGTACTGCGTCGTCATGCTGCCCGCGCTCTGCGGCGGCTGTACCACGAAAGTCGTCGGGCACGACGCCACATCGTCGAGGCCGTCCCGGGCGTCCTTCTTCCCCGGCCCGCGCCTCGGTCTTGCCCTGGGATTGGTGGTGGTGGTTGCGCTCCCGGTCGGGACGGACGTGATGGTGGCGGGATGAGCAGGCGCCGGTCGCGACGGGCTAGCCGCGGCGTGGAAGCCTGCGCCGGTAAATGCTGGATCCCTCGCGTCCAGGGCTGTCGACGGCGCGCACACCGTGGACACCGTCGTTGCGGGCGTGAGGACTGTCGTCTGTCTGGTTTCCGTCATCAGAGGGCAGTAATATATCTCCTTCTTCACGTAGACGTCGGAACATCCGTTGCAATCGACGTGCGTATAAAGAGTGCTTGTTGATGGGTGAATCGTCTGGATCTCATTAAGGGTTATGCATGGATTAACCCCCGATTCAGAAATGGTCGTTGTGCACTCCCTGGCTGGACGCCTTGGCCAGACAGCGCCCTGGGCTCCTTGGACATTTGTGACTCCTTCCGGTTCCGACACGGCATCCCTGCGGAGATGGTTGAAGAACAGAGGCCCGTCTGCCTGCGACTCGGGGATGACCACAGGTGAGGACAGTCCCCGAGACAGAACGACAGCCAGAGCCACAAGTCTTGTTAGCTCCATGGTGAGCTGATGCGCGCGGGTGTGTGTATCAGATGACAGTCAATAGCTCTCCAGCTCGCCTGGTAAGTGCTGAATATGGTGTTTGAGTCTGTTCTCCACTCCAGCCCCTCGAACCTCTAGGTTGACTCAGCCCAGATCTATATATAATGGCTGGGGCGGACACCAGCGTCGCGGTGCCTCGGACACAGTGCCGCCGAGTCGGGCAGGCTGGATGGGTCGGAGCAGAAAATCACGAGAGTGGCTGGCGAGCCAAGGTTGTGGTATCCATGGGAGCGTTGCAGTCGCGTGGCAGGGGCATCTCAGATGGTGGTGTAGAGGGTGTAAGGGGTGTAGGGGTGTAGTTCGTACAGGAATGTGCTGATGCGATCCAAGTGACGTCTGCCTTGCTCGAGCTGGGTGTTACCAGCGTCTGCAGGAGGAAGTGGGCGGAAAGTCGACTTAAACCGGGGGATGGGCTGCAGATGGGGGCCCTTGTCAAGTCCAAAAAGGACGCCAGTCGAGGTCCGGTGGCAGTGCGGGTTAGGGAGAAGCAAGACCAGGATGGACCTACCTGGGAGACGAGAGCGGGTTGCTATTTCCCATCTCGAAGCCCCCACCTGTTGCTGAGAGGCGGACGCACGTGAATGGAAAGAGCGACGTGACAGTGACCTGGGCAATTTACTCATAGAGGAGAACGTCGGTGGAAGGTACCATGGAAAGATGGAATCAGGATCCCATTGGCCGGCTAAATTTGGCTGCAGAGGCCCCCAATCTCCATGTTCGCCCGGATTAATCAAATAACATATTAAACCACCCCTTCTCGTGGCCAGGCGACTCTTGTACTCCGCGGACCCGAAAAAGGACAAACCGTCGCACGTCGCATCGCTTCGGATTAGTCCAAGGCGGAAACACCCAGGTGGTTTTGTGGTCGGCAGGGGTTGGCAGGGGTTGGATGAGGATTGCCTGGGTAACCTGTGCACTTCCGACTGCCGCCAAGCCTTTCGCCGATCGATGATGGGAAATGGGAAGCCTGCCTGGCATTCAACATGGACATGGATGGTTAACCTGGACTATTACAAAGTTCGAGGCCCCCTGGACTGTGAAGGACGGTACCTAACTAGGTAGCTAGCCCACGTGGGAAAAGAAGACAGGGCACTTCTCATTCAGCGCCTTGAAGCAGTGCAATGTAGTATAGCCGCCCAACACCCTAGCCGGCACGAACACCACAGGCGATCAACGTATTCCTGTTGTAATTGTACACCATAAGACATACCGAGACAGCCACTTTTCCTCTCTACCCTACGCACAGAGGCGATACAAGATAAAATACACACAAGCCGTCAATAGCCGGGGTGGGCATAGCCGACCAAAGGATCCCAGCCGGTCCGACGGATCCGACCTTTCCCAGATATGTATAGTTGGGTCTGAAGGCAACGAACGAAGGTCTAGGCAGTGTAACGGGTGCCTTCAGCACCAGCCGAGTTTTCCCAAATTGCGTATATAGACGAAAGGCGAGCGAGCATCAACGTCCCGCCGGAATGCTAAGCGTCAGGAACCAGGAGCCGGCCAAGGGGATGGTGGATGTGACGGTGTGGGTGGTGGTGTGGGTCCCTGTTCCGCCTGGCCGGGCCGCTAAGGAAGACCAAGGGCACCCGGCCACGGTCGCCGTTCTCTCCGCGAGAATGGTGATGGTGGTGGTTGGGCGCACTGCCACGGGTCCCTGCCCCCCGACCCTGAAAGTCTCCAGGGCAAGGGAGGGTCCGCAGTAGGTCGGGCACCAATGCCTCACCGACTCCGTGACAGTCGCGGTCCAAACGTAGCGCGTCAGGGTGCCGTCGTGGTTGGTCGGCGCGGGGAGGACTGGCTTGACGGCCTTGCAAACGGTCACTGTCGGGTCTGGGACGAAGGCAGTTGAAATTGGGTCTTCGGTGTTGACGACGGTCACTGTGATCTGCGGTTCGAAAGGAATCCAGTCTGGATCCCCGGGCATCGTAGTGGGCCCTGAAGGAGAACTGATCCGGGGCTGGACTCCGGGCTTGCCACCCCAAACAACGCCGTCCGTGATGCGGGGCTCGGCTCGTGTCTCGGCCCCAGGTGAAGCGGGAAGCCCGCTCAGGGTCCCGCAGATTTCTGAGTAGTTTCCCGCCATAGAAAGGCGACAGAACTCCAGGATGTCCATGATAATATCATCGCCGCCAAGTCCATTCCGGGTGGGTGCGTCGACCTCGGCGTTCTGACTGGCTATATCCGTAACATCTGGGCGCTTGGTGGGACGAGCGGTGTAGTTGGCAGATGCAGTTTCAATGAAAGGATGGGCGAATGCTGCGGAGGCGAGCGAGAGAGCCAGAAGGCTGTTGAGGGCGGCGCGGACCATGATCGTGACGTTGCAGCTGGAAGGAGTCCAAAGGCCGGTTCTGCAGAATTCGATACAATGTATGTCGTGGAGAAAAGCAGGATCTGTTAAGGGAAGCCAAAGTCGGTCGATGTGCCGTGGGTAGAATGAGAGAATGGCAGTTACGAAGGACGAGGGTGAGCGTGGGTGCCTGCCTGGCGATGGGAACCTACCTACCTAACCATATAGGTATTAGGTAGGTATGAAGGTAGCTCTGGCGCCAGCCACTATGGAAAGGCAAAATGATACAATTTAGCACACCTGTATCTCCGCTGTGATAGTACAAGAGCGACAAGCCTGTTACATACCAGGATGAGGCTAGACCTCTATTCGAAAACCGTGCAAACCGTACGGCGAATATCTAAGGAGAATGTGGCGCATACTGAAGCTTAGGAGCCAGAGATGGACGACATGTGAGCTGTCCAGGAAATGGTCAAAGCATACCCATCCTCAGTTGGCGCCGACGAGGTCTACGTTGCCGAAGTTGAAATTGAAGTTCAGACCTTCGTATATTGGCTGTAAGTAGGTTGTCAGTAGGCCTGGCGACGGCGGACGAACGGCGGCGTGGCAGTGGCTAGACGAAATGAATGGGGAGGGGGGTCGACATGAAAGCTCTTGCACTGACCGAGTCTTCCCAGTCCCACTCGCTGTCCATCCCGAACCCGAACCCGAGCCCGATGTCGCCAAGCCCCAAGCCTTCGCCCGTCGCACCTCCAAGCTGCTCCGCCGAGCCGGCAGCGGGCTCCTCGCCAAACCCGTCCGGCGTCGTCTGCTCCCCTGCCAACTCCTTCAAGAGGTCCCAGCAGCGCGAGAGCGACTCGCCCACGCTGTGAAAGGTGATCCGCGATATCTCGGCATCGCTGGCCCCGCGCTGGAGTGTCTCCAGCTGCGTCAGGAGAGCCTTGACGAAGATGTGGCCCTTGACGTTGGTCTCGCCGGAGCGGATCCGCCTCTCCGTGTAGCCAACCGAGTACTTCACCGCGTCGAGCAGCTCGGCTCGCGGCGCCGCTCCGCTGCCCATCCCGGCAGATGAGTGCAGGTCTGCGTCGACGGCGGACCCCGGTCGGTCGAGCTGTTGATCCATGTTCATGCTCTGCCGGAATGACCGGTCCTCGAGTCCCTGCCATAGCAACTCGAGTGCCAAAGTCATCATAACTTGCATCGGCACCGACCGGAAGGCGCCGGCGCCCGATATCGACAGCCGCACAAAATCATCCGCTGGGTTCGCTACGCCTGACTCGCCGACAGATGACGAGGTGGCGTAGCCGCGATGCAGCTTGAGTGAGGTCTCCACACACATCTTCCTGGCGAAGTAGTAGGCGGGATTTTGCTGTGCCAACCCGAGCCACGGGTGATTTAGCGCGAGGAAGAAGCGATGGACCATGTGCTCCGCCAACCTAAGCTGGAAGAGCGAAAGGCGTCTGGGCAGCACGCCAGCGGGGTCGTAGGCAGGTTGCAGAACAGCCGACAGCGCCCGGCAGGCGATTGACAGTTCCGAGTTCCAACGGAGAGTCTCGTCATAGGTGGCTGGAGAGCGGAAGTCGTTAACAAACTGGGCGATGGCGAGTCTCGTGGGGAAGGACCGCAAGAGGGTTATCTGAACAGTTGCTTGAGTGAAAGAGTTTGTAGGCCTTGGCACAGTGGTAAACTGGTCATCCTCGGTGAGCTGTTCGTCGTCAAAGTTCGACGGCGGTTGCGTATCGAAGTCTTTCAGCGATATCAGGGGTGGCCCGCCAGAATCGATGCTGGACTGTAGACCGATCTCCAAGATGCTTGCCCACAATCGTCTTCGTAGCTCGGCCCTCTGTGTGGACATCTTGGGAAGGTTGTCCGGGTCACGGTGGAATCCCATGTATATAGCGGTCCGCATAAGGGACCCGGCAGAGATCCAGGTGAGGTCGCCGCCGACCCCACAAGCTTCGCGACCCAAGTGCAAGAGACACCTGATCTGTAGGCCGGCGAGGTTCATTCGAGACTTCTGCGACGGCATCACGAGCCAGAACTGGGCCTCATAGATCCATTGGCAGGCCATCTGTCGGAGAGAAGCGACGTTGTCCTGGAAGCATGTACCTATTGCCATGCAAAGCTGGAATTGGATGATGAACATCTGGCTCGCACTTTGTGGGTTCTCCCAGTATCTCTTATATTCCTGCCAGAAGGTGGGAACATGGAGAACCCTGTAGACCGTCTCAAAGGTTCTAAAGTATGCGCTAACAAGTTCATAAGCAAGCCTTTCGGGGGGGATGTTCTTTCCATATCCCGCTGAGAACTCGGCCGGAAGGCGCTGCGATTTGATGGACCGGGCTATGTTTTTACACTTCAGAGTTTTATGGTAATAATCCGAGGTCTTATCTTTTTCAAGTCTCTCGGCCATGCCCACGATTAAAGGGAACTGGTAATATGTTAGAGACGAACGTGGAAGACATGATGCATTGGGAGAGGGGGCAAAAACATAAGAAACGACAAACTGGCGACTTGAGGGAATGTTTGAACGACTATATAGCAGGATAACGTCTCGAGAAGACTCACAAATCTCGCCACATTCATCCAATGGCTCTTGCCAAAGTATCTCGTCTTAGCCAGGACGCCGTGGACGTTTGACGGCTCCGCATCTGCAAAATGGGCTGGCCGAATATCGCTCGAGCCGCCTTGGCGCTTCAAAGTATCGGCTAGCTGCTGCTCTAGCTGGCAGACTCGCTCAGCCAGCGACACGGCGGAGCTCGCAGTCTCCCCCGAGAGGTGGGTGGCGGGAGTGGGGGCAGGCGTTGTCTCGGAGGCCCGGCCGCTCAAAACCGGCAGGGACGTTCCCGAGACGGCGGGAAACTGGCCGGAGTGACTCCCGTAAGTCTGGTCCATCGCGCCGAAGCGGGGAAGGGCGGTACGCTCCTCGGCCGAGCCCTGACCGGCCGGTCCCGGCGATAACCTCCATAGCCTTGGCTTTGGCCGACGGGCCTCCTCGAAGGTGCAATTTACGATCTTGGACTTTATGCAGCTAGCGCACGGCTCATTTCGATCGCAGCGGATCTTCCGGGAGCGACACTGGATGCATGAGAGGGCCGGCCTGTTGCGTTTCCGCCGCTCCTGCGTGCTAGACGGACTTGACCCGGTTTCGGCCTCGAGCTCCATTTGACTGGGGGGGTTAAAGGGGGAAGGGTTTCCGTGTGGCAGCTTATCAGATGATCAGATTAAGCCCGCTTATGGTTGGTTCACAGCCTGGAACGGATGTGCTTTTGACTTGGGAAATGTTGGGATTCGGTCTTTGGAGGGGCTTGCGTCAACAGTAAGTCGATTTTTCGGGCGAGGTCGGGGATTTGGCGTGACACGAGCCACCTAAAAGGGTTATCCCCGAACGCGGCGCCCCACTTCCATGAGGATGGGAGGATGAGGTGGACTAGCTCGGTCCTACGGATCCGACCGGCCACCGGTGTTAACTGGGTCGATCCTTCATCCAAGAGTTGGCTCTCTCCTATTGGTACGCTACATCTCGCTGGCTGGAAGATGGTGGTTGTGCTCATATAGCCTTGTAAGTGGTTCGTCATCAATCTCCGTGGTCGTCCGCTATGGCCCGAAGATTCGCAGGCTGTGGTGACGGTGCTGCCGGGGACCGGACGGGCAAATATTATATTATTGTCAGCGTCGCCATGAAGCTGAACGGTGTATCTGCTCCATTCGCCTTCTCAAAGCATGTTCTGAACCATATACCCTTGCCCTTCGACACAAACTTGACCGACCGCTTCGATCTCAACCCCTGGCGGGATTAGGAGACGCGATAGATAGCAGAATCATTGATACAGATACCCCTTTTTCTCCTCAATATGTCTGCAGAGCCAAAGTTCCCTGAAGTCCCACTGGGCACCCTGGAACAGCATGATCCCGAGAAGTCTCACCCAACATCGACCAGCTCATCGCACCACGCTGTCGACACGATCGAGGCCAAATCCGACATCAGCGACTTCCCGGAGGGCGGCGCTAGAGCATGGATGGTAGCCGCCGGCACTGCCAGTATCCTGTTCTGCACCCTCGGCTATACCAACTCCTTCGGCATATTCCAGGCGTACTACATGGAGAACCAGCTCCGGCACGAGACCCCTGACAGGATTGCCTGGATCGGCTCACTGCAGTCCTTTCTTCTGTTTGCCTCAGGGTCTGTCGGAGGCCCCTTGTTCGATCGCTATGGTCCCAAAGTAAGCCCCTTTCTTCGACCTGCCCCAAACAAATAAGGATACTAACCGTCCTCTCAGGTGATCTGGCCCGCCGCGATCCTCTACATCTTCGCCATAATGATGACCAGCCTCTGCAAGGAATACTGGCAGTTCATGCTGGCCCAGGGTGTCCTGACCGGCATCGCCAACGGCCTGCTGATGTTCCCCTCCATGGCTGCGACGCCGCAATACTTCAGCAAGAAGCGCGGCGCAGCCATGGGCATCGCGCTCGCGGGCTCGTCGCTCGGCGGCGTCATCTTCCCCATCGCCCTGGCCAAGATGCTAACCGAGTCGACGCTCGGCTTCGCCTGGTCCATGCGCATCTGCGGCTTCATCATGATCCCCTTCCTGGCCTTTAGCTGCGTCGCCATCCGCGCCCGGCTGCCGCCCCGCGACACCAGCTTCTTCCTCCTCTCGCCCTTCCGGATCCCGCTCTTCAACACCCTCATCATCGCCGAGTTCTGCCTCATGATCGGCATGTTCAGCCCGCTCATCTTCCTGCCCTCCTTCGCCATCCAGATCGGCGTCGACCCGGCCCTGGCCTCGTACCTGGTCGCCATGCTCAACGGCGCCTCCATCTTCGGCCGCATCCTGCCGGGCTTCCTGGCCGACCGCTTCGGCCGCCTCAACATGCTCGCCGCCGCGGGGGCCACCACGGGCATCCTCGTGCTCGTCTGGCCCCAGGTCACCGGCACGGCCGGCGTCGTCGCGTTCGCCGTCTTCTTCGGCTTCTGCTCCGGCGCCATCGTGTCGGGCGGCTCCGTCGCGCTCTCCATGTGCCCCGAGGACCCCAAGGAGACGGGCACGTATCTCGGCCAGGGCATGGCCTTCGCGTCGCTGGCCGCGCTGGTGGGACCCCCCGCGACGGGGGCGCTGCTGGAGAGGTACGGGGGTTACGTCCAGATATCCATCTTCGGGGGCGTCCTTACGTTGGTTGGGGCGGCCCTTGCATTTGCGTGTAAGATGGCCACCAAGAAAGGCCTCTGGGGTAATATCTAGGGAGGATCTGTGTGTGCATCAACTACATCAAAAAGGAGCTGGGGTAGCGTGGGATAGATGTTCTCGTCGTGGCAGAGGGTAAGATAGAATGTGCACGGCGCCCTTCTGATTGCTTATACACGGTAAAAAACTGGCGGTATGTCATAAATAGATTGGCTCATGGCAACTCTTCTCTGGGCATTTACAGGGGGGATAGAAGGAGGTGGGAAACGAGTAAGATCGATAATCATAATATAGAGAATAGTCGATAAAAAGACACCAGCATCTGGATTCGAGACGCCACAGGAAATCTGACGCTTGTCAGGGTGGGCGTGGGCGCCAACCCAATGTAGAAGGGATGATACCAGTGGCAATTTTCTGGAGTTCACATTATGTAGCGAGGCTGCTTGTTTCGATCGTGGGCATAGATCACTCTCAGGGATACCATCACAAACCAACTGGATTAAAGAGAATAATGATATGCCAAACAAAGACCATCGTACATAGAGACAGAGATTTCTGTATTCCGCCGAAATGCGGCATTACTCGAAGGAAGTCAGTCATTGTACAGGGATATCGAGGGGATGCCGGTCCGGCCTGCTCGGTTTTCTCCTCGGTCCAGTGGAGCAATCAAGCCATCGTCCGCGTAAGAACCACTCATTTTAGGAGACTCCCTCCCCAACACCTGCTTGGCTTCCTGCTACGCATGTCTATCGAGGCTTTCAAAGCGCCTGATGCGCCCAGCCGTTGGTTCCCCAATCCAACGATGCGTTGATCGGAGAGATATTGCGTTTACAGGAGAAACTCCAACGGGTTCTCGACCACCTTCTTGAGCTCGCGCATCCACTCGGCACCAACGGCACCATCGATCACCTTGTGGTCGAAGCTGGCGGTGACAACGATCTGGTCCTCCCACGCAACACCGGTCGTGCCATCCTCATTCTCGACGGGGACAGCAACCTTCTGTGTGGTGCCGACGGCCAGGATGGCAGCTTGTGGTGGGTTGATGATGGCGGTGAAGCGTTCGACCGCCGGGTTCATGCCCATGTTGGAAATGCTGATGCTGCCACCCTGGTACTCCTCGGGCGTGAGCTTGTTATCGCGGGCCTTCTTAGCCAGCTCCTTGACGGCGGCCGAAATGCTCTCCAGGCCCTTTCCTTCGACGCCCTTGACGATGGGAGTGATGAGACCGGACGGGGTGGCAACGGCAACCGAGACATCGACGGTCTTGAACTGGCGGATAACACCGTCGCGCCACGAGCTGTTGACGGTGGGAACCTTCATGCAGGCGACGGCCATGGCCTTGATGAGGAAATCGTTGACCGAGAGCTTGTACTTGCCGTTGGCAGTGCTGTTGAGTGCCTGTCGGAGCTTGAGCAGCTTCGATACCGAAAGGTTGGCGGAGACGAAGTAGTGCGGGTTCTCGCTGACAGACTCCTTCAGCCGGTTTGCGATGGTCTTCCGCATGGCACTGGTGGGGACGTCCTCGTACAGAGCACCGGCAGCCGCACCGGCACCAGGAGCGGACGCAGCCTTCTTGACGTCTTCCTCGGTGATCTTGCCGCCGGAACCGGTGCCCTTCAGACCGTCCAGGTTGACGCCCTTCTCGATAGCTAGGCGCTTAGTGGCAGCCGACATATTCGGCTCGCGGTCGAGGGAGGTCTGCAGTTTGCCAGTGGAATCGGTCTCCTCAGGCTCGGGTGCCGGCGTTGGCGCCGGCGTCGGGGTAGAGGATGGTTTAGACGACTCCTCCTTGGGAGGCGGGGGGGCTGCCTCGCCACCAGCATCCTTGAGGGTGAAACCCTCAAAGGCGCTGACGTCGGTTCCCTCCTCGACAAGGACTGCGATGGGCTGCAGGTAGAGGCTTGGTCAGTGCCTAGACCCAACGGGCAAACGGCAAGGGGGACAGTGACTTACGTTTCCGACGGGGATATCCTTCTCGCCAGTCTCCTTGAGAATCTTGGCAAGCACACCCTCCTCCTGGAACTCAAAGTCCATCTGGGCCTTGTCTGTTTCGATCTCGACAAGCACCTCGCCCGGAGCGATGGTGTCACCGGGCTTTTTCTGCCACGCGCCAATGTTTCCGGCGGTCATGGTTGGGGAAAGAGCCGGCATCTTCACGACGGTGTGCGGCGGGTATGAGGCGTACCATCTTGCCAGGCTGTAGGGAATCACAACTCTGGCTGTCCTGCATTTATGAAGGACTTGCCTTCGGAGCACTGGTGCGAGCATTCTGGATAGGGTGGGCGAAAACAGGTGGGAAAAAAATAGCTCTCTACTGGGATGGTGGAGGGCACCAGCGGTATAAAAAAGAACGGATTGCTCCCAATGATCGGACACACGAGAGACGTGGTATGGCTCGTCAAGCGTCCTCGGATCGATTGGAGAGTCAATTGAAGATGGACGAAAGACAATTGAGGAATAAGGCGGAGCGTCAGGGGAGAGAAGGGCGAATTGATGGTGACGGTGATTTGCGCCGCTCGCTGGGGCCAGTTTTTTTTTGCGTGGGAATTCTCGTTGGGAAGCTCCGTTCCAGGTCCGTCGGGGGTCGTTGCTGGTCACAGCTCTGCTGCGCTAAACCTTTTTGGGATTAGCCACTCCCGCCAAAATTCGTTCACCCGTCGTACCTCCGTCTCATGGAAACATCGGATGGATCCATTCTTTAACAGGCCGGGATCAAATGCCAGGTCATATGCGTAGGTACTGCATTTACGTAGCTATATGGCGAGATAGAGACTCAGGGCCACCCAGAATACCCAACATTGAGAGTTCAGTTGCCTTCAATTGCAGTCTATTCGTGTGCATCCGTCTAAAACCTATTGAGAACTGCCCTTTGCCTTCCGCACCTCGACATTACCGTCTTGCAGACCAAAGTATGCCGCTACTGGCTTCTGAGCCCCAGCACCATTAACAATCTCGTCCCCATTCTTGCCATGGAACAACCCGATCTCAACAACGCCGACAATACTGATCAACCGTTGCGCCAACGAATCTACCGTCCAGGTCCCCTCCTTTCCATCGCTCATGTCCTTGGCCAGTAAAAGGGGCGTGAATGGGGCATCAATGATCAGCATCCCGTTGTCGGTCACAACAGGCCCAGCCTTTCCCGGTAATCCTGGGCGGATGCGGGGGTTGATCGAGCCCATCAAGGTGAGCTCTGCTAGAACCCTCCCTGCAGCCATTGGTAGGACTTCGATTGGCACTCCCTGTGTCCAGACGGTGCCTAGCCGCGGTGATATCTTCCGGAAGTCAGCCACGCAAACAAACTTCCTCGCACTGGCAGCAACGATCTTCTCCTGCGTCAGACAAGCGCCTCCGCCCTTGATAAGGTTCAACTCCTCATCAACCTCATCAGCTCCGTCAAATGCCACATCTAGCACCTCGCCAGCGGGAAGGTCTTGTATGTAGGCGAGGCGAAGGCCGGCTTTGAGAATCAGTTGCCGCGACTGCTCGCCAGTGGGGTAAAAGCACATCTTTGAGGTGACCTCAGTGCCAATGGCCGCAATGGCTTCGACCACATAGACGACAGTGCTGCCGGAACCAATGCCGACATGACGGTACAAAGGCTGCAGATAATCCTCTACCGCCTGAAAGGCGGCTGCACGTTTGGATTTCTCCACTAGCGCCGCTTGCTCTTTGACAGTGAGGTTTGCTGCTGATGCTGACATGGTCCCTCTGGAAAGCCTGAGGCTTTTGCTGCTGAGAGAGATGTGTTGCTGAGAAGCTCGAAGTTTGGGACTTGAGAATGGTGATGATTTGCCTGGAATAGAGGACTGATGGTAGGTCTGACAAGATCGATAAGATCGCGGAGTCGTGGAACAAATCCGGGTTCTCAGTAAGGCCACTTCAAGCCCAATTGCTGTCTTCCTCTGCAGAGACATAGATTTGAGTCATTTGACTTGGGGTTAATGCTATGCGCAGGACAATATTTAGTGTAATCCCTGCTTGATTATCTAATTGATTATAGAATTTCTGTGGTTGCATCACGTCCTCTTTCCATTGGCTGATAGACGCGTTTCGTTCCTTGCAGTGCATATCACATGACACAAAGGGCTGCAGGCAGTGTGAAAGGAAGGAAGCTGAAAGAATATAGGTGCAGGCTCAGAGTAAGTAGAATGAGTCTTTTCTGTGGCAACCTTCAGACTCAACAAAGATGGGTCTATGATCTTTAAGAAGTAATGATACAGACAGATTCGGTAATTTGGTGCTTCCCTTGCGGCCTTGCGGCTAACCACAGCTCGCTCTGTCTTGAAATTTCATTGGCTGCTTGGGCAGAGGTTACAGCTAGCTTTGTGTGACTTATCGGACTGCGTAAGCTGAGGTGAAGGTTCCACTTTTTCGGTGGAGGCTTTTTGCGCTTCTCGCTATCGACGAGTGTCAACTTCCAATCCATAACTCCAGTTTATCCGCGCCAGTGAGGCTGCGAATCTGGCAGCCTTCCTTTTCTTTCACATGATAAAGCTGCTGGTTTTACAGGACATCTGTCCCAGACTTTTGCAGTAATCCGGGCAGGCGGAGAGTCTCATCGGCCAGCACCCAAGAAACCCCCCGCGCTGATCGATCTCGGTCCCTTTTCTCGTCTCCGATCCCTCCGCCGATGCCCACTTGTCCTCCCTTACGCACACCATGACCTCCCTCAAATTCATGGTGTCCTCTCTGGACATCATTGCAGCAAACTCTGGCAGGAATAAGCAGTTGGCCGAACTTGTCCAGAAGGCACTCGCCGCCGTCGAGAAGAACGAGAACGAGCTGCCAGATCCCGAAGTCATCTTCGCTCCCCTCCGACTAGCCACCAAATCCGGCACCATTCCACTTGCCACCACAGCACTTGATTGCATTGGCAAGCTTATATCATACTCCTACTTCTCTGCCCCCGACGCCGATGGCTCTCCAGACCAGGATGGAGGAGCCACGCAAGCACCTCTCATCGAGCGTGCCATCGACACCATCTGCGACTGCTTCCAGGGCGAAACCACCTCCGTCGAGATCCAACTACAAATAGTCAAATCCCTCCTCGCTGCCGTCCTGAATGACAAGATCGTCGTACACGGTGCTGGGCTATTAAAAGCAGTCCGACAAGTCTACAATGTCTTCCTCCTTTCCAGGAACACGGCAAACCAGCAAGTCGCTCAGGGAACCCTGACCCAGATGGTTGGAACCGTGTTCGAACGGGTCAAGACAAGGCTTCATATGAAGGAGGCCCGTTCGAGCCTCGGAAAGCTGAAGGATAGTACCAGCAACCTCACTGTCGACCCACTCGAGTATCAGAATGGCCAGGTCACAAATGGCGACGGCGACGATCCGGGAGAGGCGCATTCGGATGCTACTCCTTCTGAAACTGCAGCTAGTGGGGCCGGCAAGCTCACCCTCAAAGACCTGGAGCACAGGAAAAGCTTCGATGACTCGAACTTGGGCGACGGCCCAACCATGGTTACCCAGCTGAAGCCGTTGAAGAAACCAACGAGGTCGATCTCCGAGCAGACCCTGCCCGAAAATGGCCAAGACGAGACGTCCGATGCGCTCGATGCTGAGGATGAAGTGTACATCCGAGACGCTTACCTTGTCTTTCGGTCCTTCTGCAACCTTTCCACCAAAGTCCTCCCGCCAGATCAGCTCTTCGACCTGAGAGGCCAACCAATGCGGTCGAAGCTCATATCGCTCCATCTAATACACACCCTCCTGAGCAACAACATCTACGTTTTTACCTCACCCCTATGTACCATTACCAACACCAAGAACAACGAGCCGACCAACTTCCTTCAAGCCATCAAATTTTACCTTTGTCTTAGCATCACACGAAATGGGGCCAGCTCGGTGGATCGGGTCTTCGAGGTTTGCTGTGACATCTTCTGGTTGATGCTGAAGTATATGCGAGCCCCATTCAAGGTACGCTGATTTCCCATGGCATTGGTGTTGTTGTCGGTGTTCTTGCCCCTGGCTGACTTGTGCCCTCCAGAAAGAGATAGAGGTCGTCATGAACGAGATCTATCTAGCCCTTCTTGCTCGAAAGAATGCGCCGCTGTCTCAGAAGATGTATGTTGTTGGCATGCTTAACAGGTTTTGCGGAGACCCACGAGCGCTGGTGGAGACGTACCTGAACTACGATTGCGACAGAAACGTGGACAACATCTTCCAGACCATTGTCGAGGATCTCTCCAAGTTTGCGACCTCCCCGGTGACGATTCACCCGATGCATGAGCAGCTCTACGAAGAGAGGCACTCCAGGTCAAACACTGGCAGTGACTGGCAGCTCAGGGGGGTCTTACCACCCCCCTTGTCGGTCGCACACATAATTCCCCACCACGAGCACGAGACCGAGATACCCAGGGAATATATGATGAAGCGGGCTGCCTTGGACTCCCTGGTCGAGACTCTGAGGTCCCTCGTCAACTGGTCACAGCCTGGGCGGCCCGAGTCCCACGCTGCCACTCAGGATTCCGAGAGAAGGCTGTCGGGAGATGAGGTTAGGGAGTCGATCGACCCGTCAGTGGGTGACAGTTTATCACGCATGGATACTCCTGTTCTCCCGTCAACCCCTATTTTAGACGACGATCCAGAACACCTGGAGAAGGAAAAGGCTCGGAAAACTGCAATGACCAATGCCATCCGTGCATTCAACCAGAAACCCAAGAATGGCATCAAGCTGCTGCTGAAGGAGGGCTTCATACCGAGCGACAAGCCCTCTGACATTGTCGCCTTCTTGATCAGCGAGGAGCGATTGGACAAGGCCCAGATCGGCGAATATCTTGGTGAAGGTGAAGAGAGGAACATCGAGATCATGCACGCATTCGTGGATACCATGGACTTCACCAAGAAACGCTTTGTAGATTCGCTCCGTCAGTTCCTCCAGTCCTTCCGGCTACCGGGCGAGGCACAGAAGATCGACCGTTTCATGTTGAAGTTTGCACATCGCTATGTCATGGGCAATCCCAATGCGTTTGCAAATGCCGACACGGCATATGTTCTGGCATATTCCGTCATCCTCTTGAATACCGACCTGCACAGCAGCAAGGTTGCAAACCGCATGACCAGAGAGGACTTTATCAAGAACAACCGAGGCATCAACGACAATGCGGATCTCCCCGAGGAGTACCTCACCACCATCTACGAGGAGATCCAGGGCAACGAAATTGTCCTCAACAGTGAACGGCAGGCTGCAGCTGCTGCAGGCTCCCTGCCGCCACAGGCAACCGGTCTCGCGGCTGGTCTCGGCCAGGCATTTTCCAATGTCGGCAGGGATTTGCAACGGGAAGCCTACGTTCAGCAGTCTGAAGAGATATCCCTCCGTTCAGAACAGCTGTTCAAGAACCTGTTCCGCAGCCAGCGTCGAAATGCCGAGAAGGCGGGTGCAAAATTCATTCCGGCCAACTCCTTCAAGCACGTCGGCCCCATGTTTGACGTAACTTGGATGTCCTTCTTCTCTGCGCTGTCGAGTCAGATGCAGAAGACGCAGAACTTGGAGGTCAACAAATTGTGTCTCGAAGGAATGAAGCTGGCTACAAAGATTGCGTGCCTGTTCGGCCTTGCCACTCCTAGGGAGGCCTTCATCTCTGCGCTCAGAAACACGGCGAACCTCAACAATCCGCAGGAAATGCAGGCTAAGAACGTCGAGGCTCTCAAGGTGATCCTCGAGCTCGGGCAGACGGAGGGCGACCTTCTGAAGGAGTCATGGAAGGACATCTTGATGTGCATCAGTCAGCTGGACCGGTTGCAACTGATCTCGGGCGGTGTGGACGAGAGCGTGGTGCCCGACGTTTCCAAGGCCCGATTCGTACCACCGGCGAGGGGAGATACAGGCGAGTCCCGGAAGTCTTCCCACTCGGTAAGGAGGCATCGGCCACGCTCAACTACGGGCCCCCAAGGAGTCTCGGTGGAAATTGCGCTCGAGAGCAGGTCCGACGAGGTCATCAAGAGCGTGGACCGCATATTCACCAACACGGCGAACCTCTCGGGCGAGGCAATCGTGCACTTTGCGCGCGCCCTGACGGACGTGAGCTGGGACGAGATCAAGGTCTCAGGCTCCAACGACTCGCCTCGCACCTACAGCTTGCAGAAGATCGTCGAGATCAGCTACTACAACATGACGCGTGTCCGGTTTGAGTGGACCAACATCTGGGATGTACTGGGAGACCACTTCAACCGAGTGGGATGCCACAGCAACACGGCAATCGTATTCTTCGCCCTCGACTCGCTCCGGCAACTGTCGATTCGGTTTATGGAGCTGGAGGAGCTATCCGGGTTCAAGTTCCAGAAAGACTTCCTCAAGCCGTTCGAGCACGTCATGTCCAACTCGAACAACATCACGGTGAAGGACATGGTCTTGCGGTGTCTCATCCAGATGATTCAAGCCAAAGGAGAGAACATCAGGTCCGGGTGGAGGACAATGTTTGGCGTTTTCACTGTCGCTGCAAGAGAGCCATACGAGAGCATCGTCAACCTGGCTTACGAGAATGTCACGCTGGTTTACAAGACGCGCTTTGGGGTCGTCATATCCCAAGGAGCCTTCACAGACCTCATCGTGTGCCTGACCGAGTTCTCGAAGAACATGAAATTCCAGAAGAAGAGCCTGCAGGCTATGGAGGCTTTGAAGTCGGTCATCCCAAGGATGCTCAAGACACCTGAGTGCCCATTGTCTCAGAAGGGCGGCTCAGCCCCGGACGCCGCCGAGGCCAACGTGACGTCTCCAGGCCCCCAGAGCCGCACCTCGGTGGAAGAGGGCTTCTGGTTCCCGGTCCTGTTCGCCTTCCACGATGTCTTGATGACTGGAGAGGATCTCGAGGTCCGATCTAACGCGCTCAACTACTTCTTCGAAACCCTACTGAAATACGGGGGCGATTTCCCCCCAGATTTCTGGGACATCCTCTGGAGGCAACAGCTCTATCCGATCTTCATGGTTCTCCGATCACGGCCTGAGATGAGCAACGTCCTGAATCACGAGGAGCTTTCGGTCTGGCTGTCGACAACCATGATCCAGGCGCTTCGCAATATGATCACGCTCTTCACCCATTATTTCGACGCACTCGAGTACATGCTCGATAGGTTCCTCGAGCTGCTTGCCCTGTGCATCTGCCAGGAGAACGACACGATTGCGCGGATAGGCAGCAACTGCCTCCAGCAGCTGATCTTGCAGAACGTGACCAAGTTCGCCCCGGAGCACTGGTCCAAGATCGTTGGCGCGTTTTGCGAACTCTTCGAGAGGACCACCGCCTACCAGTTGTTTTCGGCGACGACCATCAACTCTACCGCATCCTTGTCCGCCCCGCCAAATGGACTTGAATTCTCGGGGCCCCTCAGCCCGACCACAGTAGAGGCCATCTCTGTCGACGAGAAGTCGCTCAGAATCAATGGCACGGAGAAGAACGGCTATGCCTCTGAATCCGAGCCATCGGTACTGCAATCCCCGGGTGCCGATGATGACGCCCTTGCTAGTACGCCCACGGCAACCACGAACTCGACCGGCCTAACTTCGATATCTCAGCTGCCTGTCTCTCCACAGCTTGAAGAGTTCAAACCAAACAATCCCCTTCAGCAGCAACCCGTTGTGGTAACTGCCGCCCGACGGCGGTTCTTCAACCGTATTATTTCCCGTTGTGTTTTGCAACTTCTGATGATCGAGACTGTCAACGAACTTTTCAGCAACGAGGCCGTGTACGCTCAAATCCCGTCGTCGGAGCTTTTACGTCTGATGGCGCTCCTCAAGAAGTCGTATCTCTTTGCAAAACGCTTCAATGGTGATAAGGAGTTGCGAATGCGTCTCTGGCGCGAAGGCTTCATGAAGCAGCCGCCCAATCTCCTGAAGCAGGAGTCGGGCAGCGCGGCGACATACGTGGCGATCCTTTTCAAAATGTTCGCCGACACATCCCCCGACCGCCAACGTAGCAAGGGCGACGTGGAGAACGCGCTGTTGCCTCTCTGCCAAGACATCATTGGCAACTACATCGCCCTAGAGGAAGAGAGCCAGCATCGCAACATCGTCGCCTGGCGGCCGGTAGTCGTGGACGTGTTGGAGGGCTACGCCGCGTTCCCGCGTGAGGCGTTCTCGAGCCACATCAAGAGCTTCTACCCGCTCGTCGTTGAGCTGCTCGGGAAGGAGCTGAGCGGCGAGCTCCGGGGGGCACTGCTCCTCGTGTTGAGGAGGGTCGGCGAGGTCGGCCTCGACATCGAGGGCATGAGCTCCAGTGGTGCGCCGGCAAAGGGGAGTATAGATGCCGGCCGCAGAAGCAGCGTGCTGTCCGCCATGTCGACCGAGGCGGCATTGACGCACAGCATGGACAATGCGAGTGACGATGCGTCGAATCGGTTCCTCGGGAGATAGGGAGTCGCATGTAGGCAAACCCGGGTTTGGGGGGGTATCTTGCGGTCCCAAACAATGTTATAGATAGGGGCTCCTTTTTCGGGATATAGGGCCCGTGCGCGCGCCTTGGTTCTCGATGACTGGGTCTCGAGTGCTTGAGGCGAACTTCGCTTCTCTCTGTTGCATGGTGTATGGTGTGAAAGAACGGGTTAGAGCCACTTTATGTTATGGATGTTGTGTGAATATATGCCCATTCCATCTACCTGATATCAGTCCACAGGCTCTGAGACGTTGAAAATGTGAAATGCCAGTGAGTTTAGCACTGTTGACAGGAATCTAGTAGGAGAGGGAGGTAAGCAACTTTAAGGAGACTAGGAGAAGGGGGTGAGTAAAAAAAGAGAGGAAAAGGGGGGTCTTTCCAGGCAACGTTCTTACATCCTCTGCTCCTGACATTTTCAAGAGCCTGTATGTTACAAAAATGCCCTTCAACTGGCTGGTATCTTTGTTTCGCAATCTATTTCTCATGCAAGTTCCTCTCGGAGACACCCAATCATCCGATATAAAGGCCAACCAACCTTAAAACGCCCAAACCCGAGCACAGGATCATCTCGTGGTATGTACAGTACATACAACAGCTCTTCCCACCAATCGACTCCCCAGCGCAGGAGCTACCCATGTTCAGCCCCAATGCCCACCAGCGACGCGCACCGCCTCCCCGGGCAACACCTCCCGCAGCCACAGGCGCAGGTCGTCGGCCTCCTCGGGGACGGTCCGGTCGGGCAGGCCCAGCAGCGCGGCCCTCAGGGCGGCGCCGCCGTCTTCGTCGGCCGTGGCGCCCCTCAGCAGCGCCCGGAGCGTCTCGACCTTGTACGGCGACCGCTCGGGGGCGACGCGCATCAGGCTCACGAAGCCCTCCATGAACTCGACCAGGTTCAGATGCATGAGCGCGTCGCGCCTGTCGACCATGCGCAGGGCCGCGAACTGCAGGAGGCCCTCGTGTTGTTGGCCGCCGCCGCCTCTTCTTTGCTGATGCTGATCCGGACCCGGCTCCTCGTGGTCGTCATCATGGTCATGGTCGACACCGCCGTTGGTCGCGTGCGTGGGCCTCCCCGCGGCGAAGTCGGACGCCGCCACGGCGTGGAAGTCGAGCACCGCCAGGCGCGGCAGTATGTCCAGCAGGCGGCCCTGCGCGAGCGACAGCTGGTGCCCGTCGGCGGGGGCCGTGCCCGGGTGCCGGCCCGAGCAGATGTCCACCAGCAGCTGGTACGGCTCGCGCGTGCGGAACAGCAGGCGCCACAGCTTGCCCCGCCCGGGAACCCTCCTCTTGACCATGTCTGCGAGGACCTGGTCCTGGCCGCCCTGGGCCTGTCCGGTGCTAGGCGGAGGCGGAGGAAGGGGTGGCAGCTCGCTGTCGGTGTCGAGAAGGTCGCCCAGGACGCGGCGGCCCTTGGCGCCGACCTGCGCGTGCGGGGATAGCAGCCAGCGGCGCAGGAGCTCGGCGAACAGCTGGGGCATGTCTGCGAGGAGGGCGGCGTCGTCGGCTGTGCGGGCGGCCTTCTCGAGGACGGTCATGGCGAGGAGGTTGACCGACGGCTCGGGCGAGCTGAGGGCGTGTATGAGGGATTCTTCCGAGGCGAGGGTGAGGGACTGCGTGAAGGTGACGGGGCTGAGGAGCCTGGTGGCTAGGCTGGCGGGGAGGGCGGGGTCTCGGTCGTCTTGCTGGAGGATGGCGACGAGTTTAGGGAGGAGGAGGGGGATGAGTGGTGGTATGTTGCTCTCTGTCAGCGGCGGTTAGTGAAGATCAGGGCAAGAGGGGAGATGAGGGGGAGGCTAGGTCACCTGTAAGCTGGAGCTGAACATGGTCAAACAGCTTCGCGTCCAGAGCCAGACTTGAGTCCCGCATAAGCTGGTCTAGATGGAGGTCGAGCTCCTCGACGCCGGTGACGGGGATCGTAGTAGTATCCATGGCGGGCGGTGCAGCTCGGGCAGGAAAATAAAGAGGGGGGGGGGAACTTCCTGCTGTTTACTTCAGGAGAAGCTATTGACAGAGACCATGACGGAGAGAGGGGTGAGATCGGCAAGCGGGAGCTGGCTACCTACATAGGTACCTACCTCAGAGCAGTTGTGGGGGGTGGCCAATGCGCACCTACATTGCGGGGCTGCCTACATTCAAGAAGCCCCGCCAAAAAATTCCAGCTCCTTCATCTTTGCGATGCGATGAGTAACCAAGCGATGCATATGTAGCCGCACCAACTCCAACATAGCCTCTCAACAATGTCTCGAGGAGGTGGAGGTGGCAGAGGTGGCGGGCGGGGTGGTCGCCGGGGCGGTCGAGGCGGCATGGCGAATAACCTGCCCTGGGACAATGATCCCAACCTGGAGCTCGATGGCCGACCCTCCGAACTATTCCCAGTAAGTCTTCTGCAGTCAACGGTTGTCCAGGCCGTCCGTCTATTAGTCCCATGCGCTTACATGGCTTCCTTTTTGTGGTAGGAATACAACGTCCCCCAAGCCGCGCCGCTTTCCAAGAAGGAGGAGAGGCAAATCTCCTGCTTCCTTCTCTTCCGCGAACAAGTCCACGATGGACCACTCTTTACCCAGGCCCGGACCTGGAGTCTCGATTCCACCACGCCAGGCCGCGTGTACGGCCAAGACCAGATAAACAAGCGCTACGGCGTGAAGAACAAGGCCACCGTTGACCCCTTCCTGGCCATGCCCACCTATTCCCAGCGCTTCAGCAGGCAGGAGCGGTCCCTGCCCGATCTCGCAAGCCGGCCGTTTGCGAAGGAGTTTTTCCCGCCCGAACTACACGCAACGCTCGAAGGGGCGGACGGGGCCACCGGTGGGGCTAAGCGGCGGAAGATGACCAAGAAAACCCACGCTTTGTCCAACATCACCTCCCTCCGCACCGCCGAGGAGATCTTCCTGCCTGAGGCCGAACAGCAGGGGTTTGGCGATGTGGATGGCCAGAGCAAGGCGTTGCAGATGCTCGACAAGATTGACAACAATGATGAGGGTGCCGACGGCCTCGATCTTGACGACGAGGACGATTGGGTTCGGCCTACCAATGCTGAGGATGGGGAGGATAACGCCGAGGACGAAGACCAGTATGACGACGAGTCGGGAGATGACTACAACGCTGAACAGTACTTTGAGGAGAATCAGGCCGACGATGACTACGATGAGGGAGGTGATGGTGGTGATGATTTCTTCTAGGGCGGCCCTTTGGGCCGAGGAGGGTGGACTGACTGCGATTATCTCTACCCAGTTGCATTGCTAGGAGTTGGGATGGCACCAGAAGAGTCCGGCTTGGATGGACCTTGACCTTTGTTATTATAGAATTTGCATGGTTGATACCGAATTCGATGGCGTTTGTGGGTATGTCAAGCTTGTCAGCCACATAAAGTGTTGCCTCAACGGTTAGCTGTTTGCTTCAGCATGAGTCACAGGGAAAAGCTGTCGATAGAACAAAGCTATAGTGAGGCATGTGCATGCCATTACTGTGATATACATTGATATCTCGTCAGAACAAGCACGCTCGTGCTAATTCCTGCTAACTACCCCTTTCCCATAATAAGAACACTGATTATCAGCGCACCCCGTTACTACCATTCCCCAGCAATTCTCCCAACTGCAGAGACGTCATCCCTTCGCGGGCTCCCCCCACGACCCCGGCGACCTGGAGTATGCTCTCCTCGAAGTCCCGTAATACCGCAGCGAGCTCGACGACCTTCTCATCGGCCCGGTTCTGGACGCCATCCTTGGGCGTCGCGGCCACTCGTTGCAGCTGCTCCAACACGTTCCCCTGGACGGCATGCAAGTGCAACTCGATCTCGGTGAGGTTCCCCTCGAACTTCTTCATCGTATCCCCCATCTCGTCCGCCGTCCTGGAGAAGAAATCCACCAGAACCGAGTTGCTCTCGCCGTCCGCGTCCCCGGCGCCACCACCCGTACCTCCCTGTTGACCCCTAGTCGACCAAAGACCGGCCTGGTGGTACGCCGTCGGCAGCTTGAGGTTGTCGACGGCCTTGAAGGACAGGCGCGCGTTGTCGGCATCCACCTTGACCAGCTCACGCAGCTGCTTGACGGCCACGGCATCGCCCGTCAGCGCGCTCTCGACGCCCGAGGCCTTGCGGCCGACGAAGTTGACGTCGGTGGGGATGCACGACAGCTGCTCGCCGTGCGCCGGCATGAACGCGTCCAGCTCGTTCTTCTGCGCGATGAAGCCCTGGATCGCCCTGTCGATCTCGGCGATCCTGTTCTGGAGGTCCTCCTGCAGGTCGTTGAACCGCGTCGTCGGCCGGATGTTGCTGACGTCGATCCGCACGCCAGGGACGACCTGCTGTTGTTGGGTGGACTGGCCCAGGGTCAGACCAGACCCAAGTACAGACTGGCCGAAGGCATTGGTCTGCTGCGGTTGGGCGGTGGGTTGGTTGAGACTGCCGCTGGGAAATGTTAACACGGACACGGCGGGAAGAGGGTGGTGTAGCTGCTCACAATAGGGATCCACCAGGCCTGTTCTGCCCCAAAGCTCCACCTGTGCCAGCCACGGAGCCTCCGAATAAGCCTCCGGTGGTCTGCTGAGGCTGCTGCTGCTGCTGCTGCTGTAGTTGCTGTTGCTGTTGTTGCTGCTGCTGCTGTTGAGTCGAGGCACCGAAGAGGCCTCCTTGTTGGGCTGGCTGGGTATTCTGCAAGCTTCCAAACATGCCACCACCTTGCTGAGGTTGAGCCGACGTCGTAGATCCGAATAACCCGCCAGGCCTTTGTTGCTGGGTGGCCGTGTTCCCAAACAAACCGCCAGCTTGTTGTTGCGGCTGCTGCTGCTGCTGCGCGGCTGGTGTTGATCCGAACATCCCTCCCGTTTGTTGCGGCTGCGATGTTGCGATCGAGCCAAACAAGCCGCCGGTCTGTTGAGGCTGGGATATCGTCGTGGTCGATCCAAATAATCCTCCCGTTTGTTGAGGCTGGGACAAAGGCTGCGCGCTGCCGAAAAGTCCTCCCGTCCGTTGGGGCTGCGAGGTTGTGCTTCCAAACAGGGATCCGGTCGACTGAGGCTGCTGCGACGTCGACGCCGTGCCAAACAACCCTCCAGACTGTGCCGGCTGAGATGTCGAGGCACTCGTGCTACCAAACAATCCTCCGGCTGCCGGGGGCTGACTCGTGGCACTTCCACTGTAAAAGGGTTAGGGGCGATCTGGATGTCTCAACGAGGTGTCCTGAAAGTGACGACTTACAATAGATTCGCGCCGCTGGTATTGATGCTGAGCCCACCAGGACCGCTGGCTGACCGTGTGAAAGCCATGCTAAAAGTCTCTGGCGCGGATTAGCGCCAACGTGGAGAATGCAATCCGGTTTGGAATGTGGCGTAGCCAATGTTTTCGTTGCTTTGCTTTGTTTGCCTTTATTAGCTTCGAATTTTCTGCCGGCTTTGAGCCTCAGTCGCGTGTGGATAAGGGCGATTGGAGCCGCCAGGGTTTGACCGCCTGCCGCCTCCCACCCGACCTAGGTGAGCCGCGGTCGGATTAACTATGCCACCGACCTCACCCACCTTCCTTGAGCTTGAGCTTAACAGACGTTGATTTCGTTTTCTCAATTCCCTCCACGACACTTTGCGACCGGAATATTCGCCATGGATATCGACGAAGACGATGATTTTTACGCCCCGGAAGAGCCCGATGTTCAACCAACAGCCACTGCAGCAGCCCCTGCAGCCCCGGTAGCTGCCAAAACAGAGTCCCAGAATGACGAGCTTGAAGAAGGCGAGGAAGAGGACGAGAGTGGGGAGATGGACGAAGATGATGATTCAGTAGGTTGGACTTCAATCTCCAGCTCTGGGACAGCCATACTGAACAAAATATAGGACATAGACATCATAACAGAGAGGAAAGACGGCTCCAAACCAGCTCCTCCCTCGTGAGCTTGCCCCACCTTGTCAACCCCACGTTGCGCATTGCGCCCTAACACCATATTAGACAGACACGATACAGCGAAATAAGAAATATCCCACAAAGGTCCACATCCAATGATGCGACGGTGAAGGCTGCGCCCGTCAAGAAAGAAGAGGCTTCCAAGCCATCCACATCTGGGGCGGACCTTCCCGCAGTATCCACGTCCAAAGTCGACGTGAACGCTATTCCCGTCCACAAGCCGACAGGGAAGCCTATTACTCAAGTCAGCATCGACGAAGGTTGGTTTAACTGACGTCTTATCTTGTTTTCTGCTCAGTTTATGCTGATCACGACGCCCTGTAGACCTTCCAGAGAACGACAAGCCCTGGCGCAAACCGGGCACCGACCTCTCAGACTATTTCAATTACGGCTTCGACGAGTTCACATGGGCGCTGTACGCCCAAAAACAGGAGACACTGCGTGGCGAGTACAACCAGGACGCCGTCGCCCAAAACAACAAGAAGATGTTCGAGGAGATGACCAACATGATGATGATGGGCGGCATGATGCCGGGGATGCCAGGCGGGCCAGGAGCAGGCGGTCCGGCGGCGGGCGCCGGCGCCGGGGGGGCGGCGATGCCCGGAATGGACGGCATGCCGCCCGAGATGCAGGCCATGATGCAGCAGATGATGGCGAGCGGCATGGACCCCAGCCAGATGGATGCGGGCGCCATGTCGGCCATGTTCGCCGGCATGCAGAACCCTGGCGGCGCCGGCGGGGCGGGAGCCCAGGGCGCGCAGGGGCAGAACTTCGGCGCCGGCTTTGGCGGGAACCAGGGGCAGGGGTACGGCTACGACCAGCAGGGAATGGGTGGTGGAGGTGGCCGAGGCAATTTCGGCGGAGGGAGGGGTCGAGGAGGGAGGAGGAATTGGTAATGACAGTAATGATATCCCAAAAATTCATTCATCTTCATTAAGTTTTCCCTTCAATTGGCCTCCCTGAGGCCAATTGACTTGTCAATTGACTTGCAATTGAACCCAATGGTACCTATATAAACTCACCAGCATCATCCGTCGGGGATAGTCGACCAGCCTCAAGGGATTTACAACACATTCCCGCTGTCAAACACCATCATCACTTATCTTCATGAGAACAATTAACCTGCCAGATGAACAGGTTCTTTGTTTTGTCACATTTGCACGCCCAATTCATATCTACATCACAGATTCTTTGTTCGACAGGAATCAGTGCTTTGTTCAGTTCCTGTCTATAAATATCGGCCCCGCCTCTCAAGACGAAAAGTTCCAGTTCCTCCAAAACTCCATGGCCCAATGCCTTCCCGGGGTATCTCAAAAACTCCAAGGCTCCATGCATTCCGGGGTATCGTAAAACTCCGAGGCGCCATGCGTTCCAGGGTATCATAAAAAAGCATATCCATGGGCTCTCAATGGCCCAGGCGACAAAACCAGTCAGACTCTAGCAACCATGCCCAATGACCTGATTCCGGATAGTCCCGTGCGCCACAATATGCTTGAGAAAAAATGAAAAACAAAAGAAAAACAGAAGAAAAAGCAATCAGTACAAGACTCCGATGGAGTGAAAACATCCTCAGACTAATCCTGGGTTAAGTCTTTCAGCCAGGAGTACTCATCCTGGCCGAACAAGGGCTCGTTCAAACCCATGTCGCCCCCCAAAAACATTTCACCCAAAGATCCGTCGCCGTATGTCAGGAAGTCCTGAGGGAGAGGCTGTAGGGCAAAGGCGTCAGCGGCAGGCGCGGCTGCAGGATCCTGGAGCTCCGCCTCCGACGTGGCAGCAGCCTCCTCCTGACTGAAAGTCGTGACTGTGTGTTGGTTAGCGACAGGCATCTCAATGCTTGTCAGGGGCAAGGGAGAAAACTTACCGAACGATCCAGCATCTCCGAGCTCAATTTGTCCACCGCCAGCCTGGACACCCAGCTGCTCCTCGACGTCGAGGTTCTCGAAGGCCGTCGAGGGGCTGGGCATGGGGCTGCCAAGCAGGATGGCCGGTGCAAAGACCGTCGACGGACCGGACATGGGGCCCACGTTCAGGACGGCCGGGTCGATGGTGATCGGGCCCAGCCCCTGCGGCCGGATATCGGCGGCCGTGAAGTCGCCGATCCCCTCGTAGGCGACGGCAATCCCGCTGTTCCTCGACGTGTAATGAGCCAAGTTGAAGCCCGGCACGGGCGGGAGGTATGGCAGAGCCTGGTTGCCGCGGCCGCTGCCCACGTCTGCTGGTGTGACCGGAGAGAACTCTCCCGGCGTGCTAGGCGCGGCAGATGGTCCCCTCTGGCTGTCGAGGGCGGGCACCGCAGAAAGGGCGGGCGCGGCAGGAGCTGGGGCGCGGCGGGAGCTGGGGCGCGAGGCAGGGGCTGGGGCCGGGGCGGAGGCAGAGGCCGGGGCGGGGCGTGTGGCTCGGCGAGGGCCGCGGCGCGTGGTCGAACCCGAGGGACCCTGTGTCGGCGCTGATGTGGCCGGAAGCCGGGCAGCCCGTTCCACGGCGGATTGTTGGGGCTTGTTGGCTGCCCGCTCCCTCTGGAGCCGCTCGCACTCCTTGTTCAGCTGGGCGCTACCAGGCTGTGGGGGCGCGATGGTCTCCCCAGAAACGGCATCGACCAGGCTCAGGTCTTCGTTGACCCTGACCTGGGTGTTATTGAGGGCGGCGATGCCGGCCTTCACCTGGACATTTCGGGTCCGGTTCAGATCCTTGTTCTGGATCTTGCGCTGCGAGAATGTCAGGCGCTGTCGAGTTTTAGTTGCCCTGTACTGGGAGAAGCTTACCTTGTACTCCTGGTTGGGAGCCGCTGCCAATCGCCGAGCGAAGTCACTGGTCATCACTCCGTGGACTGCGCCCTTGGAGTGCTGGGATAGTAGTCAGAATTGGCAAGCTGGTTAGAGGTGAGAGGATTGACGAATGCTTACCCTGAAGGCATACTCGATCTTTTCGAACCTTTCCATGAAGGTCGGGAACTTGTCGTAATGCCAGGTCACGCCCCTCCATGAGCCTGCGTGGACAATGCCGTCCTGAGCCTCCTTTGCTGCAATCTATTTTGCTGAGTTAATCAATGTTCGTGGCAAGTTAGCAGCAGATCTAGATACTAACCAGAGTGTCCCAGCAAGCAATCTCGATCTCGAGATTGGCGGCATTCTTTATCCGAGCCACATGAGTGCTGTCGGCTATCCCAGCATCTTCCTGTGGCTCTTCCTCCTCGTCCTCCAACTCACCAGCCTTCCTCTTGTTGGACTTCCTCTTTTGACGAGTATCGTCAATGGCTGACTCGATGTCCGTCATGGCCACGAACAATCGGCGCACCAGTTCGCTCTGGCCCGCAAAATCCGCCGGGAAGTCCGTCGCAGCTGGAACATTTGTCCGCCCCTTCTTGTCATTGAGCGACATGTACTGTTCCTTCACCTCGAGGGCATGCTCAGAGCTGGTGAGGAGGCCCTTGTAGACATGGTCACGGTCTGTAAGGGCCTCCCGAATGTCATCCTTCGAAGGTTGAGCCCCGAGGTTCGTCGTCGGCGGGGCTGGCAGGGCCGGGGCTGGGATGATCGGTGCTTCCTGGGGTCTCAGGTGCGCCAGGTTCTGTAGCTCTGTGAGGAGGCTACGGGGAGGAACGGATTGGAGAAAGCGTCTGATAAAGGCAGAAGCTGGGGCAACTCTCGCTGGGAAGTTGAAGCCCTCGAGAGGTGGAATGTTTCCATTCCTGTCCCGGTGCTGAACAAGCGTGTCTATGACCCCAGTCAGGGCTTCATGGACTTACCAACCGCGGGGAAGGAGATTGTGTGAGACTTACCAATCACCTGGAAGACAGGCGTCTTCGACGCCTCGTCCAGTCCCTGAAGCCAGGTAATCACCTGGTCCACTGTGGGACCGTACGAGGTGGCAGCCTGAGAAGAAGCCATTGCTATATGATTTCGCAGTTAGTAAGACAACCAGTCGTCGCCGTGCCCATTGAGGGCCCCTATCTAGGGAGGGGTAATATCCCATATTGCTGAGGACCATCATTGGCATGCCTCGATATCAATGGGAAGGGCCTGTCGGTAGAGAGGGACAGTTGTGGGAGCATTCAAGGTCTCGAAGAGATAGATGTAGCAATATATTGAAGCACATGTGCTTTGAGTCTGTCACAACTTACCGAAAGACTAGATGGACTGTGAAGAGGTAGAAGGTAAACAGTAACTTTGCCTTGAAAAATCTGTCGACAGATTTGTCGGCAGCCTGTGACAATAACGACCGCGATGGAAGACAGAGACGCGATAAACAAAGGCAAGCTTGACAAGATCAACTTGACAAGATGAGCTTGGCAGCGATGAAGGAATGAAGGCAACAGGGACGAAAGCAATATTACGAATACAATATTGATGAAAACAATATTGATGAGGGTGAACGCGATGGATGAAGATATTACCGATGAACGAAGACGATGAATGAAGGCGATAGTGTTCCAAGGGAAGAAGCGAAGGTCGCAAGCAAGATGGAAAATTGCAAGAAAGTAAGGTCAAGTCCAGCCTGTTGGGTTGAAAAGGTGAGGTTGTGGGAAAAGTGTGGCCAGGTGAACGGGATAGAGGGCCCTATATATACTTGAAGACGGACCCTCTGGCTGATTGTAGAGGGCAGATTGAAGCCTCATTCAATACGTAGGCTCCACTACTCTAGACCGCGGTGAATATAAAATAGCTTCAGTCAACTTGCTCTCAGATCAGTAGACTGACAGGGGTTGGTTAGTTTGATGCCCTTTGGCCTGACTCAACGCTTGGCGTTGTCTCGGTGACGACTCTTGGGAACGAGAGTAGAGTTCGGCCGGGAGGCCATCACTGTCGAGCTTTATATTGGGAGGTTTTCGGGGCTCAAGTACCAAGTCCACCTGTTTACTCGGAGAGACCCCCCTGGGTCCACGACAGAAAGGGGTAAAGTCATCGATAACCGGGGTCTTTAGGATCTAATACGGAGCAAGGGTACAAGTCTACGGTCCCTCAAAATAGCCTGGTAAGGAGGACCAACGACAAAGTTGGCTGAAAACCAAAACACCATGTGCAAATATCGAAACTCGCGACAACTTCGCGTTACGCGTAACGCGCCCCTGAACCCACCACTGAATCACATTAGCGGCTCGACTGACTGAGGCATCTCTCACTCGGTGCAATTGATTTAATGATTTAATTGTGAGCCAGTCAGATCAATCCATTTAATGGGTTATGAGTGAATCTAATCACTCGGGTCATGGTTTACGAGCCACGAGACCAACGGTCGCTTTGCCACCTGGACCAGGTATCCAGGCAGACATATACCATATTTAATTCGTGATGTATGAAATCCATGCTTCAATTATTCACTCGTGTGCGTCCCTGACCCTCGGCGAAGTAGCTGATGTCTAACGAGTAGCGGGGAGGACCGGTCGGCCCAGAGGACCAGGATCGATTCAGACGAGCAGCACGAAAACACCTGATTGACTGAATATCAAGATCCAAGGATACAGGAAGTACACTTTATAATGAGATTTTGCAAACCGGCGGCTATTCTAATGATTATTGAGTTCGGGAGCTGAAATAGAAGACCAGATACTCCGATACTCAGAGCCAACAGGCCTGCGGCTGAACGACCGCGAGTATCAACAAACCTGTCTTTCCAAGATATTGAAGGGCCATATATGAGAATCCTTAGCAAGCTAGTCACATATGGGTTACGGACGTATCACATATACTGTCGAGAAAGGAATGGTGGCCGAGTTACAATAGACTGTCTGCCCCTTGAAGAGGTTGCCGGCAGGTTCAGACTGAAATTTACCATGGCCCGATTTCGACCAGCTCTTCGTCATACAACCAACCTATCTGTTTGAGTGCGGCACCTACAATCTCAGCGGCAGGAGGGCGGCAGGCAATGGGGACGGGGACGATGTCGAGTGCCTCCCCGGGGGGGGGCCGGGGGGCGCAAATATCCCGGCTACGAAATAGCACCATAAAATACTCCAGAATACCCGGAATACTCTGGAATACCCCAGAGAGTGTTGTTCGATATATGTGAGAGGCATGGTCGACCAAAAAACTACCGCCAGTCGCTAATCACCCAAATCAACGGCGCTTTCCCGAATCGGGTAATACGAAAATCAGACACAGGCAGCGTAATCAGTAAGACGAGCCAATTGAAAAATAGGGCGTCGATTTAAATAATTATACCGTGGTTGATGTTGAATTAAAATATTCAAAAAGTTGACTCCTGAGGCTCTACACTGCTAAATCACGACTCCCGAGTCGATTGTCGTTGAACTTTTGGACTCGAAGCTCACTAAGCAAGGATCCCTGCAGGGGCATGGGCCAGGAGTGGACGGGATTGGCTGCGGGAAACAAGCCAATGAGCTACTGCAGGTTGGCACGTTTTGGGAAGGAAACTTTCGAATGCCCTGGAACCACCCCTCCTACCAATGACGCCACGCCCACTACCGGACGCCCCATTGGCTTTTCTGCGAGTCTTTTGTGTGGGAAGAGGGCAGCTCAGAAGACGAGATGGATGCCAGAGAATGTTAGGTTCAGGAGAATAGCAGTTGACTAACCATTGACTACCGGTTAATCATTATACACGTGTAGCCGCCATTGGCGGTAACCCCCAAGATGGAGGGGCAGCCATTATCGAGGGATGGTGGGGTTAGACAACTGCCCCCTCCTTCGAATATATCTTCCTGCATGTGAGAGGACCCGGTAAGGGCCTGGGCGATGACGCTGTTCGTCCAGGGGGGCCAGTGGTAGGTCAACGTTGTATTCCCTGTACCCGTGCCACGCCCCACTTTAATTGGTACTCGAGGGCTCCTACCACCTAAAGGTGGTGCTGGCCACCAAAATAACCAGATCACCAAAATAACCACTTTTTTGACCATACCTACTATATACGCGTTATATACGCTTTAATAACCGGAATCCTACCTCTGAATCGTATACTTCTGCCCTTTCTAGCTTTCCAGACATCCTCCATTTGCGTGCCTCTTTTGCAACCTCTTCGTAGAAGCGTTTATATGCATTCCGCTGCCTCAATTCTGCTGCCTCAATGACCTTCCTTGCCTTCGCAACCTCGTCAACCTCCTTTTGCTGTACCATTTGACGCCCTATTGCTACAGTAAGCATGCCCCCTGACTGTAAAGGCGTATTCTTCATTGCCTGCCGTTGCCTAGCTACTGCCTCTGCCATTTTAGTCCTTCCTAGGTCTCGTTTGGTCTGAACAAGCTCAGCTGCCAAAGACAAGGACCCTCTAATATATCAACCTAAATTATAGGCAAAGTCTGGATCTATATCCTCGTCTTCCTCAAGTGCAGTCTCTAGCTTATCAGCTACCTTGTTAATTTGCCATAACGTTACTAGCGTATTGAATGGTGAAGAATAAAGTCTATCTGGTATAGCAGAAGGGGGGGTTTCTCTAGCTTAACAAGCTTCCAGGATTTCCAGGACTGGTTGAAGGTTAAATGGCCAGATTCCAGTCTTCCGAAAGGCAGAGAGGATAGTGGATTTCTTGAATGCCTGTTGCTATACCTTCCCAATGCAAGAAAGAAACTCGATCTTGGAGATATTGATAAGGCTATCGCAAACCATAAGATCTAGTGCCTGCGCATGGTAGTGCTTTAGAGGTTGGAAGACTACTACGTCTAGAGGTTAAAGTAGATGCGTAAGGTTTAGAGGCATGCCAAAAGGAATGATTCTATAGTCATCGCAGTACTAGATAAACTGCTTTGTGTGGTAAGATCTATGGCCATCAACAATAAGCAAGCGTTTAGAGCTAATGGAAGTCTTTGCTAAGTGCTTCTCGAAGTGCTAAAGCCACTCAAGGCTAATCTCATCATTCGAGTAGCCAGTAAAGGTAGGTCGAATGGCAGTTTCTTCGTCTAGCTTTGGGATTTGGTACCATTAAGCCATATAGAGTTGCCTAGAGAGGATCAAGAAGGCAGGGATATATTGGCCACCAGCAGAGATAGCCTCAATTGCAGTGGCAGACTCTCGATTCTCTAGAATGGAGAAGTAATAGGCTTTCTTCCAGCAGGTTACAATGAGCTGATCCTTTCCAACCCCTATTCGAAACCCAGTCTCATCCATATTCCAGATATCTTCAGGGGGGATTCTATAGGCTGCAATAGTCGTACGAAGAAGCTGGAAGTACTGATTAACTCGTTGGAGGTCTTTTGAGGCTTGCTGGTCTGAATGGAGTCTTTTCTGAAGCTGGTGGAAGTAGCTATAGCGCTTAAGAAAGCGGGTAGTCTATCTTTAGCCAACCGGCGCAAAATCCTCAGCACCACAACGCTTACGCAAAATGGTATTTGCAGCGTCAGTCACAAAGCCTGCGCGTACTGAAAGATTGATACTATCAAGTCTATCAATATAGCGGCAAATTGCTTTTTCCTCTGGCCTTGTAAGCTTGGTATTTGCTGCTGGCTGCCCTGATTTTGGTACGCGGCCCTTGCAGCGGTAGCGGAGGCGGCCACGCGGCACGCCAAATTCTCGGGCTACTGCGGCTAGTTTAGCCTTGGGAAAGTCTTCAAGGTATTGGAGGGCTTCTTGAATACGTGATTCTATAGTTAAAATGGTCAATATATGGCAAAAAAGTGGTTGTTTTGGCAGATATAGTAGGTATGGTCAAAAAAGTGGTTATTTTGGTGATCTGGTTATTTTGGTGGCCAGCACCACCTTTAGGTGGTAGGAGCCCTCGAGTACCAATTAAAGTGGGGCGTGGCACGGGTATTCGCTTGCCAAGTTGTGCTGTTCCCACAATTGCCCGAGTGGGGGTTCCCTTTTGTCAAGGGATCCGCAATTCGGAGGAGCCAGGATTTCTTCAAGCGTCTCGGTAAAGTTAGGTACAAATAGGTAGACTGGGCCCCGGGTTGAAAAGCCTCCACCAGGGTCGTCTATAGTCTTCCCAGTTACCCCAGACTCTTCAGACATAATCTCTCTCTCCAGTCGACGAGATGGCAATCCTTGCCGCCTCAACAGTCGAGCCGAACATGGCCCTATCAAAACGAACTAACACGGCTGCCCTCATCGGTCCAACGGGGAAGTTTGCCCTCCATTTGCACCAGACCTTTGCCTCCGTCTCGCTATTCGTCCTGATCCGCATGGGGTTGGCCGCCAACCTCATCCTGCTCAGCTTCCTCTGCACTACTCGATTTGTTGCCTTCCGATCATCTCTCGCCATGCGCTTCCTGGCACTCAAAGCCGTTGCGGTCGTGGGATGGGGATGCTGGGCCGCCTGGAAATCCAGAACCTTTACGCGCTTCAGAAAGAAGGTCGAGATCGAGTTATACGCCCTCGTCGTGGGACCGGGTGGGAACACACTGTTTCTCCTGCTCTTCTGGCCGGGCTGGATCGTCTTGCTGGTAGCTCTCTGGGTAATGAGCATGTTGTCGTGGTTCTAGGGTGAGTCCACCTGCTTCAATGACTTGAAAAAAAGCGGGGAGATTCACACATCCTTCTAGGCTAGGCGACTGCGTAGCAGCGTCAATCAATTTCCGCTTGGACGGAAGAGTAGCCTACAACATGGCTAACCCTCTCTCAATGAGCGTCAACGAAACCTCATTTCGAGAAGAAAAAGGCATTCCCGCCAGGATCACGCCGAATCTCGCTTTGGTAATCCTTCTCGGGGTCGAACTCCTGCCACACACTGGCGGGATAGATGTGCTTATTGCGCTCATACCACCGTCGATCCACAACTTTGGTGAATGTTGGGTCGTCAGAGGCGCCCTCGAGAGTGCTAATGTCGGGCAGGTCCTTGGGTGTGCCTTTTGCAGGAGCTGACAGAGGGTCTGCCGGCTTCACATTGGCTTCCCCCTTAGCCTTTACCGCCGGAGGGGCTTCAGCGCTATAGTCGAACAGACGCCGGCGCCCCGGACCGTTGGTCTTGTTCACAATGAAGAAGTAGATCTCATAGTGCTGGAATGCATCAGATATAGACAATTCAAAATAGTGCTGAAAGGAAAGTACTCACATGCGGTATTATGATGGACCCACGGACGAGGATTAGATCGTCGACGCCAACCCGTGCCCATTCTCGCCTGGCATTGGCACTCTTCTCACCGCCGACGCCCAGCTCCGCTCCCACCTTTCGGCTCTTGTCGAGGACGACCCAGGCGAAGTCGCCCTTCTTGACCCGCACGACTCCGCCGGGGACGTTGGTTCCGTCGTAAAAGACAAACGGAATCGCAATCTCGGTGGCCTTGACCGCCGTTTGCAGCACCAGGAATTCCTTGCGCAAGGCGTCCCGCTCTGCGGCCTCCCGTCGGAGAGCCGCCTTAGTCAAGGCCCTGGGGACGACCCCGACCGAGGCGTTTGCCGTAAACTTGCTGGTCGGTTTCTTGTCCCTGTCCGAATTCCTCGTCGCCGCCGCTGCATCGTCCTGCTCGCTCGCAGCCGCCTTCCCGGCCTTCACCTTGGCAGGAGGAGCAGGTGAGACATCCTCCCCGTCGTCCCCTTCGCCCTCGTCCTCCCCAAACGACACCAGGGCCTTTGCGCGCCTCTTCTTCTTCCTCTTGGCCGCGTGCCGTTCCGCCTCGCTATTGTTGTTGTCGCTGGCGTTGTTCGGCGTGCCCGTCAGCGAGCGGTCCGGGGTCGACACGCCGGTGCCGCCGGTGCCTGATAGCGCGACTGCAATCTCGCGCGCCTCTCTCTCCTGCTGCTCGATCACCTCGGCGCGCCGCTTGCGGAAGTCGGAGAGCGCGACGAGGCCCACGGTGTTTGTGGTGAGGCGCTCGTGCGTCGACTGGTTCTGCGGGGTGAAGCGCGGGGGCTGTGGGTTCGACATGGTCCTCGGTCGAGAAATCGAGAGTCGAGTATGTGTTTCGCGGGGTCCTTGAGGGATTGGTTGGCCGGTCGAGACCTTGAGGTGAAAAATCAGAGAAAGAATCATCTTCGAGTACCTACTTAACAACTCGTGAAGTTAGATAAGCAATTTGTGGGGGCAATAGCGATCGAGGTCCTGAGCACAGGCCACATTGGGGGGCAGTTCTGTGTAGGTACCTCGGTGTCAATCAACAGAATGGAAGGCGAACATCAATAGACATGGGATTCTGGCTCTTTATTTCTATTCCTTGGCTTGCAAAAGGCGCTTCAGAAACCCAGAAAAACTCTCAAACAAGCCTTCATCATGGCCCTCGACCCAACGAACCCTAGTGACAGCCTCTCTTGTTCCAACATCAATAGTGATGAGGAAGCCAAATGCGCAGGCCTCGGGGGCCCGTGTATCAGTGGGCGAGACCCCCGTCTTCTCCTCGCGGAGCTTCTTCCTCCTCCAAGCCCTACTCCAGACATTCTCCCTTGCCCGTCCAATCCCTCTCAGTTTTTGCGGCTCCCACTCCCAAGAAAGCAGCTCAAGGGCCCCAACGGTCTGCGCAACACGGTCCGCCAGGGGCCCAACTCCTTGGTGACTTGGCGATGTACACAAGTCCACCTCCACCGCCGCGGGAAGTAGTTTCTTCCATGTGGTAACCTTGATGCCCCTCGCCGCGTCCTGGGAGGGCCTCATCGGGCCGAAGCTCCACCCGATAGCCCATCGTCTCGTCTTGTTGCCCTGAATGAATTCCGTGATGGCGTAATTGTCAATGCCGTTTTGACGCAGACTCTCCACAAATGCCTCGGCACTCGACACCTTTCCGAACATTGACGTGTACCATTGGACCCGGTCGCGTAGTACAAGTGACTCTGCCAGTATCCGGCCGACGAATGCCACCTCTCCTCCCTCGCACACCATCTCAACTGGTGCTCCGGTGCAAGCTGAATGCGGAGGCCGTGCCTTCTGCTTGGCAGAGGAGATCATCTCATCCTCGGAAAGGTAGAATGGCGGGTTCGTCATGACGAAGTCGATGGAACCAAGGCCAAGGTCGTCGAGCGGTATCAATGAATCAGACGGTTTCCGCGCCACGATTCTGATGCGGTCATCCAAGCCATTGAGCTTGACGTTCTTCTGCGCGTAACTGATATTCTTCGCGTCGATATCTTTCCAATCATCAATATCTTTGGTCTGGCAGATCTGGCTCAGTGAAAATCTTACCTGTGCCGATGAAGTTCCACGGTCGCTGGGCTGAGCCAAGAAGTGGGTAGATACAGCTGGCGCCAGTGCCGACGTCCAGCCCTGAGAGCTTCCTGCCATGGTAATTATACGACGTCGAATCCATGAGCTCCTTGAGCCACAATATGTAATTATGTCGATTTGGAACCTGGCGGCATGGTCAGCACGATGAGCCTGAGAGAGCTGTCGTGAGACATGGATGAGCTGCGAGCACTTCTTACAGGTGGGCAAAGCCTATCATCAGGCAGATCGGTCTCGAGGCCAAAGTCGAGCTTCAATAGCGTCTTTGTCAACTGCATGACTGCCTTCGGGTCACTGAAGTTGAGCTGGCCACTGCTCTTCAGGCTGCGGTTTGTGACTCGGGTCAGAGAGAAGCAATCCATATAATGGCAGTGAAGGGACTTACAAGGCTGCAAATTCTGCATCACGCTTTCCGAGCAGACGGAAATCAAGCTCATTGCCATAGAGATTTCGGTAATAGCTGTCCGGTTTCTGAGATGGGTTGGCTGAGAAGGCGGGCATCGCGGGCGCCGCCGTAGCGTGATGGGCGCCAGCATCTTCGGCCTGTGTTGTCATCTCATCATCCACCGCCTTCCTCTTCGCGGCCATGATGGGTCCAATGCCTTCGGTTCATCGCCTGATTGTGATGTGGGTGCCGATCAGATAAGGGATGGATGGTCTGTGGGTTTTTACATCATCGTCATCGTTGTCGTTGCCCATGGAGATTTCCCCTGCTGTCACGTGGTAATTCCAAACTCAGAATCCCCCTTTTGAAGAATCTTCGTTCAATAGGTAACAATGAGCTTGAAATCTATTCCTGAGGCACAATCTAGGGGCCAATTGATTTGTAGCCTTTTATGTGGATGATAATGATGCAAGCGCTTGTTTGATCCTACAACTCGGATGCCAATATGGCTTGCGATTGTAATGGTGAGCAGTGTGACGAAGTTGCTCTCGATCTCGATTGTCATTTCCGAGGTCAATTGGATATACAGGCACGACACCAAAGGCTGGTTGCTCAAAACGTACTGGAAATTATTGCACAGAGGGAGTAGCAAGAGATCCCTTCCCAATCCCCATGCGGGACTATCGTAAAGGAGCACGTCTTCTGGATCGATGCTATAAAAAACCTGTCCGCCATTACCAAGATCTGACCAAGCGCTTTCGCTCATCTCATCCGGAGATCTTGTCTGGCATTGCCAGTTAAACGGAACAGTGGTGTCTACCTGAACTCACTCGGGATAACCTTCGCTTTCCTCATTCGATCAAAAACACCCCCCCAAGCCTCCCTCGTCGACCTCTCCTCCGTGAAACCAGCCCTGTCGTACATCTTCGTCATGTCATACTGGCGATCGGTATCGAACTGAGTGAGCAGGAAATACTCGAAGCCGGGGAACGTCCGCGGGCTGTCGGCGTGCCCACTCTGCAGACCATACTTCTCCTCCATCCGGTTCCAGACATCGATGTGCTCGCGGATGTACCCGCGCACCTCGACCGGGTTGTCCCGCTCCAGCTTGACGCCCCTCAGCCCAAAGTACGCGCACAGCACCGGCCACTTCTCCCGCCAGCAGGACGGACCCCGCGCGTCGGCGACGTTGAATGCCTCGCCCTTGCGGTCCTTCCACGGCGCTGTCAGGCTGACGTGCAGCGTCTGCCGCGCGATCATGTCCGAGCTCGAGTCGATGCTCAACGCGCCCCAGCTGGCCTCGGTGCCGGGGAACGGGCACTCGGCGCCCTCGCCGTCCACCTCGCGCCGCAAGCTGAGGTAGATGCCCAGCACGGTGCCCAGCGAGTAGAAGTTCTGGTTCGGGACGAAGCCGATGATGATGTCCGGGCGGGTGTCGGCCCAGCCCCACTTCTTGGCGGCCGAGTACTCGTTGAGCCAGTCGATCTGGGGGTTGTAGAACAAGTCCTCCCCGTAGGGAGAGGGCAGGCAGGGGAGAGATTCCGACAGGGGCGGTTTCATGATGGCTGGCCTGTCGTGGAGTAAGTGACAGCCGTAATGCTTCGCACCTGTCTGGAGCACGACGAATTCCAGATCGGGCGAGAGCCTGTCGACAGCCATTACAGCCCTCTGGAACATGGCGACCGCCTCCCTGAGCTCGGCCTGGATGTCCGTCTGGGCCTTGTATGCTATTTGGGAAGTTAGAATTTGAGCTCGAGGTGGGCCTGTAGTTGTTGCAACGAACCGAGATATAGCACATGGGTGATCTTGTTGATATCTGGCACCTTGGCTTCCAGCGTGTTCTCCAAATCTTCTTGGCTGCCTTGCAGCAGGTCGATTCCGGACACGATGGAGAGCCTCTTGTCCTTGGGCCATTGGGACTGCTCGAGGCTCAATGGTCTGTTCGTCAGGGCGACAACGCCACCCCAGACCCCCTTTTTGGGGTAGTCATTCAAGATTTCGTTGACAAGTGCCCAGCCAGTCACCCCGCTGGCGCCGAATACGAGGGCGCGCTTCTCTCCCGACATCCTGTTCCCTATATCCGGGGACAAGCACTTCTATTGATGGTGTGTCGTGTGAAAATAAGACTTTGCTAACCGGACGGATATTCGAGAAGGCAGTTCCTAGGTGGTGAGCTCCGGGACGAACGGCTGCTCCGGCAGGCGGCGACTTATAGATAGCGCCCCCAACACCTACCACTTCTCCGGATTTGCATGGGTATTGTCTCCCGCGACAGAGGGGGTGGATTCCGCAGATTACGGAGATAGGGATTTGGGGCTGTGCGGAGGCGGCGCTTAAACTTGAGGCAGGCAGAGCTTTTCCGATGCCTTCTCCACATGAACAATATCCTGCTATGTACCCACAATGATGAAGAGCAGCGCAAACAACGAGGAGGTTTCACGTCGCATTGGAACCGGAGGTCAACAACATTAGAATAGGTAATGTACATCCAACCACACGGCCACTGCTCTGAGGCGGTATTCTAGACGCCAAGACCAGATCTCGCACGGTAAAGCGAAATGTCTATATGGAGACGAAGGAGTTAGTGAATGTTGAGGCAGCTTTGGGTAGGTATTTCCGATTCCACGACCATCAGGTAAGAAAGATTGATCCGGGAACTGCCAAATTGGTCAATCTGGCGAGCCGTTATTGGTGGGGAGGAGCTCCGTTGGAGACTCGGCGAAGACCCGGGCCCGGCCAGTTCCATCCCAACCTACCTACCTGGGAATACTGCGGTACACTCCGTAGGTAGGCACACTAATACGTCATAATTATTATGGGTCCCTCCTCGTGCTCAGGGGTCACGGCTATAATGCTGGCGGCCCTGGCAGATCCCAACTCAGCTTTATCAGCCTCCTACCTATCTTGCGGGTTGTCTCTCTCTCCCTACCTAGTGTACCTTTAAAGCGCCCCGTGATCATGTCACTGGTATGTAATAGCGAGATCATCCCGGCAAGACCTGTTCTGCATCGGCTAGTAGGCAGCATGTATGCCTTGTAAGGCAGGAAAGGAAGAAATTGCTTGCCTGTCTGTCCTAGGCGGCCCACTCAATATCACGCAGGGCCCCCTGTGCAGCAGGCAGCCCTAGGCAGCCAGCTCTGGGCAGCTGCGAGGTCTTCTTAGTGTAGGATGGACCAACTGCCATCGTCCTCCAAACTGTGACTCAGGCCGACATGAGACCAAAATGCAGATGTTCACAAGTACATAAGGAGACGATCGGCGTCCACTTGGTCTCTTGGAACTTCCATTCCGTCTTTTCCATCTCATCAGATACCGGGGTGGCTTACGGAACGCTCTGGCCGTTGACCCACTATTTTAGCCCCGCGGTACTCAGATTGGAAGGCAACCCTCCGCTTCGACGCTTCCTGCCGCCCCCCTCATCCCGGTCCCGTCCTGCCTTACCTTGACGGAAACTTGGTGGGGCTTGCTGTCCGACGCATCTTATCGATAAGACCCTGGTAGCTGCCAGGCACCTACGAACCATACGGTCACCTTCAGATGGAAACTACGACACCATCTAATCTACCTATTCAGATAGCCCTCTCTACCCTCCTCCTATCTTGACTGCGGTTCCGGGCAATTAGGTGGGCAAGACACTAGGTAATACTTCAGACGCCTGGAAGGGACCGCTGACCACCATTTCTAGCACCTCACCGACTTCTGCAATCCCCTGCCGACCACATCACCTTGCATCGTGTTCTCGCGTCACCTGGCGGTGCAGCAAAGCGTAGTGCTGGTGCATCCAGCTAGTAGGCAGCACTGCTCCTTTCCACCCCCTCTATCTATCTGCATCCCGCCCTCCCCCAATCTATTGGCTCTACTTCGTCCACCTGCCTGTGTACCCGTGTCAAACCATCTGTCAAAAGCCATCTGCTGACTTCCGTCTTTACTCCCGTGCCAGCTTATTTTCGTCGCCTGTGCACCTTTGCTTGCGCTTTCTTTAGTTGCATCGCCTATTACGCAGTCTCCCGAAGTACCTAGCTATCTTATTAGCTTGCTCAACCTTGATCTTCTCTGACCCAAGTTTTATTTCCCACTTCCATCCTGAGCCGTCCCACTCACAAATTCCCACAGCGGCCAGCCACAACTGCTTGAGCCCACCACCTGTCACTATGGACTCACAAGAGAAAACATCGGCTAGTGTGCGTGAAGGCAACCTGCCGGATCATCCCAAAAATGAGGATTCAAAGGTGCCCACAGAGATGTCCAAACCTGTTGAAGGGCAGCACAAGCCCATCAAAGGGACCGAAGCCACCAAGAAGGTCAAGAAGGTCAAGAGCGCAAAGAAGTACACCAAGTCTAAACTGAAGAAGTCGAAGAAGCAGGTTGTTGTTGATGGCTCTTCATCCGACTCCAGCAGCGACGATGCCGAAGATAGCTCCTCCGACTCGGACCTCGAATATTCCCTTAGCGAATCCGACTCCGCAGGACAGAGTTCGCGGAAGAGAAGCTCCAAGAAGCGCCGTGCTGCGCAGAAGTCTAAGAAGCATGTTCGCACAGCAGACCGGAAGAAGCCCGTCAAGGGGAAGGCTCGGCAGAGGGCTGCATCTGATTCGGGCTCGGACTCATCGGACAGCGACAGCGACAACCTGGGAGATCTGGGTAGTAATAACTCCCAGATAGCCCAGCGAGGACAGCAAGATCTCGTCAACAAGCAGCTCCAGCTCATGCAACAATACCAGTACCAATACCAGCAACAACTGCAGAATAGCGGGAATGTCTATCAGTACCCGAATAACACCGTCCCTCCTCAGGGACTTGCTCAGAACGTTGCCCCAATTTATAATCAGGGAAATCAGCTCCGCATGGCTCCCCTCGGCGGAGGGGGACTCCAGGCTACTGGACAGAATCTCGCGCTCGGCGGTCTCAATCGAAACCTCGCCATCGATAACGAGCAACAGCGGCAGGGGGACATCAAGAAAGGGCAGAAGCCCACCAAGCTTGACTACAAGCGAGTAGACCAGGTCTGGGATAACAGCCTCCACAGCTACAAGCTCCAACCCACTGCCCAAGATGTTGCCGAGGTCCGATACGACGGGTTCTTGTTTCAGGTGCGCCGTACCTTCGACTGGGAAGGGAAATACAAGGCTACCATCGTCGATATCAAGAGCAAACTTCTTCGTGAATGTCTGCAGGAGGTCATGGGTGACATTAAGGGTGTGAGCTTGGTTGATGAAGTTCCTAAACTGGACCCGAACATGCTATTTCTGTAAGTCACTGTCAAACCCCCCCCGCCCCCCCCAAAAAAAAAAATCTGCTTTCTTCCCTCGAAAGGTATCCCATCACCCATAGCCACCGTCTTCCGGCAGCTGAGTCTAGTTTAGGTATCTTGAAGAGCTCCGCAAACACGTGAAAACCCTCAAGAGGGCAAGACCCTCGAAAGGCAACAAGCATGAGCGCAAGAAGGAGGAAAAGCGCCTCAAATCCAAGCGACAACACCTGAAGATCCTCCTCAAGTACATAGATAAGGACTACGCCGTCGTGAAAGCCAGGTAAATATACTTCCAGTCCCCATACAGCGCGTACTTGGCTAAAACACACGCTGTAGCCTCTATCCCATGCTCGAGAACGGCCTCATCACATTCGACCTCTTGTGGGCTTTATGGAAGCCGAAGACGCTAGCCCTCACGACAACATATGGCTCACCCGACGAACGGCGCGCATTTAGGGTGGAGATGGCCGAGAAACGATGCTCCATGTCTAGAGGGCAGTTCTACAACGTCGAGGGGAAGGCAAGCAAACTCGCAGCTCATGTATAATGCTAGATTGGTGACTAACGGAATGGCACAGTACCTCGAATTTGATGGCAAACAATTCGGCTACGGGAGCATATATGAAGAGGTGCCTCAGTTTCGAGGAGCCTGCAAGATTACGAGCCTCCCCTGCTATCCTCTCCAATATGACAAGGACGAGGCCAAGACCAGAAAGGAGCTGATCGAACGCGGCAAGAAGTTCGTGTCTCTCGGCGGAGTACATTACAAGAGCCACGAGGGTATGGCATACTACAAGAAGAAGAAGGGAGTGGTCAAAATCCACATCAACGGCCGGATTATGGTGGACGCCCGGATCCACCGCCGAATCAACCCGAACTATCCCGTCTCTCTTGTCCGCCCGACGGGTCACGACGATTCCTCGGATTCCTCGGATTCTGACGCCGACGAATCCTCCGACTGCGCGGACCCCCCCATCTACAACCCCTCCTACGAGGATAACGGCGACGATGGATCTCGCCTCGAACAGTTAGATCAGGTCAACCATGTGACAAAGGCCACCCGACGCACGAGCAGTAACTCGCAGGGGATACAGGTGCCGAAGGCCAATGGCGAGGAAGCACCCGCTGGAAACCCCGAGCAAGTACCTAATGGGGACGAAGTTGCAGAACAGAATGGCATCGACGAATTGGGGACAACCGACGACAATCAGCCTCCGCAGTTCACTGACGAGGAATACCTCATTGCATCCCCAGTGGTACTTGGCTTCGCCTTTGACGAGAAGCTGTGGGTGGAGTTTACTGTCTCAGGGGTCAAGGAAGTGCAGTGGAATGATAATGCCTACCAGTCCTTGGTGCTCGAACCCAAGACGAAGGACATCGTCAGGGTATGTGATGGGACTCAGAACCCACGACGTGGACAACTCACGTGGAATGGCTAGCTAACCAACGATATAGGCCCTCGTCGAGTCTCACAAATACCACGCTGCCGAAAGTATCGACGACGTAATTGTAGGCAAAGGCAAGGGGCTCGTAGGTACGTGTATACGACAGGCGGGTGGCATGTTCAAACTCTGTGGCTAACCGACTCGACTTCGCAGCGGTTCTTCATGGCCCTCCGGGAACAGGCAAGACGCTCACGGCCGAGGGAATCAGCGACTTGCTCAAGTGCCCACTCTACACGGTGTCGGCCGGCGAGCTTGGCACCGATTCCAGGTATCTCGAAGCTGAGCTTCAGAAGATCCTCGACATCTGCCACACATGGGGCGCTATCCTCCTCCTGGACGAGGCCGACGTCTTTCTAGAGAAGCGGAATATGCAAGACATACACCGCAATGCTCTGGTCAGCATCTTTCTCAGGCAGCTGGAGTATTTCCAGGGCATTCTTTTCCTGACGACGAATCGTGTTGAGGTATGCTTCCTCTCTATGATCCTCTCCTTGCTCGGTTTGAGGTTTCCAGTAGCTAACAGAGCCGCGTCCCTCACAGACGTTTGATGATGCCTTCCAGTCACGGATCCATATTGCCCTCCGCTACGATAACCTCGACACGCGAGCCAAGAAGGCGATCTTCAAGATTTTCATCGAGCGGGTTCGTGCTCTCACAAAGATGGACATGAAACCCTTTACCGAGAATGACCTGGACGCCCTGGCGCGGCACGAACTCAATGGTCGGCAAATCAAGAACACAGTCCGAACGGCACAGGCCCTTGCCGTTAACAAGCGCGAACCCCTGTCCATGAAGCACATCCGTCAGGTGCTCGATGTGCAGAAGAAGTTCGAAACTGACTTGAAAGGCGGCACTGGTTATCATGAAGCAATGAGAAGCTACTCATAGGACCATTCTCAAGCCCTGGACATCCTACTCTGGAGCTGTCTCCTCGGGATCCCATCACGGTCTCCCGTCTCGGCAGGACCCCCTTCTCTTAACGATTCCCTAGACATACATAGATGAACGCATGGATACAGGGATATATTACTGGTCTAGAGTTACGAAGCGGAACCTTTCTTGTCAGTGGGCTGTATTTCCAGGTTTGTGGGCCATGTGTGTTTGGTTGTTTCTCTTACAAGTTAGCGAGTTTATTTGTTTGTGTCATAGATATGGAGTAGGAACTTGAGCCAGGTTGCCCTTGATCAATGCAAGTGCACGAACCATCTCCTAGTGACAGGGGTCCAACGGGTAACCCAGCATGCGGGGTCCAACAAAAAGTAGTGAGGTACCTCGGTAATACTTCTCTCACTGTGTTTGCATATGCTGAGAATAATGTACTTGTTAGTACCTGCTTCCATACCCTGGAATTGGGTTCTCGACGTCATTCCCCAACTCCGCCCTACACCAACTCGCGGCTCCGATTGAGACACGGAAACGGCCATCCTCAAGGAAAGTTACAATGGCCGGGTTCAATTGGAAGCGGCTCCTGGGCTGGGGCAATCAGTCAAGCCACGAGCACAGCTTGTTGCATGAGTCTCGAGGCCGTAAGTGTCTCTCTCTCCAAAATATTCCAAGTCCAAAGCTAACACGCGCGGGTCTCCATCTCCAGTCCTCCCGTCCTACGTCAATGAATCAATCGAGTCCGCGATCCCCGCGCCGATCGTGACCAAGGTTGCCCTGCGACTCCGGCGCTTGATCGAGGAGGCCGTGCCGTGTGAGCTCGAGGAAGCCCAGATTACCCGGTCACATAGCAAGATCATTACCAAGGGCGTTATCAAGACCGCCAAGGAGGCTGGTGGTTCCGAGCACCGGGCCTGCGTGGTATGTGTCTTCCCCCGCCGTCTCGTGTCCCGTCCGTACATACTGTCCGACATCTGGCGCTGAAACGTCCGGTAGGTTTTCTGCCTTCTCATCAACAAACGGTGGTACAGCCACCAGGCCTCGATCGAGCTATGGGATGCCGACCTGCTCAAGGTCCGCGCTACTGCATGCGAGGTTATCGCCAAGCACATGTAAGTCGGGCTGCCTACCGCAGCAGTGTCGCCACTTTTGCCATGTCGCCAATTCTGACTGTCGGCACTCTCAGTATCGAAGGCGAGAAGGATCTGACCTACCTCTTCCACTCCGTTCTGCTCAGGCGGTACTCTATCATGCTCGATGGAAGACCGACACTGACCGCAAATGTCATTGAAAAGGCTGTCGATCTCCACAGCCTGAGAGTCATTGGCTCGGCCGGTTACCAGAAGTGCATAAGTTACCTCTGGAAGGGCTGGCTGGTGCAAGATGAGAACGACCCCTCCAGCTTCGTGGACTACAGAGACAAGGACAACACCTCCTGGGTTGCCCATCTGGATCCAGACCGCATGCGGGCCCCAAAGTATCAGAACATCGTTCAGATGCTCATCTCGGTCATCTACCTTGCTCTGTATACAGGTGCCATCAACACTGTTAATCCCGGAGGAGACCTTGACGTCGTCGAGGGCTTGCTTTATGTCTTCACTTTTGGCTTCCTCTGCGATGAGGTGACCAAATTCTGGAAGGCTGGATACCATATCCTCGGCTTCTGGAATGCGTTTAATGCACTCTTGTATATCTTGCTAGCCGTCAGTCTCGTCTTGCGAATGATTGCACTCAGCCACGGCCCCGATGATGGCGATGGCCTGCGTCATCATTTCAACACACTGAGCTACAACTTCCTGGCCGTCAGTGCCCCCATGTTCTGGATTCGACTACTCTTGTATCTGGACAGCTTCCAATTCTTCGGCACCATGCTCGTGGTGCTCAAGGTGATGATGAAGGAGAGCATTATATTCTTTGCCCTCCTGGCCGTCATCATCGTCGGCTTCCTCCAGTCCTTTATGGGGCTCGACTACGCCGAGGACCAGGTTGCGAACAACACACTCTTCTTCGTCCAGGCGATGGCCAACGCTCTCATGCAGAGCCCCGACTTCAGCGGCTTCGAGAAATTTGAGCAGCCTTTCGGCCTGATCCTCTACTATTGCTTTACCTTTATTGTCATGGTAAGATTGCACCATGGGGACAGTAGTCCCCTACCCCCCCCTGCTAGCTCTCCTTCCGAGCCATCCGCTGATCGCCCCCCTCCTCTAGGTCATCCTGCTCAACATCCTCATCGCGCTCTACAACTCGGCCTACCAGGACATATACGACAACGCCAACGACGAGTACCTCGCCCTCTTCTCGCAGCGGACGATGCAGTTCGTGCGCGCGCCCGACGAGAACGTCTTCATCCCGCCGTTCAACCTGATCGAGATCTTCCTGCTGGCGATCCCGCTCGAGTGGTGGATGGACAAGCGGCGGTACGAGTACGTCAACGACGCCGTCATGGCCGTCATCTACTCGCCCGTGCTGCTCGTCGCCGCGTACCTCGAGACGCGCACCGCGGCCGACATACGCCGCAACAGGTCCCGCGGCGACGAGGACGACGACACCGTCGAGGAGTGGGAGCAGATGGCCGGCGAGTGCGACTTTGACGCCGACGGGTGGAATGCGAAGGTCGCGTCGGTGAGGGGGAATGTAGAGGATGATGAGACGGTTGTTGAGGTCAGGAAGCTGCAGAAGGAGGTGGAGGTGTTGAAGGGGTTGATTGAGGAGTTGCATAGGGCTGTTGGTTCTGGCCAGGGCAAGAGCTCCGAGGCCTAGATGGTCCCTGCCCAGATGGGTTTGGGGCCAGGCTTCTCTGCACATGGGCTTGTCCGGCGAGGCTTTCTACGTTATATCATTCTGGTCTCGGGATAGTGGCGCGTGATGAGCTGGGATGCCTCGGGATGTCTGGGGCTGGCCTAGCTGTACAAACCTGCCTTCCCAGGGAATCGCCGACTTTAAAGCCGATGTGTGGCGACAGATTCTGGACTCTGTGTTTATAATCAGGGGAGTCACTCATGTGTTTGATCCGAGCAAGAGACCAGGTGAAAGACGCATTATAGATTGGTACCATACATCAACCATCCTTGGAGCCCTCTTAACGAGGGACCAGTTTTTTGGGGGGAAATAACAACTGAGGTATCAATAGAAGCAGTATCCAACAAACATTAGTTAAAGAAACCTCCCCAAAAGCGACCCGGCCCGACGCATCCCAATCAGGTCCACACCCTACTGGAAAAAGTCTCGTAACACTCTTCGGGCGAGGCGAGTATCATTCATGGTGCCCAGCGACCGTCTTCTCCCTCTCCGCGTCCTCGTCGCCGGGCCGCCCCATGCCCGCGCGCTCGCGGCGGCGGACGGCCTCGGCGATGGTGTCCTCGCCGGCGATCTCGCGGACGTCAGCGTCGTGGGCGACGTCGAACTTGCGGCGCAGGTGCTCGGGGCCGGCGACGGTCAGCAGGACGACGTAGGCGTAGACGCAGCCCATGAAGATGCAGATGACCTTGCCGTACTCGTAGCGGGTGTCTGCGCCGGCGGCGGCGCCCGGGGTGGCGGGGAGCGGGAAGCGCTCGCCAATGGTGCTCTCGATGGTGGACGAGGCCGAGGAGGCGAGGTTGCCGAGCTGGTACGACGTGCCGACGACGAAGGTGCGGAAGGCCCCAGGCGACAGCTCCATCAGGTGGATGGGGATGACCCCCCACGCGCCCTGGACGCAGAACTGCTGGAAGAAGGCGGCGGCGATGACGGCGTGCGACGAGACGAAGGTGTAGGGGTACAGCAGGGCGCCGCCGACGACGGAGCACACGACGATGCTGAAGCGGCGGCCGAAGATCTGGCTCAGGAAGCCGACGAGGGTGCCGCCGAGCATGGCGCCCAGGTTCGCGACGACCTGGGTGACGGTGACGGCATTGGGCGAGAAGTCGAACTGGTTCTCGAGCATGGTCGGGTACAGGTCCTGCGAGCCGTGCGACATGAAGTTGAAGCCGGCCATGAGCAGCACGAGGTAGGTCAGCAGCAGCCAGTGGCGCCGCAGCGCGACCCTGCCCTCGCGGATGAAGGTGTGGCTGATGCTGTCGCCGCCCGAGGCCTGGGCGGTGCGCCGGACGCTGGCGCGCTGCTCGTAGACGTGGGTCTCGGGCAGCGCGAGGCGGAAGAGGATGATGAGCACGGGCGGGCAGGCGCCAAACCAGTACAGCGGGCGCCAGCCGTGGCTGGTGGTGTTGACGAGCCCGCGCGCAAAGGCCGTCGCGAGCAGGTAGCCGAACGCGTACCCCTGCTGCAGGATGCCGCTCATCAGGCCGCGGGCCTCCTCGGGCAGGTCCTCGAGCGCCGTCGCCGCCGCGTTGCCGTACAGCCCGCCCATGGCGATGCCGAAGAGGGCCCGGCACGCCAGGAACTCCTTGTAGGTGTTGCAGAATCCGGTGCCCTGCGCGCTGAGTCAGCCATCGCCAATCCGGCCAACAAACGGCTGGCTGGCTGACAATAAAGAGAACAAGATGGGGGGCTGCGGGGGGCCCTGGCGAGCCACATGAATCACGCTAATAGTGCCCAGCATCTGAGTGCAGCTTGGCGGACCCGCCAAGCAAGCAAATGCCGATACAATACAGCGGGGGCCAAAAAGCTTGTATACGAGTAGCTGTGGAGGAATTGACCAGGGTACGTATAAAAGTAAAGAAAAATGAGAAAGCGCGGCGGGCGGGTGCGAGGGGAGGAACCACTCACGAGTTCGAGGACTATGAAAAGAACATTGTTCACAATGAAGGGCCACTTGCGGCCATAGCGATCAGCGGCGATTCCGAACATGATCGAACCGACAGAACGGAACATCAACACGAGGGTGATCCCCCACGTGATGTCGGTCTTGCTGCGGTCGAATTGTTTGGCAAGGTCGCTGACCGTCAGCGAGACGGTGAAGAAGTCGAAGGCGTCCCAGGACTGGTGGGGTCGAGAATGAGTCGCGTTAGCCTGTGGTCGGGGAAGGGGGGAAAGAGGGAGAAGCGCTGCGTACCCACGCGAGGAAGGCAACGGAGAAAAATGCCCATTGGCGGCGATTGAGCATACGAAGCAGCCGGAACGGGTTCGGGGCCGCCAGCATCGGCGGCTTTAGGCTGGTGAAGCGCGTGGCTATGTACTCTCGTGTCGACATGCCATGGTGAGGGGGGTGGTCTTGCTCTCCGACGCCGTCCTCGTCGTGGTTGTCAATGCCGCTGCCGTTGCCGTTGCCTTTGCCGGCGCCGTCATCGATCGGGCTGACCCCTCCTTTCTCGGTGTCGGCCGTGTCAGCCATTTTCGCCGGTTGTTGGGGGGGGGGGGTATATGTTCCTGGTTGCCGAATCTTTGTCTGGGCCCTGTTTCCCGTGCGGAAGAAATTCGATGCAAAGAAGGGAGAAGCAATTCTTGGCAGGATATCTCTGGAAGTCGTGGAGGAGGGGTTGGGAAAACGACTCAGATGCTCACGGCGGGCGACATCAAGTAATAGAGGATAGGAATGTTGCAGATCCCCCAACCATGCTGTCGGCACGACCTGCCTGCTGACCCTGGACTTCCCAACAAAGAGTCCGAGGGTGTAAGTCGTCGGCCAGTCATGGCGCAGGGCTGGTCACCGACGCAGGGCACTTGGCCAACAATGTGTGCATGGTACCGATCCGCAAGTAGATCCCTCGGTGACTATCTATGGGGAAAAGTGGGAACGTGGCAATGGGGCTCCCCGATGTCTGCAGGGATGACATCATTGAGGAACTCCCCAAACCCCTTCCCCACAAGTCGATCATTCGATGCGCCTTTCCACCGAAGGGTGGCTCGGGTGGGTAAGCAACTCCGCACGATACCTCGCAAGTAAATAAATGTAAGGGATATCTCTTGGTAGGCCATCTCTATTCCTGACGACGGGCAACTGAAAGTTGCCACCTGTTTTGTTTGGTCGGCTGACGGGATCAAAGCAACCAAATATTAGCAGAGCCATCAAATCGAGCTACTAATGACACCATCACCCGGTATGACAGGAGTGCACTACAGTAGACAAAAGTCGTGGCCAAGAACGTCGTTACGCGCTACTGGAAGCGAGACTCTTTCGATTGTAGGCCATTGGGATGTAAGACACACCGCATCCTCCCGCCCGGATACCGACAAATAAACCCTCGGGTCCTCGGGACGCCGGAGCGGTGTGAGGACTTATATGCGGCTCAAAGCCCCGTTGCTTCACACGGAGCTTGGCATGCTCTTCGTCTTCTTCGTCTTCAAACCTTCCAGTCGATGCAAGCGATCCATTTCAGGTCCACGGTCCAACCACCTAGCCCGCCGAGGCAGGAGCATTCAGAGATGATTGCACAACAATCAAAAGACAGCGAGTCGGCTAGGAAGCTCTGTGGATGGATTTGAATTTGACCCAGGCGCCTCAAAGGCCGCCCCTGCCCGGGTGGTGTCCAGCATATTTGCTGTGGACCACAAGCAATCAAGTACTGATACAATGCCCCTAGACGCCAGATTCGCCAGAAGTCTGGCCAAGCGCCATCCCCTCTCTGCCCAGCCAGAAGGTCCCTCCCCCACCCCGTGTGATATCTAGCAGACCGTGGAAAAGCAAAATGGCAATGGAAAACGGAACAAAACCCCGACTTTTTTCGCCTGATCCCCCGAGCCACAGCAGGGGAGCCGAAATAGCATCTCAACCTGAGACAAGAGGATGATTAGGCGTCGAGGGTTACAGAACCCTTGAGCCGCGATGCGGGACAAATCGAGAACCGAGACAACGGGGGAACGAGGACCGCGAACATGGTTTGAGTCCCCAGCAGAAGGATGATTAAGAATAGACGTTCCCGACAAAAGGCCGACCCGGCCGGACAAAGGAACACCCCCCTGTTCAACATATGAATACATAATATCACACGATGTAAAGAGGAACGGCAAGGGCCGTCAAGCGGACAAAATGGGCGCCACGCGAGACCGGGCGCCCCCGTCCTCTCGTATCGTACAGCCAGCGTGATGCCCGGCTAGTTGGGGGCACTAACCATACATGTGATTAGAACGAAAGAAGCGCCGGCATGCTCCTACGTCTTGGTGTGAAGGCAACTTACACTCCGCCGCCCATGAATGCTGCGAGGTCGTCGAGCTCCAGCAGCTGCCGCTCGAATGCAGCGCAGAGCTCGATCGCCGTCATGTCGACATCTGGGCCGGGAGGGTTGGAAATCGGAGGGGGCGGGCCGCCGGAGGCAGACGCCGAGGAATTGGGCTCCGGAGAGTCCGTCTTGATCGGGGGGCCGGGAGGCGGGCTGATAGTGGCCGGCGTCGACGCCCCCGCAGATCCTCCATTGATAGTGGTGATGCCCGGCCGCCTCGGGATGGGTGGCTCACTCTCCCGGCCCTCGGGCTGCGGAACGGGTCCCTGAGATCCCGCAGGCTGGGATTGATCGTAGTCCATGACATCCGGGTTGGTGTCGGGCTGGCTGGCAATATCATCCTTGACCGAAGGCGAGGCCTGGTGGTTGTTGGCCTTGCTGCTGTCTTCACGCGAATCGCGGTCGCGAGCAGCATTGTTGACCTCCCGGAGGACCTTGGCCATGACGGCAAGATGCCGTTGCCAGGGGACGACAAGGGGCCACGAGTCGGCACCATCGTGCATGAACCGGAGACTGTCCCGCACTATGGAAGAAGCCGACTCGGTGACGTTGGCTGGGGCGAGACCCTTGAGGGCCAGATAGGCCACGGTGGATCCCGCGGTGAAGGCGGAGAAGAGCATGAAAATTGGGAAGCAGAGGATCGTGTCCTTGTCGGCGCCGCTCTCAAGAGCCAGCAGGCTGTGGATGATGCTGTGCGACGCGGCGAAGATGCGGTCAACGGTCTGTAGGTGTGCGTGGGAAGACATCCTCCAGGCATCAAGGCTGAAGCCTTCGGCCGTGACCAGCTGCAGGATGCGGCGGCGGTTGACAAAGATGGTGCCGCAGTTCAGCAGGCAGTGGATCATGGCGTACGTGTATCCACTGCCCATGGTGATATGCAGTGCGATTTGGCCTGGCTTATCGGCAAAATGCATCGGCAGAGATTGACGGAGGGCCTCGATTTCGTCCTCGAGCGCCAGACACTGCTCCTCGGAGAAGGTCTCGAGGGTGGTGGTGGTCATCATCTCCACGACAGTGCGCCACGCTTTTGTGGCCAGGACTATGTGACCGAACTCGCCAACTTCGCCGGGCGGAGGGGTGGGATCGGTCGAGACGGGTGGAGGGCCACCGAGGGTGCGAACAAGTACTGGACTGCCAAAGTGATAGTTCATGTCTTGACAAGGCAGAGAGACTTCCTTGACGTCCAGAGACGACAGAGCAGGGTGGCGGCCCGGGCTGCTGGTGAGGAAGCAGTCGAGGATGTAAATCAGCCACAGAGTCCTACGGAGGGACTCATCCTGGAGGAACTGCTCAGGGTCGATCTGCTGATGATGGGTATGAACAACACGATACATCTGGGCCATCCTCGCAGCCTGGCCAAGGTAGATGTAGGCCCGGACTGCATTACGGCAGCCCCATTCATGGATGACCAGCAGGCAAAGGGCCTGGATGTCGGCAAGGCTGGGCTGGTCCAGGGATTGCATAACCAGGTTGATGGTCTTGCTGGCAAAGTGTTCGGCCGCAGTAGAACCACCAGTGTGTCCACCATACCGCCGAATCATCAGGGGTGAATGGCTGCCTACGTGTCAACAGAGGGAACGAGAAATTGTCCGAAAATAAAAATAAAAACAGCAGATGTACATATCGGGGTAGAGTGTATGCAAGGCTAAGAACCGAATATGCTTACCGGGCTGCTGTTGTCAACAAGGCATGGACCATAGTGGTATCAAGAGTGGTGTTCTTCAATTGCTGAAGAAAAGACGGCTTGTGGAAGGCAACACATGCCGGAAGCGTTTTGGAGATAACTCGCTCGCATTCTTGCATCAACTCGGGTGTCAGTCTGTGTGCCGGGGCGCAAGAGCCAGGTTAGCAAGTCAAAATCCATTACATGGAGGAGAAAACAGAGCTCGTCTAGCATAGAACAAACGAAGCGAGACGGAGAGTGAGCGAAGAAAAAGGCAAGAAAGAAAGAAAAAAAAGGTAGACCAAAAAATTCAATTAAAATGAAAAAGAAGAAAAAATATTACTTGAAGGGTGGTGGTCTTGCAGGCGCCATGATACTGTAAACACGGCTGAAAGGGGTTTGGGGATGAAGGGCCAAGGCAATTAACTGCAAGCGGAAAATCGGGGGTTCGGAGGAGGGGGAGGTGGCGGTTTTGGGAAATTGGTGGCCGGACGGAAGAAAAATGGGGCATCCAAGCTCCGAGAAGCTAGGGAAAATGCGCAGATTGACGAAGGGCAAGAGCACCCACCGGAAATGGCGGAAAATCGGGATAGGACAGAAATGGAGGGATTGTATCGGAAAGGGAAAAATCGACAGGAAGCGACAAGGATAACAGTAAGAACAATACAAAAAGAGATGTGTGCACGTACTTTTCATTGGTAGCTGAGACATGACGCGAAACGGACGAGGCAGGAGGGCCTGGTCGCTCGTTGGTGGCGCCGGCGATGGCGCGCTCACTAGGCAGACTTTCGCGAGCGCGCTGCTGAACTCGGGCTGGCGACACTCCATGGCCGCCGTGGCTCATGGACTCGGAGGGCAGATAGCACTCATGCATACCCTTTGCGCAGTTCTTGCACGGCGCCCTGCCGTTCTCGTAGACGCACTTGGTCTTGCCCTTGCGGCAGCGCACACAGGCGCCTCCAGCGCGGAGCGCTGTGGAGCGGACTACTGATGCCATGATGGCGGGGCTGGTAGATGACGGGTGATGGTTGATGATGGATGGCGAATGGTGGATGCTGGGTGGTTGATGATCCGATGGTTGGCGGGCGACAACGGCGGCGGCGACGCGACGTGTCCGGCGGTCACCCTCACCTTTGGCGTTGTTCTCGGGAGATGGCAAAATGGGGATCAGAGGGGCCGTCGGCGGGCTATAAAAGGTGCCCGGAGCCCAGCGCCGGTGGTGTGTTGAGTCAGAAAGTCTAAAAAATTTAGGCGGTCGAGTCAAAATGAGAGCGAACTCTCTGTGTGTGCCGAGATTTGCCCTCGGTGCGGTTTTGCGGCTTTGCGGCTTTGTGATGGCTCTCTCGGTCGGCGACAGGCGAGAAGGGCGAAAAAAAAGGAGGATGAAAGAGGGAGGAACGGAGGGGATGGGGGATGGATGGGGTAAAAAAAGGCACGGGCGGACCTTGGCAAACCTCAGGAAGCGAGGGAAGGGAGGCGGCGGGAGGTCCTAGGAGAAGGGGAAGGGAAAAGAGGCCACAAGCGGGCGGATCGGCTGATGGTGCCGGGGGGTTCGAGGAAGACACACGCGAAAAGTGGGGATTGGGTTGTGGGAAGTCACTGGTGCCCACCGTCTTGTCCGAAAATCCCCATGCCATGGGGGCTGCGTCTTCGGCTCCACCTGGCTGCTCGCCCCCCCGCCCATCGAATTTCCACCGCCGCCCAACGCGTTGGTTGGCGGCCGTCGCGGGATGGACCAGGATGAATCACGACAGAATTGTTTGCTATTTGTGTTATTTGTGAATGGCTGTGATCCGTCTGTCTATCTCTGTCGCTCCGGGCCCTCGCTCCCCCTCCCTCTTCCTCATTCCGTTCGTTTGTTGGGCGCTGCCAGGAACGGTAGGTAGGTGACTTCCAGGCGTGTGCGTCTGGGGGGCGAGCCAGCTCCGGCGCTCCGTCTTCCCTCCTCCCACATCCACCACACACCAGTGACCCCCCCATTCGCTGCCGCGCCGCCTGTCCTTGGTCTAGCGCAATTTGCTTTTGGAGGCAGGCAAAACAGCAAAATCACGGCGAACTCAATTACCTCTAAATTCGGACGGCATGGCAATCGAGGTTGCCAGTTTAGGCGGAGCCGGACATGAAAAAAAGAAGGAAAAAAGCACACGCCTCCATCGAAGCCGAGTCCTCGAGTTTCAACTCCTGGGTCGCACAAGGTCGGTCGATCGACCTTGTTCCTTGGCTTTTTTCATCGACTCCCAGACACACACACACGGCTGGGCGTAACGCCGCCGCCCGCCCGCCCGCCTGCCCGACCTGCGCCCCCCGATGAAGATCCAATGTATGTACTTGTACAGTACCGTACCCTCTCCTGTGGTGTGCATCCCTCTACCTCCTATCTGGCATCTGGCCTCAACTCCCTCCACAGGCTTAACAGGCCCATCAATCACGGAGCCGGCTTCCCCCGCCCCCGTCGTCGTCGCCAGCATCGCTTGTCCACTACCACTCTCGCTCCCACTCGCGCGCGCGCGCCAAGCGCCCATCCTCGCATGCAATGCCCCACATTTTCCGAGCCACGGCAATCAATTTCGTTTTTCGTGACTCTTCCCCTCTCCGAAAACGAGCATGAAGCACGGAGGGGAGTGATCGGTCCAACTGCTATGTAGAGAAGCTGCAGGTAAGAAGGTATATGTCTGTCCTACCCTTGGGTCATCGGCGGAGGCCCAAATTCTATTTGTCTTGCGGCATTGAGTCAAAATTCCAGCGGGGCCGCCGAATGGTGCATGGCACGGATTCCCACGGACGTCGGGGTCGGCGGGGTACCTACGAGGTAGAACGTGGTAAGCCGCAGAAGAGGGTGCCCATAATAAGCTGGACAGAGGCACCTAACACTTCCTACCTGGGAGCTACATGGGAACTTCCTCTCGTGTCGGCTCTTTGCTCTGGACCAGTGTGGCACCGGCGCAGCATCGCCTTGTTGTCCGGGCATGCCGTGCGACGGCAGCAATCCATTTTCTCAACCACAGGCTAAAGTGCCAGAATCGATAATTTATAAAGATAGAGGCGCGTCTCATTTAATTCCTTTCTCTGCATTCGGCCAATGGTGGTGGTAGCGCATTGGGAATCTCTTGATCCGATCAAGCTGCTGCTTTGCTCCCCTGATGCCCGGCGACCTGCTCTCCCGTTTCCGGCGTGCCAAATAAAATTCTGTTGCGAAACCACCCCTTCTGGTATGGCCCCCCGGCCTTTATTTTTTTCTCCTGAAAGTGCAGCCTGCGGGGTTTCTCGGCAATCATGCCGCATCTAGTCTCGTCATCTTGGGAGACAAAAATGCGAGAGACAAGAAAATAAAAACCCAAAGAAAGACGAGAGACAAGGAGAAAGAACAGAAAGATAGGTAGGAAAAGGAGGGGAAACAAAGATTTAGACTTTCGCGAATCGGCCGCGATTCATGATCTCTCGTATTTGCGATTGCGATTTGCTGGGGCGCGGCTGGCACGGGGGCTGCTGTGATCTCCTGGGCCCAGACCCTCCGGCGTGTAACGAGACAGGCGGCCATCCCACCCACCGCGAATGTGGCATAAAATTACAGGGTATAGAGGAGCCAAGACCGCGAAATATCTATAGCATATAACAACGATGGTAAATACATTGAAACTGATGATAAGCGACGTGGAAGCGAAAACCAGTGATGAAAGGGACGATGATATCTCGATCATAAGGCTCTCTCGGTGCTGCGCTGACAGTTCTTGGCGCCGCGCACAAGGGCGGATACGTCGTTCCGGTGCTGGACTGGCCGATCCTCCAGACCCTGCCATTTATGCCTCGGCGCTTCGGGGCCAGGGGGGCTCATCCCTCCTCGAATGCCACCGACGGTGAATGAACTCATTTCGCTGCCGATAGTTCTCTCGAACCGAGGTGTTATCCCACATGCAGGAAAATGAGGGCAGCTAGGCCGGACTCGCAGTCCGCAATCCGGATTCCCCCGGCGCGACGTGGCCTACTTCCGTGCAAAAATTCCGCCGGCACTTGCAATACCCGCACCCCTTTTTTTTTTTCGCCATCAGCTCGTACGGGTATGTATGTACATTAACATTGGGTAGCCACGAGAGCTTCGCCGGCGGAAAGGTTATCCCCCGAATTGAATCTCTCTCACCCCTCCTTTTCCTTTCCTCTCTTTCCACTTCGCCCTCGATATTTGCTTTCTTATTTTTAGCCGTGTGGCTGGACCCCGGGCGGCCGTCCTCGCTTCCATCATTGGGGCTTGCGCGGCCCACGCCAATCGACTGACATAAGGAGCAAGTACCTAGGTACCATAGCGGAAGTATCCGTCCGAAGTATCGTTCCGTAATGATGTATGGATACTTCCGTCTCCACGGTCATCAAACACCAAACGCCGCGACAACAAACGCTCCGCACGAGGCCCCCGAAGTCCGCCCTGCCGTGTCTTGAGGCGGCGTTTGCTTCTCATGCTCTTCTCAAATACGAGACGACAACTGTATCTTGGCGCATTTTGAATGGCGGATGATGATTCTACCTATTGGTGCGATAACATCCCCCGGTCCACCCGGTCCCACCTCGGCCCAAGGACAAGAAAATACCGCTCTACCCGGCCGTTCCATCAGCTCTGTCTGCCGATCCCCACCGATAAAAACTCGCCCCTTTTCCGTGCCGACGGCTCGCCTCCTCTTTGCTTGCTCCCTCTCTCTTCATTGAAATCATCGCCGCCGCACGGGGTCGCGGGAAACAGAGAAACCCCCTCCGGGCTCGTGCGTGATGCAACCAACCAACCCAAAAAAGTAATCCCCCTCTCCAGGTAGTTAGTGCTGGAAGCGGAAGTCGAGCCTCTTGTTCCCCTTGTCCTCGGTCGTGGCGAGGTATTCCATGCGCTCGTCCTCGCTCATCGACGTCCACTTCTCGTCCCTCTTCTTGTTCCGCCGCACGTAGTAGCCCTTGACCAGGAAGTACAGCACAATGTTCATGCAGTTGATGGCGAGCAGTTGACGGTTGCCGCGTTCGTACCGTGGCGCGTCATCTGGGTTGGGCACACGCCGTTGTTAGTTACAATACTTGCGGGAACACGGCTCATTTCCTGAGGGTAGGGGGATGGGAGAGGGAGTTATGTGCACACACCTGCTCGGTAGATGTTGGAGGAAATGATGCCGCTCGCCTGCACAAAGATGTTGTAGCAGGCGGCCGAGACGGTCCTGGACCGGACCGTGTTGGAGTTTCGCGAGTTCCATCCCACTTGGATCGGGTGTGCTAGATTCCGGCGCGTCAGCGGTTTGCTATTATTCAGGAGCAGAGACTCCCCTCCCCTTCCCACAACTTACCGTTCGGGTAGCTCAGCAGCAGCGTGGTGACGATCCAGATGATCCATCGGCTGACCTTCTGGGTGTCGGCGGCGACCAGGTAGATGAGGAACGGGAGAGCCCAGATCTGCCCGCTCTGCGCTACGAAGGTCAACTCGCCGACGATCTCGGCCAGATAGGTGAGGAGCAGCATCGTTATCACTGGGCCGCGGACGTTAGCGCTCTGACTCGATCGCCCGTTGTTAGCTCCGGTGGGGAGGGGCTGGGGTGCTCACTGTGCAAGACGGTTTTCGGGATCGTCAGTAGGTTGGACTGGAAGGTATCGAATCCGAGACCCCGAAGTGACAGTGTCAGGTACTGCTCCACCGGCGTCATCGGAATCTGGAAAACAAGACCGAGTATATACAAGGGCCTAGGACCGGCGATGTTAGTAGTCGAAAGGGGGGCATCTGTTCACTGGACGGGGGCTCCTCGTACCAGAGATCGAAATCCTTGAGGCTTTGCCAAAGGAGCTTCGGCGTGATGGGTTCGCGGTTGTGCATGGTGCTCTTGCTGGGGTCCTCGCGCAAAATGCGGTTGACCATGATCGTCTCCTCGCTGAAGAAAGGCTCTCATCAGTAACATGATCCTGGACCAGATCTGGGAAGGTTTTGGGGGCAATACCGTGGAGAGAACCATCCATTTTTCCCTCGAAACCAGCTCTGAGTTTGGCATGGTCCAGCAGGCATCAGCAAGAAGGAGAAGATGCCAACAACGAGCGTGATCAGTCCCTGGAGATGAGTCGTTAGTGGGGATGACTCTCATCGAGCCGTGGCGGAAGCAAAAGGTTTTGGGGAGTTCATCATACCTCGATCAGGAACAGCCACCTCCAGCCAGCCTGGCCATGGACGCCCCTCATGTGCAGTAGGCCATAGGCGAGGAGGGCGGAGAGAATGTCGGCAGTGCTCATAGCCGTCCAGAAGAATCCAAGACGGAGAGACATCTCGTGGTGCTTGTAAAAGTAGGAGAGATACAGAATAACCTGGCGGGATGGTCCGTTAGCCGCCCGCCCCTCGAGTCCTCGTCGTCATCAAGGTGGAGGGTAGTCTTGGGCGAGACTCACATCGGGGATGAAACCGCCTTGGAGTATGCCCAAAAGTGCACGGCAGATCAGGAAAGACTGCCTTCCAGACAGCCAGAACTGGGAACTCGCGACGATGCTCCAGAGAACCATCTGCGACGGAATCCAGCGATCGGGACCCATCCACTTAGACACCAGCTGAGATGGCAACTCTGAAAAGAGGAAGCTGAGCTTGAACACGGTATTCCCCAGGTTATAGTCTGCGTGGTTGGTTGTCAGTAATGCGATGGACACAGCGAGCGGACCGGACGACCACGATATCTTACGTACCATTGGTGGTCATGCTGAGGTCTTTAAGGAAGTTGTCCGTCAGAGCCTGGGAGATGTTTGCACGGTCCAGCTCGAGGGCCATGAACATGATACAGGTCCAGATCATGATACGAAAGTCGATCTTCCGGATAAGACGATGCTCTTCCGACCAGCTCCATCGTGCCAAGGGGTCAAAACGATGGACGTTCTCCCTGGAACGAGGTCAGCGTTCCGCGACGACTCATCAGGAGGCGATATAAAGGGAAGGGCGGGTTAATTACCAGTCGGCTCGTGGCTGGTATTTCTCAGCAGACTCAGGATCGTCGAAAACACTCGCCTGAGTAGCGATCGCGTCCGGGTCGTAGGATCTAGCTCGCTGCCACCAGAAGCGCCTCTCCTCGACCGCGACTCCCAAGGCGGGGATGCTTGTCAGGGAGGTCCGCGAAGAGGTGTCCACGGTCGACACCGCCACCTTCTCCTTGACGAGAACGGTAGACATGTCGACGCTAAAAGGTCAGTCAACCTTATGATTCGCCCGGTGTGGAAGAGGTGATTGGGTGCTAAGAGGGAAGGGGGGGGGGGGGCCTTGGTGGTGGTGACGGTTGAGCCTCTGATATTGGTTTCTCCGCGGGATACGGTGGTATTTAAGTACCCGCGGCTTCGCCAGGGCGTCTCAAGTATGCCAGCGGAGGTGCTCCCACGCCAAGAAGTCGACAATGCAACGCGTTTGGCTGATGAGTTCAGCTCCACGGGGCAACTTGACGGCACGGTCTGGACCCTGGAATGAGGAGGGTGGCGCAACGCCCGGGCACTGGAGGTACGACTTTGCCTCCAGCATCTCTATTAGTCCATGATGCGATCCACTTGCCTTCGCTACCAACCAGACGGCGGTGCCATTGACCATTCACCTTTGTGCAGAAGTCAGCAGCCTGGCCGAGACCCCCGGGAAGCGGTGCTGCACAAGCTGCCGGGAATATTGCGCCATGTGGAGAGGGGATTCCGACATCCGACTCCCGAAGACCCCTGGTGGTCAAGAAAACAAGACAGCACCGGGCTGCCCCCCTGCGGGCCATTCAGCCCCACCGGAGATAAGAACCCGACATACGCGGGAGCGAAGCCTCGCAGCAACCGAGGCCGGACTGCAGGACTGGTCCGGGGGCCGACGAGTTCAAGCCGGCACTACCGACTGGGGCACACACTGCGGTGCGACATGGCCTCTTTGCCAATGTTTCTGGGTTGGGCAACGGCAACGGTATGGAAGCTCCTAGTTGCCTGCTCTCCGTACGCTGCTGCCAGCCGTTTGGCTAGGTCTGCTCGATCGGTCTGTTAGACCGAGCCGCATCACAGAAGGGCCATTTCAGTTGGCAGAAGTCGATCTTCGTGTGGAGCTTGCCTCTTGCATCGGTGGTTGCCAGGGTCGGAGGGGTTGGGGGGATGAGAGGGTTGCAGCTTCCCAGGCACGATTTGGAGGGCTCAGCAACCGAGACCCGAGTCGCGAATGCTGGCTGCTTGGTAACTATATTGCGTGATTGTTGTTTTTGCGCATGGCCCTTGATGCAGATGTTCCAACAAGATAAGATGGCCAGGTGGGATTGGCCAGCACGAACGATGGCGGTTACACTAAAATGTCGTACTGGAAGACTTCCTGGTATGATTAATAAATATATTGTGCCTTCATCATTGGGGGTCAAGATTGTGCAATATCGTCGCTCTCAGGTCGGAGTGTGGAGGAGCGAGAACTGCGGGGAATGAAGCTGGGTCGCAACAAAGCGCAGCCTATCACAGGCGGTAGGCAACTGCCCCCATAGGATTCCGTGATCGATCGATAGGTAGTTACCAATTGCCACCAACACGAATCCCCTGCATTTTCTGCCATTGCAAAGCCGGATATCGCTGCTACACCTCACTCTGGACGACAAGCTAGACTTACGATAGTTCACAAATCACATCCAATAATGTGCCTCCCCTCCGTCGGCCAGACCCAGCATTCTGGACAAGGAGCATCACGAAATCGACACCTGCGGGATCGTCATGACACCCGAGTTGCCGATTCGACCCTCCAGCATCGGGGAGTGTGACAGGATACGAGAGACGGAGTTGCCCAGTATGCGTAGTCGACATCTGCCTGGAATGCTACCCCCGCACATATAATAAGCCGTTGAAGGACCGAGGACATCGTCATGACTCCCCCAGTACTTCTCGTGGACGCCGACTCATCCAGCATATTCCCAAGAGCGAGCAACAAGAACCTGAATCACGAACATCCACCATGGCCCCTTCAGCAGTTGATATTAGCACTCCCGAGCCAGTCTCCAAGTCGCAAAGCCGTGAGCCCCTGAATCTTTCCGGAGCATTGGACCAGTATGAGTCCTTCGACGTCACGCCCGTCATCGGGCGAGAGTTTCCGACGGCGAAGCTCGTTGACTGGCTCGACTCCCCAGACTCGGACAGTCTGTTGAGGGATTTGGCCATCACCAGTAAGGAACCCGCCGTCTGGTCGATCGAGCGCGGAAGCAATGCGCTGACCAGTTCTGTGCAATTTAGTCTCCCAGCGGGGTGTGGTCTTCTTCCGCGCCCAGGACGGCCTCACCAATGACCTCCAGAAGAAGCTGATCCTGCGGTTGGGTGAAGTCACTGGCAGGCCCGCAACATCTGGCCTTCACATTCACCCCATCCTGAACTCGGAGCGCGAAGGAGGAGGGAGCGATCCCGAAATCAGCACCATCAGCTCGGTGCAGTTTGGCAAGTTCTACCGCGAGACCGCCACGGATGAGCTCAGCCCCAAGAAGCAGAGCAGGGCGCAATGGCATAGTGATATTGCCTTCGAGCCCGTGCCAGCGGACTACACGTCTCTGAGACTCACGGAGCTACCGAAGACGGGAGGAGGTAATTAGAACCCCACCGCCTGACCTGGTCTATGAAGAGCCCCCGCTGATAAAAACGATGAATTAGATACGCTCTGGGCGTCTGGCTACGAGATCTACGATATCATCAGCGAGCCGTATCAGAGATTCCTCGAAACCCTGTCCGCCACCTTCGAGCAGCCGGGGTTCCACAAGGTTGCTGAGCGCTCCGGGTTCAAGCTCTACGACAAACCCCGAGGCGCCCCCGAGAATGTGGGCACGGAGCTGAAGGCCGTCCACCCTATCGTCCGCACGAATCCGGTTACGGGATGGAAAAGCATCTTCCCCGTTGGCGGCCACGTGAAGCACATCAACGGCCTGGCCGAGGACGAGAGCAAGAAGTTGCTCGCCTGGTTCCTGGACTTGGTCTACAAGAACCACGACTTGCAGGTTCGGTTCAAGTGGCAGAACCCGAATGATATTGGTGAGATGCAGCCCCTTTCCCGCCTCCCCCATACTCCTATACCTACCTATGGTCAGGCACAAGACCACCTGCTAACTCTCCGTCCAGCCATCTGGGACAACCGCAGCGTCTTCCACACGGCCACGTTCGACTACGAGGGCTATGGCGAGCGGTTCGGGAACAGGGCTGTGGGACTGGGCGAGCGCCCGTATCTCGATCCCAAGAGCACTTCTCGCCGGGCTGCGTTGGGTCAAGAGATTCCCAAGTGAAAGAGTGACGTCGATGCAGTCAGTTAATGTAACATTGCATTTTGTCTCCTGATTCAAATCCTTGAGTGCTCTTCGTGTGTAATCAGTCCGAGCCTCTTCAGAAGTTGATCTCCGCCCAATTGAAAGTCAAACCGTAACTCACTTTTAGAATCACGGGCAGACACACTTGCCCATGAGTGCGTCAAATTCACTTTCAGGCAGGGCTGGGGGTTGGGGCGTTTGTTTAAGTGAGCTCCGAACGGAAGTCTGTCATACTCAAGTCGCAAGAAAGATTCATGCACCAGCGTCATCGCTTATGCGCTGCAAAGTAGTTACGGAAGATTTGGCATGATCTCATTTATATTCAACAGAAGAGTCATATAAGCAGTATTGTACATATTGTACCCGCTTTGTGTTAGACTTGAGTATGACTTGGAGCAATTTCTGCTTACAGGAGTGCTGTGTTATGTGACTGATCCTGTTGCAATGATGTCTTATCTAGTTAGCTCCATGGCAGGATATCGAACTTGTCCTGAAGCGTTTTGGGGACAGAGGCTCGATTAATACTAGAGTAAGGGTAGTGTAAAAACTTGTGTATGTTTGACTCAGCCGTCCTGTCTGTAATTCAAACCAAAATAGTTAGAGATACTGCTTGGCATCATTAGCACCATTCTCCTCCCCACATTAGACCACGAAGGACACCCGGGCTACTAGGCTATCAACATCGTCGCTCAGAACCAGCTCGTGGACTGGCTCAAGTTGAATCTGGCGGACATTGTCACTATGCATCTCGACACAAACGACATCTTTCTTAGGAACCACAAGACTAGAGATTATCACGGCATTGGGCAAGCTGGTGGACCAGATGCGTGACAGCAATCCAGCAATGAGAATCATTGTAAGACTCAAAGCAATTCTAACATATCAAGTTGGTCCACATGTTACTCACCAAGGTCAGGTGGCCCAAATCATTGCTCTCCCTGCGGTTAGCAGGCTTCTCCAAGGATAGATGCTCATATTTGATCGCTTCATTACTGAGATTGCCTCATCTGTAGTCCTGATAGCAAACATAAGACATCCAGCCACGACACCCAGTCCAAGGTAGGTGGGTCACACGGAACCCCTGATAGGAGACGTGGGGAACAGCCACTCGGCGATTCCGTTGCCGAAGACTGGGCTGGGTTAATGCTCTTCAATCCTGCGACTGCATGATTAGAAGTTTCTAAGAGATGCGGATGTCTGATTCATATTGGCCTTCACCGGAGCTTCCATGTCTGTGAATTACGAGGCAGGTGTCCGACCATGCGGGGCCGTTGGCTGAGTCGATGGGAGCGGCTGACTTCGGCCCCACTTGATCTCGGATCGAATCCGAGATATCGTCGTGTCTTGGTGGCCGAACAATACGCCGATCTGACGGTGGAAAGTATAGATAGCAAGTACGTACCCATTTTTTCTTCAATGCCACTCACCATTTCCCTTTCATCCTTCCCTTTGCAATCCGTACCTTTACAAGCTGTCCAACCTTTGTGTGAATCACCCTATAACAGAGGGAAACCGTCCCAGCACAGTCATTCAAGGGGCCCAATTTCCGGATCTCATCCGCAAAAACCACCCAAAACACACCCAAAAAAACAGCACAAAACAACCAAATGCCCCTCTCCCACATCCTCATCCTCGGCGCCGGCCCAGCCGGCCTCTCCGCCGCCCTCGCCATCTCGCAACTGCCCCCACCCCCATCCCCGGCCGCCGCCCCCCGCCTCCGCGTCACGGTCCTGGAGCTCCGGCCGCGCGGCGCAGGAACCACGCTCGGCGGCGCCGTCAACCTGACGCCCCTGGCGCTGCGGTACCTCGACCGGCTCGGCGGGGCGGGAGCGCTCCTCCGGCCGCGCGGCTGCGCCGTCGGGGCGGGGATCGACATGGTGGCGCTGCGCACGGGCAGCCGGCGCGGCACGCTCTGGCGCGGCGTCGACATGCTGCGCGTGCGTCGCCACGACCTGGCTGAGAGCCTGCGAGGCGCGGTGGAGGAGGGGGACGCGCAGGCCGCCGATGGCCGCGGAGGAGGAGTCGAGCTGCGGTACGGCGTGTCGGTTGTGGGGATCCGGGAGGAGGGCGAGGCTGGTGGGGAGGGGGCCGTGGTGCTGGAGCTTGAGGGCGGCGAGGAGATCAGGGGGGATGTGCTGCTTGGGTGTGATGGGTTGCATAGCGTGGCGCGGACGAGATATGTTGAGCCCGAGAGGGAAAAGGTGTACTCTGGTAGGGTCAATGCGTATGGGTATGCGAAGGTAGAGGAGCCGGGGAAGGCGGGGATTACGAGGTCGGATGGGCAGCCTTGCGTGGTAGATAGTACGCTCATCTCCGGCCGGTATGGCTCGCTTCTCGCGACTTTCTTCGAACCAGAGAGGAAGGGTTTGTTCGTGGCTGCGGTGATGGGCATGAAGGATGTGGGAGAGGACGAGGATGCGAGGGACGGGTGGAAGGCCATGGGCGACGACAAGGCGAAAGTGAGAGAGGATATTGCGAGGCGGTTCCGCGACGGCAAAATATCTGGAGTGACTGAGCTGGTGGAGAGTGTGGAGGAGTGGAACCTGTTCCCCGTGTATCAACTTCCTCCTCAGGGTCGATGGTCCAGGGGGAGGGTGATCCTGCTCGGCGACGCTGCCCACGCTGTAAGTCCCGCAGCGTCTTCTTCTCCAAAACCTGATATCTCTATGCTAACTGTCGGTGTCTAGATGCCACCTCAAGGGGAGAGCACGGGTGTTGCCATTGAGGACGGTGTCCTTATCGCCCGGATTCTCCAGCGACACACAGAGCGGAGCATACCTCAGCTCTTCGACGACTATGAAAAATTGCGACGAGCACCAATCGACAAGCTGTACAAAGAGTCGGTTTGGAGATGGGACAACGCAGCTAAAGACGATTCTGGTTGGCTGCATGCTGTTTTCAACGACTGGATGATCACGGCGGTTCTGGCCTTTATGGATTTCAACCAGTCCGATTACTTTGCCAACGACGTGGAGAATCTCCAGTTGCCGCCCTGATGTCTCGCCAGAGGCATGCAAATATCAGTAATCAATTCTCCTCTCTAGATTTCGTGGCGACATTTCTACATTTATTATTGGTGGCAACCCCTTGCTTTATGGTATTGTATTGTACAGTACCTTATTGTGGTGGAGCATACTCCAGTGTATTCTAACAGGAGGGCATGGCAGGAGGGGAGTAACTGGTCATATAACCATGTAAATAAAAAGCAAATGGAATTCAGACTCTTTGCCTCTTTGGGGCTCAGGTGCGTTGAGGACTTGAGAATATTTGGGGCTTTGGGGCTTAGGTTCTTGAAAGCAGTCAAACTTGTTTCGTGGAACAATTATGGCGACGAAATATTGACAGTGACCAATATGGGAAAGTCTGCTAGTCCTCACAAATAGGGGAGATAGATTAGGAGCCATTGATCCATTCGCCAGTTCTGGTCCAGATTTCGTCATGCAGAGCGGGCCGAGATAAATTGCGTGATCAGCACAGGGACGGGACCTACTGCGTATGCGATTGCCCCAACATAATACCTCGACGGAATACACACCAGCGAGCCAGCTAAAAACCATCGTTTTGGATGATACCAAAATAACCGCTAGTGAAAACGATGACCTCGAGCCACGACTCCGAGGATGGGCCCCATAGGCCCCTCCTGGCAGGCTCCCCGCAGCAGGAAGCGTACGGAGGAGCAGTAGCAGCAGGCGGGAGGAGCGCGACCCCGCCGACCCCGGACAGGCTCGAGCGGGGTGGCACATTCACCCGGAACCTCGGGGCGTTGGAGGCGTTCGGCATCGTCATAAGCATCGTCATTGGCAGCGGCGTCTTCACGTCGCCCGGGTCCATCGACGCAAACGTGCCGTCGCCGGGCATGGCCCTCGTCACATGGCTGGTCGGCGGCGTCCTGGCCTGGACGGGAGCTAGCACGCTGGCCGAGTTGGGGACCGCGATCCCCGGACAAGGTTCGTCTCAAGATAGAGCGCCCTTCCTGCCAAAAAAATGGTGCGAGGTAAAGGGTTTTAATTGACGCCATGGTTCAGGGGGCGTGCAGCCGTACCTTCAGTACATCTTCGGCGACGTCTTTGGCTTCTTGGCGGCCTGGACGTGGGTCGTTGCCGTCATGCCCGCGACGCTCGCGATCCTGAGCATCGTCTTCGTGGAAAGCATATTCTCTGCCGCAGGCGTGACGGACCAGGCCGGGAGGATAGAGCACAAGCTACTCTCCGTGTTCATCCTCGTCGTCATCAGTGTGGCGAACTCGATCAGCACAAAGGCAAGCACTCGGCTCAACAATTTTTTCGTCCTCACCAAGTTTGTTACCATCTCGGCCATCGTGCTTGCCGGCATCGTTGTCGTGATTGTCCAGGTCTTGAGTCCGAGCAGGGACGACGTCGGCGGGAGGGATTGGTTCACCAGGCCCTGGTTCGGGTACAGGAAGAGTGTGACGCCTGGCGGGGGTGAAATCGATTGGAACGATCTGGGGCAGTGGGAGATCTTTGGGCACTATTCTGCAGCGTTATATGGAGCGTTGTGGGCATATTCCGGGTGGGACAAGGTAGGACCTGAAGAAACCAGGATGGGATGATCCATCAATAAATAGCTGATGCTTTCCAGGCCATCTACATCTCGGACGAACTCTCAGCACCCGAACGCCAGTTGCCCCTCGCGATCAATTCCGCCCTTCCCGTCATCATTGTCTGTTTCATTACTTCGAACGCAGCCTACTACATCCTCCTGCCATGGGACGTGGTTTCTACAACTGACAGCGTGGCAGTGGTAAGCGCATTTCTACACCCACAAAGCATTTCTGACTCCCAGCTGAAATCATCATGTCTAGACGGCGATTACTCGCCTCTTGGGCTCGGCATTTGGCATCCTCTCTGCGGTTCTGATCTGCCTGGTCGTCGCCGGTTCCTTGCTCGGCAATTCCTTCGTTGCCGGTCGCATGGCAGTAGCTGCGTCGCACAAGGCGTGGCTCCCCGGTGTATTTGGCCTGCTTGGACATGTCGGGACCAGAGTGATTTATCAGGACGCCCCTGAAGACCCCAGCGATTGGACACGTTCACCGAAAACCTCCAGGTCGGACGCGCCAATCAACGCCATCATTCTCTCAACCATCCTCTCGGCGCTCTACATCCTCTTTGGGAATTTCCGCGCCCTCCTCACGTTCAACGGCCTCGGAGAGTACTCTTTCTTCTTCCTGACCGTCCTCGGCGCCATCATCCTGCGATATCGTGAGCCGGGTCTGAAACGTCCGTATAAACCCGTGTTGCTGGTGCCGGCGGTCTTTGCTGTCGTGAGCGGGTTCGTCGTGGCGAGAGGGGCAATATTCGCGCCCGTCCAGGCGATCGTCCTGGTCCTTGTCTGGGCGCTTGGTTTGCTCTTCTATTGGGCCAGGAAGCAATGGGCGACGGTGAGGGCGGCCCGTCGACCTCACCCTGACTGATTGAGATCCTCACGCCTCCCGAGACCTGTTCCCAAAGCTGGTGTGCGCGCGGGCCCTGTCTGGCAGGGATGGCATTTGGTGGTTGAATCGCAACCCCGCTGCAGGTCGGTGCCCGTTAATCTTGGCGACTGCGGCACGGTAAATAAGGCCTCTTGGCACTTGTGAGAGGCGCTAGGGTGACAGATCGCGTCGACAATTGCCGCAAGGGAGACGCGCGGGAAGATGCCCGAGGCACTAGCGCCTTCATTTGGGTTACAGTGAAAACGAAGAAAAAAAAGACAGAGGGGCATGCAAATCAGGTCGTTCTGCTGCTCTAATTACAAGCTGTCCGACGTATGTAATGTACAGTACATACCTACATGGTGCAGGCCCATTTGGAAGGCGATTCAAAGCATCCATTGCGCATGGCTTTTCCCCTCCAGATCGTTGGAGACGGGAACCCGGTTGGGTCAATGACGGTGTCCTCTCCCCCAATCACATAATTAAGATTGGCTGGCACTAAGGCGAAGATCGCAATCCCAGCGGGGCGCCCGAACCGTGGGGGTTGGGGGCGCCATCATTTCCCCGATCGCCAGTGGACCCTATGTAACTGGAGAGCTGGAGCCGGGATGCTGGCATGAGTGGCTTTGAGGTAAAAGGAATATGTACTCAGTCATGGTGGGCACACTGCCTGCATTTAGTGTACATGAGCAAACCCGATGCGACAGGTCACACTGGACCGATCTGCGAAATGATAATAACATAAGGCCAGATCGACAGGAGATCAAGCACGGTCGATCATGGGACCCAAGAAATCAAGGATCGAGCTGAGGAAGTCAAGGAGGGAAGAAAAAATCCATGTTTTTGTGGATTTGCTTTTTTGGCTCTCAGCCTAGGCAGCGTAGTGCGAGTCTGCCCGAACATGGCCGGTGTGGCGCGGCGTCCTGGGCTCCGGTACGTCGTTCCCCCCTCAGATCTCGCCGTCACATTGCATTATCACCTCGCCCATGGTATGTGAGCCGCGCATAACTTAGTACGCAGGAGTAAGCTTGCACGAACAAAGTGCCGATCGACACATCATCGCACGGCGTTTTCCTCTGCCCTCCCCCCCCCCCCCCCCAACCCGGATGATGCACCTCTAATGATAAGAAAACAAAGATACATCATTCCTCGGGCCCTCCTGGAGTCACCTCGCCACATTCCGGGTCCTGAGTCGTTGTGTAATTTTAAACTTTAAACTCTCGAACCCGCTCCCGGACTCTTCATCCACCTCTTGCTGCGGCTCGAGAACAATAAGCTGGACCCAAATTAAAGCCACTCAGTAGTAGTGTAGACCCCACCCGGGGTAGAATGCAACGTCGCGCAGCAGTACCCCCAGGCTGCCAAGCTGCCGGTCTGCCAGGGAGAGCTCCCGATCGGCGGGACGGTCCCAAAAGCTACCAAAAGTATCACTCACAAAAGATGAGATCGACACAGGAATATTTGCGCTACTGCATGTGCGATCGACTTGTGGCGCTCTGACACTGACAGCCCAGCTTTCCGCCCGCAAATTTTGCTGAGAGTGAGAGAGTGAGCCTGCACTCGTAGCCTCTACATAATGACCGCCGCTCTCCCTCTTTCTGGCACTTGCCGCGTCCCGTCAGGTCCAGACTTCGTTCCTTCGAAGGAACAGCTCTCCTCCCACAATTTACATTCCCTTCCAGCCTCGTTTCCTTCTCCGGTCGATGATCACGCCTCCCAGCAACAACCTCCGTCAGCAGCCTGTCAGTCATTACTAGCTAGCTCGTAACCATGGGCTCGGAATTTGGCATCACCGCCGATACCAAGGCGGAACTGAGGCTCAATGGAGTCGGCATCTTCTGGATGACCTTTGGGTGCGTCTGGACCTGCCTCATCATCGGTGGAATGGCATTCCTCTACGGCAATCGCCACACGCCGCTCTTGAGGATCCGTGGCCTGCATTTGTCGATGGTGGCCGTCACCCTGCTGCACCTGTACTGGTTCATCATCCAGTTCCTCTACACAATTGGCCCCTTGATGCCCGAGGAGGTCGAGTTCTGGTGTATGAGCACATACCTTCCTTTTGGAATCGGTCTGTTCCAGGCTTCGAACTGCCAGTTTCTCTATGTTGCGAAGGCACAGAAAAGGTTTCTGGGAACCGGGGGCGTCGCTGCTGCCCGGCCCAAGAAAGATGCTGCCACGCGCAAGTCAGTATTGGACCGTTTCAGACGGCTTGACTATCCGACAAAGATGACTATCTGCGTCTTCGCCGGGCTGGGATTCCAGGTGCGTGTTGCGACTCTCTCTCCCTCCACCCCTCCTCTCTCCCTCAGCCCTGTGACATGATTCATGAGACTAACATCGCCGTCTTAGCTTTTCCTGACCATCTTCATGTACCTCATCTCCCGCAAATTCCACTCCGGCTGGGGCATCCCGGGCACCGAAGTCCACGGCACTCCCATGGAACAGAAAGTACAGCAGGGTAGGGGCTGGGAATGGTACGCACCCCTTGTGTCCCGACCACACTGATATTCTTATCTAAACAATAACCGATAGGTGGCCATCAATCTTCTGGCAGTGCTTCTGGGCGTGGATCATTGCCCCCATTATTCTCTGGCAATCCCGCGGAATCCACGACACCCTGGGATGGCGAGCTCAGACTATTGGATGTTGTCTTGCTGGGTTGGTTACTACCCATCGCCCTCAACTCCTCACTTCAGTACACTGACCTCAGGGAAAAGACTCCACGCGACTCCGATGTGGCTCATTGCCATTTACGTGCCGGGAATGGCCCCCGTAAACAGCTATTTCCTTCCTCCTCAGTGGTACGTACCTATATATTGAGCATCTGTTCAAGTCTCCAAGCAGCAGCAAGCCAGCAAGCAGTGAACTAACCGACCGTTTTTTACAGGATTTGCCTTTCGATTATGATGCTCGAGATCTTCACCATCTTCATTCCGTGCTGGCAGGTCATGAGACATCGGTCCCTGCGACAAGAAACCCTGGAGTCAATCGCCGCCTGGGAGTCCAAGAACAAGAGCGTCGGCCAACATGCAGATTCCTTATTCACGGGAACCACAAAGATCTCGAAGGCGAGGTCAGATTGGAAGTCGCTGTCCAGCGTCGAGAGGTCCGGCTCGTCCCAGGGTTCGCAGTATGGCGGCATCTTCACCATGGACGCCCTCGAGTCCGTCCTCGAGCGGAACCCCGGCCCGCTGCGGGAGTTCTCGGCACTGAGGGATTTCTCCGGAGAGAACATTGCCTTCCTGACGAGCGTCGCAAAGTGGAAGTCGTCGCTGCACCCGTCGACCAGAGGTGGTTCTTCCGAGACGGCGGCGGCGAAGGAGGCCAAGACAGCTGGCACGCACGACCAGACGCGCCGCGAGCAGTTCAACGGCGCCCTGCGCATCTACGTCGACTTCATCAGCCCGCGCGACGCCGAGTTCTCCATCAACATCGCCTCGAACGACCTCAAGAGCCTCGAGGCCGTCTTTGAGAAGCCAGCCCGCATCATGTACGGCGACAAGGGCGCCGTCAACCCGGTCACGCCGTTCGACGGGTTCGACTTCTCCTCCCCCCCGCCGTCGTCCTCGGCCGCGGACGCCAAGTCTCTGGCGTCGTCGTCGTCCCAGGGCTCCTCCGAGAAGCCACCCAGCATCGCAGAGGAGATCGGCGACAAGGTCCAGTACTGCGGCGACATCCCCGACGAGTTCAACGGGTCCGTTTTCGACGACGCCGAGAGGAGCATCAAGTACCTGGTCCTGACCAACACGTGGCCCAAGTTCGTCAAGGAGAGGCGCTACTCGCTGGACTCGGTCGACTCCCAGTTCACCCTGGAGTCGCAAACCTCGAGCAAGACGCTCTCGAGGGCGGTGAGATATCTGAGCTCGGTGAAAAGCACCTTGTCTTTTAGGTCGGGATGAGTAGTATAATCAATCATCAATCATAGTCAAATTGTAATCATCTTCCTCCCACGTTCCGCTCCTATTGTGTGCTTTTTTGTGCGAAAGTCAAGAGCGATCTCCATCAGTTCCACTCTTTCCATCAGCCGGGAGCAGAGCATACAACGTTCCATCTCAAGTCACTCCGGGAAGAGAGTTCCCCGAAGTATACAGGTCGGCCCCGCATCCGTCGCCGCATCCCGATGCGAATGGCCGGCAGGCCTGACGACCGCGTGAGCAGTGGAATGTCAACGAAGCCGGCACATCTGTTCCTTACCTTGCTTGCTGCTTCCAATACTGCGTGGGCCATCCCGAAACACGTCTTGCCATTCGCAGGCTCTACCTCCTCTGAATCATCTACCTAAATACCTCCCGGGCTCACACGACGTCACATACAAACAGCTGGTGCGAACCGGCTTAATAAAAGATCAGTCTCATTAAAAAGAACGGAAGAAGAGGTGCTGAATTTATTTACATGTCGAATAAGATCGTCCTCTGAGTGAGGGACAACGAATAGAGAGCGTCAAGTCGTAAGCAGTAGTATCAAGGCCACCGAAAATATGTACAGTGCAAGGCAAAAAGAATATATGCATGATAAAAGAGAGACATCACATGGGTCAGGGGTAATGACAAAGAAAGACCTGGACCCAGCTTGATTCGAATCCAAAGCAACCAGCGCATGCGTTCTTCCATCCCAAAGCTGAGCGAAGGTGGGAGAAGGAAGAAGCAGGTTTAGAAAAACAGTAACGACTGGATACCGTGGGACATTTTCCCTCCCAACTCGACTCGGAACGACATCTACACCATCCCAGCAGCGATGTTAGCATACGCGCTATTCGGGTAGCTGAGCAGGTTTTCCGACGCGGCCAGCGAGCCACCGAGGGCCTTGTAGCTGGTGAGGATGAGGCTGGCGTCGTCGGTGCGGTCGGCCGAGGCCTCCCAGAACATGCTTCCCGCGAGGCCTCTGCCGCGGAGGTACGCCACCTTGCGCTGGACCATGTCGGCCGTGTCGTACGAGATCATCTCCCTCGTCGCGCCGTCGTAGCTGTACGTCGCGCCCGCCGCGCCGTCGTACACCTCCTTGGCCCCGGCCCGCGGCAGCGCCTTGTAATCCCACACCCCGTTCTCCCACGACCCGCTGCCGACGCCGCCCGTGTACGGCTTGCCCGGCCCGGCCGTCTGCTCGAACGACCGCCCGTAGATGGGCATGCCGAGCACGATCTTGGCCGCCGGTACGCCCGCGGCCAGGTAGGCGTCGATGGCGGCGTCGGTGGAGAAGGGCGTCGACGCCGGGTTGCCCGGGTCGCGGTACAGGTTCGCCTGGTGGCCCGAAGTCGAGTCCCACGAGCCGGCGTAGTCGTAGGCCATCAGGTTGAAGAAGTCGAGCACCTTGGACATGGCCGCCAGCTGCATCTTGCCGTAGTTGTCCGGCCCCGCCGGCGACGCGATCGTCAGGAGGAAGTGGTAGCCCCGGGCGTGCGCGGCCGCGTACGAGTCGAGCTCGGCCCGCACGGCCTTCAGGAGGTCGACGAGGTTCTGCGCCTGCACGGCGTCCGCCGGGTACTCCCAGTCGACGTCGATGCCGTCGAACCCCCAGTCGCCCATCAGGGCCACGGCGCTCTGGGCGAAGAGAGCCCGGCTGGCGGGCGTGCTCGCCGCCGCGGCGAAGTTGGTCGAGTAGGTCCAGCCGCCGATGCTGAGGAGGACCTTGAGGTGCCTGTTGGCCTTCTTCAGCAGGTACAGCTGCTTGACGCAGCCGTAGGCGTTGTTGCCGATGTCGTTCCAGGCTATGGAAATGGTCAGTGGTGCGAAACTCAGCAGTTCAAAAGTTAGGTGGCAGCTCACAGTCATTGGGGTAGTGCTTCTCGAGGTCGCTGTATGTGTCCGAGGAGTACCTAACCACCAAATCAATACCTCTAGGCCTGCATAACCTAGCGAGTTTCTTGACTTACACCTCCCCGGTGGAACGCAGGTTGGCAAATGCATAGAGGACGAAGCTTATCCGAGAGGCGGGAAGCTGTGACGGCTGGTAATCCCGCCCGTAGATGCCCCTTATATCCCATTAGCATGGTAGACATTACTTCCTCATCCGCCGTGTCGGACAGAGCATACCAGTTGGTGAAGTAGACAGCGTTTTGATATCCGGAAGACTTATTCTCGACCTGGTCGACCTGGTGGACCGGAGATGCTTGTGCAGACCAGGACAGAGCCAGCACGGCCAACGACAGTCTCAGAAAAGAAAAGGCCATGATTGGTAGAGATCGTGGAAGAATGAAATGCTAAACCCCGTTGCCCATAGTGATTAGCTTCATCGGCAGAGGGTTCGATCCCAGGGAGATATATATAGGCCATCTAATATCGCCCTGGTTCCAGTGAGACATGGATGGCTATGCGCGTGCCAAAGGCACCCTCCATAGTCCTATCCCCTGTCAAACGTCAATTTCATGATCGTCCGCCATAACTGGGCACGCGCTTACTCAAGCGCGGCCGCATCTCGCAACGTTGCCCGTGTCCACTCATGGCCTCGAGACGCAGATCCCGTGGACTTGGCTGGTGCCGGGATAGGGGCGTTCCGTCCTCCCTTCTCGATTGAAGAGGAAATTGAGCAGCTCAAGGACGGCAGGTGGTGAGTGGGAGGTGATGGTCATTTCCGCTCGTGGTCTCCGCAACGTTGCTGGAATCGCCGGTTCGCCCGAGGTCGCGGACTCCCTCACCGCGTTTGGGGACGGGGCCCGACGCTGGCATGCGTGCTAATCTGTCTTGGGGGCTCGAGCCGGAATTGGGGGCTGATCATCTGGGCACGCTGGCCAGTCGTTGTGTCTGGCAAGCCTGGTCCTGGTTGGTGACTTTTTTTTGGAACCCCCAATATCACGCTGGGCCGAGATGGGACCCACGCGGAGGAGCGGTTCCTCGATTGCCGCTTTCCGCTTTTAATGGCCGGGGAGTGACCGGGAAATAAAATTGGAACATCGCTGCTAGGAACCACCCCCCCCCCCCCTTGTACGGTCTTCGTCACGTCGCGTGAGAGGTACCTATGGGGTATCGTTTGGCATGTGGGGATGAAATCAGATCAATCAATCAAATCGGATGGATCCACAGCAGAAGGGTCGGGACGCCAGGCACCGGCAGTCTTGCCTGCACGAAATGGCAGGTATGGCAGGGCTGTCGCCGAATCAGGAAGGTCCCCGGGATTTGCTGCGCGTGGGAGGGGAGGGGAAGCGCCGAATTCTCTGCTTCCAGGCGGGGGTGGAAAGGCCCGTTCGATCTGGATGGAGGGTTAGGCAAGCAAAGCACGGCAGTAATCTGGTGTAGCCAGGTTGGACGAGGTATGTACAATACGTAGGTTTGTATGAAGAAAATAATGGTCAATATCAAGACCGTTCAGCCGGGACACCTGTTCATTTAATCGGCACCTGCAGCACCCACGTGGCGGCGGTCTTACACCTCAACCAATATCATCCAAACCCGGTTTCACCTGAGAGAATATAAACATGGTCTTGCCTTACACAGGCCCCTTGTCGAAAAAAAGAGGACGCGTTCTTCCCCAAAAATCCAGTCACGTATCGAGAAGCCATTAGTTTCAAAATAGAGCCGAGTATGCCCAAGTTGACATTCTTGGCCAGGGGGTGCCCCACTGCAGAATACAACCCAACCCAACCCAAGCCAGCAAGCCAGCAGACCAGGGAGATGAACTGGCCGACTCCTTCCGTCTTCCTTCCCTTCTATTTGTTACATCGAGAAGTCCTAATCACCTTTGCAACGTTACCCGGTATCTGGTAATTACCTACCTTACGTATCACTGAATTATCGGGCTTGCTCGAGTACGCCTTTTCTTTCTCCTGGTATACTGCGTAATTATCTAATTGTGCCTTATAAGTGGCCCCAGGAAGTGTGACCTGCCCCTGTCTCTGTACAAGGACATCTCGAGATTATATGGCCACATGACTTTGCAACTTGAATCTTTTGGTCCCTTTTATAAGTCAGAGATACACCGTGGAGGTGATAAGGTGCTCTGCAAAACCTTTGGCATCAGTAACGGTGTCGTCAGGAGACATGGTTGATAAAGCCTCAACTCGGGGCCTCGTGGATAGCTTTCTGTAATTAGATGGTGTTGCGAGAGGTGATTTATTTTTCTTCTGCTAAACTGTAACGAAGTCTAAAGACGATCAAATCAAGACCGACTTAATCTGAACACACGAATTCCAGACAGGGATGTTGGTTGTCTTGACAAGGCTTACACAGTTATAAAGGAAATTTGTGCTTCGTACAGCCTGGGTTCGCCGTTCGACATCGCCCTGTCGTCTGGCACCAACTATGCTTAGCCTTAGTAGAAGGACAACTCGATAATTTGAACCCTCGCTGTAGATAGTTCTGGAGGGCCTGGTATAGTGCGGTAAGGTCATTGGCCGAGGCGAGAGTTACCTGCTGCATACTAGAAAAGCGGCGGAACGCGGCAGCAGGGAAAGAAATTGATATATATATATAAAGGGGGACAGTTTTGTCAGGGGAGAAGGCGAAAGAAAAGCAAAAAGAATGCCCAGCCTCGGAATCGCACCTAGAACCAAGGTATATCTTGGCCGCTTCATGGGATATTACTACGACTACTCTCTCGATTACCATTAGACCAATCGGGCGTTTATTTGATTGGAAAGAGAGAATGCCGCATTCGTTTATCAATTATACCTGGTAACAACACCGCCTATTGGTGCTCTAACTGGCAATTAGGCCCCAAGGAGGTTATTGGAAGTAAAGAGCACTTGTGGATCGAAATGGTGAAATGAATGAGTCCCGGATTTAGGGAATCGTATTGATCGGGTTATCCCGTTGACTAGTTACACCTTCTCGAGACAGCACGGAAATACCATCCCAACCAAGATATCCTGCATCCAGCCTGTGCTTTATCTAATGTTATGTATTTACAGCCGAGAAATATGTACAATTCTATAAGCCAAGTCTTAATCATATGTGCTCCGCCATGCCCAGCGTATTGTTGCCGGCGTTGAAGGCGACAAATTGGGACTTGAAGAAGACGTCGCCCCAGATCTGAAGATCTGAGGTGGTGGGCTGAACACCGCCAAAGCAAGCTAATCGATAGTGTCAGCGTGATGCGCTCGGGTAAACAAGCAGGTATATAGATAGATAGGTCACTTACTGTTGCCTTGGACTTTGGCGAAGTTGATGTCAGAGCCCTTAACGCGAGCCATGTACAGGCCACCAACATCGAGCATCAGATCGGGAAGCTCTGCATCGCAAGGAAAGGTAATGCCTCCAGCCTGGGCATCGTTTCGGGCCCCTCGAACCTGGCTGTAATAATTCTTGGCAACCTCGGCGCTGGTAAGGAGGAGAGTCGTGCCCGTGTCGGCGATGGCCTGGGCGGGTGGGGCGGCCTGGGTCTTGTTGTTGCCGACGGCGAACGATTTGGTGCTGAATTGCCAGAAGCCCTGGGTGGTGTTGACAGGGATCCACGTAATGTCACCGACGAACTTGTCCTGATCAATGCGACCGAACTCATACGCACCGACAGCATCCTTACGGAGGTCGGCAGTGAAGACGGGCTCTGCGAGTGACGGGAGGACGTTCTCGAAAAAGGTCTTCTGCTGTTGTGGCGTGACCGTGTTGAGTTGTGAGAAGGCGAGGCCAACGAGGCCGTTGTTGGCGGTGTCCTCGACAAAGGACCTAGACACGGCCGTCGCCAACTCGACGGCTTGGTTTTCCACGCTCACTCCGCCAATGGTGACGGTGTCGGTTATGACGTTCCCTGCGGCACCGGATCCGTCGCCGTAGGAGATGGAGAATCTGGCACCTTTAAGCACCTTGTGGGTCGTTGACTTTTGCGTGTCAAAAACGGTGTGACCATGTGTGGAAGTCTCGCCGAGTTGAGTACTGAACACCCAGAGATCCGAGGAGCCAGTGTCAAAGTCGAGGTTGAGCGTCTGCCCGCCGATGGTGACGGGCGACAGGTACTCGACGTCACCGGATTCGGGGGTAGCGGTAACCAGGCCCACTCCGGCAGACCCGTTGCCTGTGCCATTTCCTGTCCCGTTGTCGTCGACAATACTGTTGTCTCCAGTAGTGCAGCCGCCCTCATCGGTGATGGGCCTGCCCTTGCCCCTGTGCCTTCTCGCTCTTGCCCTGGACTGCGTTTCCTCCGCGGCTGACGCTGTGTTTTGCCTTTGGATGGCCTCCAATAATGCTGGCGGGAGAGGCATGCTGTACTTCCGGTATGCCTTCATAAGTTCGCGGGGCCCATTGCGCCCCTTGAAGTTGGCGTTTGGCGACCGGGCAACCTTAAATGAGCGTTTCTGGATACGGCCCGGTGCCGCTGATACCAAAGCGGCCACGAGGGCCAAGAAAAGAAAGGTGTTGAGTAGCGACCGCATCGTGCTACTACCAAAGAAGGGAAATTTTTGAAGATATCTACTTCACCACACCAGGTGGGAGGTATAATGGATGAACGAAGGAAGGGAGGAGACCTGTCTCATAAGGGGGGTTCAATCACCCGGAAAGGCCCCTGAGCGCTGAAAAGGACAAAGAGTGGATGGTAAAAACACAACAGGCAATGGGAGTGAATGAAGGGAATGAGGAAATGGAGAAGGAATAACAGGAAGGAGAGAAAGGCGGAGAGGCTGACGAACATAAGAGGAATGGAGACCGGCCCAGTTTACTTACATACCTGTGTTTGAAAATCCTGACCTCCATGGCGAGTCAGGTCCCGTCAGGGCCAGTGTCAGGGCACAGAGGGACTTACAAGGACCATCCCAGCGGATCCCCACTTAGTGCCCCGGGTAGGGGGAGGCTAAGGCAGGGGTTCCAGCAGTCCTCCTTGCCTCTCAAGTTTCGAGGTGGCCAACTGCGCGTCCCCCGATTCATCAGCGCCGCGGGGCTCCACCAAACGGAACGTTGGCGAAGCAGGCCTGTGACTCGACAGCCCAACGAATCAGGTAGAAGTTTGAATCGAAGCGCCCAAGGCAGCTTCTGTCTCGGCGAAGATTAATGCCCCGAAATGATTGGTCAGTAATTCTTGGTTGGTCGGGAACAGGGGGGGCCCTGTGGCAACAGCCCAAACAGGCTAGGTATCTACCTGCAGCCCGCTCTCAGACCATGGGGATGGAGAAATCCGGGTTGTACACTACGAAAGTGAGAGCACAGATTGCTATTTACAATACCTAGAACAAAGAGGTCAGTTAATCACAGATAACTGGCTCTGTGTCTGCCTACCTTTGTCGCAGCCTGGGTACCTACCTAGGATAGACGGGTAGGTAGGTGGCAAGGTAGGCGGAAAAAAGATGACCAAGAGGGATTCATATCCATCGTCGCAAGTGAACATCGAAATGGGCTGGCAGCGAGGGTCGGGTCATTGCGACGCAGAATGGAAAGAACAGCCGGGAAGTCGTAAGGTACTGTAACTAAAATGGTAGCTGCATCTCGCCTGTCCCTGCCGCTGCACCACTGAAGCTGCGGGAGCCCCCAGTGTTGAAACAATGGAACTTTGCTGGGATTCTTGAAACCATCCCATATCCGCCAATCGCTCGACAATCGCGGGGCACAGTTGGCGACAGCTCGCTCCCTTCTCGCTTGCTTCGTAAGGAAATTAGAGGCTTCGAAAGGCATTTAGTCCAGTAGCTGAAGAAGGCCAATGCGATCTTATTTTCCAGCATCTGCTGGGCAGTCCTTGTAAATGTACTAGGAAGTCAAACATCTAGTATGTTTCTTCGAGAGTTGGGATGTCCTTCCATTCCTTGACCATGATCATAGCTTACCGATCTTATTGAGCTACCCCGGTTTCTTGGCGAAAACCAAGGTCTTCGTGCGCCAAGCAGCCGTCCTGATGTTGCCAGCCCTGGGCAAGAAGCTTGATTGACATTGGCCGGCGCCAAAATCTGTCGTCTGTGCGCAAGTTATTGGGACGGCAGACGACTGGATGATGTGAAGGGAAAGGAAGCTGCTGTCAATCCCTTTGGAAGCTTGTTTGTGCCTTCCCTTGCTTCCATCTTGCCAGAGAGCTTGCCCATTTCCAGACCTGAAAGAGCCGCAGCACAACGGCGCGAGTTGTCGCCCAGAATGGAAGATAAGATGTTGGGAAAGGCCCTCTTGTCTTCTTCCTTGAAAGCACATGGTTCGCCAGTTGCTAGGTTGCAGTTTTTGAATACCTACCTAGGTAGAAAGGCCCAGCCAGTGAATATAGCGTAACAAACAAATCCATGACATTCGCTAAGAAAGAGGCAGCCCGAAAGCCCCAGCTTGCGTAACGGATTGCTTTCAACCCCCTTTACTCTGTTTTGAAGATGCTGGGCGACACCTTGCGGGCCCAAGACACAGCATCCTGGTGGTCTTTGAGCAAACGCAGTAGATAAGACCCAATTCCCCATTTCCATTGGATTGCCTTGCCCCCCCTCAAACCTGAGTGGCGCTCCGCAGTGAATTTTGAGGGGAAAACTTCGTTGATTCACGTGACATTCATTTAGCTCCTTTGGCCCTGTGACTTGTCCGTTTCAAACCCGGAGAAAAACCCCCAGCCCCGCTCACCGTCTCAACTCACCAGCCTCACCTTTTCCCCCATCTCAACCTCCAGTATCACAAAACGGTGGAGCCTCGCCACGCAAGACGAAAAAGTCCCTCACCTCGCCACCCTCGGAACCTTCTGCTCAACAACGGCGGGGATCGCCGAGCTGCATCCCTGTCAACGACCGAATTCGGCCTCCGCAATCCCACCACGTCCATCCGGCGCTTGGACGTCCGTCGTGATCCCAATTCCATTCCCTGCTCCGTTTGCTCCGCCACGCGCACCGATCCTCCCGAATCCGGACCGACCGCATCCACTACGAAACACGATAACGGATCCAACCTCCCCTTCTCTCCACCTCCGAGGCCATGGCCGACGAAGACTACTCGGCCGATCCGCGGTCAGACGGCAACAGCATCGCCAGGCAGTCCCGCGGCGGCAAGCATCGCGGTCCCCGCTTCACCTGGAACCCGGCCTACGAACAGACCTTCTTCCGCTCGCTGTGCGAGTCCGTCCAGCTGGGCCTGCGAGAGGGTAGTACCTTCAAGGCCGAGGCCTGGGACCGCGCTGGTCAAGCCTTGATCGACAGGCACAATGCCTTCCCCAACAAGGGCCACTTGATCAACAAGAGCGACAACGCGCGGAAGAAGTTTCGGCTCTGGCGCAGCTTGAGAGAAGATCCCGACTTCCTGTACAATCCGACCACGAAGATGGTCACGGCGAATGAGGAGGTGTGGAGGAGACATATTGATGTGAGTCGGCAGGCAGAATTCATCTTTGGATTTCGTTTCATGGGGCTAGGATGAATGCGTAAGCGAGGCGCCACACAGGCAGCGCTGACCCCCAAGTGATAGAAAGAGCCACTGTCGCGCTCGTTAAGAGGCCGCCCATTCGAACACGAAGACTTCTACGAGATCCTATTCCCGGACGTCATCGGGTCCGGCGGCGCGCCGAAGCGCATAGTACGGACCAGGCGGAGAGATACAAGCAATCCCAACGGAGCGGACGAGCAGGACCCGCCCGGCACCGCCATATTAGATCTCCTAGCCGACGCGGCCTACGGCAACTCATCGGCGCCGTCTACCCAGCAGCCGCGGCAGACGCCCGCTTCTGCTTCCGCCTCGGCTTCGGGCGCCGCGCCCTCGTCCTCGGCCAATCTCCAGCAGCGGCCGTCCTCGACCTCGGTCCCCGCGCGCACGTCCGTCGCCTCCACGTCGGCGCTCACGCCGCCCGACGAGTCGGCGCCGCACACTAGGAAGCGCTTCGTCCCGCCGGACGCCCTGGCCCAGGGCGGCCACGAGAAGAGGCGGCGGACGGACCCGCTCCAGGTGCACCCGCCGGCCTGGGCAGCAGCGGCGGGGACGGGGACGGCGGCGGCGGCGGCGGCGGCGGCGGCGACGGGTCCCGGGTCGGCGCCGCACGACGGCATCATGGCGCTGGCCGAGGCGCTCAAGTCGGCGAAGGCGCGGCCCGGGTGGTCGGAGCAGGCGGTGGAGATCTTCTTCCGTGACTTCGGCGAGGAGGATATGGACCTGCAGCTCAAGATCGCCGAGAAGGCCCTGACCGACGACAACAAGGCCATGGTGTTCTGCAAGATGTCCCTCGCCCTGCGGAAACACTGGGTCAAACGGCTCAGGGAGGTGCATAACCGGAGCGCATGAGTTGGGCAGTGACGCTTGGTTTCCTATCCATTTCCCAGTTTCCATTTCTTCGATTCTCCTTTCCCTGGTCCTTTGTTCCACGGCTTCATTCGGGAGAAGACTGGAAGGCGTGACGGGGCGGCAGTGAGATACGCGCTTATTGGAGCAATACGGTACGGGTCCTGTTTTGTGTGGTTTTATTTTGGGCAGGCGATGACGGATGGTGTGGGTCTTCAGGAGTTTTTGCGACGAATTTCTGTCTGCTTGAATGACGGCGTCTTATGATGGGGTGCCGAGATGTCCCCGGGGCAGCTGGCCATACCTCGTTTGTGCATTTCTTGCACTTTGCAAGCCATCGGCGGTCACGCCGCAAGGAGTTTTATGATCCTTTGTACCGGCCATTTACTTGAATACTGCCTACTGTCTTTGGCTCCTGATTCCGATGAGACGGACGACATTCGGGTTTCGGATTGGTGCCTTATTTCTTACGGTTCAAGTTGGTCAGGGGACACTTCGAAAATCGATATCCAGAATTGAAAAACAATATTGTCCGTACATCTTGGCCGACGTGCAAATCACTGAGTCGGATCATCAATGTACAATTCGATACAAGGGAAACGTACCACCAAGGACAAGAGAGGAATCACCATTCGTTTCGCAGATGTACACAGGATAGGAGAGTCAACTAAGATATCAAGAGGTGAGGAAAAGTCAAACCAGCAAACGCCTCACGTTCCCAGTGCCGCCATCGCCATTCCCGCTCCATCCCAAGACCACAGGGCTCACCATAGTTGGTCAGGCCAGACTCGTATCCCCCGCCTATTGCTTCTTGCTCCTCGCCTTCTGGATGTAACTGCAAAGGCACGTCTGTCAGCACCGGCCTTCCACCAAACGTAGTTTTGGAGGGAAAAGTGAAAGAAAAATACGGGAAAACATACTTGGCAAACAGCCCCTCAAAGGCACCAACGACGCCGAGGACGCCCAACCCGACGCCGACGTTCTTCCAGCCCAGGGAGCCGCGCTCGTGCAGGCCCCAGGCCCTGTGACCCAGCCAGCCGCCGAGCGCAACGACGGCGATGAGGTTCCCCGCGACGAGGGCGGCGCCGGCGCCGTCGGACAGGCCCGCCAGGTGGCGGGTGATCCAGCCGTCGGCGCGGCGGGCGCGCGACGCGGCCTTCTTCTTGGCCAGGTGGGCCTCGGCGCGCGCCGACGCCTCGGCCGAGGCCTCCTCGCGCCGCTCCCGCGCCGCCTCCTCGCGGCCCACGCGAGAGGCCTGCGTGTCCGTCTGGACGTCCTGGTCGGCGAAGTCGGAGGGGACCGTGTGCACCGAGGGCGTGTCCACGTCCACAAGAGAGGAGGTGCTGGCGCTCTCCGAGGCGTCGACTTGCGGGGGCTGGGGCGCCGCGGCCTGGGAGTCGGGTTGGGTCAGCATGTCTCCTTGTGAGCCTGGTTGGTGAAGGGGAGAGAGAGGGAGGGAGGGAGGGAGAGTTGTCGGACTCGACTTACCTGCTCGGGAGACTGCTTCGGCCCTTTCGATGCAATTTCTGCGTATGAAGACACTGTCGCGTCATGTTAGCAACTTGTTTCCCTAGACGGTGCCAACCTTGTGGGGTTTCTCTTACTCTTGGATTGCTGGGTGATGAAATTCCAAGCTTGGACAATCTTATGTATGCTCTCTTGCGCGGGATTCAGAGCTGGCTCCGAATTATCGTAGTAGAGAAGTAAATTTGGGCTTATCGTGAGCTTTCTGGAATGAGAGTTGTGTTGGTTGGTGAAGGGGACATGTGACGGGTTTTTAAAAGCTGGGCTGCAATGACAACATCATACGTTCAGCACATACCTCCAAGCTGCAAAGTCTCCACCAATTACGTAGGCGGCTCCCTCCAGACCCCTGCTCCCCTGCCTTCCAAGGAACAGAGCCAATGACTCTGCGTTCAACCGAGGTACTGCTTGATGCGAATTTGAGGAAGCTGTCGGCCTGAAATACCTGATGCATGTACGAGTGCAAGTCTCCCTTCAATGTTGGGTTATTTTGATCCACAAGTTAACAATTCAACACAGAAGTCATCGGTGCGAGATTTCCGCAATGCCGGTACACAACAGGCACTGGCTGACATGGAGGAAATGCTCAGAGAGGATTGTCTATATTTATTTGTTTGTTTACACTCTTGGTCACATAGATTACATACAGTTGTATTGTACACATTGCATGCCTGTAGAGACTGTGCCATTCTATACAGCTGTCCCACGCATGAACCTCATAGGCATCATGATTGCTCCTTGCCAGGATTTGCTGCAGTCGCATCGACAGCCTTCTTCGGGATGGTCTCCTCGGCTTCCTGTTTTGCGTCCCTCGAATTCTGTACCGGCTGAGCGCCATCTGCTGAATCTTGAGTTGGCGGTGTGGATTCCTCAGCCTTTGGCGATGTCTCTGCCGGTTGTGGTTTGCTAGGTTCGGGAAGGACGTCGCCAGCCCCAGAAGCCTCAGCTCCAGCAGCTGGTGGTGCTATTTCTTCATCATTGTTGTCCTCGTCGTCGTCTTCCAGTTCGGCGCCGTAGACCTCAGGATATTGCCGGAAGCAATCCCGCATGTGCCTGCCAAATGTTAGCGACCCAGCTTTGTTGGCGAAGGGGGCCAATAGGTATGCAACAGGGTTACGTACTGGAACTTTTCAATGCAGTCCATTCCCTTTGGCTCCTCAGTCGAATGCACAAAGCAACTGAAGGCTGACTTGAACTCCTCCCCACAAGGTCCATGAGCCATGCCACCCAGACAGGGGCAGTCCCAATTAATCTCGCCGGTCTCCGGATTGAATGCGCCCTGCTGGTCAGCCTCCTCCTCCAAAGCTTCGGGTGATTGCTGGCCCGGCTCAGACTCGTCCAAAGGCGAAGCAGCTGTCTGTTGCGTAGACTGCGGCTCGGGAGGTGGGGGTGCGGCTGCTCGGGTTTGTCGACGCTTCTCTTCAATCACGGCATCGACTGTAGGTAGGTCGGAATCCGAGAATTGAGGAGGCGGAGGCCCGGTTCGAGCTGGGGAGGTTGGGACTTGTCAGCGGCGCGAGGTGCGGAAGGGGGGTCCAGGACACTCCTGGTTGGGTAACAAAAGACTTACGGGCCGTCTCATCAGCAAAGATTGGACTTGTGCTGTACCAGTATACGGCCGCAATCGCGGTTCCCCATCGAGCTGCAGCGCCCTTCCATGTCCGCCTCTTGCCTGATGGAGAGGTGGTGAGAAATCGTCGAGGGGCGGCAGAGAGGTTGGACTGCCGGATGTTGCGCAATGCGCGGGGAGACGATCTCAGCGCCGCGCGATACATGGTCCGTCTCCTCAAGGATTGAACTAACAATGAACAAAAAAGAAAGGAACTCGGAGGGAACGTAAACCTCTACACCAGCCAAAGGAAATGTCGTGTCGTGGTTTTTTTAGAAATCGCAGACGAATTTGTAAGCTCCGATCAGCTCCATATTTGATTGGCCAAGCACCACAATCGGGACCCACCCTCAAGCCCACCGAATTGGGAAGAACCGTCTCCGTGCAGTTGTTTTTCGCTCTGCCGATTCCGCTGCGGTTCATGTCAGACCAGCTCGGGTACCTAGGTATCTTGCGTCACTACGCCAGAGCTCCAGCTTGCCTTTACGTTACTCGTTTATTCAAAATGGCTGCTTTAGCTTACCTCGTTTATCTTTGTGTAGGCCCCAGGACCAGATAGCGAAACCTTAGGAACCTTAGTCATCCAAATCCAGCAAATACTTTTCTTTGACTCCAGTCAATCCCATCTCATCCCAGGCGATGGATTGATGTTCTCACTCAGGCTACCCTGCCGTATCCCAGCATCGTTACTCCGGCTGGCAAGTGGCAATGAGCGTCACTGGTGATGAGGGTCCCGTAGTCTGGCATCTCACCCGGCTATTCCGCGAGAAGCCTCTCCAGTCAGCCTCGCAATCAGGTTTAAACAACCGTCTTGGCTTGGTTGTCCTGAACCAGCCGCTGGACCATATCGGCATTCTGCGAAGATTCTGGGATAATAGTCCGTCTACCTCCCGGCCTGGACACGTGGTGTGCGTGAACTAACTAACACATTACTTTGATCAAGCCTTTGTGCATGTTGCCGCCGATGGAGGGGCCAATTGTGTGTATGAGGTGGGCGCTGCGCGAGGAGACGCCTCATTCGTATGTCTCTAGCCTTTGAATATATATATAGATCGCTTGTGAAGTTGTCCTAACCCCTCTTCCAGGACAACCTACACGTCGTGATCGGCGACCTTGACTCGCTGAGGGACGATGTCCGGGAGTACTTCGAGTCGAGGCCGCATCCTACCAAAGTCATTCATGATCCGGACCAATATGCGACCGATTTTGGCAAGGCTGTGAGGTACATCAGAAACTCCCAGTCCACACCTGTGGACATCGTTGCCATTGGCGGCTTGGGAGGCCGGGTTGATCAGGGCTTGAGTCAGCTTCACCATCTCTATCTCTTCCAGACGGCTCCTCGGTACGCCGACGGACGGATATATCTTGTATCCGGCGAAAGCATCACGTTCTTGCTAAAGGCAGGGAAACACCATATTGAGGTCCGAGGCGGTGGTGAAGAGGTATTCGCGAAGCATGTCGGCATATTGCCCATCAAGGAGCCGAGTCGTATATCTACCAAAGGTCTCGAATGGGACGTCAAGGACTGGGAAACGCAGTTTGGGGGCCAGCTGAGCACAAGCAACCATATCCTGCCAGAGACGGAAGTGGTCGAGGTCGAGACCACCAAGGATGTATTGTTCACCGTCGCTTTGAAGCGGCTTGAACATTGCCCAATTAAGCCAATCTAGGCGGCACTGAGCCTCAGTCCCCAATAAAGCTATACAATATGAGATGCCCGAGACAAAGCCGAACCGAAACGCCCCGCTAATAAAGGTCCATCAATCGCCCGTGACCGTAGAGATACAGGTCCTTCCCACTCCCGTCCATCCTTCATCGAAGGTAGTGTAATACCAGCCAGCAAAACCCGAAAAAGGCGACGACACCTATCCCGAATATCAACTTGTCTTGCCGCGCCCTCCTCTCAACCATGCGTATGGTTTGCCCCGACAGGCCTAGGGTGTTCGCTACCGAATAGAGCCGCTTCTGGCTGTTCTTCAGGGTCTCCCGCTGACTTCCCAGGTCGCCCAAGACCTCCCTCCCCCTCGAAATGTATTCATCAAGCGCAGAATGTGTCTCCCGCAACCTGTACGCCTCCTGACTGACGGCCTCCACGCCGCCCGAGCTCACGCCGTATCCCCCACCCCCGCCACCACCACCACCACCCGGCTGGCCCGACGCGCCGGGGATTCCGTAGCCGGGCGATCCCGCGCCACCCGCCGCGGCGGCGTTGGCGTACGGGTTCTCAGGCGTGCTGCTCACAAACGGCCTGCGGCCCAGGAGCTCGGCGCGGCTCTGGGTCTGGACGGCGTCGTCGCGCGCCGCCTTCAGCCCGGCGACCTGCGTCCGGTATTCCTGCAGCTCCGTGCGGAACCCGGCGATGCGCTCGTGGGCCTTCTCCTGCTTTGCCGGGTTGAGCTCCTGCTTGGCGAGCTGGTTGTACTCGTCGAGCGTCCGGGCGAAGGACGTCAGGCTGGCCGAGAGGGAGCCGAGGGCCGCGGGGGTGAGGGCCGGGGGCGGTGTTGAGGAGGCATCGGAATAGGAGGGGTTGGCGAGGGCGGAGAGCTCTTTGCGGATAGTCGAGCTCTGCTTGAGAGCGGAGTTGAACGTCGTGTTCTGAGACGAGTTAGTTAGTCTTGAGGTTCACATGTCGGGGTTCCTTCCTTGAAGGGCAGCGGGAATCTTACCATGATCCAGGACAGGCCGTCATATATATGCTATAGAGTATGCTTGGGGGGAAGAGAACAGACTATTCTGATCCAGTCGGACAACGACTTGATTTCAAGTTGCCAGTTTGATAGAGTTGGCCCTTGGCAGAGCGCTTGAAAGGTGGCTTCTACAGATTGCACAGCAGGCAGATTAAATGGGTCATGGAGATTTCGTCACCGCCTACCCGAAAGGGATAATGATCGGAAATTTATGGACCCACATACCCCGTCTATATTCAATTATGCATCAATGGTACTGTACCAAATTTATTGATAACGGGACGAACCCACCTCATGCATGCTAAGCCGCACTTCAAGTCGAAGTCTCTGCTCATGCTGAGGTGGCTGGCTTCTGTGGAGCATCTGGGTATGAACGAGCTCTGGCTACCATCACTTTCCCCTGTCTCCCTGAGGAGACCAAGGACGGAATGCCCTCGAGGAAGGAAGGTTACTTTGCTCTGACATTTCCCGCCCCGTTTGTTGGTGCTTCCCAGTGATGACCTCGCTCAGAATCTCAAAACTCACCCTCAATGTCTCCGAACATGGGTTAGGGAAAACGCTGTAACTGATGATAGTAAACCAATTTTATACCGCCTCTGCGCCAAGCCTGGCAAACGGCCTTTCCGCCATGAGAGGCTGGACAACCTCCGTATCTATTATGCCCTGTTTGCACCGAAAAGATCCGTCAGGCAGTGCTCAATGTCCATAGGGGAGATACATCGCAATCTCAAGTTCCGCCAGAAATGGCTAGGCGACGGAATGCTTGCTGGGTATCGTGCATGTCTAGATGCTAGACTCCGGTAACCAATAATTACAGGAGATCGGGTGATTCTTTCCGGTTTCGGTCCCCTCGGGCAGTGTTTAGACACTTTCCTTGGTGTTCGGTTGAAGTATTTCTATATTGCTTTCTTGAAACTAACCCACGTTATCCAAAACTCGAAATACTTGATTACTCCGGCTTCTCCGCTACCTTGACAGACTCCAGGCTTCGAGTCCGTTCACACACTTCTTTCAGTTTCTCCCCCGCCCATTCAAAGTCCTCCATGGACAGATAAACTTGGGCACTGAGTCTAGCCCACCAGCGGTTCTGGTGCACAACCAGTGCGATGAAGGTATTGTACTCGTCCTTCAAGGTCTGTATCAGCCACTGCGTAACCATAAACACGTCCTTAGCGGGGACTGTCGGCTGGCTAGATTTCTTCCCTTCGGTCTCGCCATTTGTTGCCTCATCATTCCCCTGGATGGTTAACGGTAGCGCAATGTTCACCATGGCGCAGTTAGTCAAGGTGCCCTCGCTGTTGTCCATCACTTCGGTCCCCAATATCTCAGCGACCCTCTTCCCCCCCTCCTTCGCCAGGTTCTGTTGGTACTCGAGGATCTTTGCTTCCCCGCCGAGGACCTCTTCCCTCCACCTGATGCTGTCCTTGACAGACAAGTAAGGCGCATTGTCCAGGGTTCCGACGAACTCAAAGGCGTTGACGAATCTGGACTTGGCGCTGGGTGGCAACGGGTTGTACCGCTTCTCCAACTTGGACTCATAACCGTGGGAGGTGGGCAAGGTTGACTGGATGAGATCCTGGTTCCGGAGGGGGACGTAAAAGACGGCACATCCGCGCGGGACATGCAGCCACTTGTGGCAGTTGCTGACGAAGAAGTCCGGATCCAGCTTCGCAAGGTCGAGATCCACCATCCCGATGCCCTGTGCGCCGTCAACGAGCGACAGCACCCCGAGTTCCCTGCACGCCGCCGCCACGGCCTCGAAGGGGAACCGCACGCCGGGCATCGAGGTGACGACGTCGAAGACGCACATCTTCGGCCGCCTCCCCTCGGCCCTGGAAGCCGCCACGCCGGCGCGGAAGCGGGCCACGACCTCGCGGTCCTCGATCGGGTACTCGAGCGGGATGCAGCGCGAGCCGACCTTGCCGTAGCGGCTGTCGACGACGTAGTCGACCGACTTGCCGCAGCCGCCGTAGATGGTGCTGAAGTACAGGATCTCGTCCTTCTGGTCGTCGTCCCACATCATGCTGCGGAGGACCACGTTGACGCCGGTGGTGGCGTTACTCACAAAGACGACGGTGTCGACGGGGGCTCGCAGGAGCCGAGCTACCGCCTCGCGGGACTCGTCCAGGAGCTTGGGGAACTCGTATCGGATGAAGGGATCCGGCCTCGCCTCGGCCATGTCCTGGTATTCTCGCAGCTTTCTCTGGATGACCCTGGGGATTGACCCGAATGATCCTGGTGGGTGCCGTTTCTGAGCCCGCGGTTCATTCTGGGTAGAGGCTGAGTGAGACTGTACGTACCATGGTTGAGGTTGCGGTAGGAAGGGTCAAAGAGGAAATGGCTCAGCAATGATTTCCCATATGTTGCCACAGGTGCATTGGGTGTCGTGTTCGTGACCTCCTCACTGGCGAGGACTTCATCTGGCTTGGAAGAGCCCATCGTGGTGGAAAAGGGGGGGGATATAGAAGTGATTGGCGAGGTCTTTCGGTTACAGTCCAGTCTCCCTCCCGGTAGTAGATTTGACGGTAATTATACAACTAAGGCTTTACCAAGGCGCAACGCTGAACTTTTATCTAGGATATGGGGGGGAGATATCCCGTGAGTCACTTGGAACAATTGTGGAGAGGTACTCAGGCGCTAATTATTTACCTACCTACCTTGTGAAGGTTAGTTCGTCTTACTCTGCAGTCTAGAGTCTGTACGTCTTATGTTTCTCTGCATACAAAGTATGCCATTTGAGGCTCCTATCCTCCGTCCTTTCCAGCAAGTACCATACATGTTTCTGTTTCTGCAATGGGCCCCACGATGTTGTGCTACATCTCTTCCACATGTTCATGCATAGCGACGCCCTTCTTTTGACATCGGCTAATGAGAAGCAAGTAGCCTAAGCACGGCATTGGGGAACCACTGGCAAATTCCCCACCACTGGCATCGCCCTAATTGGTAGTCACTCGGTCAGCAGTTGAGGCAAAGCGCAACCCCACGAGAGGGGAAGACAAATCATACGCAAACTGAGGCTGAACACTTATAATAAAACAGGTCATATGTGGGCAGCGTTTCGCACCTTGGCTCCCTTCTCGCCGCGGGAACGTAGGAACGTAAGAACGGATGAGAACAACGGAAGTCTGCCTGTGTTTAGGGGCGAGAGCTGAAGATAGCAATAGCAATGAGGAGCAGCAGCAGAGAGAGCGTGGGGTTGAGGTTTCAAGCCTACCTTGTCTACGGAGTATGAGGGCATTGTATTAGGACAAGAACCTCACTCGCACTGCACGGGGTGCTATCAACGCCTTCCCATCAATCGCCAACATTGAGATGAGGGACAGTTCTCAGCGGGCAGCTTGACCCAGCTCGAACGTGACACTGCGTGTCAAATGTCTACACTACCCGCTGCATCATAGAGAAAACAATCTTATCTTCATCATCGCCTGAAAAGGGATTCCATCTCTGAGACGATGGTCTTTTCAAACGCAGCCACAAACGACAACCGGTCGTCCTCAACACCGTCTTCGTGCATCGCCTCCTCCCCAAAGTCACTCTCGAGCAGCCGGCGAACAATACGAGCATAGCCCAGGCCCATAGTACCCTGCACCAGAGCCTCGGTAGACTCGGCAACCCCGTCCTGGAACTTCTCCACTGGCTCTTCCTTCTTGCAGATCTTGGCCACAGGACACCACAGCGCAATCTCGAGCAGGATGATTCCCAGCCCGTACGCGTCGTAGCGCATGTGCGACAACGCCGGCGCCGGCGCATCCCCGGTACCCTCGACCATCAACGCGCGGTACCGCTCGGGATGGCAATACAGCCGCCAGCTGCGGGAGTTCTGGACGCCATGCCATCGGGACGGGTTGAGCTCTGTGACAGCAGTGGGGGTCTCCTTTCGCGCGAAGCCAAACCCGCACAGGTATGCTTCCGGCAGGTCCAAGGGCGCCGGATCTGGGGTCAGGAAGAGAACGCTGCTGGAGCGCATGTTCTTGTGGAGCCAGCCGACCTGGAAGAAGCGGAAGACGGCGGTGACGAGCTGGTGCGCGACGCGAAGACGCGTGTCGAGAATGCGAGTGCGGGGCTTGCCTCTGTCGTCAACGAGGATGTCCCAGAGGGTGCGGGGCTTGTGGTCGATGGAGGCTTGGAAGACGAGACCGTAGCGACTGGCGTTGGAGGCGTAGAAGAAGCCGAGGCAGCGCGGGACGCGGAAGCCTGGGACTGAGGAGCTTTGTCGTAGTTGATGGGCTAGGAGATCAATCCGATGGTGTAGCAAATCTCGGTCTGCTGCGGAGAGTTTGCTGGAGAAGTATCTCCACTCAACAATAACGTGTTGGCCGCGGTAGGTTGTCAATTCGCGTTCCGGCGGGGTCTGGTCTTTGCGGAATGGAAGATCGAAGTCCTTGCTCTGGATTTGGAGAGAGTACTCGCTGCCAAGGGGCACACTCGCTGGCTGTACGGATGTACCCTCTTCGGCCGCCGTAAGCTCGCTGACCTCTCTCCCACGCTCCGATATCTGATAGAGCGACACCAAGTCTGGATGAGCCGCATGTCCGTTCTGGCTAGATCCCTCGAGCGAAGCAGTGGCCATGGGAATGGGCGTAGTCGTGACAAGGCTCTCGAGTATCCTCGCCGCTGAGGAGGCTTGCTGAGTACTGAACAATCCCAATAGCTCGTTGAGTATGTCGATACATGACTTCAACTCGCCAAGGAGTCTCTGGCTTTCCTCGTAACCCGCTAAGCCCCATTTAGTAGCATCCCAGACACCGGTTTTCCGTATCTCTTGGCTCGGCTGACGCCGTACTTGATCGGCATAAGCTAGAGCTGAGATATTCTTCCGCTTCCTAAGGACATTCCTTTCCCGAGGGGGACCCCACGCATTGTAACTCTTAAGGAACTCTTGGATGTCGCTCAAGTACTTGTGCATGCCGTTGATGTTCTGCTTGACAATATCGCGTAATCTTTCTTCGAGATCCCCCGGTGGGATCGGATTTTCGAGGTGGAAAGGGCGCACGATACTGTCGGCTCGGGCCTGCGGCTGCGTAGCGAGTTCCCAAAGGCCGGATTTGCCACACCAGAGGATAAACCTCAGCCGTTCCCAGTTGACCTTTCGGATAAAGCTGTCGATGTCGTCGGAAGCCCGGAGCGCATCAGAAATCTTCTCCCCCAGATCAATACACGCAGTGACGGTGCCGACCAGGCCGGCCACGCCAATGACAAGTCCTGCTATCTCCATGACAAAAGTAGAATGCTTTTGGAGAAACAAGGTAAGAAGAGTATCCGAAAGTTGCCGAGATCCTTGGGTCGTGAAGATGCGTCGAGCTTCTGGGCTGGGATGTTTGAGCGGGGGGAAAAGTCGCTCAGCTGAAAGCGCGCTCAAATTTGATAGGGAAAACGCACCCTGCGGTGGCTGTTTGGCCCCCAACTAAAAGGTAATTATGGTCGAATTACAACTCTCTTTTGTTCACGTGCGTGGGAAGTCACCAGAGCCCTGTCCACTGCGGGCCATTTTCATAGTTGCTTTTGAACAAGATGCAGAGATCAGTTGGTCTATGTGCCCATATGAAGTAATTAATTACCGTTAGAGTGTCCTAACCACCTACTGAGTCAGCTGAAGGCATTGCTAGAACCTGCAGTAAATACAGATAGCAACTAATATCTGGACCATTAATTACATATCATCAATGTGGAATATTAATACTCTCATAACGTGCCTGGTCTATCTAGATACGCAGTCTCCCCTGGCGCTGCCTCTCCATCAACCTAGTCTTCCAATCTGAAATTCTATCCGCCACCTCGAACATCGCTCTCAGAGGCCAAACTGCAACAGGAATGACGCGCTTGACCGTGAGACGCCCAATCAATAAGCCTAATTTCCTACCTCTCTCAGCCCACTGCTCTTGACCGTTTCGGGATACCCTCCGGTGCCGACCATCTCTCGCAGACGCCTCGGCATCATCTTCCTCCCCTTCAACCAAGAACTGGTCATGCCAGCTCTCGTTTCCGCCGCCAGAGTGTCTGACATCGGCCGACGACGTAGCTCCCATATCGCTCGGTTCGTTTTCTCCCCAAGCCCCGTGTCCCTCTTCCTGCCTCCCTTCCGCCGACTCAGGCCCTGCAACACGTCGTTCGCGGTCCCTGCCTGCGTCCTCGCTGTTTACCCCATCAAGTAGCGGGGCCCTCTCTTCCAAATCATTCCCAAATTCGGCAGGGTCAGAGGTCTTTCCCAGCCTAGCGGCTAGGAAACGACCAAATATGCCGTTATTGTTCCAGAACAACGCCGCCGCAAGGATCTTTGGATCGCCCCCAAAAGCAAGAAGGACTAAGTCGCTTCTCCTGGCGCCCATGAATATGCGTGGGAGGCACTTCCAGACGACGAACATGGTATACAAGCCCCACAGACAATTCATAATGACGAGAAAGACGAAATCCTCATGTGTACACGAGATGTTATACTCCCCGCACGTCCCAAGCATGGTTGACACGGTAACACCAGGTATGAGGGTTAGAAACCACGTCATGAACCATAACGATCCTTTCATGTCGAGAAAGGACAGGCCGAAGAAATGGTACACGCGGCTATATGCTTGACCATGCCTGCCTCCCCGTTCCAGCAGGAGAGCAGCAATGGCTTGATTGGTACGCTTCAGGGTTAAACCCGTTGGAGAGCAGCGCTTGTCGGGTACGTACGAGGTCCAGCGAACCACATCCAACGGCGTTATGACGGTACCCAGCCAGGAGGGACAAGGCTCTCCGGTTCCGTCTGGATGGAAGCCCATGCCGAGAAGGCAGCGGACGGCGGCCAAGTTCGACTCGAGGGCGGCATGTAGCACAAGGTTATACCGTAGACCCGGCTCGGAACCTTGGATGGGCTGCTTCTGGCACCTGCTTGCCGCCTCGATTTGCCCCCAGAGCTCGGCCGTTGCCGCGACCTCGTGCATGTTGTTCCACTCTAGTAGGAAGTCGGACGCTGGCTCCGACCAGACCCACGCTGTTCTGTCCGCCAGCCGATCTGGCACTGATAGCATCCCAATATCTCTTTCTATCGGGCATCGTACAGCCTGCATTCCCTTGAGGTCTGGCGAGCAGCAGTCGGCCAGGAGAATGGTGGCAAGATCCTCTATTCTGATGATACACTCCGACCTGGAATCGACGGCGATCTGCAGGAGCGCGGCTATTCGTTGCGGCTTGGTCGGCGATAATCTGAGGATGGTTCCAAGGGTGGTGATGCCATTGGTGGTCCTGTCTTGCAAGCTGGCCCCAAATTCGAAAAGGATGCTCATGATATCCGGTCGTTTGCGCCTGTAGGCCGAGTACAGCGGGTGGAACTGCATGGACGTTGTGGAGCCAGCACACCTTTGCAGCTGTGCTTCTTCGGTTGGGTTCTGCGGAACCCAGTGGGTGCTTCTGGAATTGCACGTCTGTCTCAGCCATTTCGTAAAGATTTGTCTGGAATAATAGGTTTAAGGTAACCACGGATTAGTTATCGGAGAGCTCCTTCAGCGTGACGTAGAAATCAAGCAATCAATCCGTGATTAGGAACTTACAGCAGTGCCGGATCTATACCACCCGCTAGGATCTGACTCAGATATAGTAATGGGAACCTGACTCCAGCGGCCCAAGACGGTGCGCCCTGGGCAGCACGAGAGTGCATGCTGAGCAGGTCATGGAAGATAGCATGCCTCGGCGGGTCAATGGCCAGCCTTGCCCAAGACAGGCGACTATTAGAATAGATGGCTAATGTTAGTTCCGAGATGGCATCCCTCCTGCGATTTTCGATGGCAAACCGATGTATCCCCTTGACCGCCGCGCCATGGCGGACGAGAAAATGCAGACAGGAGGCAAGAGCCGGGCGATAATGGACGCCAAACCGCAGAATCCTCGTGAATCGTTCGGGATAATCGAAGCCAAACGCTTCGTTTGATGAGACGGGTCCAAAAACACAAGCCTCCAGTAGCGTGGTAAGATTGTTATCGAACCAGAACTTGCGGCTGTTGATAACACTGCCCATGTTAGATTCGAGTCGTTCTGCGAGGACGTCCAGGACTCTTGTTTGGTGGAATCTCAAGGCAAAGGCCAGCAAACGCCAGACCGTGGCCTTCGCTGTGGGCCCGAATTGACCCGTGCTCGGAGAGGAATCTTCCATGTGGAATAAGGCGCGGAGGGCGGCGGCGTTATCCTTGGATACGGCACGGAGAGCTGCAGAGTTCGAATCCATAATATCGAAGCCATCAAAGCCGCCAGAGCTTGAACCATCCGCAATCTTTTGCAACAGGGGACGGGCGCCCGCCTTGGCAAGCTTGTCGGCAATGTCCTCGATGTCTTTGTCGTCGAGGTTGACAAGGAAATGCAGAACGGTTTCGTTGAGATTATTTGCAATGCCTGCTTGAGCACCCAATAAAAGTAGGGCCCTGGCCATATCAGCGTGGCCTGCTCTCACGGCCTGAAGAAGAGGAGTATCCCCATCACGGTTCGTCTTGTTGAGCAACTCCGAGTCGATGACTCCCCTGTCTTTCAGCCCGTCTAGAAGGTCGAGACTTCCCTTCGATGCAACGTAGTGCAGAACCGTATCGTGGTTGTCGTTCAACCACCCTCTCAGCCGCTCTGGAGCATCTCCTGTCACGTCCACGGTGAAATCCTCGCTGAGCACCAGATGTCTGCGTCCGCAGTATGTCTGCCGGTGATATCGGAGGATTTGCTCATGTGACGACGGGCTGAGTCGTCGCAACGGATCAAGAGCCAAGGTACAGCCCTCCTTGACGAGGTCTTCGAGCCACGCATGTATTGGCACCTCCGGAGGAAGCTGGCCACCAAATGCCTCGTAAACCGGCACCAAGGAGAGACGCGCCCTCTGGTCGCTAGCTTGCGCCGCTCGCAAGAGCCAGGCCATTGCGTTGGCTTCGGCCTCTTTATCATTGATTTCAACTTCAGGCGGGATGCCAAACCCGGAGCTATAGCAAACAGCCAACTCAAACGCCGCCGCTGCTGCCCGATAATCGCCGTCCTCTTTGTTGGCCACATGAGTGAGAACTCTGACGACGTGGCCGTGTAGCGATCCGGGCATCTCTGCCAGCGCTTGGTATGGAATAGATAGGCTCTAATTAGACATCTATTTAGCCAAGCTGGTTCCCAGGTAATTTTGTTAGACGCGCATAGCATACATACCTCTCGCGACTTCATTCTGTCCATCACAGTTTCCGCATCAACCTCAATGTCTCCCAACAGAGAACTGCAAGCAGTTTCAAGTCAAGTTAGTTCATCCTGCAAAGTACCGCCAGTGATGTTGCGAGGTCGAATGCATTTACCCTTTGGACAGCAGTATAGACTTCACCTGCTTTAGGTCCCTTTTCCCCGGGTCCTGTTGAAGCGTGAGAGACAAGATCTGCCATAGTTTGTCATGGTCGTCCATATTTGGGTCATCGAGTGAGGCCATTTCCTGGTGCAAATAGCTAATCATGCTATCTTGATACTTGTGACGCCTCAGTTCTGCCTCCCGGCCATCATGGCGGGCTTTGGCGAAGGGGTCTGTCCCCATCATTAAGCAGGCAAAGGTCAAGCCGTATGAATAGACATCGGTCAACTTCAGCTGGTCGGTCATTCGGGCTTCCTTCCATTCTGGCGCTGCGTAGGCTTCAGTTCCGCCAATGAGACTTCGAAAGGCCTTGTTGTCGAGGAGCGAGTGGCTGAAATCGGCGAGCTTCGCTTTGTAGTTCCTGCCCATTTTGAATATCAGAACATTGTCGGGTTTGACGTCCCCGTGGATAACGCCACAGTTGTGTAGAGTATCAAGCCCAGAAGCAATGTCCTGTGCTAGCTGCCATTTCGTCCGGCTGGGGAGTGATTGGAATCTAGTTTGTGCACAACATGAGCCTCGAGGTCGTCTCTGGAGGGGATGCGAGGGGATGCGAGGGGCGGCTCACTCCTTAAGAAACTCAGACAAATTCCAGCTAGCGCCTTCCAAAATGATTATGGGCTTTGGGATCGTCTGGACTTCCATGTTAGCGACCGACGACTGCGAGAAGGGAAATAGACCATTGGAATAGTGGGTTTTATTACCTCGCAACCGTCCCACTCGAGTCCCTGGATCTTGACGATATTCTCACTGTTCCGGATACTAGGGTGGCTCAGGACTCTTAATTCCATGACGAAACTCCGTGCCTCTACCGAGTTTCTAGCGTTGCCATGCTCATCCCAGAGGCTGGTCGATCGACTCCCACCAATCAGGCTGCCGACGCAGCCTTCCCGCTGGTGGCCGCGGTATCGTTTTGCGGCGCACTTGATCAACATCGTCTCGACCTCGTCCGCCCGCTGGTTGCTGGGCTGAGCAAAATCCGCGTCCACTCGCGTCACCTGGCCAAGGGCGCCTTGGCCGTAGACGGCTTGGGCACCGCCAGCGACCGAGTTTGCTGCCCGCATCTTGAGTACGCCGCCTTGGGAGTAGAGAAGCGTTGCGCACGTGAGCACAGCGAGGAAGTCATTGTTATCGTCGGGCTCTTGGCCCGTAGATCCACCGTTGGTTTCTGGGTTGTGTTTGGGCAAGGCCGTTGACCTCAGTTGCGGACAGTAGTGGAAGTTCTGGACATCCACTGACGATAGCTGGTCCAGCCTTGGGTCGTCATCCTCCATCTTTCCACGACTTTAGACCTTCTTGGCACTTTGACTGGTTATTTTTTTTTTTTTTCGGCAGCTTTTTGATTGTGTCGACCAGGTTCGGGAATCGCCTTTGTGCCTCTCTAGTTGCATGATTGTATGCGAAGACCAATCTAGTCGGGATTGAGCTTGAGGAAACTGAATGCGGCGTCGAGAGCTGCAAGCGCCCAGAGATCATGCAGGGGGCTGTGTCTTGATCCATGCCGGGACTAGTTTTCAGCCCGGAGCCTTGGCCAGTCACAAACGTGTAATATCAACTAATTATGCGCCCGCCGCCTGAGGTTTCTGGGTTATTTCGTTCGGGCTGGAGCTAGCCCTTACCCGATTGGCGTGTGATTTCATCGGTGAGTTCCATCCAATGTGCTGTCGGCCATGACTCAACCGTGCAGTAAATGAGCACGCCGTCAAGCTTTCCTGCTTTGCCGCAGACTTGGATAGGTTTGGACACGTCCGCAGAGACTTACCAGCCTTGCGTTTCTGCCCTCTTCCTTTTTTCTTTCGTTTCCGCTCATGGTCTCATTGTTTGCCACTTGAATCTTCGAGAAGATTTCCACTGCAGGGGACGGGTAAGACGTGGACGTGAACAGCGAGATGCTTCGCGCGGCAGGCTTTGTGCTGGCCTGTATCCCAGCTTACCCCAGCCGGTGGGAGATATCTTGTGGTCGCAGATCTACTACATACGCCGTCCTTGGCTTAGTCGATTCTGCTCAAATACCTCTCGTCCACGTGCATGGTCCGGATCATGCCCTCCATAGCACCTGTACAAAGTTGGAGCTAGGACATGCACCAGCAGCGCGACAGCGCCCCCCCCCCCCCCCCCTTCTCTCTGCATCACCTTTGGTCGACTTCGGCGCGATGAAAGACAACGTCCTCTCTGCACTCTAGGTCGCTCAGTGGTATCTCCTCCGTCTCTACCCTCTTGTACCCCTTCAGCCTATACCGCCTCACGCCGAACCTGATCCCGAGCACTATCAATGCCCCCAACCCTATGACCACCGTCCCAGAAACCCAGGCTCTCCATCCGCGCAGACAGCACGGGTACAATGACATAAAGATCCCAACAGCCCACTGTATCCACGACTTGCTCTCACGATGGTCGGGAAAGAGCCCCTTCCGCACGAGCTGCTTCTCAGCAGGGCCTGCCGGACCCGAGACATAGCGCTGCAGGCCGAAGTACGGGACTGTCTTTTGGCGAGGATCGTCGTCCGGATACTGGGCATCGCCCCACATGCCAGTAAAGTAGAAGAAGGAGGTGAGATTAGGCGCGGCGGCGAAGGGTGACCCGGAAGTGGACAGGCGCGTCAGTGTGAAGCTGGCGGGGTCGAGGTGATAGAAGTACGCCGAGAGGACGGGGTCCCAGACCTGGCCGGCATCGCAGTAGTCCACCAATACTTCGTCATGGACGTGGTCGCTGGATGGGCGGGGTGGGTGGTTAGTACCTGAGGTTGACGGGCGATCGGGGGTCGCTGGAGGGAGAGGGAGAACTGAGAGAAACTGACCCCGGAGATGGGTAATTCGCGTGCGAGCCATAGGCGCTGAAGACGACGGGCTAGACTTGTATTAGATGACAGAGTTCACAGTCGCAGGCTTATTACGATCGACACACCCGCTCATTCTTCATCGAAAGGGTCACGTCGTTCCAGTCGTAGGCAGCGCCGTCTGCATGCTGACTGTAGTAGATGCCAATGGGCTTTCCATCGCGAAACCGGATCATGTTGTGTTCCCTTGGCAACGGCGGGTCAATCTAAGCCGTTGAAGAGATGGACCGAAGGCAAGCTCACCAGTCGCCAACGTGATTCCCAAAATGCATCCCGTTCTCAGTGTCCTCTATCAAGTGATTCAGGGGCTCCAAGACCTGGGTGAGATTTGCGCCTCGGTCGTACGAATAGAAATAGAAAAAAAAGGCGTCAATATCACGGGAACTGTGCTCGACGAGAATCACAACACACGGGGTAGCGTTGTAGACCCTGCCCATTGCGTCCGGGGTCTCTCCGAAGATCCATGCGGGCAGATCTCTGATATCGTCATTAGAGGTCAGCGCGACTTGGTCGCCGCCAATGTTGTTGAGCATCGCTAAGTTATCCAGGTCGAGCTCCGGCAGATCCGAGACGGGCTTTTGGTTGACCATGGGCGTCGTGTGGCGGACATGCTCGAGTAAGTCTGCCGGCCGGAACGGGTCTTCCGAGTGTAGCCAGACGAGCGGCGCTGTTTTATAGGTAGTAGGCATTAGCTTCCTGTCTGAACGCAGCTCAAACCACTCCACAGGCATGACTTTGATGCACATGATGGATGAGGCTGATGAGGCTGGTGAGGCTGGCGAGGCTGGCGAGGCTGCTCTATACCATATCGTGTCACATAATCCGGCACGGTGCGATTTGCCTCGGCCAACATAGACGAGACCGCATTCTGGACCGTAGATTCGGAAATCACAAAGAGTAATTGCGCGGCCAACAGCGGAATGACCAGACCACGGAATGACCCAGTGACAAGGCGTCGACGGGCCATGTCTGCGGCGGACATCGCAAGCTGGGCTGGGGCACTGTGGGCTTCCAAGTAAGCGATGGGTGGTGCCGGAAGCACCGGAGGCACCTTTAATCGAAAACGGGGGGAGGTGGGAGGGGAGGGGAGAACAATCGTAAATTTGTCGGATAATTAATCAGTAGTAGTCACAGGTCTATTATCTCCACGCGTGCTGTAGCCGCTCGCTTTTCAGCTCACTCAAGTGTCGATCGCCCTCAGCCACCGCCTCCTGCAAGCCCCTGTGCACCCTCTTTTCGACCTTTCGGCCAATCAGATGCGTAAATTTGGGCAGAGCCTCGATGTGTCACCGCCGTATTCAACGGCTACATGCCTGAAGAAACGCATGCTGTGAAGCTGACTTACCGAGTGTGACAGTAAGCGCGCCTCCATCTATCGTCCCTGGTGAGTGAATGAGGGTCGGGAAAGGCTTGGCGGCTTCACAGGAACGGAAGAGACGGCTTGCAGCACATGGGCGCTTAACACGCTGCTCTTGCAGCACATGGCGCTGAACCTGAGATTCCTTTGGGGGCCAATAGCTTGGCGGGTGCCTGTTGGGATTCAGCGCTTTCGGGATCCTGGTAACCAACAGAAGGGGTACCCGGGTGCCAAAAACACGGCTGCGGCTCCCCGAGTGTTCAAAGTGTTGCCACGTAGAATAGGGGGGATGGCTAATGAATAACACCTCCCTCGAGTAACTCCTCCTGCTCAATTGTTTCTGCGAACCATACATTCGAGCCCCATTATCACTCGCCCCGTTATCGTTTTGTTGTGCACCTGCTCGGTGTTCAAAATCACAGCTTTACTTTGCAAGCAACTCAAATCTACGACAAGACAACCAAAATGGAATACTTCACTCTATCAGGCTTGCTGTTCCTCATATTTTGGGCGCAACCAAGCTACGCGATGACTTTCACGATACAGTTTCAGCACTGGTATCCACAATATGCCCCCATCTGGAAAGATATCTTGCAGACCAATTGCACCGACCAATACGCACTATATCTCACTGGTTTCAAGAACCACTCGAACATCGACTGGCGTGGCGGCGGCGGCACCCTCTCAGCCCTCACGCAGCCTGTCATTCTGTGTATCCTCAACAACTCGTCCGACTATCTCCAGTCCGTCCTTACCAGCGCCCAGGTGCTGCTAGGCATTACACCGACCGTCCTCGCACTTCTAAGTGCCAGCAACGAGGAGCTCGCCATGCTGACCGTTGTGGCACGTCGTCCCATGCTTGCCTCGCTTCTCGCCCTCGGCAGCCCAAGCGTGTACTTGAGTCGGGCTTTCGACTATTGCAATCCAAAGGATATTCTGGAGGGCAAAAACGACAGGCTCACCCAGTGGCGTCCGGCTGGAGCCGCGAAGTCGGCCGTTGCGATGGCGGAATATGTCCTGGCGATCGCCGCCGTTGGCAACGTCGCGCACGTCAGCTACCAGCTTGGCATCCGGAGTGTCAGCTCCATATGGTCCGATACCGTCCTCGGGCCAATGATCTGGGCTCTTCTAGTCATCGTCATTCATGTCGTCGGGACTCTTAGCATGTGTTTCCGTGTCCGCAGGGACATGGGAAACACCAGAGGAATTGGCGGGTCAGTCGACAAAGGACCGATCAAGTGGCTTCGAAATACTTGGTGGTTCATTCGAGAGCTGCCGTCTACCGAGATGACACCTTCAGTTGCTCAGTCGGATATGGAGGTCACCTTCATTAAAGAATCTCCGAAATATATCATCGTCTCGTGGTTCCTGTCCCCCTTTATCATCTGCCATATCATCTTCGGCACGTTCCTTATGTCAAGTCTATTGTTTTTGGGGCCGAAGGATGCGCTGGGAGTTGCGGGCAGATACATGGGTTCTGTTCTTGTGTGCCGCACTATCCTTCTGTATGAAATTGCTGGTATGCGAGAAATGTATCTCCGGTCCAAAGAAAGCAAGGAGTCTGCCAAGTCCGGTGTAACGGAGGGTCTTGGTGGTGCGCAAGCTTAGCAATTTAACACTCAAGCCTAAGGTCTGTACGGCACAGCTAGTGACAGGAGCCAATCCATACCAATGGCTAGATCTATGTACTCGGCTGCGATTGCTCTATAGACCTGCTGCCAAATATGATAGAATGGAGAATACCAGACCTAGAGTTATTTTCGATCGTCGCCACTGCTCGTAACAGTATGCTCGCCAGGGATGCTTTCGTCTCCTGTTCTCCAACTTCTTCTCGGTTCCTCAGTGGAGGCCCTGTCAACATAACTAAGACGTGCTTCATAACAATATTGCATATTAACAGTTAGCTCACTCTGAGAGGGGATCAGGAGAACTTGTAAATCTTGGTTAGGACAATGAAGCTCTAGGGGTCCCTAATCTAACTAACTGCCTTGAGGAAACGAACAATAACCCCACATAAGTTAGTAGTCCCTCTTAACCGTAGGTGCGAGGTGGTAGATTACCCATCGCAGATAGAGCTATGAGTGAGAGAGGAAGATCCCTACGCTGCTAAAGAACAACCCCTTTATGTGGACTGTGTCCTTCGTTGGACTATTAATTAATAGTATTCAGACAAATGATTGCAATTCGCAAAGCCTAGACTATGCCTAGTTAAATAGAACCCCAAGAAAAAAAACAAATGCGTCGTGTATATCTCCATTCTTACACTAAGCAGAAAGTCAAGGGTAAAGGAGACTCGAATCCGCAAAGTGGTACACATGCATCGCAGGCTGAGTTTGACTTCAGGGTCAAACAGAAGCATAGAAGGGGCTCCTTAAAAATTTAAATAATAAAAATAATAATTAAAAATTAAAAATTAAAATTAAAATTAAAATTAAATAATAAAATATATATAAAAAATGGATTGTGGTACCCTTGAGAAGGAAGAGATCGTGACAGGAGCTTAGAGGCATGCAAGATCGGTCTTTAGCCAAGATGGACAAGCCAAGATCTGTTGCGAATAATTACTGGAATTGACGCGATAACCCGCCCGACAAGGTATTCGAATTCTAGAAGGCTCATATTGAAGTGGAGTCCGAATAGAGATCTCGAAACCTGCGCATATTTAGCTGCCCCTGAATCCGCTTCCTTGTCCTCCTCGACAAGCGAACTGGAAGACGGCGAAATGGTCAGTCAGTAAGGCCAGGAGCAATATGGGGGACGCAGGCCAAGACATCGATGGCAGTTCCTTGCATCATTAAGCGGCTAAGCCCATTGAGTTGAAGATTAGCCCTTCCCCCAGCACAGGCGGGATGCCTGCTTCCAGTGTACCAATTTGGGGGGTTATGGCCGCCCTGGAACCCCCCGTATTGCGGGGTCACGCCACTCCCGCGCGTATCACTACCGGGGGATATATTGCACTAATTAATTAATGGCAATCCGGGCCGACCATTCTCGGCCATCCGAAGAAAGCCACACTCAGCCAAGCCCATCGGATTGTTCCCATTGTTGCTCCATCGTGGGGGAAAGGACGTGTCGCGTCTGGGTCTTCCTCTGGGTTCCCTCGCGTTCAAGGTTCGACCCTGTTTGTCGATCTTGACTTGCCGAGGACTAGAGACGGTGGGACAGATGTTGGAGATTGGCCAAGGCCCCCGGTACCTTGGACGTCATATATCCCATACAGGCCTGTCGGGGGAAAATCCCTCTCACTTGTGACCCTACGGGGGAATAATGCCGTGCTTGGTGCTGCTCCGGGCTCTGCTCGGCCATAATAACGGCGTGGCACTTGTTTGGCTGCTGATCAAAATTCCAAAAAAATGCTCGGCATTCCGGCTGGGCATCTTCCATGGGCTCCTTCATGGTGACCTATAAAGGTGGAGCAGGGGCGCCGATGTAGAAGGGTGGTCTTAGGGGAGAGACGCTCGAAAGTCGAAACTCAGGCGGACCCGACCATCAACCATCACTGACACCGGGGAGAAAGCACCCGCACCAAGCCCGAACCATGCACTTCCAGACCGCCGCCGCCTTGCTGGCGGCAGCTTCGATTGCCCGGGCGGTTGACCCAGCAGCCCCGGATGCCTGGGCAGCAGCGTACACGAAGGCGGAGGCTGCGCTGGGAAAGATATCCCTGCAAGACAAAGTCAACATGGTCACCGGCGTTGGCTGGAACAAGGGACCTTGCGTCGGCAACACCAACCCCGTCGGCTCGATCGGCTATCCCCAGCTCTGTCTTCAAGACGGGCCCCTCGGTGTCCGCTTCGGCGGCAGCGTCACGGCGTTCACTCCTGGCATCATGGCCGCGTCCACCTGGGACCTCGACCTGATACGCCAACGCGGCCAGTACATGGGGGCCGAGGCCAAGGGGTGCGGCGTCCACGTTCTCCTCGGGCCCGTGGCCGGTCCGTTGGGGAAGGTCCCCGAGGGTGGACGTAACTGGGAAGGATTCGGCCCCGACCCCTATCTGACCGGGTTGGCCATGGGGGCGACAATCGAGGGCATGCAATCAAGCGGTGTCCAGGCAAGCGCCAAGCACTTCATCGGCAACGAGCAGGAGTTGAATCGCGAGACGATGAGCTCCGACATGGACGACCGGACGATCCATGAGCTGTACCTGTGGCCATTTGTCGACGCGGTGCACTCCAACGCGGCGTCTGTCATGTGCAGCTACAACAAGCTGAACGGCACGTGGGCCTGCGAGAACGACAAGATCCTGAACAACCTCCTGAAAAAGGAGCTCGGCTTCCAGGGCTACGTTATGACTGATTGGAACGCCCAGCACTCGACCGTGGAGAGCGCAAACAACGGTCTGGACATGACCATGCCCGGAAGCGACTACGACGGGAAGACGATCCTCTGGGGTCCTCAGCTCACCAACGCGGTGAACGGCGGCCAGATCGCCCAGAGCAAGCTAGACGACATGGTAAAGCGCATCTTGGCTGCGTGGTATCTCACAAACCAGGACTCGAACTTCCCCCAGATCAACCTCAAGGCCAATGTCCAGGGCAACCACAAGGACAACGTCCGCGCCGTCGCCCGCGACGGTATCGTGTTGCTCAAGAACAACAACAACGTACTCCCGCTGAAGAAGCCGGGCAAGATTGCCGTCATCGGATCGGCAGCGGTCAACAATCCTAAAGGCATCAACTCCTGCGTCGACCGCGGGTGCAACACCGGTGCTCTCGGCATGGGCTGGGGCTCGGGCACTGCCGACTACCCCTATTTCATTGCTCCATACGACGCCATCAAGGCTCGGGCCCAGTCCGACGGGACGAGCGTGACCCTCAGCGACAACGACAACACCGGCTCGGTCTCCGGCGTCGCATCTGATGCCGATGTCGCCCTTGTCTTCATCACTGCCGATGCGGGCGAAGGCTACATCATTGTCGAGACCAACAATGGCGACCGAAACAACCTCGACCCCTGGCATAACGGCAACCAGCTGGTGCAGGCCGTGGCGAACATCAACAAGAACACCATCGTCGTGGTGCACAGCGTCGGCCCCATCATCCTCGAGACCATTCTCGCGCTTCCGAATGTGCAGGCCGTCGTCTGGGCCGGGCTGCCGAGCCAGGAGAGCGGGAATGCCCTCGTCGACGTCCTCTACGGCGACACCGCCCCGTCGGGAAAGCTGCCCTACACCATCGCGAAGGCGCAGGGTGATTATGGCACCTCGGTCGTGCGGGGAACCGATAACTTTAAGGAAGGCATCTTCGTCGACTACCGACACTTTGACCAGGCGAAGATAGAGCCACGATTCGAGTTCGGCTTTGGACTTTGTGAGTTTTTATCGCGGGTCCCCAGCCCCCAGTCTCCAGTTCCCCCCAAACAATCTGTAGCAAAACTAACCTCATCCCCTTTTTTTCACCTACCAGCCTACACCAACTTCACCTACTCCGACATCGACGTCACCTCGACGGCCAAGTCCGGCCCGGCCACAGGCGCCATCATCTCGGGCGGGCGCGCCGACCTCTTCGAGACGGTGGCGACAGTGACGGCCAAGATCGCCAACTCGGGCGGCGTGGCGGGCGCCGAGGTGGCGCAGCTGTACCTGGGCCTGCCGTCGTCGGCGCCCGCGTCCCCCCCGCAGCAGCTCCGCAGCTTCGCCAAGCTGAAGCTCGCGGCCGGCGCGTCGGGCACCGCCACCTTCAACCTCCGCCGCAGGGACCTCAGCTACTGGGACACGGCGCGGCAGGAGTGGGTCGTCCCGTCGGGCACGTTCGCCGTCGGCGTCGGGTCCAGCTCGAGGGATATCAGGCTCAAGGGGGAGATCACTGTGGCGTGATTGATAGGGGAAAGCATTGACAGGGTTAGTTAGACGTGGAAGGAAGAGCGGGCGGCATTGTTTGGATCTTGCTCTAAGCAATATCGCCGTGATACATACCATGACTTAAAGTACATAGGTTGGAGCGTCTGGATGTTGTCGATTTGTACATATGGGCATGGCAACTATGAGGTTGATAATATCCAACACAGTCACAGCGAGTACAAGGATCCGGTGATGTTACCTCGGACCATTCGTCCAGATTGTGAAATTTCCTAGAGAAATGTACAGTACGCCCTCAAAAAGAGCCCAAGGCCGCTAGACGTAAAGTTTCTCTAGCTTAATAAGAGATGCTCCTAGACTTCGCAACCGCTTCTCACCGAGGTGGCGAAGCAAGTCCCCCAGTCTCTTAGACACGAGAATTTCTGCGGGAAGTTTAGACGAGTCAGAATAGAATAGACGGTTGTGGAGGAAAACGAAACAGATAAAAGACAGGATATCTTAAAAGGAGTATTCGAGTCCGTTACCATAGAACCACCCAACAGTAGTCATAACGTGGGCTCCAGGAGTCTCCACAACGCAATCCCATTCGCCATTTCCTAACCCTATCCTAGACAGTGACCCTCGTCTAATATGAATACACGGCCATTGTTGTAACAGGGCACACTGCACACTGCCCCATTCAGACCATTCAGACTCTGTCCTTCCTCGGCATCTGTGGTGAAGCCAAGTTTGTTGCACTCAAGAGATTGATCATCAGAATCAATCAAGGACTGGATCCTCAGCCGGGTTTCTGTGTCAGGTTCTGAATCAAGCCTTTCACCGACTTCACTGTCTGGGATTCGGGGCCACTCTCGATGGTTCCAGCCTCAACCGCCAGCTTGGCATACTTCACTGCCATTTTCTCGTCCTTCAGGATGTAGAAGTTCAACGCGGCCAGGGAATACGGAGTGGCCATGGTCGAGTCCAGACGCTCGTCCTCGTGCAACTTGATGAATCGCTTTATCAACGCCGGGGTGACCTCGCCGCCCTGAGGATTGGTGAGTTTGTCCGCTATCTGAGAAATCTCTTGGAGCCTCCTGTCCGATTCGGCGACCAAGCTCTCGGGTAGGCTGCAGTGCGAACAGGTACACTCGAAGCCCCATGTCTGGCGGGCCCGTATCTGGCGTAGTGCCCGAGGTTCGGCATTGTCGAGGTAGGAGACGGTCAGCTCTTCCCCAGGCTTTATGTCGCGGACCACAGTGGTGGTGTGAACGAGGTCTCCATCGATATGAAAGGCCACGTTGGGACGGCAATCGTGGTTGAAGCGGGAGACGGCTGGGTAGTTGCCAAAGTGGTGGCCGTCTTCCCCACCGAGGTTCATCTGGAACGAGTTTGTCGCCATGATGTCGGCGGCCCGGTTGCCGGCAAAGCGCGTCATCTGCGACAGGAACACGGCCCGCGTCGAAGGCGGCAGCAAGTCCACGGCCAAATCGAGCAGCGGGCCCTGGTAGTCCGGAGGGACTCGCTCCAGGAAATTTCGATGGGCGATGAAGACCGGTGGCATGGACATGAGTCTTGCTCCGCGGCGGAGAGGCTTGTCGGCGACGAGGCCCATCCCTTTGCCCTTGATCTGGGCGGAGTGAAATGGCTCCGGTAACAGTGCCGTGCCCCCTTCGTGACTTGCGGAGGATCCCTCTACAATTTCCTTGATCCTCTCGAAGTTCTCGCGGGTAGATATAAATGCGATGCCTTGTCCTCCCGCGAACTGCTGGTTTGCGAACAAGCAGAAGAACTTCCTGACACAACGCTTAGTATCGATCCATCCTTTCGGATCTGTCGCGAATCCCATCTGGTGAAGGTTGTAGCCATTTTCAAAATCCTGCGCTCCGCAAGTCTGATGGACAACTAGTTGAGGCCATGGGCAAACTTCCAAGGAACAGGAAGTGCTGAGAGTGACCCCAGTTGCCGCGAGAAAGGCGGCGGCAGTTATGCGCATGCTGGCTGGCCCCACCCCCGTTAAAAAAAAAAGAATTCCCAGAATTCCAACGCTTTGAGAAGAGATACAAGGGGAAAGTAATAATTAGGAAAAGGATTGAGAAAGGCTTCTTGTAGTGAATTGGTTAATTAGGCATCGCGCAAACACTGAAAATAAGAGGACACATCATGCATGATCGCCGATCGCCCCTCCAGCCGTAACATCCAAGTTGCTCCTGAAACGTCCAGGGGTTGGCAGGCCCAGCCAAACAAACCCAAAGCGTATTTGTTCCATGCAATAGCGGCAAAAATGTACAGAGGTAGGCAATAACATATCTTCATTGTTGAGCAGATGCTGTGCCTTACACGCAGTCCCTTTTCAATGTAATTACATTCTGCAAGTGGGAAACAGCTCCTTACAAAACAGTTTGGTAACGTCATCAATTTATTATATTAATCAGTGTGTGCTTTGCTGCAATCTGTATACAAGCAGAATGTCCCAACCTTACAACTCTCTGGCTTCCCGCTTGCTTCTTCCCTTGCACCGTCAACAAGTGACTATCAAGCCCAAAAGCCAGGCTTAGCCGTCGTGGGAGTACGACTGCAGACCAGCTCACACTCCTCGCAATCAAGGGCTGAGACGGCGGTAGCCCAGTGGCTGCAGTTAAGGTTTGTATAGACGGTGACTGACTGTAGTGTAATTCACGATCAGCCAAGGCACGATGGGGGATAAATGACACTTGGAATGGAGCCAAATATAAAGGAAATGGGGAAACTGGTAAATGGAGAAATGGGGGCCCATGTCGGCTGCTACACCGAGGCGACTGGCTCGAGGGCGTTGGACCAGGCGGCGTATGCTGACTATGGTACAATGGCGGTTGAGGCGTGCGAGACGTGTTGTTTCGTGACGAACAATTATGCCATGGCGGGCTTAGAATACGGCGGCGAGTGCTGTGAGTCCTCCTCTTTAGTCAAAGTCTTTTCTGCACGTATGCCAGTGGAAATGCCAACTTATCTTGCTACACGGTGGTGATGCATTACAGGATAGAAGTGCTGCTGCTGCAGAGCACCGAAAGCAAGTTGATTTGTCGCCATCACGATTAGAGGAAAGAGGGGTTGCCATCGTAACTCATGAAGCCTTGCCTATTTAATCATGCCAGGACCTCGAAAAGCCTCCCAAAGTCCCCCGGGATTCCAAGTCCGGTCACGCAATCGTATCCTTCCACCACAGGCCAGCCTTTACCATCCTCTTCGTCATCACCAAAGCTGCATCCCTGGCCTCTCCCCCTTGTGATGTCCGTCAGCACGTCCCGGACGCTATCCGCGTATAGGAGCGGGTTCAGCCAGCCGAGGCTGCTCTTTCCGGCCCTGAGGCGCGCGTCGTTGATGAGAGCGATCATGCCGGCCATGACCGGCGTGCTGGCGCTCGTCCCCAGCACCGCCGACCCGCCGCCGCCGAACTGGATCTGGAACGCCGTGCCGACCGCGCTGATGTCGGGGATCGCCCGGCCGGACTCGTTGAACATGCCTAGGTTGCTGTTGTTCGTCCTGGCGAGCATCTTCAGGTACGCGCCGACGGCGTCGTCCTGCCACGCCTGCCTGGAGAAGTACCTGCTGAACCCGCCGGCGCTGAACGCGGCCGCCGTGGGATTGGCCCCGTCGTTATTGGTGGCCCCCACCGATGTGACCCACGGGCAGCTGGCCGGGAAGGTCGGGATGAGCATCCTGCGCTGCTCCCCGTCGTTGGCGTAGCAGTAGCTCTGACCCGTGCCGGCGGCGCCGCCGTCGCCCGACGCGGCGAGCACAGACACGCCCCGGGCGGCCAGCTGGGCCAGGAGGTCGCAGACGCGCAGGGCGTAGGCCTGCGGCACCGACTGCTCGTCGTCGGCGTAGCTGATGCTCAGCACGTGCGGTATCTCGTCGTCCGGCTTCGCCACCAGGCCCTCCAGCAGCTCGAGGTACGGCTCGTTGTCGCTGCCCGTCATCGGGATCTCGGCACCGCTCCCGTCGAGCTTGACGCCCCGCCCGCCCGTGCTGTAGTATGTCACCGCCGTGGGGTAGCCGATCGCCATGGCGTACTGCACATCGAGGGACGCCTCGAGCCCCGCCATCCAGATCGGCGCCTGCGGGTTGGCCCCGTCGTTCAGGAGCTCCACCGTGAAGTTGTAGGGCGGGTCGAGGTTGGCGAGCTCTGGGACGTACATGTCGAGGAAGGCCGACACGTCGGCGTAGTTGATGTACTGCTCGAGGAACCCGGCGACGCCGAACCGGACCGGAGATGGGCCAGCCGCGTCGTAGGTTATGTTGTATAGCTTCTTAATGCACTCCGGGAACACCCCCGTGGCGCAGGGTACCTCCTGGGCGTTTCCCGACCCGTTGGGCACGGCCGTGTCGGCCGTGGCTTCTACTACAGCCTTGCTTAGCTGCACGTGGGCACTACGGGGTGGCATGAAGTGCGCGACCGGGTGGACGAAATCGACGTGGCCCTTCAGCCATGCGGGTATCGTGTACTCTCTCGCCCGGAGGACTGGCTCGCCGCCGCCGCCGTACGAGTACCAGCCGAGCTCGGCGCCGAGGAGGGGCCCGGCTGCCTTGGCCGTTATGTTGAAGCTGACCCAGCTGTCGAACGCCTTTGCATGCTCGATTCCATGTGATTCCAGCCATGCCATGACTAGGTCGACACTTGTCCGGTCCGCTTTCCTATATTCGCTCACTTGCTTCTGCGAGAGGTGCCCGCCGCGGTCGTCTCGGGTGTCGGAGCGGTCGACCTGAACCAGCTTCGATCTGAGGTCGTCCATCCTGGGCTGCCGGAGCGCGACGAAGAGTGCAAGGGAATCATCATCTTGGGCGTCCCTCAACAATCCCCAACCGTGCGGGAGATCCGGTGTCCTCTCGAGGGTGATTGTCGCGGCGGCAAGGGCAAGAATGGGCAGCCCAAGAATGGACAGAATAAGTGCAGGCAGCATCATTGCGTCTTAGACATTGGACAGCTGCTCGAAGCCTGCCGCCACCTAGAGCTAAGATAACCTAGGCAAGTCGGGATTGAATCGAGGTGGAGAGAAGGACATCTCCGGCCAGTTTCTCCTTTCTGCTGGCGCGCTGCATGTGGCCACTTTGCTCGCCCTTGGAGAGGGATAAACCGCGATCTGCGGGCCAAGGCGAAGTTTTCCGGCCCTAATTTATCTGTCTTGGATCAGACTATCAGACTATATCAGTAATATACCTACCCGAAGGGAACCAATTCAGCCGCGAGAAGTACGGCGGCGTTGGCATTGGCTACAACTTAATGCAAGGCACCATAATTTTGATTATCTCCACTCGGCATGACCTTGGCAGCTTGATAGAGTAGAAAGTTGCCTTGTCTCCGTCCAGGTGCCGGATCCAGACACGGACAGCCCAATTGGTTGTGCAACCTGAGCAACTCGTCAATTGCCACCAAAATTAAACCTCCTTAGCAGAGATGTCGTATAGCTAAAATGATGGTCATCCTTCTTTTATTCCATATTTTAAGTGTTGATTACCTATTTCCCTTTCCCTTTTCCTTTTCCTTATACTTCAATTTCAATTCCCCTGCAGCTGCAGGGTGCAGCAACCCGGCTCTTCATAAGCGGGCTTCCTCAGAGGCAGCGAATATAACAAACATATTAAGGGGCCCCTTTCCAACAGCACGATACATTAAGTGCACCTATGAACCACGGGGGCTACCACTCAGCTTATCAATCTGGCAGTACACCGGACCGAAACATTCCCCCCACCTACCTAAGCCAAGAACGACGTCGCGATTGATCACTGACCCCAGAGGAGCACTCTCCACCTCCACCCAGCCAAAAGCTTCATGTCGTTCTCGTCAATGCCATCATAACCTCCCTCAAGTTTAGCGCTGAGCCTCTTCAGTCTTTTAGAAACAGTCCTCGCCACCCTGAGCGACACCTCGTTCTGGAATACGTAGAGTACTGCAAAGACAAAGAAAGCAACCGAGGCTAGGGCCCCCCTGCCGGGAAGGGAGTCCTTGATACGAGAAATCAAGGTCTTGCTCTTCCGAAAAGCATACTCGGTATCATTGGATGTCTCTGTCTCATCCGCCGGCCTGCGGAAGATGGCCCTCACGGCTGGAATAAAGATGGCTCTACAGAACGAACGGCTGTTAAGCATGTAGGCCGGCCACTCAATGACACAAGACAGAGATCTCCGATGGCACCTGAGCATGGCTCGGTAGTTATGAGAATGCGTGGAAGGACAAGACTCACAGCACAGTGCCAGTAATCCACCGTCGCCATCGACGAGACTCGCCCGCCCTGACAATGGCCGAGACGTTCTTTCTGAGGAAACGAAGATCGGAAACAAGGTTTACGGCCTGTATGCGAAGTCGTTCCTCGATCGCAACCTCGCCCGTCTCATACCATCGTCTCTGGAGGCTCATATACTCGCGCAGTCCAGATTCCAAGCCCGACCTGGCAGCCCGAATGTCGCCTCTGGTCGCCGGTAGCGAGGTCAAAGCAGGCCCGGGGATTTGCTGAGGCAGAGGGGGCCCGGCCACGGAACCGACTGGTGGCGCCGAGAAGGGAGCCGGACGAGGTGGAGCTGCCATGGTCGTCATGGCCGAAGACTGCGTGGGTGTGTGTGTGGGGGGATTTCCATTCTACGATAAAGAAATGGGCGGGGTTGTATGTACGTCACGTTATGGTTCTCCTGCATGGATGCCTAATTCTCAGGGCCGCAGCAAAAAGGGCTAGGCCAATCAACCAATCATGAGAGCTGTTGGTCTTCGGAGTTGGAGGCCTTCGTTTCCCCCAACATTCCCCCAATTCGGATGCGCTCAGCCTCACAAAGAAGCTGCTGTCATAGCTCCCCAGGCAACAACCCTGCCGCCACTGACTGTTCGTCTTTGCCCTTGACGCAGCCGAGAGAAAGCTGAAAGATGGAATCCCGGGGCATAAATAAGTCCCTCTATCCCCCCTTCCCCTCCTCTCTCTCCCTCCTTCTTTTCCCTCTATTGCTCCCTCTGTAGTCGCAAAACTGCCTCAGACCAAATCAACAAGCCTGCGATATCTCTTCGGACTTTACAACCCCCCGCCTATTTCGACCGCCATGGATCTCATTCACAAGCAGGAGTACCGCATTCGCGATCTCCCCACCCGTTCTGTGACCCTCTTTCCCACCCGAGCTCAGGTTGTTCGAGACATCAAAGGCGTGCCTTTGGCCGTAAGTCGTCAAGTTTCTGGGACAGTCTCCTTGACGACCTGCTAACGCATACTTCAGCCAGGAACCAACGAGATCACCATCCAAGGCCTGTCTCCTTCAGTTGACGAAGATTCGATCAAAGTCGAGGGCACCGGTTCTGCCATCATCTCCGACATTACATTCGAGCTGCTCCCCAACCGCGAGATCTTCCAGGAGGTCTATCCGGACTCCGACGACGACAAATCTGACGACGAATTCGAAGACGAGGATGACGATGACGATGCCCCCTTGCCAGAAAAATATGGCGACGCAGTGAAAGCTGTGCGCGCCAAGCTTGCCGTTTTGTGTGATGATCAGAGGCGCGCCCAAGAACTCGTTGCAAGCGCACAAAGCCGACTCAATATCCTCAATGGCTACGGTAAAATCCTCGGCCAGAAAAAGGCCCCGGATTTCGAACGCGGTCTCGAGACCTACCGCCAAGGCCGCGAGGGTGTCTTTCGAGATCAGATGGACGGCGCAGCCCGTGATCGTGAGCTCACCGAAGAGATAAACACGTTGGTTGCCGAGGAAAACCGGCTCCTCAAGCTCGAGTGGAAGGAACAGAGGAAGGCCGTGAAAGAGAAGGAGAAGATCAAGAAGGAGAAGGAGAGGGCACGGGAGAAAGAGCGACTTCGTGAAGCAGAGAGGCTCAGTGAAAAGCGTCGCATTCGCAAGGAGCGCCAGAGTTTCTGGCCGCGATTTTGCTGGACCGCCCGCATCACCCTCGACGCAGTCAGCTTCACGCCTAGTTCCTCGCGCCGAAGCTCCATCGCCAGTGCCAGTGACATCGTCAAGGTTGTCCCCGAGAAGGAGACGGCGTCTGCCGAACACCCCGACGCCTCCACTTTTACCTGTGATCTGTCACTCTCCTACGTCACATCCTCTGCTTGGTGGTCGCCAAGCTACGACCTGGCATTGACAACCACTTCGAACACTGCCCTCCTCTGTTTCGATGCTCAACTCACAAACAGGACCTCGGAGAACTGGGCCAATTGCAAGCTCGTGCTCAGCACCTCACAGACAACCTTTTCCGGTATTCAGGATGCAATTCCCGCACTTGTCCCTTGGCGCGTCAGGCTCGGGGCCAAGGGCTTCGGATTAAAAGCCAGCGACGTCCTTGACAGCCGGGAGGAGCGAGCAGAGAAGGGCGGCTGGCTCGCACAGCAAAATGCTTGGGGGGTTCAGAAGTCCCGGAACCATTTGTACGGCCTTGGCGATCATGGTGACATCCTTCCGTCAGCACGCGGCCTCACTCTGCCGCCGCCACCCCCCTGCCCAGCGCTACCTGCCTCCGATGTCTTCGAGAGTGCCCGGGGACGCCAACAGCAGCAACTTCAACAGCAGCAACTACAACAGCAGCAGCTACAACAACAGCAACAACAAACCCTGCTTCCCTATGTGTCCCAAGCAACAGAAGACCTTTTCGGTTCCGCGCAGGAGAGTAAGAAGATGTCGCGGAAGGCTGGTGGCCCATCCAAGGGCCTTACTAGCAACCCCTTTGCGCCCGGCAACGCATATGGCGCCGAACCTTCTTACATGGAATCACCTGAGCAAGACGATGCCGAGACCATGCTCAATCGTGACCCTGAACTGGCCTTCCAAGAATCCGAATTCGAAGAGACGGGCATGACCACGACCTACGATCTGCCCGGCTTGAAGACGCTGAACACGAGTTCCACCGCCTCAAAGCAACGCGTCGCCCGCATCTCTTTTAGCAGCGTGGCCTTCTCCCACACCATCGTTGCCAAGTATCGGCCCGTGGCTTACCTCAAGGCCAAGTTGCGAAACGCCAGCAAGCTCACTCTGCTCAAGGGGCCAGTCGGCCTGTCCCTTGACGGCTCTTTTATAGGTCGCTCCACCTTGCCACGCTGCAGCGCCGGTGATATTTTCACCACGAGCCTTGGCATAGACCCGGCCATCAAAGTATCCTACCCCAAGCCGGATGTCAAGCGGAGCACGTCGGGACTCTTCACCAAGGAGGACAGCTTCGTCTATACCAGGACCATCACCATCTCCAACACGAGGGCTTCCTCCGCCAAGCCGATCAACCTCGTCGCCCTGGACCAGGTTCCTGTATCGGAGGATGACAAGTTGCGCATCGAGGTCATGAATCCGAGAGGCATGACTGTCGGGTCCAATGGCGTAGCTGCCGGCCTACCCGGCAAGGAGGGCAAGGATGGCAAGGACTGGGGCAGGGCCACAGCCGCGCTTAAGAAGGCGGGAGAGGTTTCCTGGAATGTGGTCCTCAACCCTGGCCGCAGCGTGAAGCTGGCGTTGGAGTACGAAGTTGCCTTGCCGGCAGGGGATCATGTCATTCAGTGTTAATTAAGATCGCGGCAAATGCTGCTTGGCGATTCCCACGCTGTAACATAGGCCTGCAATGCGACCTAGCAATTCGAAATTGAGAGTACGAGCTCTAAGATACTCCTCTGGTAGAATTGCTTATTACACGATTCTTAGGTCTTCGAGTCTCGATGACTAGGTCCGCTCGCCGAGCCGGGCAGCGGCATGCATGACGTCACAGCTAGGCGTGGGAGGCTACGTTGCTTGGCCTCGTCTTCAGTATCTACACAGACAGGCGGCATTGCATCTCCCTATGTGAGCTGATGGGGAATAGTTAGAGGCTTCTGCGGACATGCTTGTGTACCCGGTCTGCAGATCTGCAGGTTGATGTGAACCATGACCCTGCTCTGAGCAGGATTCGTCGGTCTGACCTTGACTTGGCTTGCAGGCTCGCAACTAGAACTGGTAGGGTGTAGAGCTACTCCATCTCGAAGGCGTGGGCTTACCTTGGCCTTGACTTGCAGGTGAAGATAAGGAAGGCAATCATGGCTAGGACGCCAGTTTTGCGGCAGGATACTGGCTGAACCATGTAAGTGACATCACATACATGCCACGAAATGCAGGTCGCAGACTTTGCTGGTGGTTCTCGCTTGTCTGTCTGTTGGCCATTGTGGATCAAGATGGCTTGCAGGATAAACAGGAGCTGAGGCAACTAGACTGTGTCGAATAAGTCTGCTTGCGTGTCTGAAGGGTATAATAATAGCTGAAATGAGCATCATCTTACCACACACTTGCCCTGATTGCCTTGTATGCTCTTTACATGGCGATGTTTGACAATGCCAGCCCTCTACCAGCTCAGTCAACCCTATCCCAGCATGTTTCTATTAGTCCAATGAGGCGACGTGGTGTAATTACTGCCGCCACGCTAACCACCCCTTTCCTTCCTTCAAGCAGACGACGAATACAGACGCTTCGTAGACAAGCCTGTATAGCTTGGCCCTGGTTGGTCGTTACACCCCCGCACCGCAGCAAGGACGGCCGATTGCGTGGGGAACAGGGCATATCCGTGAAAGAGGAGCTCATCTGCCGCGTATATCTGGGGAAAGAGCACGGCGGTTGGGGTTCTCCCCACGCTGTTCTTATGCTGAGTCTGTCATCTCAGACAACAGCTCGCGTCCAGAACTTCCATCCTTCCCGGTTTCCGTGCAACCCCACTCCGACCAGTTGTTCGATACCCTGAGCACCGACAGCATTTTCAAAACTTTCCTGATCAATCTCTTCACCACCCCCTCCTCCATTCGTGCCGTTTCGGAGCACGGCGGGCCAAAGCACCCCGACCCCGTCGGCACCTAGGATAGTCTCGTATTTCTGAAATCCTTCTGCAGTGAACTTCCGCTCTAGCTCTTTGATAGTTTCATCTTTGACGCCTGGCCGGAAGAGTGTGATAGCACATCCACCACCTCCAGCTCCAGTGAGTTTGGTCCAGCCGATATCCGCATAATCCACAAGCTCGCGGATACGCTCTAGACGGGGGTGAGAGACCCCTAATGAAACCAGGAATCCGTGGTTCATACGGATCAAAGTTCCAAGGTGTTCGAGAGAATCGGAGGTGCCATTGCCATCAAAATCAGCGGACGAAATGAGCTCCAGTGCAGAAGCTGTAAACTGGCCAATTCCATCCAGGATCATCTCTGTCAACACAGGGTGATTGTTTTTTGATGTTCTTACTTTTTCCACCTGCATAGCTGTTGAGCGGGGTTGTCGCGTGTCAACGAGAAGGAGTGGTAGTTTCGGGAACTTGGTGAGAGGAGTGACCGATGATGATCCGGAGGGGTTCCTTTGGAAAACCACGGCCTTTCCACCCGCAGAGACCGTATTGTCCAACCCACTAGGGTCTCCATGTGTGCACAACTCGCCCACGAATGCCCAGCGATTAACGCGCTCAATCTGTATCTCGGCTTCCTCGGGAGGCTGATCAGGATGAGGTCCTGCAAGGGCGCGTATCTGAATGAGCAGAGCTGCACTCAAGCAGACACAAACACTGGCACTGCTGCCCAGACCAGCGCCAATTGGGATGGTAGATCGAAGAGTGTAGATGAATCCAGGACTTTCCGGGGAGCCCAAGGAGAGGAAGAGGTAGAGAAATGCGGTCGCAGATCGTACATGGATTTTTCGCTGCTTCTCCGGAAGGTCTTTCGACACCGCCTCTGCATGCGGTATGATGGCATCGAGTAATTCCGGGTCGAGGGAGTTGACGAGGGAGTAATAGAACCTTTTCTTGGAAGGTTGGTGGAAAACATCCCATGGTAGAGTGTCGATTTTCCACGCATGATTCAACCCAATGTCTCTGAAATTCAGTTTGGCGATGCGTTGGGACTTGGAGAGCGTGGTGACGAGGAGATAAGATCTGAGAGAGATGGCTGCGGCAATGGCTGGCTTACCATACACGGCAGCATGCTCACCGAAGACAATGACTTTTCCTGGTGCAGACACCATGAATGTGGGCGCCATCGGCGATGAAGCTTTCCTCTCCATGGCCCTGAACTGTAGAACGCGTCGACAGAGTGGTTGGGCTGCTGGAGGAACAATTGGCTGAGATTTTAGAGGGGCTTGAGCCACGTGACTGCAGCGCACGTTCCTCACTGCCGCGATAACCTACGTCTCTACTCCTTTCGCACTTAGGCAGCGGATAGAACTAGGCGATAATAGCTAATTACAGTAGGATAACTTAGCGAGCGAGAGTTACAAAGGGCTGTACTTGCGAGGGTACCTTATACTTGCTAGGTTATCTTACACTTACTTGCTAGGCTATTTTCTATTTGCAAGTTTTGGTAAAGAAGTTATTTTAACTTTAACTGGAGATTATAAGGCAAGGAGTAATTATATACCTTGGTTATTTTGTAAGCTTATTAATAAGTTATTTATTATACTTAGTTAGTGAATTTCTTAGTTATATCTATTATAGTTACTTTAATAAATAAGTTTAAAGTTTGACTAAGTGTTATGTGTTATGCTTTAAAGGCTTGGGTTAATATTGCTCTAGCCTTCACACGCAAGGCTTAGGTAAGCCTAGTAGCTAAGGTGGCTTAGTCTACCATATAAAGTGGCTTTAAGTGATTAGCGCAAGCGTAGCCTTTAATTGGAAAGCCTTGTAATTAGTATAGTCTTGCCTTGCAGGATAGGAAGGTCTTGCTAGCCTAGCTGGCTGGTTTTACAGGGTTTTTGCAAGAGGCTTGCGTAGAGACTTCTAGGCAGCCTTAAGTTAAAGATTGCAATAAACCTACCTAAAGGTTTACAAAAGCAGGCTTTAATATACATTCTAGCTAAAAAGCTACTGTTATGCTTTAAAAGCCTAGGTTAATATTGCCTTTGCCTTTACGCGCGAGGCTTAGGAAAGCCTAGTAGCTAAGGTGGCTTGGTCTGCCACATAAAGTGGCTTTGAGTGATTAGCGCAAGCGCAGCCTTCAATTGGAAGGCCTTGTAATTAGTATAGTTAGCGCGTTAGCAGGAAGCTACTTCAATAGCAATCTTGTAATATTGTACAAAGTAAAAGTGGTAGTGATATTTGGTGGTTTCTACGCTAAGGGCGCGTAGGCTTTGACTGACCCACGCTAGCGCATAGGCTAGGTCACAGGCCCCCAAGGCCACTTTAGGCCCTGCCCTCACTGTCTATTTACAGCTAGTAGAAACCATCCTTTCTACCCTACCAAGCCTCACGCATCAATATGCTAGGCTTGAAAAAGGATCTACCTGCCCTCAAGTGTTACATGGCAATGCTGCCATTGGTAGAGGCCTAATTAGCCTAACTAGTCAAGCCACCACCACCAAAAAATCCAGAGATTATCTAATCGTATAGAATCTAGACGCCTTTAAACAGTTTAAAAGGCTAGATTCTACAGCGCCAAAATTGTCAATTTCCTAAGATTAATTCTAATATAATAGATTAATCTTCTTCCAATTCTAGAACTAACAAGACACATAATTGGCTTAAAATAAGTCACATGCCAATGTTAAATTAACTGCCAACGTCTTTGTAAGTCAAGCCTATTGCATGCAACAGCCTAATCGCTATACATGCAGCTTAGTAGCTAGCTTTGCTAGTCTTTTAGTCGGCTTAGTAGCTAGCTTTGTAGCCTTAGAAGCTTTGGCTTTCTAGCCTTTGGTCTTCTTAGCAAGAAGCTTGCCTGCCCTAGCCTTATATTTGTCAATAAAGCGTTGTAAGTGGTTTAAATCTGCCACCTTTTTCCACTTGTTATACTTGTGGCTCTAACTCTTCTACTTGATTAGGTATTAAGTTATAGCTATGTAGCTATGGCTAATCTTAACCTCTTGCTTCCTAACTAGCTGCTTTATCTTGTATATTGCGTTAGGGTTGTCAAGGTTGCTATTAGACTTGTCAAAGCTAACGTTAATTAGGCTTGGCAAAGGCTAAACCTAGCTATAGAGATTTTTGTCGTTGCTAGTATCTAAGACTAAGTGCTATACTAAGATAACTAAGTAGATATTCCAATTGTCAAAAAGGTCTAATTTGTAAGCTAGCTTGCCAACTTTCTTAAGAATTGTAAAGGGTCTAGCATATTGCTAGAACTACTTGCAAGAGGGTTGACTAGAAAGGTAGTAGCTATAGTAAAGTTAAAGGAAGACCTTGTTATTGACATTGAATTTGACTAGGCAGTGCTTTTAGTTATACTAACGCTTTGCCTATATAGCTGCAAAGGTTATTGCTAGCTTAGCGTCTTTCTAGATAGCTAATTAGACAAAGCAAATAAGGTTAAGCTAGGCTAGAAGGTTACCTACACTAGCAATCACCTTAGCAAAGCCTAAAAGCTTAAAGCTAAAGAAGACTTTGTTAGAGGATGCTGCTATTTCTTTGTTATGCATATTGTTAAGATTCTACTAAAGCGCAAGAATAATGTCAACCTAGTCGTCTTTAAGGTTAGTAAAGCAGTGGAATTAAATAGCTACTTTTATAGTCTAATTTTTACGCTTTGACAAGCTGTTAGCTTATAGGTAATACGCTATTGTTATTATTAACTTAGTGTTAAACCTAGCCTATAGCCTTTTCTAGAATTTTGACTAGAATTTAAAGTTTTAATTAGAAATAATTCTGCGCAGGATAGGCTAGTCTAAGAGTAGTAAGGTCTAGGTAAATACCAATCCCTAGTCTTTTGCTATATAAGTTGCATAGCCTAGAATTAGTAGAAACCTTTTAGTAAACTTATTGGTAGTTGTAAGCAAAGTGTTGTAAGTTTTATAACTTGGAATTTGCTAGGGAGTGCTAGCTGAAGAGACTTTTAGTAGACTTACAATAAAGTCAATCGCTACTATCTGCATAAAAGCTAGTTAGGTCCAAATTGACTGGTAATTACTAAGCAGTTTGCTATTATTAGTATAGTTAACCTTGCAAGCAAGGCAGTTAGTAATATACTAGTCAACCTCTTAGCGCTTTTAGTGTATCTAGTACTAATCTAGCTTCTATAGCATACATTTGTAGCTAAAGTGGTGCTTTTTATTGTAAGCAAAGGCTAGGAATTTATAATATAACAATTGCAGTATACAAAGCTGTTGGAAACTATTATATGTTGTATAGTATAAGAAACTGTTAATTAGCTTAAATGCAAAGGCTGCCTTAGCTAGAGAAGCATTTTTAACAACTTTATTGTCATTATGCAAATCCTTAAAGATATTTGCATAGCTTAAGTCTGCAATATAACTAGTATAGAAGCGCTTTTTTAATTCAAGACTTATTAAAGCTTTAGAGGCAAGCTATGCATTATTAGACTATGCAGTGTACTAACTATTGTTAAGCAAGATGTTATCAAAGGTTAGTATAGCTGTAGGTTTAGGCTTTGCAGCTAAATTAATTATCTTTAGTTAAGATAATACATTAAAGACTATATTAAGTTTGCTAGCAATATAGTAGACTTGCAAAAGGTATTGCAATAGGTAAATCAAAGCAGTAACTAGTTGTTGATTGGCTTGATTAGTAGATAAGGTATTAAAGATAGTCTGCTTTACAATTCTTTTAGTAGCTAAGTGATTAGTTAGTATAATTACTAGCTTTTCTAACAATTAAATCATTGTTTTAATCTTCTGCATAGTGTAGACTAAGCAGCTAACTTTCAATTCAAAAGGTCTGTAGCATTGCTTAGCGCTAGAAAAGGTCTAGCTAATAAATATCACAGGCTAAACTACTGCTAAGGGTATCTTGTGACTAGGCTTTTAGTTATAACTGTCTTTGAGGTAAAAGACTATAACGCCAAAGCTATTTTCTAGTAAGCTGTCAAGCTATATAAATAGTAGCTTCTAAAGATTAAAATAGACCAAAATAGTATTCTTAGTAAAAGCTTTCTGCAAGGCGTTAAATGCAAGAATCTTACCCGTGCCACGCCCCACTTTAATTGGTACTCGAGGGCTCCTACCACCTAAAGGTGGTGCTGGCCACCAAAATAACCAGATCACCAAAATAACCACTTTTTTGACCATACCTACTATATACGCGTTATATACGCTTTAATAACCAGAATCCTACCTCTGAATCGTATACTTCTGCCCTTTCTAGCTTTCCAGACATCCTCCATTTGCGTGCCTCTTTTGCAACCTCTTCGTAGAAGCGTTTATATGCATTCCGCTGCCTCAATTCTGCTGCCTCAATGACCTTCCTTGCCTTCGCAACCTCGTCAACCTCCTTTTGCTGTACCATTTGACGCCCTATTGCTACAGTAAGCACGCCCCCTGACTGTAAAGGCATATTCTTCATTGCCCGCCGTTGCCTAGCTACTGCCTCTGCCATTTTAGTCCTTCCTAGGTCTCGTTTGGTCTGAACAAGCTCAGCTGCCAAAGACAAGGACCCTCTAATATATCGACCTAAATTATAGGCAAAGTCTGGATCTATATCCTCATCTTCCTCAAGTGCAGTCTCTAGCTTATCAGCTACCTTGTTGATTTGCCGTAACGTTACTGGCGTATTGAATGGTGAAGAATGAAGTCTATCTGGTATAGCAGGAGGGGGGGTTTCTCTAGCTTGACGAGCTTCCAGGATTTCCAGGACTGGTTGAGGGTTGAATGGCCAGATTCCAGTCTTCCGAAAGGCAGAGAGGATAGTGGATTTCTTGAATGCCTGTTGCCGTACCTTCCCAATGCAAGAAAGAAACTCAATCTTGGAGATATTGATGAGGCCATCGCAAACCATAAGATCTAGTGCCTGCGCATGGTAGTGCTTTAGAGGTTGGAAGACTACCACGTCTAGAGGTTGAAGTAGATGCGTAAGGTTTAGAGGCATGCCAAAAGGAATGATTCCATAGTCATCGCAGTACTAGATAAACTGCTTTGTGTAGTGAAATCCATGGCCATCAACAATAAGCAAGCGCTTAGAGCTAATGAAAGTCTTTGCTGAGTGCTTCTCGAAGTGCTGAAGCCACTCAAGGCTAATCTCATCATTCGAGTAGCCAGTAGAGGTAGGTCGAATGGCAGTTTCTTCGTCTAGCTCTAGGATT